CCGAAACTGATTTATCTTTTGCTTTTGCTGCTGAGTCCAATCGGATGTTGATAACATTCTGGCCAGTGTTACTCTTCTTGAGGATTGGGTTGAGGATATATCAGATTTTGAGAATGAGGATGAGAATGATCCGATGGTTGGTTTTGATTCGAGTACGATTGTGATTGATTTTGTTGAGATTGTCCGTTTCTTGAAAGATTAGAAGAAACTCTTCTTATAGTTTGAGGATGTGAATTAGGTGTTGATAATCCTAATCCAGTAGGTATGGGTAAAAAATAAGATCCACCTCCTCCACCTCCTCCACCACCTTCCCTCTCTTTTTCAGAGAGGGAATGCATATAAATATAACTTGATCTTCTTGATAAACTCGGTGTATCACTTCCACCATGACCAGAATTCGTATGACCTCCATAACCATAACCAGAAGTGGTACTTCCCAAACAAGATTCCTCGTCATCTTTCGAATCATCATATGATAATCTAGGTGAAGCGGAAGGTGAAACAGGAGCTGATCTTGATGGTGTTCTAGAAGGAGTTTCAACTGATAATCCGAACGAACCGGATCTTGCAGATTTCGGTAAAGTGGAGTTCAAAGGTGATAAACTTGTCATACTGGTCATACCTAATAAATGTTGGGAGCTTTTCCTCGAAGGAAGTGTGAGTGGGACAGGTCGATCCGATATTCTTCCTCTGGATAAAGTCGCGGAATTTGGCATTTGATCGGAATTTGACATGTTGGGTGATAAACGAGATTTCAATTCAGAGTAAATGCTTGAAAGTCCTGAAGAACGTTTCCATGCCGATCGAAGGTTGGTGAATAGTAACCAGAGACACGTGGCTATTGCTAGTGGGAGATAAACTCTGTTATACACTCCAAGTTGATCAGGGAGGAAACAAGGTCGGTCAGCGTGAGTAAGGGTGGTGGTGGTGGAAGAGGAGGGGGAAGGAGACAGTGGAGGTGGGACAAGAGAGAGTAGTTGGAAGCCTGGTCGACGGATACCTGTGGAGGATGAAAATGATTTGACGGTGACTTCGCGGATACCGGGCGGGTGAGTGTATTCGCAGTAATCGTGGTCGTCGCCGCTGTACATGAGTATTCATCGATAGTGTTGATGCGATACGGCAGGCCAAATATTAAATCACGACCGTCTGAGCGGAGATGGGGTTGCCCCAGGAGTGAGCAAAATTCAGACAAACCCTAGACTTGGGGGGTGAAATCCACCACTTGAATGTGGAAGCGTTATGCGAAGCATGGACAAAGAGAAAGATGGATGTGACAGAAGGCAGATTGTGGAGAAAGAAAATGAGACAGAGCGAGAGGGGGAGGCATGAAAACCACGACCAACCCACCTAAACACAACACTAGGTTTTATAACATCCAACAAAAACCTCGTCGTTTCACTCCCTAACAAATTCTGATAACCCGGTCCAGCACCTTTAGCAATCCTACCTCTTTCCCTCAAAGATCCACAATCCGCTTTTTCCGGTCTCGCCAAAGGTATATGTGAAATCAATATAGCAGGTCCTATCAAACCATTTGGATCTCCAGTTTCACCAAGAGTACGTTCTTCTCCTAAAGCTTTTACGAATTCAATAACACCACCACCTACACCGTCCCATTCACCAAATTGCATTTCAGCAGCGTACCTCCTATAATCTTCTTCTACCAATCCTACGGCGTCTAAAAGGATGAGAGAATGGTTGGCTATTGGTAAAATGGCGTTTGGAGGTGAGAAATGTTTAGAATAACGATCTCTTGCTAAAGGTGAGAAAAGAGGGTTAGGACCGAGAGGAACGTCATGATTACCGGGAACGAAGAACATCGGTGTGGAAGTTGGAAGTCGGAATATTGAACGAAAGAGGGAGACATAGTCGTCGTAACTGGATGTTAGATTTGCGACTTTGTTCGGACCTCCAATTCCAGCTTTCTTGAAACATACGGCTAACGCTCCCGATACGACTGATTCACGCTGCTTATCACTCTGAGTCGATCAAGTCTTACCACCCACACTTTTCGGTCCGGCCTATTTGCAGCTCGCACGACGGTAAACAGTGCCACGAGCATTCGACAACACACAAAGAGGATTGTAATTGAGGGGCCAAAATCCAACGGCATTGACAGTCCAGATAAGGGTACCAAGTGATATGATGAATGAACAGTCCAAGAACTAGATACTAAGTGGGGAGACGTATAACATGGCAATCGCAGTCTAGATAAGGGCAGAGAGTGATACAGTCATGCACCAGCCCAGAAACCAGATAGTAAGTGGAGCAGACAGATACCACAAGAAATCATATGTGAAAAGACAAAACTCACTCTTGATCACTCATCACTCCCCTCCCCCAATCCAACATATCTCCAAGGACCAAAACCACATCCACCCTTCCCAGTCGCATGACCACATTCCAACTTTTACGCATAAACAACTCGTCCATTGCCTGACGAAGCATGTTCATCCATGGGTTCGAATCCGGTGCGTAGGACAGTCGAGGGTGAGGGACGTGAGGGTCGGCGAGGAGAACGACGTGGGTGGGTGGGTAAGGGGAAGAAGGTCGAAGGATGGAATCTGGGAATTTGCATGATGAGAGGGAAGAGAAGAACTGAGGTTAGTGAGGTCATTTCCTTCTGATGTGACTAGGTGCGGTGGGGTGGGGTGACGTGATGGAAAGGTGGAGATATCGTAGGGGAGACTCACTTCGCCGACCTGGAGGTTAGCGATCGTTACGATGTGTATAACAAGCTTAGTCCGTTGGACATTAACACTGATAGTAGAATAATGATAGAACAGTCAGAATTTGATTATCTGCAACGAAGCTAACCGCGAGAGATTCCAAGGTTTGAGGAAAGATATGGTTTGGGATAGAGTACTGGTAATGATGCAGACCAGAAAATGATACAAGCTGTGAATGAAGTCTGAAGGGAAGGAGAGGGAGTTTTAAGTTGGCCTTTCATCGGGCGATAAATCATAGATTCCACAGACAATTGTAGTAGTCAGCAGGGAGGACATGTGATGATCAGAAGACATGAATATGAAAAAGAGTGAGAATTTACGACTCACCTCGAACCAAACGACCAAGACGACCCAACCAAACCTCAATCCTAATAATTGTGTGGAACGACTTTTCAATCCAGTTCTTCTTGTATTCAACACTATAGTAGGTGTCCCAATCGTCCCTCTTGATGTTTTTCTCGGTAAAGTGGGAGTGAGATTCGTACCAATTTGGTTAAAGTCACCTTCATGACCATTCGGTATGTGATTTCCAAAGGGCGTCCCGTAACCTCCATTTCCAACCGGTGTTCCATAACCTCCATTGCCAGGTGTAACGTATCCTCCATTTCCAGGTGTAATGTATCCATTACCAGTAGGTGTACCATAACCTCCATTTCCCGAAGATGTAACATATGTCCCATTCCCACTTGATCCATATAAACCTTGAGTAGATATCCCACTCAAAGATGTCGAGGTAGAGATGTATCCCCCATTTCCAGGCGTACCGATACCCGTGAAATTCGATGAAGTGGATCTATGTATAGTAGGTGTAGTCAATGTTGAACTTGAGGTATTTCGAGGTATTGGAGAAGGAGCAGTTTGATGTCTATGAGGATGAGGGGAGATATTTCGTTTGGTTGTAGGTTGAGGGGAAGACATGTGGGGGGCTGGTAGGGTGAATCACCCACTTATTAACTCGTGATTTAAGAAAGAATGAAAAGGATCGAATACAGATTTGGATCGAGAGATTTAGAGAGAGAGAAAGTAAAGTAGTGTACGATGAAAGAAGCTCTTCTCTTAAAGGGTGGGAAATGAGTGATTTTATGAATTCTAGAAGATGTGGGTGATATATACGGTCTACAGTAGAAGAGTAAACCCAGTGCGCGGTTCTTATCGTTTCGTGACGATGATGTAATGTTTCGGATCAAGTTGAGATGAGACAGTCTGTCAGATCCAAGGTATACAATAGCCGCTCTACACAAAGATGAGCCTTACGCCGTACACCTTACGCCTCGATGTTGGATGGATGTATGAGAGAAAGATGGAAGTAAAGATGTAAGACCTCCGAAGGCCGAAAGAAAGGGGGGAAGGGGGGAAAGAAACGCGAGGGTCTGCGATCGAAGTCTGCTCGTCACACCGTACACCGTGACCATTCATGACACATAGTTACTGTATGCATCTTCGTGTCAAGGGGGACATACAGTCGTACTCATATGTCAAGGTGATAGGCGACTACCCCTGGCCTGGCACATCCATCGCTGCAGACGTGTCTCATGTTCCACGTCATTGGCGCAGAAGGATCTCCCACAGCCGCAGACTTACTCCACCCCTCGTCACCCAGGTCAGGGCGTCAAAAGCGGGCGTCAAAAGCCGACAACAGGTCGTACGACTGCTCATTTCATTGCATCATTGGCCATTGGCCATTACTGCTGCAAGATTCACACCCACCACTCACATCGCAATTCATATACTATCGAAAAACGCAGTACGAAAAACACAGATCCAAGGGCCGCCTCGTATCCTCGTATCCTCGTCACGTCGTCACATTATCGTCCCGACCATCAGACTGTAAAACGTCTCAATCTCATCACAAAGTCTTCTCGTGTTCAAAGCTCGAAGGAGCAGTCGTACCCGCCATGCTGAACCCAGAAGCGTCCTTGGTGAAAGGGTTCGTGTTGGTAGACGAGGCAGTGGCACGGGCTTTGACGTTGCCAAATACGGGTCGGACCACGTTGAAATAGAGAACCTCGGCGCCTCGGGTGGCAGGAAGCATCACTGGGAGGTCAGTTCGACTATCCAACGTATTTGCAAGTCTCCCCAAAACCGAAAGGATTGAGAAATAGAACCATGAGGACAGTCACTCACGATAGATGATAAACAAAGTCTTGAAGACATAGTACATCGGGATCCAAAAGAGAATGGCCCTGACACCCATCGATTCGATGAGGTTCATCATGCCGAAAACGACCTGATGGTCAGCTCTTGACAGATGCAAAGATGAAAGCTGTTCACTCACCCAGTACGTCAACCATTGTTTGTCGTCGTTTGTCCCCGGCGACTCGATAGCTTGGATGGACAAGTAAGCGGGGAGAGCCCAACCGATCATGTTGGACACGGGCTGAGCGAGACCGAACATGTTGAAGAAGATGAGTATGACCGAGCTGAAATCAGTTTGGGTTTATAGGCGGGTGAACACGTAATATTCCACGTTGAACTGGAGCGACAAGAAGGGCAGTTCCCGAGAAGTCGAGTTGAAGGGAAATATCATTTCAATGCTTACGAAGCTCCCAGGGCCAAGACACCGTAAGCTTTAGGAATTCTGGTACGAGTCTCAAGGTCGCGCAGCATGGGGTATTTGTTGAGCTGCAAATCAGTGAAAGGCTCCAGTATGCCACCCAGGCTCATACTTTGCAAACCAAGTCAGGTGGATGAATGGATGAAAAGGCGTTGTGAAAATTACGGAAGGGCGGTAGAACGTGGAGCAGATGAATAAGTATGAGCAAAGCTGGTTAATCGAGCTGCATGGTGACATGGTATTATGCGCGATAAGATCAACTTGACCAATCTGAGGCGTGGCGAAGATGACAAAAATGGAAATTGGACTCACCTCAGCATCGAGACTGTTAACTTGTTGAGAAACAAACTTCTGTGCATTTTGAGTATAAGGATGGTTCAAAAAGTTTTGTTTAATCTGTTGAGATTGGGCGGACATCTAGAAGTGTCAGTATCATGTGACTCGTTGAATAATTTTTCCTCAGATTTTCTCAATGACCAAAGGATTGACGACCAGAGTGTGTGACACGAAATGTCGTCGAGGGGAACAGGTTCGAGATGAAAGAAAAGTCATTACTGATACCACCGGGATGATATGTGGTGGAGGATAGGATTACCCGTGGGAATATCCCTCTTTCCCTCACACATGTGTTATGAATGGAGGAAGAAAACTTGACTGACCTTGTATAACTACCTCTGTTGATATCTGCTTGCTAAGTCTGAATCTGACCTCTGTAGTGAATAGTTGAACAGTTGTACAGTGGTGGATGAAAGGTGATGAAGAGAGAAAGAGAGAAAACGAAACTCGTCATATGTCGGTTTGCGGCGTGGTCGGAAGGGAAGCCTATGACGTTGTTCCGGTGTTTACAGCGGGGATATTGATGTGGCACTCTACCTGACCGACGTGGCGCCGAAGGGGTCTTGTGACCGTGATGAGTTTTGCCTATTGAAGTGCTGATGTTTATAGCTCACCTTTGGGGCATGGAGCAAAGGAGCAGCATGGCAGCATGTATCTCTTTCTCAGATCTAACAAGTCCAACTACGATGAATGGATGATATGGAAAAAGTGGTGGATCTCTTCAAAAGTACTGTGCAGAGTAATGAAAACGACAGGTAATGTCCATCTCTCTACTTGCTCTACTCTAAGTACTATTCCACAAAAAAAAACCTACACCCCATCTCCTTGTCCAACACCTCTGATCATATCTCTATAATCACACAACCTCAACAAGTTCCTCTGTAACATAGCGATAGTCATCACCCCAACACTAGGTACGTAAATCCCCGCTCTATCCCTAACATCATTCTCAAAATTCTTCTCACCAGCAACGTTGACGCAAACGCATCCGTCTTTCAAACTCGACGTCGGGACTTTATAATTAGGGTTCGGTACAGCTGAAATGACCACATCCGAAATACCTAAAGCTTGATCGATGGTCAAAGAAGTAGGTGAAACTACATGATGTGGATTATATTTAGAAGAAGATAATAAAGTTGAAGTTTCAGGTGAACGTGTAGGATTCGAAGGGTTCGTACTACTACTCGTACTACTCGTGGTTTTAGTGTTCGTGTTTGTTGAAGATGAGGTCGGAGGTGTGGGTCGTTTTGAGAATTCAACGATTGAATCTATATCAACACTTAAAACTCTTGCACCGTCATTAGCTAATAAAGCTGCTAATGGTCTACCGACGACTTCACTTCGGTTCAAAACGGTGATTACTTTTCCTCGAGCTCGATCACCGTATTCGAGCATGGCGTTGTATACTCCGAGATGTTCGAGGACTTTGACAATGGCCAAAGGGGTACAGGGGATGATTGATTTTACGGTTCCTGGTGGAGGGGGAGCTTCTTGACCTGGTTTGAGGATCGGTTGGGGGATGTGGGAAGCGGGAATGGGGCGAAGGGTGTGGGGGGAGATGAAGCGGATGCTGGGGGTTAACAATTGGACAAATGTACAAAGACTTTCTGGCGGCGCTGAATATGTGTATTAAGATACGAGAAGGAGGGGGGAGAATCGATGTGCGACGAGGATAGAGCGAAGAAAGCTGTCACAGAGTTGTGGCAGACAAAGAGGGGTGGGGGTATAATCGTACGGTATGGAAGGCGAGAGAAAGATTAGGGAAGTAAATGTGATAGAGGAGAGGAGGAGTTGGATGAAGGGAGTGACGGGGAGAGGAGTTGGCAGAGTAATGTACAACGTACTTGTGATAAAGGTTGAAAAGGAATTGATGATTCAACCCTTCCACATCTTTTAGGGGACTGACGACAGATTGTAGGTATTGGTCCTAACAATTAGTTCATTCCCGGATACTCACCTTCGCATTATCTTTCAAGCAAGCCCAGCTGTCCCATTCGACCCACATATACCACGAGCATTTATGCACTCTCTTACAGTAGGATGTAAAGAGCCACTGTATGTGAGGATATATGAAGAAGAGACGTGTTATGATGTATGAGATAAAATCTTAAGAACAGATCTACTCACCTGCCTCCCACCGTAAATAGGATAATAAACCATGATCCCATCTACATTATCATCATCGTTTGCCTATTTATCAGCTTTATCTCAACAACCCACTAGTCGTGATCCATGAGTCGAGTGGATTTTTATTGTAAAACTCACCTCTAGGATAGCTTCTTCAACATCTATCCCAACACCTGCATTATCCATACCTTCCCTAGCTTCACCCACTAAACGAAGTTCGAAATCTATACCTATCTGTTCGCATGCTCTACGTGTGAACTAAAGTCAGCTTTCCATTATCATTATCTCTTTATTTGAATTCCACTTGATTGATATCCCACCACTAGAGCTTGTCTTGATCAGACCACCCCATTTCTTTCCCCATCAAGAATCAAGGTCCTTCCTGTTTCTCTTCTCCCTCCCTCTCAAACTCGACCAAATCTCCCCATCCTCGAATGACTATATATCCAAAGTCCTAGATATCTAACAAAGTCATGACCCATCTCAACGAAGTTGTTCTTCCTCTCGAAAAGACGAACTAATACTACCGATATGATGTGATAATGATAAAACCTGACAATTCCCATCATTTCACTCGAAGAAGCAAAAATCCCCCCTCATCCTTCCTGGAGTAACAACATTCAAAATCAAAAAAACCAAATCTCACCGAATTCACACAAGAAAAGATGCAAAAACACTCACCTCAGCATAAGTCCTAGCATCTTCTTTCTTAGTAGCTAATATCCCTAATAAATTCGGTGGTCTGTTCTTGAACCTGGAAGAGAGGATGACGTTCAAAAGTTCAGATTTGAAAGGTACGTGTACTTTCGAAGCTGTCACTAAAAGACCTTGAGGTGGGTTTGACGGTTCAGACATATTTTAATCTTTGATTTGCTTATTTTATATATGAGTGCCTGCTTGGAAGTGGGAGTGGGAAGGGGCAGTGAAGAGTTTGAGGGTTTGTTAAGGGGTAAAAAGAAAAGGTTTGATAAGATGTTTACGTTGGTGTTAAGAGATGAGATGAAAGGAGAAAAATCAAAGGATTGAAAGAAAGTGAGGAACGAAATTTAGCTCAAAAGCTTCTTCAGGGCGTGGCGTGAATTCTTCGTCACGTGATCGGATATCGGGCTCACTACTCCGGCGGCATTGCAACAACTCACTATAGCAACGAAATCAACAATCGAGCAATGACACCCCAAGTAACTATTGCTTCTCCACACATATAGCCTGTCAGACTAAGCTCAATGATCCATTGGCTCAACTATGAGTACTTCTCTTAAGACGATGGCCAACTCGGACCGCCCTCTGGCGAGATCCACACAATGACAGTGGTTGAACAAATTGCATACGAAGTTAACGAATCTTTCAACAAACGTCCTTCACTCGGATCCCCTTCATTCCTCTCGAACCTACTCAAAAGATAAATCGTGACACTCAAGAGCTAACGAATGACACTCGAGAGCTAAAGAATGACACTCAAGAGATGTTCCAAGACCCCCACGAGGTTAAACGACACCTTCAAGAATCGAAGCAGGATAATCAAGAGAGACAGCGACTGAGATACGTCACCGACCCAACTTAAACCATGGATTTCTCATCCGTCAAACGAGCTTGACTCCCAGTCAATTCGTTGAGCGCATATTGATCCCTTCCTAATTCCAAAGAAGAAGAATCGTCTTTCCTCTGTCTTTCTCCCTGTTGATCAGTGCTTGTCCTTTGATCATTCCTTCTTCCTTCCACTCTAACGCCGCAACTTTAGACCGAATATGACGTGTTGCTTTAACCCAGAACGAAGATAATCGCTCCATAGAGTTGAATGATGAACATTTCTGTTCCCCTGACCATGAAGATGGAATCGACGGATGTAGGACTGGGGGCTGAAAAATATTAATCACTCACATGAACATAAGTCTCCGTCTCCACTTCGACATGAATCTCCGTAGGACCCAATCGAGTATTTTGACCAAATACTTGAGGTTGCTACTTTGTCAACTTGCACTCACAACACGCAATTTTCAAAACTGAAATCCATCAAGTGAAGGATAATGCAGGCCGCGGATTATTGGAACATACAACGAGAGGCATTGTATTCATGGGCGGGACATGTCATCGGAGAAAGTGGAGATGATAGAACTCACATGGGTCATACGATCAGAAGGGACGGCCATAGACCTCATGGAAACTCTGGCATTGAGGGAATATAACAATCCCACTCCGTAAGCTTTCCCCTCCAGTGCGATGAGTAAAGCTCCGAGTAGAGAATCAGGTGTTTGGGCTGATGGATCAGCACAAATTTACTTTGTCCCAACGAATTTATGTGGACTGTACTCTATGAATCACTCACACCACTCGATAACGTAAGCTAGAGCTAAGACAGTCGGTGGGAGTTGAGCTTCGAAAGTGAGTCGAATCCAACGTGTGATGGTCTAAGGTAAGTAACTTTCTCTTCTTTCCTTCTCCCCCATCTCTTTCTTGACCTTTCTCCCTCCCGCCCTCTCTCTTCCGATTCGAGAGACGCCATCAAGGACATCTCTGAGCGAAGCCAAATGCTCCTATAATAAGTCCATCGTAGATATCTGGAATTTGGAACCTGCTAAAGAAAGGAGAGGGAAGGATGAAGTACTGTAGACAAACCTTATCAGTCTGATACCATCTTTTCATTAGCACACCGCTCAACCTACCAAAAGTGTGTCACTTACCCAGTCTTGGAATGAACCAGTGCCCACATGATAGCGACGGCTATCAGGACGTCCGCTGCAGTGGTGCATGACCCAAAAACTGTACGTCAGTTTTACTCTATTTATGATGCCCTCCTTGATGTCTCGGCACTACCCACAGCTTTCATGATCTCGTCATCACGGCAAGAGACGGGGATATGGGAGATTATTTCACGATGCCAGCCGTGGACGGGGTACGGAAATAGTTCATGAAAAGGGAGAAACGTACTGATCAACCAAGCTCCAGAATGAGAGGCTCCGAGGAGAGAAGGCTGATTTCCAAATTCGATCTTCCATCAGTACATCGTCTTTCCGTCTTTCATTTTTACTTGGTCCAAACATCGTAAGTTTCGTCGGCATCTATCCAATGGTGGTCTTTCCATAGTTGAGCAGAAAGACTGGAGCTGCGGTGGGGGAGAAAAAAAAGTCAAGGCTCACGGTCTCACCGATCCCACAGACAAATCTATAATCAGTCTTTCTTTATTCTCAATTCAAGATGAAAGTCAATCAACTCACGCTGCTGTACTCAAAAGCTAGAAGTTAGCTGCCGTCGTCTATATCCAATGATGCGGAAACCTCGACTCATATTAAACGCAAGCAGATGCTAACCCCCTTGTGCCCTTTGTCCCAAATAAGAACAGCCCGAGTTGGAACGATCAACCACAATCCGCCTATGATACAAATGAAGTGTGACAAGTGGCTTGAGCAGCGAGCCACTCCGAGGAGATAGAGAAGACGAAGAAACCCACCAATGCCGTACCGAGGAAATACCAGTTTCTCTTCAAGAGCAAGAAAGCTATTTGTCAATCTCAGTTCTCTCATCATTCTCTTGGAGTAGAATTTGAGGATCACAACCTCGAAAGCTTCCAGCCAGAAGAAGCGTTAGGAGATGTTTGGTATGAGAGGTAGATCGACGACGTTGAAAGATCAGATTAAGAATTTCACTGACCTCTCCATGCGAACCAAGCTTGGATAGGCCTTGATGTCAGCTTTACACGAATTCAAGATTAAGTAAAGCTGACCAGACGACCAAAACTGACTGTCAGCTGATCGTCCTATAGATCCATAAATATCTCTGCTTCGACAAATCTCGGTCAAAATTCCACGGGATAGAGTACGAAAGTACCCTTCAACGTTCAACGTCTATATGCACTGAGTGCCCTTTATTGACGCCCCCATCCAATCGAATGTTGTTACCGAGGGAAGTATCGGGAAATGGACCGAGAAACTCACCATCAAAAGTCGGCATCATCATAAGCCATCTCCTCCGTCAGTCGTCATCACACAAAAGAGAAGGACACATACCGAACTTCGAGCCATGGTCTTCTAGTCAGCCCACGTTGCGACTCAAGTCAAGGGAAGAGCTCACAACCATTGACCGAAGTGGGCCACAAAGAGGTATGACATGTAGATCCCTTCTCATCAGTCTTTCCTCTTTCCCCTAAAATCACTCGCTCTATCATAGTGATACCTTCAAGATAGGGTAATCCGTGCTTTTTCGCATTCATGACCAAGTTGTCGAATGAGACCCTCGGAAACAGTAAAGTCCCAGAAGTCAGGTGTCATCACACACGAAACTATCCTGCACGATAATACGGAACGTCTTCAACAAAAAACTTGAGGAACCCGTACATGGTCCGTCAAGGTCTCGGAAGAAAGAGATCGGCCAGACATGGGGGAAAAGCGACGGAATGACTCACAAGTGAAGATCGTGATAGCAAGGTTCATAGCCCCTACCCAAATGACGAGCGCTTTAGTCCACCATTTATCATCACCTTGGTACCTGACCTTATCAACTTTTACTCCTCAACCTCTTGGGTCCTCATGTTGTGAACAAAGACATCCTAACAATCCGACTTCAGGTGGTGATCGGATACCAAGAAACTCATGATGCACAGAATTGAACGAAAAATAAAGCGTCATGGTGGGGAGAGAGGAAAGGAGGAGAAGGATGGGATGGGATGGGATGGGATAGAGTGAAAAAAATCAGACATACCGGAAATAAGTGTACATCTGTACGCATAGTACACCTCTATATTATCAACACTCTGTATCTCATCCGACTACTTTACTTCCCTTCCAGAAGTATTCTTTCCTCCCCATTAGACGAAGAATAGCCGCAAGGAAAGAGCAAACAAATAAGAAGGAAGGATATAGAATAAGTAAGAAGCAAAGGTGATTGACGGCCCTACCAATCTTCTCGTCACTTCCACTCGTGATATTTCCAAGGGAGGTCTATATGAGGTAATGTGAGAGATAAGATCCCCCTAATGTGAAAATCTGAAGTTTGAGACAAGGGGGAAAGTGATTGATTACGAGTACTGTCATTTGAAGATGGATAGGGGGGAATGACTTACCCGAGGAAAGTATCGATTACCAAATTAGCGAATTGACATGCTGACCATCAGTCGAGTTCTACCCAGATGAAAAGAAGATCGAACCAAGCATAAAATGCTGTCAGTTAGCGAAGTTCACCCACCACTGTTTCACCTTTCTCTTGATCATTGAAATTCACGATAATGTTATCTCTTTTGGAAGGATTTAAATCTGAGATCGATCCGCTTCCTCTAATATCAAACTCATGAGAAACTCGTTGACATCCAGTCCTACCCTTCTTCGGCAAACACTTCTCGGACCTTTATACACGTATGACATCAAGCTCTTTCCAAAGATTTCATTTTACTCCTCTACTCTTATGATGATAAGATTCCCGTAATACTTCATCAATATCACTCAAACACGTGTAATCTCAAAATCAAGACACTCGATCACATATCACTATTGACACAACACCACACTCACACATGATGACAGAAGATCGACAACAGAGATAACTGGAAAGCAAGTAGAATACTCACAGCTTGATCAGCGAACAAAGCCGTCGCACTCGCCTCGTCATATCCATCTATCTCAGTAGGATAAGTCATCCTCTGTGTGTATAACTTTTATTTCCCTGATCGGACTTGTGTGTATATCTTGGTTTTTTCCGTTCTTCCCTTAAGTCTTCTTTCTTTTACTGAACGACTCGTTCTTATTCCCTCGAGAACAAAGATGTTACAATACGAAGGTTTCTCCGAATGATCAGAGAAGACAAGAGAAGAATAGACAACGTGAGTGAGGGTTTTGCGTTCTTTTTGAAGAGGTCAGTGCAAGTCAAGTTACCAAGTTACTTATAATTACTCCCTCCTCTACTCTATCATCTCCGTGAAAATGTACAACTGAAGAGGTCCGACGGTATCAGCTGTCTAATCAAGCCACCAACAGATGGAAAAAGTGGTTCCTAAAGCCACCAGACTAAAATTCGGGGGTGAGTGCTTAGGACCTCTCTCTCGCTTTTTCTCTCGCTCGCGATGTGACGCGAGGGGTGACTGAGAGACCCAGGACCCGATGGAGATAGGGGAAAATGAAATAGCAAGGTGATGAATCATTGATGTTGTACCTGGTTGTTGGGGAAGTGTACTACGGGTCGAGCGGGAGAGGAGGAGGGAGAAGAGAGAGGGGAGGGGAGAAAGATTGAAGATGGAGATGAGCTTACCATGGTTTTGGGCAGGCACCACACCACTGTATCTTTTTCATCAAAGCTCACGGACCACAGACCACGGAGCAGACGAATCAGAGGCTAAGTAGAGTACGGTAGAAGTAAAGACATCAGTAAAGCTTTTGAGCAGAGAAAGAATGTGACAACCCTTCCTTCCAACGATCCATCAATACTTCTCTTCGTGACTGATGGCAAAATCGGGGCGAATTTTGCAATCGTGAAATCTCTTTCTGAGTAGTGGTCATGTAAGCTTCGACATTCTTTAGTACAGCATTGCAGAGATGAGTCGCCTGTGTATGGTCAGATAAATAATGAAGAGAGAGTATACAGAAAGTGGCCCCTTATGGATGGGGGATGGTGAATTGATAGTGACGATGATGTTAAAGATCTCTGTCAGCAATGGTAAGTCGAAAGAATCTTACCTACGGTATCGACGTGAGAGAGAAAACCCGATTGATTTGTGAAAAAATGTGATATTCTTTGACCCTCCTTTACTGATTGATCCAAGCCCGATTTGATCCATCAGTTACCGCATCACATCAGTACGGGACCTATTTATTCTCGTCTTGCTTGCTCTTGCCCCACTCCTCTTGTTCGTCCCAATTCGGTTCTTTGCGGCTAAAAAAAAGGTCAATCGGTGGCAGTGGCTAAAAGCCAAGATTGGCGATGTTCCATCTTGATCTTGAAGAGCATGTAAATTGTAATCACTTCTGTGACCTCTGGCTTCACGACACCTGGGCGAACGTGTTTTCATGTTGGGACCTTTCCACTCCATATGTCCGTCACGCGGATGATCTGGGGCTAGTGGACCGTGCTTCGTGTCAATTCGTTACCCCCGTTACCTAGATTGACTGGTTAGTACGGCTTTACGACTCCGTGAAGTCCGTCAGTGGACGATAAGCCAACCTTTATCCTTCAGTAGATCACCGAGATCAGAGGTCGTGGAACGTCTATGCATAGAGTGTGTGGGAAGGGACTGCACATGCCAAAAGAGGGAAGAGAGAAGAAGGAACGTATGTGTCCGTTTTTGGGGTTTGAAGAAAGCGTCGGTGAATGGATAAGTCGATTATCGACGGACCGGTACTTTCGGAAGTTACGAGATATCGAGTTGGGAGTTGTGATGGCAGATTTAGACCTTCTCGCCGTCTGTCAACCTGGCTTGAGATCCATAGGCTAAGTTGCTCATTTGATATTGATCCCCTTCTTCGATCGAAGAGTCGTCCTTCCTCTGGTGCACCGGTTCTCCCTGTCTATCAGATATCGTCTTCGGTGGATCCTCTGGTACCGCGATTGTCAAGAAGCTTGTCAAGGGAATCGACGTGACATCACGGTCAATCGACGTTGCAGAATGGTGGTCTGGATATACGCTTCGAGATTTGCCCAAAAGGGGTATACGGGTACAGTCGACAGATCTGATGTGTAGGGAAGTTTGATCGGTAAGGGAAGAATGACGCGAAGGAGATCACACCCACCTGAACGTAGGTCTGCGTCTCCACTTCCACATGAATCTCCGCCGGTCCGGCAGTACGCGAATGGCCAAAGACCTGAGGGGTCTGGTAACTCTGTATATTCAGCATCCATATAATCACAGAGGCTTGGGACACCCGGCCGGAGGGACCGATGAGAGAAGATACCGTCTATGGACGTTGTATATCCAACGGAGAGGAAAAGGAAAAGGGAAAGGATGACTCACAGGGTTGGTGGGCTTCTCCGCCTGGGTTTGCATGGCAACTCGAGCATTGAGGGAGAAGAGAAGACCGACGGCGTAGGCTTTTCCTTCGAGACATTGGAACAAGGCACCGAGGAGAGAAGAAGGAGTTCGGGCTGATCGTTTAGTCTCTCTCCCTCACCGTCATTCCATTTATTTTCGTCATAGCATAACCGATGCCTCTCTTGGTGTCGTCAAATCGATACCCTTCTGTAGCAGAAATAGGAAAACGAAAATAAAGCAACAATGTTCACTGCAGGGAGGAGACATGTTCAAAATCATTGATTAACTTACACCACTCGATTACGTACGCCAACGAAAGGAACGTCGGGGGCAATTGAGCCTCGAAGGTCAATCGAACCCATTTGGTGATGACTCTGTCGGTGTGCGACCAGCTGAAAGGTTAGCGATTATACCTTTCTCTCACCTGTCCACAGCCTCTCCGTATCCGCTTCTTCCGCCTATGTCTAAACATATGAACCGCATGTGAGTATCGGCGTGGACGTGGAAAAGGAGATGATGATAGGACATAGGGTTGATCACCAGATGGCAGGATAGGGATGAAAGAGCTGTAAACGGTACTTACCCAGACTTCGATCGGAGAAGCGTGACCATGATAACGAAGGCGATGATCACATCACAGGCGCAATTGCAAGCGTTCCAAACTGAAGAATCAGCACGTCATTCTCCCGGTGAGACAAGCAGCAAAACTTGTGGATACAGCAGACGAAGATCGAATAGGCGGGGTGGGTGAAAGACGGAGGATTGGAAGCTCGAGACCCACTGATCAGCCATGCACCAGACTTGTTAGCATCCAACAAAGAGGCTTGGCTTCCGAACACGACCTATTGTAAGTATCAAGTTTGACTTCTTGAGGACGAAGCTTACCGTCACGCCGAGACCTCCGATCGCGCTGGATGTCAGTGTCAAGCCCTCTACTTCTTATAATACTTACGCAGCAATGATCAAGCACTGCTCCATCAGCGTTGTCCCATACGGTCAAAGGTGGAAGGACAGTCTTTAGCGAGTGCAAACCCCGAAGTAGACAGGGGCGGCAGTTAAGGAACAGTCCAGCTGTAAACAAGTTTCCGAAAGTGCTCACAATGAATAATACCAACAGAGGCCAGCTTCGTTTCGAGAGTAGGAAAGCTGTCTAGTTAGCTTCATCGTCTCAAGACCTTGGACGAAAAACTGACCTCGATGACTGAAGAACAATTGAACCGGGGCTGGAAGAGTCAACATCGGTCGCAGAATGAAAATCGCCCAGTGCCTGGTTCGGAGGACTTACCGACGGCGAGGACTGGATCGTCAGCATTTGGTTCACACACCAAGTCTTTGGCGAAAGTCCTGGTCGATACTGGTATTTTGATCGCAGTGAGCAGGAGTGAATGGCTCAACTCCTTGATGATAGAGGGTGGAGACTGGATAGGGTGATCAAGAGGGGAGGAAGAGCGGAAGGAACGAACCATCAAATAAGGGCATGAGTGCCAACCATCTATGGTGAGTGAGCATGATTTCCTTTCATCGGCAAATGACTCCCTCACCTGACCTCGAGCCATGGACTATGTATCAGCTCAGATCTTCGCATTGAGCTCATCCCTGCCACTGCCACTTAACACTCAATCGTCATTGACACACTTGCCTCCAACGCACGGACGGATCGAAAGGAGTTCCCTTCGCGACGAGAAAACGAGGGGAATTGGAAAAACAAAACTCACAGCCACTTCCCATAGTTCTCCACAAACAGATACGAGATGTAAACCCAGTAATAGATTGAGCTGACCAGATCAGTCTGATATTTCCGAAGTGAGGTGAGGCTCACACGACGAGGTTCATGATAGCGACCCAAGCTACCAAGATCTTGGTCGAGAGTTTGTCATTCCACTGATATCTAATTGTTAGGGATCACACATTCACACTGACCAGTCCTAATCGTGAAAGAGTGACATCGAAAGATCATCTTCACTTGACAGGGTGGGACTCGAAAAGAGAGGGGAGAGTGTCTCACTTAAAATATGTATAAACCTGCATGGCTAGAATACCACTAACGGTGAGCATCGGTCAGTCGACGACAAGACGTTCACCCACGCGAAAAGAGTCTCGAGGACGAGGGAAGCGAATTGACATGCTTTCCCGGTCAGTTTGGTCATATGGAGTGGAAGGGCTACAAACCTAAAAGGAATTGCTGTCATGTCAGCGATGTTTCCCAAGACAGTCGTCGGGATGATCGTATGGTCCATGTGCCCGATCAAGATGGACGAGTGATATTCTCTACAGGGGTGGATCTCAAAGATGAAGAGTGAGTACTCGAATACCAAAGTGCTACATAAAATGAGGAAAACAGAAGACAACTCACAGCTTGAGAAGCGAAAAGAGCGGTTGCAGCAGCCTCGTCATATCCGGCGATCTCAGCAACCATCTTGATTTAATCCGTGAAGCCTGGTTATCGATCCGTGGTATACAAATAAGTCGATCTATCCTCGAGGAAAGCTTTTGGGCTGTGTGTATATATGATGGGGATGACTATTGATCGTTCCCGTCTTGTTTTTGTTTTCTTTCCTCTCTCCAGGCGGGTATCAAGGAAAGAAGAGATCAAGACAGTGAAGAGTAAGAAGGAAAGTGGTGGTTGTTGGAATGTTTCGTCGTTAAGTCTCCTGCTGTCCACTGTCCACTGGCCACTGGATTTGTTCCCCGTCTCCTTCTCTCTTATATGACAGGCTTTTTACGTAGATACGGAAGAAACAGGGGTCCTAGCGTTTAGTCTCTAGCGTCTTCAAAGAGAGAATCCTATCACTGACAAAGCGTCGTATACTTCTGATCATAAAGTAGATTTACGGACTGGTGCCTTTTGTATCCCATCAAAAATCTCAACAAAACTTTACCGAAAGTGGGACTCGATGTACGTCTCTCTGTCCCTCTTTTTCTGTGAACGATTACTGGATGAAGGATGTGAACGTTCAATGGAGGGTGTGAGAAGAGAAGAGGGTAGATGGTAGTGAAGGTACAGTAAGTATCCCCATGGTCCGGAATGGACGGGACCAAGTGGTAAGACCCAAGACACTAAGACAGACAAGAGATTCTCGGCGATGATCGGTAAAGAGACTTGATCTTGATCCTCAAATCGGCAATGGAAAACGACCATGGCGTCAAGTAGTCCTGAACTATCCCGTGATGGCTCATGATTGAAGATCCTAGCGACCAAATAGGAACCAAGTTGGACAAAGGTGAAAGAGCAGAGGAAAGAAGGGATCGGGGAATCGATATTGTCGTCGTCAAAGGAAGCACGGGCGCACGGATCAAGGCACTAACAAAAACCCTTTACATCACTTTATCCTTGATGCTTGTTCCAGACTTGCAACCCCACAACCGGGATGATGTGATGAGGTGATGATTGCGAGGCGTCGTTAAACACGAGGCGGGGTACTCGACTGCTGTGGAAAGTCAAGTCGTAAGCTGATCGTGGAAGAGGTCAGGCTGGGTGGGATCAGCAAATACAAGTGTGGGCGTTTAGTGGCTTGTGACTGAGACTCGAGCGATCATTTACGTATGTAAGCTCTCTCATCTTTCCAAGTCATGCAATAAGTTCAGTGGTTGCTATTTAGTCGATTGACCTCTATATCATCCTTCTCTTCCAAGATGCACAACTAGGGGTAGCTGGAAAAGAGGGTCGACCCAATGGGGGAGGGTGTGAAATGGATGAAGGGAGATTTACTGGATCGGGTCGATTGGTCACAGGGACAAGCAGATGGGATACCCCAAAGGATGTTTCGGAAACAACTTACGCCTGGAGAGTGGGTATCATGTGGTACCCCACTCTTACTCTGACACGTGGTAGGTGGTCAACCTTGAGCTAATCGACCGCATAACATTTGACAGTCCGCAGTACGAATAGAGTAATGCCTCTTCGGATATCTTCAGATATCATGTGATTACGTGTCTGGTCAATGTTAAGTCTCACATCCCTTCTGTTATCTTCCAAAAATCCCATGGACAAGGCTCATTACGAGATAAGAAGGTATAGGAAGTATCCTCACAACTGAAAACTCCCAAGATTTGAAAGAAGAAACCCCGTAGATGAGAGGGACTAGCGATACGCCCTCGGGCGCAGATCGAGTGGAGGAATGAAAAGAATCAGGGTGGACCCTGTACGAATGGTGAGGTTATTTTTGGGGGTGTTTAATGGTGCAAGGTGGGGGACATTTGTTGGAATTTTACTTCTTTCGGTGGGTTCTCTTTGACCTCCACCCATAACTTCCTCTTGAGTCATACTTTTTCCTAGTCTTATCGTTGTCTTGTCTTTGATAGAGATGAGAACGTATCAGCGTCTCGTGGCGATTGATAGAGTAGCCACTCGCTATCCTCGTTTCTCCACTGATGTACTCATACTACGACCACTGCGGCCTAATCACTATCAATCTCAAGAATGGCGACTTATCCCCGCCGATCTGTGGATATGTGGGTCGAGTCAGTAATCGATGAACATCTCGATCTTCAGTCCGTCATATTCAGAGTGGGGTAGATCTCACTCTCATCAGGAAGAGTCGGATACGTCGATCCCACCCCAAAGTTCTCAAGAGATCGACTGTTCCATTATTAGACGCCCCGATCGCAAGCCATCGACACCCATCACCGCCTTATCCTATTTCTTTCACACCTTTGTAAGCTGATCAGCTAATAGCTGAGAATGTAGTGGAGAGGGGAACAAAGAAGCTGGTGTCATGATTCGCGATCGGTGTCCGGATGATGACGCAGGGGTACAGGGGGCGGTGATACACTTTTGAGTGAGTTAGATACCCCCTCGTCCCCCATACTTCGGTAGAGTACGAGTACTGTACCACCACGAACGCGTATGAACGCTTGTTTTCCACCCATCTCTTCTATTTCAAGTGTCTCAGGGGAGGAGGAGTATCGAAGCTATTTTGATCATCCATCTTCTAAGAGAGAGGTATGTACAGTGAATCGTATGCTGATCTTGGTAGTCCGCCTCGCGAGCTTTCGGTGACTATCACGAAAGCGACCCGTACCGGATATCACATCCCCGTGCCCATAAACCCCCCGTCCCGATAAGACCTTACCCGCCTTGGCGGGAGAGCTTTGTCGAACACTCCTTCACAGGACAACCACGTCCTACATGGTCTCCCACGTCTCGCTTCTTAGTATGATATCCACTTCTCTCACTCTATACGGAAGTATAATCGACGATGAGTGGGTCATTCTTCATCATTAGGAATGAGACTGTTGGTGAGAGTCAACACCAGTGAAGTACTCTTGCCCCTTTATTGCATCGACTTCGCTCTCTGCTGCTTCCCCTACATCTAGTCCATTTTACTCGTACGACTAGTGTACTTTGTATATATAGATCTAAAGACATGCATCATTTCTCACACCCGAGCGCCGAGCACCGTATATATCCTCGAATTCAAGCTGGCAAGCCGGTCCGCCACTCCGAATGCTCAGTTTCGCAACTTGCAGCCAAATTGCCACACTGCCACATCCTCATCGATTCCTCCAGCTTGCCACGTGGTGACGCGCCTAACTTTCGGGTGGCAAAAAGCAAAAAGCAAAGAAAACCCCAAAGCAGCGCACAGCATCACGAACGTCATCATCATCGCTTTCCACAGTAGTACCACCACATCACAGGCATCTCTCTATACTCAAGCTCCCCTACCCAACTCGCCCCTGTTTTATCATTCCTATCATTCTCCTTACCCTCACAGGCCGTATCGAGAGACGGCAAACGACACTGAAAGGACCCTCAAAATCACGACACACAAAGAAGGGTGGGACATCCTTCAACCCCTCCAGTTCAAATCAACATACATTCCTTCCCTTCTCTCATCGCCACAAACCCACAGCTTACCCCAAGCTCCTTCTGGTTGACATACCCTACCCGCTTTCGTAAACTCACAACCGCTTTAGAAGACAACGGAACACTTTACGCCCTTCTCAATATGGACAAGATCAAATCGAGTCTATCTAAAATGCGTTTCTCTCGATCTACGGCTGGAAACAAATTATCAAAAGCTTTTAGATTTGATAAAAACCTAAACGTTTTGAGACAGAGTGAAATGGGAGATCCATTTACGGATGGACCGGTTTTGGAACAAGTGAGTTGACGTGACCCGAATGTTTCACTCTGAAGATGCTTCGCTTCCTTGCTTCTTCCCCATCGGCGTCTCTTCCATCCCACATCTGGAACATTGTGAGACTTGAGGACGGATCTCTGTAGAAACTTGGGTACTTCAAGTGAGGAGAAAGAGGATATCAGAAGGAAGAAGTCAAAGAGGAGATAGACATGGTGCTGACTATCGAGCCGTCTTTACCTAGGACGCATCTGATATTATATTGTGCCAGTGTTAGTAATCTTTCCTGCTCTGCACTCTTCCATCTCCTCCTACACTCCCAGGCTCTCCGAGGGTGGGATCTAGTACTAACCACTAGCTCTTCCTCACCTTTCTGGCAATATGTACCATGGGCGGAGTGGCAGGCTTCCAAGCCAAATGGTTCAAGATATCAGGAGGAGTGGGGTTCACTCTGTTCATATTGCTCTTGACCTTCCTCATGACTTGCTTCTTACTCCTGACGCCATTGGTATACGATAGGTGCGTCATGTTTCTTCTCTACCTCGTTTTTACCTGATCCCGGTTTTGTAACCCCACTCCTTGTCTGCAATCCTACCTTCATCGGTTTCCCCTTCCACCGGCGTTGATCAGTGTCATTCTGATTGAAATTATTTGCTGAGTCTGGAATTTCACTATAACGCTGCCGTTCCGAAACATAAACCCAACTGACACAGAGATGGGACAAGATGAAACGACCGGCAAAGTTCCTCGCCGAACCTCGATCAACACTGATTCTACATACGTTCGGCACGGGCTTAGTGCTGCTTGCAGCGATGATCACCACTATCAGTGGTGAGTCGCATCTTCACATCTTCCATTCAAAACACAAAACACTGACACCCAGGATGGGGTGATAAGGGTTGCAAAAATGCCGATAACGACCCTCACGCAGGCTTAGGGGATTCGTATAAGAAAGCTTTGCCTCAATGGTGCACTACCAAACGTGCCTCTGCTATATTCGACTGGCACGTTTTTCTTTTCTCCCCTCCCTTTCTCTTATCTCTCGCATGCTCATTCTTTGGTAGCAAATAAAGCTCGTACTCTTGCTTACCCCTCAGGCTCGGCCTTGCAATTTACCTCGCCCTCCTCGTTCTTGCGGGTCTTGCATTCCGACGAGACAGATCATCTACGCGACACCGAGAACCTGCCTTTATACCTCCCTCCGACACATATGGTCCCGGAGTTGGCCCCGCTTCATACTCCTCTGTTAGACCTGAAGATGATCCCTATGCGGACAAACACGAGTTCTCCCAACTTCCTGGCCAACCTCAAACACGACAGATGAGCTACCAACCAACCCCAGTGGATCAAGTACAACAATCGTACAGCGCGCCTATACAGGAGAGCTATGATCCGCCTGTACCTGTTGCTGATTATGGTGGATCAGTGACAAGACCGAGTGTCGATACGTATGGGGGATATGATGGTGATCTTTCTGGAGGAATGGGGCAAAGTCGGACGATGAAAATGGCCTATACCGATCCTTGTTAGTCTGACACCCTCCTCCTCCAGCCACGTTGATCCTTTCCTCTTCATAGGTAGTGTCTATTGTTAACACCAGAAGAAATGAAGGGATGATTCTGACTGACATCCAGACGCTCAAATACGTGCATCCCTCCTCTCTGAACCACCTTCTGGTGGCTACGCTCTACCTCAAGCTCAACCAGGCTACACTTTACCCCAACCACCGACTTACGGCGGATATCGATGATTTTCCCTCCTCGGAACTGACTATCCCCACTTTTCATCTATTCAGGGCGAGGATGTATCATGACATTTGTGACTTTGACGGTGGAGTCCGAGAGAAGGACATTCGAGGATAGGACAAGGGATAGAGATAAGGAGAGAAGACATGATGGGGTGTAGATGTATCTTAGGTTGTGTGGATATGGATCATCAGGAGTATCTTTCTACGTCATTTCGTCGAATCACTTGTCTGTCTTTCTTTATCCACTTTACATGACCAGGTCTGTTACATTTGCTTTGAGTCACTTCATCAAAGATCATCTCACGATCCTTTCTCTAACCACTTTCGACATTCAGGTCTCGGTACTCTACTCGTACTAGAATTCCTACTCACCTCGTCGAATCCTCCATGACCCTTTCTTTCTCCACTTTTAACATTCAGGTTTAGCCCATGCGAAACACGGGCGGGAAGGCCGGGAAGGCGGTCAATCGAACACACTTGAAGTCATTGGCCCGAGATTGGAAGACTGGTCTTTTCACTTTTGCGGGATATACATACGTGCGGGCTCCACCATTGCGGCGCCCTGAGTTTCCCACTCCACCCACCCCACTGTAAGTTATGCGAAAGTGTCAGAGGAGATCTTCGACCCCTTGACAACATCTGAAATTTAGTTCATACAAATTTCCTCTCACTTTCGTTCGACCCAACTTAGAACTGCTAATCACTGTTTTATAAACAACCAAGGGAGAAACTTCTTACATAGTGATACCTACAATGCAGAGTGATCATCCTTCTGGGACCCCAACGGAGTGGAACGAGGTTTACCAGTCATCGCTCTCCAATTCAAGGACCATCAACCAGACTTCGCTAGCCGAAAATCCAAGTTTGGGGAATGTCAAGACAAGCATATCAAGATCTCCGACGTCTGGCGAAGTCACTGGGCCGAGATCCATGTTCACAGTGACACAACAGGGAGACAATATATATCTGGGAAAAGATCGGATCTCTCAATACCTACCCACGCGTGACAAAACATCGGAACAAACACGTGTATCTCTTCCAAGCGTACGCATGACTTTGCAGCTCCATGCGTTGTACGATGTGGAACAACGTCAAAGACGAACGATTTCCATCCGGACACATGTAGGAACTGATAATTTTGGAAGTGAACACTTAGGTTTCATCGTACCTAAACTCTCCGCCCCTCAAACTGACCCCCGCTGAACTAGAAGTAGATCGTAGATAGAGAATGATATCGAAAGGAGAGAGCTCTGATGATGATATGTATACGATATTGACGTAGTCGTGAAATGTTTAATCTCCGCTTGACCTCGTAGTCAAATCTGACATCATCCATGTTTCTTCTGACTAACTCTCGTCCAGAACTTTGCACGTCAACCGCTTGGATTCGTACCCTCCCCATCCCCCTTGGTAGATATATCAACAATGTCTAGAACATCCATCTTCCATCGACACCGCCCCAATTCCTAAAATTCCCAAACATCTAAAACCTCCTCGAGTCCAGACCATAGAAAAGGAACATCGTCACATCTCCCATTCCGCAGATGGAAAAACAAGTCTAGAACCTCGATTTTCCATCGGAATCACCCCCGTTTCCCTCGGGCCTCCACCATTTCGAGTCTCGAACTTTCGAAAGACGAAACACGTAATCCGAGACGAACGGGAGGTACGATAGGGACAGGACTCGGGCGAATCTAAATCTAACCATCCTTTCATTATCTCGGGGAAATACGACCTCTAATCTTTCCGACACTAGACTTCGAAGATAAGTACCTAAAAAGGAAATTTGGCCAGATCGACCGGAATAGGTAAAGTACGTATGTTTCTAGAAAACCATGAACGTGCTGATAGACTAGTTCTAGACTCGATGACGTACCAAAAACTTGGACACACCTTTATCGGATTAGATGAAATGGACGACGTACGTGGTCGTCCTTATCGATGACGGATGGGTGCTTATCATGGTTCATGAGATTTTGAGGTAATGGAAAAGATATAAGAAGTACAGGTCAAGTGAATTCAAGTTAATAAAACCCCAATTCAACAACTCCAAAAATCACTACTTTTTGATCCATCAGTCTAAACAGTATCTATATATCTCTGAAAAGCCTACCATCTTTCATTGATCAAGCAAAATCTTGACTTTCAGTACGGCATGTCAAACTGCACTCGAGCCTCTATCCCAAAGACTCCGGCTGCTGGTAGTGGGCCAAGCAGGGCTCCATCTGTGGCTTCGGCGACTACGCCCGATGCAGCCAGCTCGTCAAACCCTCCGATCAAGCGGGAACTCAGCCCCTCCCCGAGTCTTTCCACACCAGCACCGGCTTCACGTAGTAATAGCAGAGGTATTTTTGAACCCCAAGGACAAGATACACTGACACCAGGGTCTGGAGAAGCTTCCTCGGGAGGGCTTACGCGAACATTGGATTTCTTGGTACCGCCGTTGAAGGATGAACACGGACGCTCACAATCCCCTGGTACTTTTGCAGTTGGCGCAAGCCTTCCCTTACCAAAAAGGTTCACAAAAGAAATTGAGAAACTGGAACAAGCAGGAACAGTGAGACGGGCAACACTCAGTTTTGGGAGGAGAACGGACCTGGATGCTCCCAGCCAGCCTGGTGCAAGTACCCCGAGCTCCAGCAGAACCCGCTGAGCTTCTGCATCACTTAGCTTGCTAGGTTCAACGTCGGGACACTGCATGCTCAGTGTATCCCTTTATTGTCCCCACTAAATACAGCATATAGCCTAAGGAGAGATGAGAAGGAATCATGAATCATGAGAGAGCATGCATTTTTGGAAGGGGAAATCATGCGGCGACTGCACATGTAGCGCACGGATGCAATCTCCCGCCGTAATAAGACATGATGGCAGTCCCCTTCCTCCTTCTTTCCCTCTCCTACGAGAACGCATAGTGAGAGGGAGAGGAAACAGGTTCTGTTGGATACTCTATTGTGGGGTCCGATGAGACAGGATCGTTCTTTCCCCGTCAATACCTGACAGTAGACGACATCTTCGAGAATGATCCGGCCTCGAGATATCGAGACATCCTGTCAGGCTACGCCTTATTAGGGAGCTCGAGACTGCTAGGCAGATCTCGAGTATTGAGCCTGTTAGCGAGGACGTTATGATGCAGGTCCCTTACTGCATTCGTGACACATCCTTCCTCGACGGGCGGACGGCTCGGATCTCCGTCTTCGTTTAGCTAATCCGTAGCCTGTGGACGGCTCTAGACCCTGAGGTTGAAGAATGGTCGAAGATTCAACATTTCAACCCGCGCTTTCAGAGAATAAAGGTGCGCCAGATCTGACCTCCATTGAGCTTAGAGGCAATATTTAAGTCTCCACCCTACCACCCTACCACCCTTCTCACATCTTCCTCCTCTTCCCTCTTCAACAGTGGGTGATTGAGCCATCTCGTTGTCAAGGTACCTCCCACCCATCCAACCATAGACGCCTGTCCAGTCAAAATCACTACTGACACTATATGCAGAACTCACACTGGTCTGGACTTTATGACCCAAATGGAGCAGGCAATAACTGTCTTTTCAACGAGACCGAGGGCGCACAATCTTCTGATTTGTCCCCTTCAGTTCAAGCATACCCAGTACCATATGAGCTCAGTCCTCCTCCACCTTCATACAATACTTTCTCAGTGGGGCCTCAACATATGGAATCTGGAATGAATGCAGAAGTCTGGCCTTTGCCCATTCCACCTCCCCTTTCTCATGGTACATTGCCAGTTGGTGATGGAATCTCAAGTTCCCTCCCCTTCCAAGGTCATGAGGGATTCCAGTTTGGACAGAGTAGATTCCCTGCTTATACTGGCCATCACAGACCTCTTCCACACTCCTTGACATGCCCGCAGCAATTGCTTGGCCCAAGGATAGGACAACCATACACAAATGGCATGATCACGGCAGACAACGGGGAAGGCAGCTCTGTGCAACAATATAATACCCGTCGTGCCCTTCTCTCCACAACAAAACCTGACATAACGGCTAATATCAGGCCTGGACACCTATCTGGGCAGTATCTGCCTCCATTGGAGTCATCAAGTGCTACAAAAGAACAACAAGCACAAAGATATGGCTTAGCCCCCAATCCAGTGTCCCTTCCAGATCCCCACATAGAAGACACAGGTGAAGTACAAAGAGTCCCACCCCTCTCAAAGGAAACCCCCACACCTCCTAATGAGTTGCCCTCCAAACAGAACACAGATTGGAATGTGCTTCCAAGATTCAAGTTAACGGATGACTGGTCTATCCCTTGGTACCCCCCCTTATTCAGCCTTAGTCTTGAAGTCAGCAGTGCTTCTGGTACAGCTAGCTTTACTTTTGGCACAGCAAGCAACAGGGTAAATCTGACCAGACACTCTGGTGTAATGAATTTTGCCCAGTCTTCCTCAATGGTGTTACTGCAAACAGAGGCACAAGAGATCATCCATCACCACCTCATAATTAGTGCTGACAGTTCATGGAAGGAAGGCACAGGATATGAGACAGACAATCTCATTGAGGATGTGATAAGTACAGTCCATGCCCTTGTGCTTGATTCAGCTCAAAAGAATACAGAGTTGTCATGCTGGACATTACATGTCTTATTATTCAAGCTGGCAGGGACAGGTCACCATCAGAACATAAGTTTAAGGTCAAGAATGACTGAATTGGCAAGAAGATGGCTGAATTTTCCCCCAGAAGCAACACACCCACCGGTGGAAGCTGCCCCAGTGGCCAGCTCCTCTGAAGCGGTTACAAGCCATGTCTGGCCACTTTCCAGATCCGGCTCCACTATGAAAAAAGACACCAAGACACCTCGCAAAAGGAGTTACCCTTTCCCAGAGCGGCCATTCACCGTAGATGATCCTCCTCCTGCGCTTGATCCCTCACAACCCTTTGTTGTTGTTGACGAGAGTGGCTGGACAGTGAGAAGTGATTCAGCTCTTAAAGCAATGACTTTTCACAGTGGGACCAGTCTCACATTTGGTGGGACCAGTCTCACATTTGGCACACCTCATCATCAAGTAGTGTTTAAGGCTTCAGTGGGAACCACAAGCATTAAGAACGCAATGCAAATGTGCTCAAATTGGCTGGAGCATGTGAATTGTACTGATTCAAAGACTGTAGCCTTGATTTGTTATAATAACGCCAATCGTCTACTGGGTCTCCAGCGGAAAGAAATGGTGAAACATACGGTGGAGCGCATGGGATTCCTCTTGGCCTGTCAGCCACAGATCACTATGGTCACACTCAAGACTAGACTGACACAGGAAGGACAAGAGCTGGTAGGGCAACAAGACACATGGGAACTCCGGCGTAACCACTGCCTGTACCCCAAGCATGTGGACATGTCTGAGCAATCTGCTTGAAGCTTTTGTTGACTATCATTTGTGAGATATTAGGATGTTGTCATAACCCTTGAATATCTGTAAATACCATGTGTATATCATCCACTCAAGTCCAGTCAACTTTACTCAAATCGTCTCAACTCGTTCCATTGTACAACATGTGGATCACCATTCAACCTTAATCACCCTCCCATCACTGAGTCAACCTGACTCAACATTGTATACATCAATCACGTCATCTGTTGTCATCTATTGTCATCTGTTGTCATCTATTGTCATCTGTTGTCATCTGTTGTCATCTTGTCACGAACTACGTCGTGACACCTCCATTATTCCACCAACAAGGACCCTCCTTTGACCATCAAGCCCCCCATCACGCCTTAACCTTTTTACTCTACACATAACTCAGGACATCTGAGACCAAGTACGGCGAAGTTAGACGGAGTTAGGCTAGGTAGGGACAATGGGAGCAGAAGTACGGCGAAGTTAGACGGAGTTAGGCTAAGTAGGGACAATGGGAGCAGAAGTACGGCGACGTTAGGCGGAGTTAGTCGGAGGAGGAAGAGGATGGCCGGGGACTCGGGGAAGTTGGACGAAGTGCGTTGAAGTACGTCAAAGCGCGAGAGGGTTGGATGAACGTCTAGGAGGAATAGATAATATTAGCTGAGAAGATCGCTGAAGAACTTCAGTGATCCTTGATTGTTGTCAGTAGTGAAAGACAGATAGAGATAGCTATTTACAAATCGAGATACATCGCCATCAGTAGAACAAACCCCCAGTTAGAGTAACTACGCCGAAGTACGCCGTAGTTACATTCCTTTTGACGTCTGCACCCTCCCGGTTGTGTGATACTGTCACGGACGGGGTCTAATCCCCAAGGGGTAGGCAAGGTGACTGGAATGGGGCTGTAACCCAATACTTGTCTCGGGCTCGTAGAGCTGAGGAGTATACAGAGGGTGACAAGGGACTGAGGGGACTGAGGGGACTGCAAGATGTCAGGCTGGGACTGACTGGATTGACACAAGATCCATATAGGTGGGGAACAACCAGTCTGGAGGGGGTATTTATCCCCATCAAGAGGGTTGCTCAACATGTCTACGGAATAAACTAGAAAGCGCAAACGTGGGAAAGATTGCTGAGCAAGCAGACTGAATTACTATTTTGGGAAAGTGGAGGCAGGCACTGAATGTTCCGGACTATGGATGATTGCTCAGCAATCAACCAGAGTTACTACTTTGGGAAGGTGGAGGCAGGCACAGAAAGTTCCAGAGTGTGGAGGCTTGATAAGCAAGTGGAGGTAAAGGTGGAGGCAAGGGTGGAAGGTTCCAGCATGTGGAGGTGGAGGTGGAGGTATTCAGGGGTATGTGTGTCAAGTGTCTGATTGCGCAAAAGCACTTTGACAAGTGGCAGATAGGTCATGTATGACAGAGACATCGACTTAGAAGTGCCAAGTTAGCCGAGGTCCGTCAACCGTCGGTCTGTTAGAAAGTAGTTGTACGTCGGGCGTGACACATCTGTTGTCATCTGTTGTCATCTGTCGTTATCCCAAGCTCCAGCCGACATGTACCAGGTTCCGTGTCCTCATTTCCGCTCAGACCGGACGAACTGATAAGTGAGGGTACCTCGGGAGCAATATTAGCTGGATGGCCGGTTGGCACCTATTTCTGTATATGAACCCGATCCAATCAACAAACAACAGAATCATCAATGAATGATAAATAGCCATCAATTCCTTGATTACTAACTAGTGTCCCAACCCGTGAAATTCACGGGAGCAACTGTAGATGGTTAGATGAATGAATTTAGTGTATGCCCCATTTCCCTACTTAAAACCATGCAGATCAAATTTCTCCGAGTCCATGCATAGCATACACCCCAGTTCCCCCCCACCCAGAAACAACAATTCATCCCTCTCCACCCCAGTTCCCCACATGTGGGAGGCTACTTACACTATATACACTACATACTATAAGTCTAAGCCAAACTGCAAAGCTATACACTTTACATATTAAGCAGCTCTGGCTGCCAAGAGCACATCCCTATACACAATACTCTTCGTCTCACCTCTTCTCCCCTCCTCTGAATCCTCCAGCAAAACCTTGAGACTGTTCTTGAAGCGTGCACGAGAGAGATCAACATACAGCTGACCATGGGTAAATACCGGCTTTGAGAGACATAAGCCAACTGTTGCAAGAGATTGCCCTTGCGCCTTGTTGATTGTGAGAGCAAGACCTACTCATATGGGAAATTGACTATGACGCAAGGTGAAAGGTAAGTTGGATGATTCTGCTGTGTCGAGTTTGATACGCGGGATGAAACACTTATTTGAATGGAAGTCACTGCCAAGAATGCACCCCTCAATAACATTTGGTAGGAGACGTGTCACATACAGTCGGGTCCAAAAAGTCATGCGTCCACTGCCACATTCCGCTGCCACACTCATGCACCCCACCACTATCAAAAGGCCATAGAACAAACAACACAACATTTGGGGCTCTGATACTCCGTCTAGACGTTCTCCTGCATGTCAAGAATGGTAGGACACCCAATTTCCCCCTCAAAAAGGGCTACCATTGCCGAAGCGGTCACTTGCTCCACTTCTAAGTCTGTTACCCAGCGATTTGGATGCCATCCCTCTGCAGTCAATCGCCTTCGCAAACGTCGCTTGGAATTGGGTCACAGCAAGACTAAACCTCGCTCTGGACATCCCAAAACGCTATCCTCATGTGAGGAGTTTTGAGTAAAACACGCTTTCCTCAAGAATCATCGACACAGCTTGCGCCAGATTCTCTCCTCCCTCCAAAAAGACGGCATTGATATCTCCCTCAACTCCCTTCGATCCACCATGAAGTGTCTTGGTCTCAAACATCGTGAAGCTTGAGTAAAACCTATTCTCACTGCTCAGCATTGAAAAGACCGGCTTGCATGGGCTGCAAAATATAAGGACTTTGACAATTGGCCCTTGGTTATCTTTATGGATGAAGCTAAGATGTGAATTGGCGGATCAACAGTGGAATGGGAAACCCGTGCAGACGGAGACGCTTTCAATCCTGCTTGTGTGATACCAGCAGTAAAGAAGGGAGAAGGAGTAATGGTATGGGCAGCTATCTGGCTTGGAGGATGGACGGAATTGGTTCAATTTGATCTCTCTGTGAGTAAAGGAAAGAGGAAGGGAGTTACAGGAGCAATATACTTGGAGCAGATTGTAAAGAAGCCTCTTTTGGAAGAGTGGAAGAAGGTAGTACAGTTATGGAGAGGATATGGGACCCCTTACATCCTACAGGACAATGTACCTGTAACGGTACTGGAAACACGATGACTAAGTCGCAGGTTGGGTCAAACTCGATGGAACTCTTGTAGAAGTCTATGTATCTCTGGTGCTAAATGGTGGATCGTGTCTCCTCTGCAATCAATGTAGCCAAAGAATGATATTGAAGAATCAGCAAAGTTGGTACTTTGCTGATTGTACTATATACTGTCTACAGGTATCCGTGTCTTACTCCCCGTCCTACTGCAAGCGTCTATGTACATACTTGGACGGGTGAAACACCGCTTTTGAGCAAACCCAGTGGGGAAATCTCAAAAAAGGGAAAACCCGTCCCTACCTCCTGCAGCACTGCCTCCAACTCCCGCCGTTCTCTTTCCTAATCCGTCGAGTTTGATGGAGTTCTCTCAATTCGTTGTCACCCCGTAACAAGTTTCCCCCCCTGTCTCAAGGATCCTCGCCGAGGATCCTCCCTCCTGTAACCAGGCGATTCACATGGATTGCTCTGAGACACCTTTGGTGCGCCCTGACGTCACACCTACACTAGTGTGACCAGTTGCCATGAAACGTGTCACCCGCACGGACCTCCAATGTGATCAAGAAATTACTGACCAAGTCTCTTTCCCGTCTCCCTCTCTTCTTTCCCTCTCCTCATTCCATCTTTTCATCGTGTTCGTTGTTCTTTATTACTTATCTATCTATCATCATCCATGTCACGAACCACGTCGTAACATCCCTGACAACCACCATCACCGACCATCCTTTCACCATCACCGACCACCACCCGAACCACTGAGACCGACTTCGGCAAAGATACGAGCTCCTAGAGTGTCACGACTCTACTGAGCGTGACCCGAGTTCACGTGATTTCAACACATTCCAACTGAATTCATGCGACTTCAATATGAATTCCAATGAGTTCATATCAGTACATGTGAAATCACCATGATATCATACGAGTTCATCACGATAACGGATGAGTTCACCATGATACTGCATGAGTTCACCATGATACCATATGAGTTCACCATGAATACACCTGAACCCATATGGGTTCAGTCAGAAATCACCTGAATATCGTGTGAAATCGTCATGAACTCACCAGAGTTCATACAAGACCGCGTGGATTCACCTGATTCCGGGATGAATCCACATGATATCAGTGTGAATTCACATGATATCAACCCGGATAATTCTGAATTCATACGACGAGTTTGCGCATCACAAATCCCTCAGAAAAGGATATAAGGAGGCCATTTGTAGTTTGTATCTTTCCTTTTCTCAAGGATCAAAATATTATTTGCCACTCGCAAAAGACCTCTTCTTGACATACTACTTACATCGACACATTCCTCATCATCATTACCCCTGTCCACACCATCACACACGCCCTTATTGTCATCTCGACCTGCCCGGATCCTTCGCAAGTCACTTTAGTCGTCCGACCACATCACAAGTCTACAGACAGCATACTAACCGTCGTTGTCCAAGCTAATTAAACAGTTGCAGTCCACCTGTCTTTGATCCATCGAGGTCTGTCAAGGACAGGACCGTGACATAGAGGGTATTTGTCACGATAACCCCAACTAGCGGAGAACTACGGCGAAGTTAGAGGAAGGGAACCGAGGGAGAGCAGAGCAGGGGAAGTTAGGCAAAGTTAGTCGAAGTGAGCAGAGTAGGATATCGGGGATCTGGCAAGGTACAGCAAAGTTGAACGAAGAGGACTGAGCGCGAGGCTATGCAGGAGTTGAGGGACGTTCTATGAAAAGAGAGGAGAAGTATAGATAGTTTACAGATCGCTGAACTTCTTCAGCAATCCTTGATCGTTGTCAGGAGCAAGAGATATATTCAGTAGCTACAACCATCGAGTTAGGGAGAGCTACCACCGAGCAGTTCGACACACCACTGCAAAGTTAGCCGCAGTCCATCGACGATCATCTTATCATTTCACCACTTGACGCATAACTACGGCAAAGTTAGCTGTAGTTCCCCGACGAGTACCCTGTCCTAGTGAGACACCAACGCGCCACTACGACGTAGTTAGCCGAGGTTTGTCGACCGTCGGTCAGTAGAGAAGAAGAAACGATGATTGTGACAATACCCCATCAACAAAAAACCTCCTTTGACCATCAAGCCCCCTATCACACCTCAACCTCTTCACTCTACACGTAACTCAGGACATCTGAGACCAACTACGACAAAGTTACGAGAACCTAGGGATTATTGGTCACGACAACCCCGCCTGGCGGAGAACTAAGGCAAAGTTAGGGGAAGGATACCGAGGGATACGGAGTAGGGTGGAGGAAGTGAGACCGAGTACGGCGAAGTTGAACAAAGAGGACTGAACTTGAGACTGTGCAAGAGTTGAGGGACGTTCTATGAGAGGAGAGGAGAGGTATAGATAGTCGACAGATTGCTGAACTTCTTCAGCAATCCTTGATTGTTGTCAGTAGCAAGAGATATATTCAGTAGCTACCACCTTCGAGTTAAGGAGAGCTACCACTCAGCAGTTTGACGCACCACGGCAAAGTTAGCCGCAGTTCATCAACGATCATCTCATTGTTTACTGTCACGCCTGCGGGTAAACTGTGGTAGCAAAGGACTGCCTTGGGAACTCAGAAGTTTAGTCTCTGGCTCGTGGACCTTGGTGACTGCACTGGATACTGAGGGTTGAAGAGGTTGGGTTAGAACCAACTGAGTGACTTATCAAACAAGGGGAAGGGTGTCACGAGGACCAACTAACCAGCATTGGCTCGATATAACAGTGCCCAACGGAACAGTGATCTTAACCACTGCGACAAAAAGGCCTATTAATTGGCGACCTTACCACCAATTGCTGGTTAAATGCCCTTCCCTGACTTTTGCTCGACTTGTCACACGCTTTGTGACATTGGGAATTGAGAAGATACATTACTGAAGAAGAAAACTACAGCACTAGATAGGGTTTAAATACCAAAATTAGCCTTTTCCAAGAGGCTCGTGCAGACCTGCAGAATACAAGCGCTCTGAACTGTCCTGCACTGTCCTGCATGCATTGCCATGCATCCCACCAATTACCACTGATATCCTATGATGCCATATCTGTGTTTACCTACGTCCTTCTATGATATCCTACGTGATGCACCGTGAGTCAATGACTTTGTCGAAGGTGGTCAATGAGGAACTATGAGGAATTATGCAAAACATAGAAGAGCTGCGAGAACAAGAGACTGAGAGATTATGCCTTGCAAGGCATCAGAACAGAGGAAAAAGAAACTAGAGAAGTACTTGGAGCTTATGCCTGTCAGGCATGAGAGCACAGGAAAGATACTCTTGGGGTTGATGCCTGATAGGCTTGATGCCTGATAGGCTTGATGCCTGATACACTTGAGAGCAGAGGAAGATATGAGAGTAGAGGTTTGAACTTGTGATTATGACAAGTCATTATTTGATAGTGTCATTCATGACATTTACCACTTAATGTACCACCACGGCGTAGTTAGCTGAAGTTCCCCGACGAGTACCCTGTCTCAGTGAGACCTCGACGCCCCAAGACGACGTAGTTAGCCGAGGTTTGTGGACCGTCGGTCAGTAGAGAAGAAGAACCAACGTTTATGTTAAGACCTGTCCCCAGCGAAAGGTTGTCCGGATGTGGAGAAAGGGTGAACAGCAGAAGTTTACAGCAAGCTTGGTCTACGACTGGCGGGAGTAGACCGTAGTGCTGGTGCAAAGGTCGACAGAAGATGTATCGAGTAGGAAGGAGGTAATAAATATAGATCAAGTATAAGAGTGTCTAGTAGTTGGAACTATATAGAAAGGAAGGTGGGACTTCGGAGTGAAGACCCAAAGTCAGGTTTGATGATAGATGGAGTGCCACCCATACGATGATCTTGCACTGTCTATGCACAAGGATGACTTTGGGGAGAGCGGAGAGGTAATGAGGAAAAGTGAGGTGTTTTAAGATAGTTTTCGTCGTTAAAGTAGATACCCATTCCGCCGCCTTTATATACCTTTCAGAATTACACGTTTTCACACTGATTTCCACAATCCACAATGTGGCGTGTGGAGTCACATGACTTGCACAATTCCACAATGAGGTGTGTGGAGTCACATGACTAGCACAATTCCACAATGAGGGGTGTGGGGTCACATGACTTGTTGTGTTGAGGTGTTATGACCTGGTCATAACAGTTTATGACATTGAGATGCAATGAGATAATGAGGTTAGAGGGGAAAAGGAGAGACAAGACAAGAATGAGTCAATGAGTTGACTCATTGAAAAGCTCATTCTGAATCCCTCTGAACGGTATAAGAGGAGCACATATCTACTTTGTCGTTTTTGTTTTTTCAAGGATCAAAATATGATTTGCCACTTCACAAAGATCTCTCTTCTTGACATATACTCATCTTTAAGACGCCTTCCATCAACAAAACCCCTGTCCACGTCATATCACACACTCTTGTTGTCATCTCAACTTGCTCGGATCCTTAGCAAGTCACTTTGGCCGTCCAACCACATCACAAGTTCACAAACAATATACTAACTGTCATTGTTCAAGCTAACTAAACAGTTGCAGTCCACCTGACTTTGATCTTCAGGGATCTGTCAAGGACAGGACCGTGACACCATCGGAGATCGTTATACTCCTCATTGGGGATTGTATGGCTGAAGTGTTGGTCTTTGAGCCATTGCTCAAAGCCAGACTCAAATTCGGGGCTGAAGAGTGACTGGACGAGAGGGCATTGTTGTAGTTTGAATCAAGTGGGATTGTACAGATGTGTGATGACTTGTACACAGGAATTGTTGTTGATGTGTCGGAAGTTCTTGGTGTTCAGGGAAAAAGTTACAAGTGGCATCCCTGCATGCATCTTCAGAGGTGTACAGATACAGGGGTCGTTCCCCTCTGAAGAGTCACATCTTCAGTATGACACGATATGCCCCGTGCGCCTTCGAAGGGTCACATCTTCCGTGCAGCACCTAACATACCCAATACGGAACATCTTCAATCAGTCAGCAAGGTGAATGCAGTGCTCCCTGTCAGTAAGGAGGCTGGTATGCCTAGTCCTGCCATCCCACTGGCAAGGGCAGGAGAAACCCGGATTGCGGGTGGATCGCAGGTGCCGGCGGTGAGCTCACATCTGAAGCGTCCATGAGAGAACTTGGGGAACAAGTAATCTTGATAGAAGATATGCACATTCAAACGAGAAAACTGTCCCCCTATCTGATACATGCTGCCCAGCAGGTCTCACATGTTCATGCTATGGCTTCTGAAAGAACTTCGGAGGCGTAGTAACCAGGTAGGGAGTCACCGTCACTAACCGTCCTGGAACGCCCAGATAACAATTACACTTGGGACAGATGATCTTGTTTTGGGTACTTGTTTTCATATAAAGCTCATCAGAAACGTATCACTAAGAAGACCTCCAATCAAATGGCAGAGCTTCTGCACGGAGTACCCCGTCTTGCGTGCCTGCTGGTCACATCATTGAACGTGTGTCTCAAAGACCGTATCCGTGCGTTTTCGATAATCTGTGTCTAGCGCCACTTTTCCGACTTACAACCCGCACTTTCATAGGATAAAGGTGTGTCATATTTGACCTCCATTGACCTGAAGAAGCATGTATTGAATCTCCACCCTGCCACCCTTCCCACTTATTAGAAGTTATTCCAGGCAGCTCTCCACATCTTCTTCCCCTTTTCACTTCTTCAAGACGTGATTGAGACATCAAGTCTTTAGGGTTTTCTTGATACAACTTCCGTTATACTGTTGCTCGACATGATGCATCATCAACTCGCCATGCAGAACTCGAATGGGTTTTGGGACCAGTACTATACGGACGACAGACGTACAGACGAGGATGGCTACTATAATCAAGGAACAGGATCTTTTCCACATCAGATGACAGGGGGCGGACCTTCAACTGGGAACAATTCAGGTCCGGCAGGATCAGGCCAAAATGGACTCCTTGAGCCCTTTACCTCCTTCCGTCCCCTGGCACATGTTCAGCAAATGGACAACACATGACTTCCAGAGCACAGGCATGATACCATTTCCTTTTGGGCCTGGGTCTTTGTCAGCACCCTATGATCTGGTGAATGGTATAACCCCATTTGTTGATGCAGTCTCATCTTCTGCGCCCTTTCTACCTCCCATGGGGTTCGAGATGCAACAAGACCATTTCCCCGTATATTCCCAAACGCCAAATACTCTGCCCCACCCCTTGAGATCTGACCTCTCAGAGATTCGATATACTCAGGAGGGGGAACACCTGTCCTCAAGCTTAGCAACCCCCAGGCCAGCAGAAGGGTTCTCTTACCATCCCAATACCGTCTATCACACTTCTTTGACCGTAGGACACTCCGGGGCGCCACCCATGCCGGTACACGGATATCCGTCCCCTCTGAGCTCATCGATTCCAGCTCGGGGGGGAGCTGCTCGTCATACGCGACAGACGCGAGAATACAACCCTTACCCAAAATTGGGTTCTCTTTCGGGTTATAAAGCAGCTGGAGGAGGTGTAGTAGAACCACTATTATTACCCCCTACAGAAAGGCCAATCCCGCTTCATGAACTACGGTACAGGCAAGCTCCGGAATGGGACATGCTTCCTAAATTCAACTTGACTGAGGATGGGTGGTATATCCCTGGACATTCTCTCTTACTAGGTCTTTCTCTTATGGCCGACAGCACTTCTGAAGTGGGGAACCTCACTTTTGGCTTAGGAAGTAGCAGGGTGTACCTGGCAAGTGACTCCAGTATGGGGGTGTCAAAGCCACATGCCTTAGAGACAAATCTACATGAAAAGGCTCGGACTATCATTCGACAACACCTGCAAATCAGTGCCCCAGTTTCAAGGGACAATGTTGGACAAAACAGAATGGAATCACTGATTGGGATGGTGACAACTGCGGTCCAAACCCTTCTTCGCACTTGTTCTACAGATACAATTCTACCTGAAAAGGTCCTAGAAATCTTGTTGTTCACTTTGGCAGGGACAGGTCACAACAAGAATATAACTTTGAAGTCGACCATGACTGCATCAGCAAGAGAATGGCTGAACGGGCACCTGGACTCCACACAGCTACCAGTGCAAACTGCTAGAGAGGAGTTCAGTGACAATGTACAAAGACATATTTCCCCAGAAGCAAGTACAAGTAGCTGTCCACCACCTCTGATACCTCACAAAGGTAATTGTGGATCCTCAAGGCGAAACCCAACAGGTGATCAGCCCCAACAACGTGGGCTAGGCCGCGCCGCTCTGGTGGATAGGCGCTTCACAAAGGAGGATCAACCTCCACTTCCTGATCCCACTCGTCCAACCGCCATTGTTGATGAGAGCGGCTGGACACTAAGCCAAGATCCATTTATCTTAAGGATGGACTTTTGTTTTGGAGAGAGACTCTCCTTTGTTGAGAGTTCCCATGAGGTGCTTTTTCAAAATCAGACAGCAAACGCAAGCATTGAACGTGCCATGTCAGTGTCTTGGAATTGGCTTAAACATGTCAATTGTGAGAATCCGAACACAGTGGCCCTGGTTTGTTATTGTACAGCAACTCGTCTGCTTGGCCCAAAAGGAAAACACCATGTTCGCAATACAGTTGAGCGCATGGGATTTCTCCTGGCTTGTCAGCCCGATATCTCCTTGGTTACGCTCAAGCACCGGCTGACTCCAGAAGGAGAGCGATTGAGGGGAAGACAAGACACATGGAATCTATCTGCAAAGCATTTCTTGTCCCCCAAGTATGTGCGCCCATCTAATCGGTCTGATTCACGGGCTACCCTTGTCAAAGTGTGAGAGACTAGGACATCATTTTGAGATTAGTGAACAGGAATCATACTGTAGACCAAATGAAGTTGAAATGCCTTGTATCACAAGTAAGTGTTGGGGACACCGCCGGAGACGGACAGCTCCGGAGCTGCATGGACTCCATCGTTCCCAGCCAGAGATGTTCCACTCCGGAGTGGTCTGAGTCCTTTGACAGACCCAGCTGGAGAATCATCATCATATGAGATGAGGAGGAGCATGTCCTACAATACATAGCGTTTAGGAAACATATGATCTAAACTCCCTTACATGTGAGCAGTAATTCTGCATGAATTTCTCTTCCACTTTGACCCAAATAAGCTTTGTTCCTCAACACCAATACTTCTTGCCTCTTGGGCCAATATCTTGAGATGATTGTGCAAAATTTGAAGCCACTGTTGCGGTAGTTATAAACTTTCAGAGCTTACTAACATAGACTATCGATGACAAGAGGTGTCATCTAGGTTTACTAAAAAGATATCATATTTCTGCATGACTAGGATCAGAATCTCTGGCTGGGTCCAGACACCTCTGGAGGTGCATGGTTCTCTGGCTGGGTCCAGAGGGGGTGTTTTGAACCATGCAGCTCCGGAGGTGCACGTCTCCGGCGGTGTCCCTAACATAAGTAAGCTGTACCATGACATCCTCTGTGAAGAGCTTGATACTCTACATCTGCTTGGCAGATTGTTACTCGTTTATAAGGGTGTCAGTCCCTGACATTTTGAAATTGGCACACCACACTGATCTGCCATTTCATTCCTAGTTGAAAGGTGAATGACCATGTTGTTAGCCAGTAGGATCGGGCCGCAGTGATCGAACCGCCGTCAGTGATATTTCCCCTTCCATCACTTCTACCCTTCGTCTTGCTGCGTATGAGTGGATCTGATAAGTATCGAGACATGTATAAGTAATGCATGCTCTTTTCCAATACTCTCTTCCTCTTCCTTCCCTTCTTCCCTCTTTCATAGCCACGATGAGAAGCATATATCTCTAGAACCCACGCCTCCTTTCTACCCCTCGATTAGTTCCTCCGTGGGCACCCTATCCTACATTGGTTATAAACGTCTGACAAGTGTGTTCTACTCTTACTTCTCTTGATTCCTACATTGAACAATTAAACGAAACCACCTTCCCTGGGGATCTGTGTATCCTTTGGTAGTTCGACTTTGGATGATGAACCTCACAAACTATTCAGTATCCTACACGAGGCGCTCGGTTGATATCGCTCCATCTAATGTTCAAAATCCAAGGATGACAGTGACATGTCCTGCTGATACTGCTAGTCCTACTATTTTGATTCGAGACGATCCATCAGGTAACAAATTTTCAGAGGAAGAAACTCTTACCCTCACCTATTCTTCTCCCGCTCGGTCAATCTCTGTACTCGAAGACTATCGAGACTCAGAACGTTATCATACTCTTCTTCTATCCCGCTTATCATTGATAGTTGAACCACATGGCATGACGTTCGGAACAACTGATATCAGGGTACGAATGGTCCGACTTGGATCATATACTCAACATGAGTAAGAATTACTTTGAGGATGGCGTACTGATCTAAGAAATCACTTTGTATGTGATCATATAGGGATATTCTCACATCTATTTTATGCTGCATACACCACAACGAAAGGGTTTCTTCTCAGACTAGAAGCATTGCACCAAAACAGACATGATGAGCAACAGGGTGTTGAGGAAGATATCTTATCGAACCACTTGTCAAGATTGATCACGAAGAAGACGAGGATGTTCTTACATGGGAATAATGAGGTTTTTCCAGACTCTCTCATTCCTGATATAATTTCCGTCATCCTTCATAGTATGGCTGAGGATCCTTCTATAAGAAGTATCAGGATAAACCGGATTTTGGAAGAGATGGATAGTGGAAGTTTATGATACATCTTGTGAAATGTTTTTGAATCCCTACCATCCTCCCTGTAGAGCTAGTGTGTGTATCACTTGTCGAGAGAATCTAAGTATTGGTGTGAAATCTGCTTGATCGGCCGTGTACAGTACGCACGGAAATGTTCTCTCGGGTCAATCACCATCTCTACCTCTTCATGTGAACCTGATAACCCTTCGAAAAGCAATTGTCATGATCAGAAGAGGATTCTCTAACAAGTTCTAGATTTTTATCATAGGAAATCCTGGTGGGAAAGGGAAAAGAAGCAACCAACCAATCCTACCGAAAATCGAGTTCTCCTCCCCGGAGGCCCGAACGTCGAACGTCGAACAAAGGATCACGATTTCCAACTCCGATTACCCTTTTTGGGGTGGTGGAACTTGGTCTAATCTATCCTTTCAAACAGGTTTCAAACATAAACAACATCTTTCACATATTATACTTGCCACTCTTTTTCCTTAACAGAATATTCGCATTTTACCAATGAGCAGGACAGTAGCTTCATTACCCGATGGAAACGGTATATCTTTGTTTCCTGACGACGGACGGGACCCTCACAGACTCTCTGTTTCAGATGGACCGTTCCATCCAGAGTATCTTGCACATCCTCAATCGAGTCTAGTTCCTCAGGTTCAAAATTCAGGTGGGTACAATCCCTATCCCTCAGTCAGACATTATTTGCACACTCTTTTTGCGCTGCAACAGGGAGCCGGACAAGGATTTCCATATGGGTCATTTGAAGCATGTCATCGAGGACTTCTCGACGCTCACATAAACCTTACCAGAACTGGAAGCTTGAATCCGTCTGATGAAGGAAGGGTACGAGAAGGAACAAGGAATTCTTCTTTTCATCCTTCTCATCAAACTCACCAACCTTCGTTCCCCAGTTCACAACCACGTCCAAATCGTCTTGATGCTTTTGATGCTCGTAGTCTGATTCAGACATCGGATGTGGTACGATATTCCCAACCCATGAACGAACTCAACGGAGCAGGATCCATAATACGACCAACCTTTTCCTCCCTTCAACATCAATATACAAATTCTCTACGACCCCAATCTCTCTATGGGCCTATCGTAAATTCCTTCAACACCACCTCGGTAACACCCTCAACCACCCAAGCAGCTAGGACATACTATCCCTACGGTTCACAGTATTTCAACAACCAATCTGGTGTTGAAACGATTGAAAGACTTTTCACGCCAAATGACCCAGCTCCACCTCCGGACTCATCCTATATCATCATTTCAGCAGATAGTAACAACTGGCTTCTTCCTATCTATCGTCCCATCGATAAAATGAACTTCTTCACCCGGGGCAAAGAACTCTTCTTTGGAGATAAACATCATTGGGTAAAACTTAACACAAACCCAGACAAACCAACAGGACAGGGAGAAGCTGTCATCGCTGATTTCACTCTAAGATGGTCTCTTACTGTTAAATCTGAATTCACACAACTCGCAATAATCACTGGGATTCTATATGATGCTGCTACTCGTCTTTCGGGTGAACCACGTGCTCCACAAACCAAAGACATCTTAAGTCATATGGCTTTTAGAGTGACTTATCAACAAACTATTTTCAATGTGGTACCTATTCACAGCTTGACCGATCATGGTAGGTCACTTTTGGGACAGGGACAGATAGAGATGGGAGGGATGGATACTCAACATGTGTCTCGAGGAGATTGGAGATATTAAACATTGTTTTGATCCGATAATGAAATGACAACTCGACGATTTTGCATGAAGTCGGATGTTGGAATTTTTGAATCGGGTTATACATGTTGCAGGAGTATGGTGAAGTGTGAAAGTCAACTCCGTCATGAGATACAAGTATGCATGTAAGAATTAAAACTGATCAAAAATCGTCCAAACCTATATCAAGCATGACCTTTGGTATTTGTCCCTTCTTCGGTATCGGTACAGTCGGTATGGTGATAGGGATCGGTGATGGTCTTTCTTGAGAACCTGGTTGACTTGAGGCTAATTTAAACGCAGGAGAATCTGTCCGAGCAGCTCTGTCTCGATCAGCTATCATGACTCTGCTTAGCTATCGTGATGAAAGACGCAAAAAAATTGGACGAGCTCTCATGCGAGGGTGATGTACGACATATACTCTTCCCCTTCATAATCCTGAACAGGGCCGCGAGGAGGAGAAAGTGTGTTGAACATACGACTGAGGAGTGAGATGGTGAGAGAGGCGAGGTCAAACGCAGAAGAAAACCCCTCACCTAGCTTTCGTAGCCTCTTCCGCTCTTCTCCTCGCTCTCTCCGCTTCTTGTTGTTTCAAAGTAGCCTCCTTCGCTCTCTTCCGATTATGTTCATTGATCTTTTGAATCTTTGCGTCATATTCACCTAAATCGTCCGTCGCATCTACCAAAGTGCCTGTTTCGGGATCTCCGCCCATACTGATGATCTGAGCATTGAGACGTTCGACAGTGGGTAAGTCGTTTCGTCGCAAAGCAAGATTACGTGAAGAGATGAGGTTCGAGATTTCTATTTGAAGAGTGGAACGTTGAGATGAAGGGTTGGCAGCACGACGAGCTGCCACTTGACGGGAAATTTCGTCCTGTCCATGAGCCCGCTTGATCAGAGTATCATGTGAGAGAAGAAGAAGAGAAAAGATGACATACATTTGTCATTGGTCTCCGATGCATAGCCTTGATGTCCTCGTGTTTCTTCAACAACTCTGATCTCTTGGGAGGGGCCACTCTGTCGGCATGGTTGGTGGACATGAACCTTGAGAATTCGCCCTGAATCATCAACTTTTCGTGCCCAGATCAAAGAGATGCCGAAGGAAGCTTACATCGTCGATATCTCCATTCGACACGTCGGCTATCCTGAACACACGTTGGACCCTGCCGTACTGACACAAAAGTCCACGGTCTTCCTTGATCTCACGGCCTTTGTATTCAATTTTATACGAGCCGAAGCCAGGGTTTGTCTCCAGGTCTGATGTTAGGCCACAGCCGTCATGAACGACTGACAAGAGACCACAAGTGGGAGACAGATGCACGCCAAAGAGTAAAGACTTACTGATGACTTTATGTACTCTGTATTTCTGTCTACCGGTGGGGTCAGGATCAGGGGCGGGTATTCTGACGTAAGACCCTACATATCAGCGTGACTGAACGATAGTAGAGTTGATTTACAAAATCAGAATAATGAGACCGACGCCAGCTCACCCTTCAGTAACTCATCGAAGCCATCTTTATACAACATGTCGACTATCTCGTATCGGCTCAAACGGGCACTGTTCAGTTCCCTATGATCTGGAGGTACGCCGTCGAGATCTGCTGCCTTGGGAGCCTTGATGGGTTTTTTCTTCTCCGGACTTCGACGAGGAGAGGGAGAACGCCAGGTGTCTCGGAAGGAGATTTGACCTTCTTCAGAGTCGGTAGCCGGTTCGGAGTTGGATCCATGAAGCCCGCGTTCGGCAGCCTGACGATCAACCTTTGACACAAAGGACGAGCGACAATATGTAGGCAACGATGATAGAAAATAGGAGGACATACCCGTTTGGCGGCACGGGCACTCGTGGCTTTCCGCTTGTTCTTCAGATCTTTGATCGCACGCGAAGCTTCCTTTGACACGCTGGTGTGTTTTCCTCTCCTGTCAGTACTATTGCAAACTCAATTGGTGAATTGTCACAAAACAAGAGGAAGTCAGAGTAATGGGGTGGGTGATGGCAACAACTTCAAGAGATGTGGACGTTATGCGGATGAACATGACTCACGTCGTTTCCTGGGAAGGTCATCATCATCACCAGCTTCCTCCCCACCGGCAGTCATTTTGAAGATAGCATCGAGCTGTTGGGCGTCTTTGAGCTTTTGGATTTCTTCCAACCTGGATGCGAGGATATTTTCTCTTTCGATTTCGGGCAATCCTTCCAGTCTTCACCATTAGCTACATCCTTTACTGGCCCATGATCTAAAAGTGGCTATACCATCCCTGCTGTACCTGATGAAGGGTGAATAAAACAAGACAGTAGGGACGAGGGGTGATGTGATACTGCCGACACTCACTGTTCTCGGTCATCCTCATCGATATACTTTCCTTCGAGCGGATACGGATTCCTACTGCCTGGTTTTGCAGTCCTTACTATTGGTTTACTCGTTGAAGGTACTGCACCATCGCCCTCTTCAGACTCGAGGTCCATATCCATATCCTGTTCCTCGTCGTCGGAATCATCGATACTGGCTAGTCAGCCCAGCTCGCACTCATCATTGAGTATATACCCCGATGTGCCGAGATCCGCTGTTTATATATAAACACACTGTGATGGAATTACGCGACACTCGCCGCCGTTTGCAGGACTTTTTTAGGGTTCTGATATGTTCACGAGCCCTGTCTCCTTTCATCTGTCTGGGCCCGACAGGTGGAGCGCATGCTGAGGTATAAAAGATCATATGATTAATCTCATATATGGAAAGAGCGTCTATGTCTAGGTGGCAAGATGATGTCAAATGGTAAGATATGAGAGAGTGGATGGCAAGGTCGCTTCAAAGGAAAAACCCACTATGCCTGGGATTTGACCTTTGCCTTTTTGTGTTTCCTAGAGGGATCATCCTCTGCGAGGTCTAGCAGTTCATTCTCAAAGTCGGACATTATGTTGTAGTATGAGTTGAGATGGTTATAGATGTAAAGATTAGAATATATAGGAATGGAACGGAGGTGAAAAGTGAGTTGAGATCCCATTGTGCTTTTGGTGTCCCGCCGTACCGGTCACACGTCACGTGACTCCCTTTCCGACGGAAGTAGAATCAAACATTTCCCCAAATTGCCATTGTATCTCCACTCCCGGCTTAAGCTTACAACAATGACTCACGGTAGTCTCTTTCATTTTACGAGTAACGTCACGATGGACGCTCCAGGGCCAAGCGTAAGGAGGAGAGGTGAACATCGTGACAGTCCTCTTCATCTTACTGTTCCACCCTCAGAAGGTATATTTCAAACTTCCCCTGAAAATTCCCGATTGAGGTTGGCGTACGAACCTGGTTGTCTTCCTGATCAGGTGTATGATCGCGAGTTGCCAGCGTGGCGAGCTAGGATACGGAGGATATTGGTTAAGAGATTGAGAGATGAGAGTGAGGGGATGGCGAGATGGCAGAAGAGGGTGAGGAGCGAAGGGAGGGATAGGTATTTCTACTGGACGGCCATCTTTGGTAGTGAGTCAAAAGGCTCCTTTCAATCCCTACTTACATTGACACTTCCTCCCCACGTTCTACTACCTGAATACCTGGTATCTATACTTCATAAGTAGTGGAAGCCTCCCAATCGTCTGTACCACTCACTTACACCTCATGGGGGCAACCTCGAAAGTTTCTCGCCGTCCGAAGGCCCGTGCTCTCTAAAGGGAATGTCAAATCTTCTTGGGAAGATATCTGATAACCAGCACACACATTCTTCCTCACCTTCCTCCCTATCTTCTTCTTTTCAGGACATACAGCCAAAGGTCGTGGGTGAGTCCTTCTTCCCTTTTCACCAAGTCAATCTGACATTGCAGGATGTTGAGCGTGGTCGGATTTGGAATATACCTCTCCTCCTGCGCCAAGGACTTGATGTGCTGCCCCAGACCTTATAGCCCTCCTCTTATCCGCTTATGTCAGTGGTTCATTAGAGCAAGCCTCCCTTTCACAACCTCTCATGCCCACTCTTTCATGATCAGATGCTCGTTCGCCAATTGCATAGTACTCCCTTCGTCAACCTTTTTGTTAAAAAGTTTGGTTTGAATCTGACACGTCACACGGATATGACTGACCATCAGCAATGAGCACCCATGCCGATGAATACGGTGAGTATACTACCATCAGATTTATTTTATTTTTCTGATGAGCAGGATTTCTCTCTTCTCACTCAACGAATACGATCACCGTCGCGTTGTATCTCGCTCAGTGGCTGTGGGAAGTTCGAAAACAGACCAGCACCTCAACTCTGCTTGTTGGGTTCACAGGTCAGTTGCAGCCTACAGAGGACCTGCGTACAGCTGATCAATAGTGCTCTTGATTTACGCTGCTAGTGTCGTAGGCGGAAGGTTGTACACAGGTATGCATTCCACAGGTTAGTTTTCACTCTTGACTTCCTTCACAAGACTGCCAGCTCTACAGCCTAGAAATACTTTACTGATAGTGACAGCTGATGTGATCGTGGGAAGTCTCCTCGGAGCGGCGTGCTGGGCCATATGGCTCGTCATCGGAGATTGGGCGGAGTGGTGGCTACAGTCCGGCTCTTTGAGTGGTGCGTTCATTCATCCGTCTTTCGCCCTTCTGTCTTCGATCACCCTCAGACCAGCACTGAAATACTCTCTATCTAGCATCGCTGCTATATCCTGCGGTAGTAGACCGCCCTATCATCTGGAGCAGTACAGAATAGAATGGGACTTGGCTAATTTGTCAGTCCCGATCGTTCTCCTCCCACTGACTCTTTTCTTGATACACTATCACCCGGAGCCTGTGGAAGATTGTCCGTGTTTCGAAGATTCCATCGCTATTTTGTCCGTCATGTTAGGTGTATATGTTGGCGGGTGGGTGGAAGCGAACAGAGGGATACCTCTTGGTCCACTACATGACAGGTCGGTGTTCGGCAGCGGTCTGATGAGGGGTGTGGGGATTGTGGTCTTGCGGTTTGTCCTGGGTGAGTTCTCGTGTCTTTCGGAACCCGGCTCTTCGCCTACGCCCGACCAATGGATATCTCCCATCCTATATACATCCACCCAAGTGAACTCCTGCGTCGAGTCGATGAGGTTTTTGGAGTAGTTCTTGAAGGATCTCGGACCGACGATCCAACCCTGCGTCAGTGAAGGAGAAGAAAGTACAGTGTGGCTAATTCCAAGGCATCGGGACATTGTTTGCCTGGCGAATAGTAGTGAAAAATATCCTTCTTCGTGTTCTCCCGCCGACATTCCGAGCTACCTCTCGCGTCCTCTCGGTCGATCTGCCTACGAGGAAACATTACACTGCCGCGACGTGAGTTCTCGTTCGCCTGCCCCCTTGTGAGCAATCGCAATCTAAGTACGACCGTCCCTAGACACGTATCCAATGCTCTCTCACTTCTTTTACACCCGAAGGATCTGCCATTGACAGCTCGACTGTTGAGTTGGTAAAGCTGACATCTCAGAGATTACCCCGGATCTCCTCCTGCCGACATGCATCCCGTCCCGTCATTCATAGACCTCCATATTGGTCGATCCAATACACCAGTGCCAAGTGCCGACGGTGGTTCCTCCGACTCGGACTTCACTCCTTCTCCTATTTCGCACTCATCCGCGGTCATCCCTGATCCCCACACCTTTTCATCTTATGCTGCATCTGTTTCTGACTCGTTATCACCTCAGACCGGCCCAAAAGCACGATCCTTGACATCCGCCCACAGTGATGCTGCTGGATCAGTCACTGGTGTATCGAAGAGAGATGGACACTCTGCGACCAGAGCGACTAGTAGGGGTAGATCGAAAAGGGAGAAGAAGACGAGGGGTTTGCACTATGATGCTGAGGGTGAGTCATGGTTATCATACCCAGTGTCTGTGTTTCTTACGCCCCTCTCACCGTTCGGCAATTAACATTACCCGTGACCCAGCGAAGACTCAGTTTATTGACCATCAGTCTTGACGAAATTCGGCGTTTACACCGGTATAGGTTACCTCGCCGCTGTAGTGGTTGAAGGATGGTTTGACGCTATCGAGCGTCGATGGCTGGTCTGAATCCTTGTCATCCTCTGTTGTATCTCCCCTACTTCCATCTCTCGGTGCATCGCTTGTGAATCCTATGAGACCGGTGAGGGATTTTTTCATTCATATCGTCATGACATTTTGAACGTTACAACATTTAGGCTCCTTGGGTGAAACGATGACCCGTATTCGGGGACGCGGTGTAAAGGATGCGCGAATTAATTCTACATTTCTGGCGGAATATGTACCCATCTTTCCTTCCTCCTTGTTCCCTCCCATCTCTCGTGACAATCCAGAAGGATCATGACGCAAAAGTACTCGAGGAGGACCGTCCGCTTGCTGTGTCGTTGTTTAGTCGTCATCCCTATGGCTCATTGTTTGGCTGAGGGATAATTCCTCCAATGGCGAATGAACGTTTTTCCAATTAGCTGAATGTGGCAGATGTACCAAATGTGGCACTTTTTTCCTTCCGGTCCGATGAGCGCAAATGAGGGATATTCCGTTGTTTTGGTTCCTTCTTCCCTTTTCCGCGCGTTCTCCTATCACTTACTCTTTCACTCCTACACTGTTTGTTCTTCCCTACCCCCTTACCCTCTTTTTCCCCGTTGGTGAGCGGGACCGATGACAACGGGACACGATTGACGAAAAAAGGACATGTCAGGGCAAGTATGAGCGATTTCTGACTGGTCGATACGGTTTACTTACCAGTATTTCAAGTTAACAAGTTGATGCCATTGGATGATTGACACAACTTGATCCGGTCCGTCAAACCGGATCTTTGACCAGTTGTATCGAACGCAATCGTCAACTCCAGTTCTAACAATCACTAAGAAAAGATATATAATCTTCTATTAAAAATCAGAGAACTCACCCCTTCACCATTTGATCTAACCGATTCGTGTTGACTCATATACTCATCCATATTATCTTTTTTTTTCATCTGTACAAATCCATCGGCTCAGAATAATCCATTAAATCATAAGAGAAGAGGGATAAAACCAACATGTCTCTAACGCATGATATGGATTTAGAGAAGAAAGAGACGAGTCATAATGAACTTCAGGAAGAAGATTTGAATAAATGGGATCGTCAACCTTTGAAATTAAGAGGAAGTAAATTGTTTTTATTGGCTTTTTCAACTTTGGGTATTATTTATTCTGATATTGGTATGTTCATCCTTCTCTCTCCCTCCCTCTTTATATATATATATATATATATAAAGAGAGAGAGAGAGAGAGAGAGAGAGAGTCTGTCCATATATATATATATATATATATATATATATATATCTCCTCCCCCTCTCTTTTTATCTATATATCTCTCTTCCCATTCAAGATGATAGATATGAACATGACGAATATGACTTCAAAGGAATAGATCAGTTTCAATTCATTGACTACTCTATCGTACCTGGGCGAAGTTGAGTTGATCGGGTCGACTGGTTTAACGTGTTGTTGAAAGAGAAAAAAAAGTTCAAACTGATATATAGGTACTTCACCACTTTACGTACTTAATGGAATATGGTCATCAAGTGGTCCCGCACCACCTGCTGAAGATGTATTAGGAGGTATAAGTGCTATTATCTGGACATTGACCATTTTACCACTTGTGAAATATGTAAGTCCATCTTAATTCTCTCTATTTCTATAATTCTTCACGGAAATTTCTTCTTGTTCTTTCGATGTAAAACTTCAATATCCTATCCAACCATGTAAAATCATATCATATCTTATCTTATCAAATCATGTCAATCATATCAAACCATATCAAATCAAATCATGTCAATCATATCAAACCATATCAAATCAAATCATGTCAATCAGCTCATATAATATCGATTAGTGTCAAATTATATCACATAATGACTCAGTCATAGAAGAAAGAATGACTCACAACGGAAGAAACACGTTGATCCTTAGGTAATTTTCGCACTCGAATTCGAAACTTCAGCGGGAGAAGGAGGTCCATTCGCACTTTACATGTCACTCTTTCCTCCTTCTCCACCGGAAGAAGCCAGGTCATTGACTGGGTTTTCAGATACGAACGTTACTGAGAAAAAAGGTTTGAAAAGATTTAAATGGCCTTTATTAGTATGGGCTGTATTTGGGACGGCTATGACTTTAGCTGATGGTGTTTTGACGTGAGTTTTTTTGTTCTAAGTCTCCCTTCTCCGCCCTCCCCTGCCTCTCTTCCCCTCTCTCCTCCGCTTCCGCCCGCTCTCTCTTCTCCTCTCTCCTCTGCTTTCACCCTCTCCAACTACACCTTCATCGGTTTGTTCGTTGTGATCGATCTGGAATCTTCATTGGAAACTCTTGAATACAATTCTCATTACCACCCTATCTGCCAGAAGTCGTTTATAACATCTCTGCTGGCAATTGAGTTTCGACGATGCGCAACTCACTCTCAGCCCGGCTGTATCCGTCACTTCGGCAGTAGGAGGTATAGCAGTAGCTAAATCTTCTGTCATACATTCCGTCGTACCTATCTCTTTCGCGTTTTTGTTGTTGTTGTTCGGTATACAACCATTTGGTGTATCAAAGATTTCAGTGGTCTTCTCTCCTAGTAAGTCGACTAATCACTTCATCAGTATCACAAAGTTTACACCGGATACCACCTACCTCTTTCCAACTATCAAATCAGAAATCCACGCTCTTCTCCCTTCTCATCCCTTTTGAACGTAACATACACTTCTCTCCTTCGCCTCTGTTCCGAATGAGAATCATGTCCTTCTACTCTGATGTCTTTCGAATGTCAAACACACTCCTCTTCTTTTAATTGCTGTCGAATGTATAACACCCCCTTCTCCTCGTCGTCGTCTTCACTTCCGAATGAAACACACAGCCAGTCTATCGATGGCGTTTGTCGTGTAATGTCAATCAGAAAGGAAGAAATGATAACTCAACCTAGTCACTTTGATCTACCTCTTACTAATCGGAGCGACGGGGATTTACAATATCACTTTTCATCCTGCTATCTTTCGAGCATTTGATCCTTCCAGAGCTGTAGCTTGTGAGTAGTTTTCCTCATCTTCAATCTTCTGACTCCACACATTTTTTCTACCCCGCATACCCATTTTGAAACTCATGTCCCTTCATTTCTCGATTCCGAGATGATCCCTTCTGAACACCTGAACCTCAATCGTCCTCGCTATTACCTCGGTATAACCAAATCATGTCTGACTGACCGGCTGAATATGATGGATGAGACAAAAGAGGGATTGACTTGATATTAATGGCTAGGGTTTGTTCGTACCAAGAACTATGACGCCCTAGCAGGTGTTTTGCTAGCTATAACAGGTTGTGAAGCCATGTTGTAAGTTGTTCTATTCCCTCAGTGCAAGTCTGGTTCCTGACAACCAGTGCAAAGTAAGATCTCACCTTTCGAGTTATTTCGACGTCGCTTATCATAGTCTGGGCCAATTCAACAAAGCAGCGATCAGGTTGTCGTTCACTACCGTAACATACCCAATGTTGGTGCTGGCTTACCTCGTGGGTCTTGTCTTGTCTCTGATCACTCAAAGTATCATCCACAACCGATTTTACACCGCTATAAGATGCTGCCCCCCCTGTGTAATTATTCAATCCGCTTCGTTGCTCGAATCCACCCGATTAAGTTCTACCTGCTATTCCCAGTGGCACCGTCAAAAGGGAACGTTTCAGTATCGAAATCAAGCTGACACGCAGGGCCAAGGTGCGAGATTGATACATGATGGTGATGCCGTCATTGGTAACTTATTCTACCTCACCATACCTGGTCCTACTGGTGGTGGTCTGTATTGGATCGTATGGTTCTTTGCGCTTCTCGCTACTGTAAGTATTCACTCAAACGTATTAGGGCCCGTACTGACATTTAGCTGGTGGCTTCACAAGGTCAGTAAATATATCTCTTTTGTTCACCAACCCATTTTTTCGCGTTTTTACCGGTCAAGGAGTTCATCAGACCGAAGGAAAGAGCGAGACAGGGACAGAAAGAAGCGACGAACTTTGATAACCCACCATGTCGTATTTCAAGAGAAAGTCAGAGGGTTGACCAGGTAGAAAGATGAGAGGGAGTAGAATGAGGCAGAGGTCGAATTGAGAAGAGATGGAAAAGGATAGGGGACCAGATAACTGGAGACAAGAGAGAGAAAAGAACTGACCTTGATAGCAATGATAACAGGTACTTTCTCCCTCGTCCATCAATTAGTCGGAATGGGTGTTTTCCCATCTATCAGAATAAAACATACTTCGATCCTTACAGCTGGTCAGGTATATGTTGGGAGTATAAATTGGTTATTGATGATTGGTACCGTTGCTGTGGTAGGGGGATTCGGAAGTAGTGCAGCTTTGACTTTAGCCTATGGTGTGAGTTTTTTCCCTTCTTCTTTCCCTCCCTATTCCCTCTTTATGTCACATCTGCAAAATTCAATTGTCATCTGTTTTTCCACCATCGACCAAATGGCCCCATTGCCACTATCGGACGTGAATCTTTCATTGCTTATCTCGATACTCGTCCCATTTCTATCCTTCAAGACGATAACTTTACGTGCTTTTTCAAAAGGTCGGGTCTTGGAGAAGATGTGAAAAGGACAGAACGAGAAATCACATAGAGGCCGAAAGGAGAAGAGTAGAAAGGTATATATTGAATTAAGACTGATGAGAAAAGTTCGCAGTAGCTTCAGTCTTATTCGTCACCACGACCTTGATAGCTCTATCCATCCCTTGTGTCAAACATCTTCCGATATTCTTGGGTATCGTTTGGTTGATAGTTTTCGGTTTTTTCGATGGGATATTTTGGGGTGCAAGTTTGAAAAAAGTTCCTCATGGTGCTTGGTTCCCTTTAGCTTTAGGTGGTGCTTTGTGAGTTTTCTTTTGATTCTTCTTTTTCCTAAACCTTCGTTATCGTCTTCCATCACTTTTCCACACTACCCTCTTCCACCAGGCACCTCCATCACCCTCTACCATCTCTACCACCTCTGCCACCTTTACCACCTCTACTCGATTTCCACCCACACCATGTATTCTTCCTCAGCCAAAGTGCAATTGACCTTACATTGTACATCCGCTGATGTTCGGAACCGCACTGATGTGTCTCTGGCGAGCTGGTAGAGAATTAGAACTTTCATTCGAGGCCAACAATCTTCACTCGCTTTCTTCCCTTATCATTCGAAAATCCTCTCTTCCACCTTCTGTCACACCCACCAAAACAGGAACAAGAAATCACCTTCATTCATCATCACGTCTAGTCCGTGGTACGGGATCACAATCACAATCGGAAATTCAAATCATCGAGGAAGACCCTAGAATGATATTAGGATCAGAGGATGAAGATATTCTTCTACTTTTACCTTCTGAACCTAACGAATCACCCGTGGTTTTGGAGAGAATACCTATAATGGCTGTATTTCATAGGAATGATGAAGGTGCTAAAGGTGTTCCACATAGTTTTGGTAGTTTTTTGAGAAGTTATCCCGCTTTACCGGAAGTGGTTGTGAGTCATATTCCTCAGCACTCCCCCGTCCTCGTCTCATCCTGCTTAGAACACCTCCCTTGTCAGAGTCATCTCAGTCTTGCGAGGTTGGCCATGATTATCTGATTGTTGAATCTGAATCAAGAATCGCCCGGTGGTGAAAGAGTAATGGAGGTGAAAGCTAAATATCAGATCTTCCTCACCACTCGTTCTGTCGGTGTCCCTCACGTATCTTTGAACGATAAATACAAAGTCAATAAAGTCCGTTCTCTCCCCGGATTCTATAGTGTTTCCATGCGGTCAGTAATCTTCTTCCTTCTTCCTCCTCTTCTACCTTTTCACTCTCAGATGAGCAGTAAATCAGTTGCTAACTTACAGCGTCGGGTATTTGGATTTACCAACCCCCAACATTCCGGACCTTTTACCTTCACTCTTGGCATTAGAACAATCCCCATTCACATCCCCCAGCGATTCCATCGGTAAGCACACGACCACCGAGAGGGAAAACATTCAAGAACGTAAACGTCGGATTGAAGAATCGGCTAAAAATGTCACTCATGTGATTCCCAGTTACATCCTCACTTCTCGGAATCGTAATCCTTCTCAGAATCACGGAGTGGTAGGGATGATCCAAAAAACTTGGGAGTGGGGTTGGGGGAAAATTAGAAAAGTTTTAGTGGAAGATGTTTATGGATTAGCAAGGGAAGTGTTTAGGGAACAAGAATGGGAAAGAGGGGAAGAGAGGATGGTACATGTTTCTGTACCTGCTGCTATTTGAGGTTTTCACTCGGTTAGCCCTGGTAGTCGGATCCTCTACGTCGTATCGCTATTACTTCCCAATCTCTGCATCGACATCCATCGACATCCATCTTCTTCAACTAAGTACCCCACTTGCTGACTTCAACTTTTGTCGACTACCGATTATTCTATCTCTTGACTTTAACTTGAACCTTCATCTCTGTTCGTATCTTCCACACTTCACTTCTGAACATTCCCAACCCTCCCTCTCCTGCTTGTCTAAGCCTTCATTTTAGTTGTAGGTGTGATCGATATCAGATATGTCAGACTTTAGATAGCTTTTCAGGAGACGTACATTCCAGTATATAGATATGATGTTATATGTATGAGTAGATCTTCAACTTTGAGCATGAGTATGAACATAACATGTAGAAGTTCTTACTCGTACTCTAGAGTAGCACCTTGAGCACCGGGATCTCCGGCCGGCTGGCGGGCCCCGGAATTTGATCCGGTAAAAATCGTCGATATTCAAATTACGTAACCCATCCCTCTGGCCTGTGAGTTTTCAAAGAAAAAAAGGAAGTGGTACGATGATACGGACCAATCAACCGACGGTTTTATACCCTTTCACTTTTCTCTTTTTTCTTTTTTTCTCTTTGTACATATACATATACTACACTACACGTCTATAGAAACAACACACACGAGTGTAGACGGGGTACGTGGTTTTGGTGAGTGATGATAGAATGAGATGAGAAATTAGAGTGGATACTGATTTATCAGACAATCTTTACTATTCCGACTTTGACGCGACAAACAACACAACTCATTCAGAGTAGGACAATATAAGGACTTGGAAAGACCAGAGATAGAGAGAGAGAGAAAGAAAGTTGAAAGAGAGAAAAAGAAAGGGAAAGAGAACAAGGAGAGATAACAAAATGAACGTCGTTTCTCATACTATCGTCAGACCTACTTCGGTAGATTTGGCAGGTTTAACCACTTGGGGTTTAGAAGGTTTGACCAAAACCAATTGGAAGTTTGATACGTCAGTTCTCTCTTTCATACCCTCATCGACACCCCTCTATCATCGGCTCAATCTTATGCAATTATACTTGAGTCATGACCCCGCTCTGCTCAGGCCGAGCGGTGTTGACATCTGATTTGATCGACACCATCGGAGCTCGAATTTCGGATATCACTGATGAGTAGAAAAACAACAGCAGCTACAATTTTAACTGCTATCATTTCCCTTCTCATCCTAGAACAATTAGTCTATCGTAGTAAAAAAGCACAGTTACCAGGAGCGAGATGGACTATTCCTATTATTGGTAAATTCGCAGATTCTCTTAATCCCACAATGGCGAATTATAAAGCTCAATGGAATTCCGGTCCGTTGAGTGCTGTATCGGTTTTTAACATGTAAGCGTTCCCTTTTCAGGCATTCTTGCAGTTCACCACTTCTTCTCCCGTGTTTGACGGTCTGGCATATTTAGACTGCATTCCATCTAGTGTATTGGCGATTTCCGGTGGATACCTAACGCCAAGACTTGTCATTGTGCCAAGTGTTTCATGATCATACCTGCATTTTCACTCGGACATGGGATATGAACATTCATGGTTTCAGTAAATGGGGTTTGGATTATATACCAAATACAAGACCTGTAGCACTAACATTCAGCTTCATCGTCATCGGTTCTTCCAACGAGATGGCCCGTAAAATCTTGAATTCTCCCACTTACGCCGGACCCTGTCTTGTTCAATCTGCTAAAAAGGTCTTACTTCCTGAAAATTGGGTATTCCTTCATGGTAAAGTCCATGCGGATTATCGAAAAGCTCTCAATGTTTTGTTCACCAAAACCGCTCTTTCGTGAGTTGGTTTTCTTCCACTGTACGACACTATCAACATCTACACAAGAAAACTTTCAACTGATAACCCCAGAATTTACCTTCCCATTCAAGAACGTATCTACCGTTCTCACTTCGCTCAATGGGTATCCGATACTTCACCTGCTAAACCATACATGATGATCATGCGTGATCTCAATATGGACACTTCCCTCTCCGTCTTCCTGGGTCCATATCTCACCGAAGCTCAGAAGATCGAACTGAACCAGAAATACTGGGATATAACAGTAGCACTCGAATTAGTAAATTTCCCATTCGCATGGCCAGGAACAAAAGTTTATAACGCCATTCAAGCTCGGAAACTCGTAATGCGTGATCTCGAAGCAGCTTCCGCAGAATCAAAACGTCGTATGGCAGATCCAAATTCTGAACCTCAATGTTTATTAGACGCATGGATCAAAGCTATGATCGATTCAAGACACGGTGATGATAATGTTCAAGGTGAAGAAGGTGAACAACAAAGATTATTAAGTAGAGAATATTCAGATCATGAGATAGCGATGGTCGTTTTAAGTTTTTTATTCGCAAGTCAAGATGCTATGAGTAGCGCTTTAGTTTACGCTTTCCAACTTACGGCGGATCATCCTGAAGTATTGGAGAAAATCAGGGAAGAACAATATAGGGTTAGAGGAAATGATGTTGATGCTTCTTTGACTTTGGAATTAGTTGATGATATGGTATATACTAGAGCTGTTATCAAAGAGGTTTTGAGATTGATGCCTCCTGTTATCATGGTGAGTGGTTTGTTTATCCCTTCCTCCATCACGTCTTTCCTCTTACCTCAAATCTCCTCTTATCTCATCAAATATCTCGATCGCTGTGTTTTTCTCCCATCTCATCTATCGCCTCGGAATTGCCGTATTTTCCTCCTATCTCATCAGTCTCACCATCCCTAAATTTTTCATCCCGATTTGTGATCCACTCAAATTCCGACTAACGATTAGGTCCCATACACCACCACCAGACCATTCGCCATAACACCAGATTACACAGTTCCGAAAGGTGCCATGCTCATTCCCGCTTTTTGGAATTCTCTTCATGACGAAACGGTTTATCCAGAACCTGACGGTTTCAAACCTGAACGATGGTTGCCTAACCCGGATGGAAGCGCACCTTTGGCAGATAGCAAACCTCAGAATTATCTGGTATGGGGTAGTGGACCACATAAGGTATGTTGGGTCTTTCTCGTCTTTCAAGTTTATCCTTCTCTCTCTTCTCTTCTCCGTTCTCGCTTGTGCCCTTCACCTCTTGATTCGAGGACCTCACTTGCCTTCTGCGACGTTACGATCATGATCACCCCCGTTCCTCAAACCTCATCTGCCTCGCGACGGAGTTTCAGTATCTTGACGACCGACCATCGCGTCAACTTTCCTTCCAAGCCGAAACCTCGTGGCATCTATCACCCTAGTGGATCAGTGAAACCCCGGTAGAATATCCCCACTGACACCTAGTGCATCGGTGGTCAATACGCATCCATGCATCTCGCAGCTACACTCGGTACCGCAAGTGTTTTGATGGATTGGGAACATGAACGTACCAAAGATTCCGATGAGATTCAAGTGATTGCCGCGTGAGTTTTTCTTTTAATTCTTTCCTCCTGTCTTCACACTATGCTTCTTCTCTCCACACTTTATCCACATCCTTTAAACCTCTTCCTCTCGTCCAGTACCCTCAACTCCCGTGATACCTTTTACTGATCCACAGTATCTTCCCAAAGGACGGAATGAAGCTCAAGTTTCATCCTCGTGTTGCGCCATCATGATCAATTGTGTCTTTCAAATCGTATTTTACCTTACCTTAATGCACTGTATGATACTCTAGAACTTTAATCGTCTACTTTTGTATTCTCTGGATGACTATCCTTCTGCACTTTCCTTCAAGTTCGATCTCTGAAGTGAGTCGTCATGACAGTTGAGACACTTGTATTGGCAGGGATGACAAACGAAAGGCAGGCAGGTAGGTAGGTAGGTCAAGAGAGTATGGTAGTAAAGATGCATGTCTTGATATGTGTTCTCGAGTACTTCGTTCAGCATTACTACATTCTACATGTGACATGTGGGCACATACTTCACAAACATGTATCATACCTTGTTCTAGGTTTGTACCAGCACGAGTATTCGAGCTTCGTTGGTGAAATCGCCACTTGTCAACGACGCGATCTCCCTCTCAACTCAACACCTTCTCTCTCTCTCTTCATAACATCTTGCTATCTCTCTTTATCTCCTATCATTTAACATATCATCTTCTCTTTACTCTCTACTCTCTACTCATCTTTAACCATATCTCTATTCAAAGAACGAATCAAAAACATCAACACTTGGCAACGACGATAAACGGATCGATTTTCACCCGCGGCATACGAGAATAACCCTATCACTACTAATCCCTTCCTACTTCTTCCGTCCATCTGTTCATTCTTTACCTTATTTCATCTCGATACCGGTCAAAACATCTGAATCCGATTTCAAAGAATAACAAAGTGATCTCTATTGAGGTGATTTGGTTCGGTTGAAAGTAGTCGAGTGTGAAGAATCATAGGATTTTCGTCTGTGCGTTTTTCCATTCTCCTCTACTACTACATACATACTATCACTATTTTATCTCATTCATACATCCATACTCATATCTCTTCTTTAGATCATCTCTTGATCCCTTACATCGCTTCAGTCTTTCTCAAGGGCTTGGAAAGTCCAGTGTTTCATCGAAGGATTGGTGACGCCATCGATATTGATTCAGTACGTTCTTACCTACTTCTCACATCGAACGATCGTGTTGATAGATGAAAATGCTTTTCTTGGGAAAATTGGATTTACGTCCTTGTTCAACTGGACTGGAGTTGAGCTGATAATAGTTTTAGTCACCTCAAACGATGATCTTAAACATACAATCTTGATTCGAGAAAAAACATTTGTATTACCTTTTCCCCCTACTACGTGACTTGTGCGTCATCGATAACACAACATAAACGATTGCACGATTACTTTTATCTATCCGACCTATCAACAATAAATCCTCTTTGGTCTATCTCCATCGGGGGGTCTTGTTCGTAATCGGGATATACTACAAACCAACAGCTTGGATCTTTCGAGATCACTCGGTATCTCGGTGGACAATAGTCGAGAACACATCAATCGTACATCTTGTACGAGTCATACCAGCTGACTGTTGGACTTCAACGACGCGTTACTTTACATAGAGACATTATTTGGTTATTGTGGAATATCATCGGAGTATCGATCAACAAGTTGGATGGATCTTACCACCATGCAGTGGAGTGAAGTGGACGCTATGGTTGGAAATCCCCCGGCAAAGTTGGAAATGGCTAGAGGGACTTCCATCTCTTCTTTAGGTTCTGCCGGTGAGTTTTTTTGACCTTCTCCTCGATCTTTCAGTATCTCGCGATTGGTCACTCTTTACGCCCCTCAAACCACTGCCTGCTCCTGTGAATGTACATCCCCCTCTTGTCAGCCATTCGCTCTACCCGCTACGTCTCGTTGTGTATCTGTCTCTACTTCCACTTCCCCAGGACCCACCTCCCTCCGGACCGATGTCCTCGCCCGGAGTCTTACCTTTGCGATTGATCAGGAAAGAGAACCTCGACTTACCCTCAGCTCCCTCAACTGCTTCATCTTTCCCCCCATCATCATTCTCCTCTCATTCTCACACCACACCGGATCGTACCTCCTCTTCCTCCATTCCCTCCAACCCATCCATTAACTCACACGAATCCAAAGACCCTGGGCAATACTGGGATTCAGATAGCACCGCCCACGTCCTATCTCCCAAGGCTCCCAACGGTATGGCCGATGTCGAATCGAATTACAATGAAGAATTCAATAAGAAAATGAATTCGAGGAGCGTATCAAATTCAGAATCCAAAACTTTCATCCCTTCCAGCTTGAACACCAACACTCTACAACTTCGAAAAGGCCCAGATAATACCTCAAATAAAGATTCTTCCGTTGAAGACGACGGCTTCCTCGCCACTGTCGCTCAGTGGGGTCAACAGGAAAGAAGTGTCGGTGGACGTACCAGTAGATTGATAAGTGGGAGATATCATCTACAAGGTACACCCCCACCTTCAGGCCCACCACCTTCAGAGCCTCCTCCTCCCCTTCCTATCTCCGCCTCACTCCTCGCTACAAGTACGGCTTTGAACGGTAGTACCAACTCTGACTCTACCGTCCGCAGTCGCTCCGGAGATTCCAATGGCAAGATCAACTCGTTGATTGACTCTGTTGGCCCCCGAACAACTTTCGGTCGTGCTACCGGTAGATTATCTCGTATCGCCGCATCTCGAAAGACTAGTGTGGGTGCTCCACCTTCAGGACCTCCAAATACGGCTTTACCTCAAATACCTACCTCACCATCGTCCAAAACTGGAGCGAACGGTCTGCCAGACTCTGAACAAACACGGAGAGACGTCGTTGCTGGTCCTTCTGGGACTAACGAACACCATTCTTCACCCTCTCGTAGACGTCGCAAAGATTCTTCTCAGAATCTTCCAGACGCCGTTCAACCGGGTCACCCAGCAGTCAACGGGGAGGGTACCAGGCCATACGCGCAATCTGAAGCCGGTTCGAGCAATTTAAGGTCGGATCAATCAGAGAGGACGACCAGCAGTGCAGGGACGAGCAAGTCTGGCAGAACACCATCGCGACTATTGTTACAGGATGCCTTGAATCTAGCTCAGACCGCCGTCGAGTTGGACAAAACCAACGATGTGTCAGGAGCCTTGGCCATGTACACTGAGGCGGTGGAAAAGCTCAAAAGCGTCATGGCTCGTGTCGGTATAGATCCGGGCAAAGAGGATCGGGGAAAATCAGGAAAGTCGGAAGAGGAAGGAAGGACGTTGAGAGGGATCGTGAGTGTTTGTCATTTTACTCTTCTTGAAACCGCTTTTTTGGTGATGACTTCCTAAAACGTACATTACGTCCTGTGATAAATTCGTTCGATCGAACACACTTTTCTATTATATCTCCTCTCATTGACCCCCGTGTGTTTGCAACAAACTCATCGGTTATCGATCATCATGTTTACAGCTGATTACTTCTTCGGCTTTGGAACCACAACTGACAAACAGCACGACGCGTACGTAGCTCGTATACAGCTGTTGTCTTCTATGGAACCTCTCATCTCACCTGCTTCCACATCTGTCATACCTCGGTCTACTCCAGTAGAATCTCAACCTTCTGAACCTATCTTAGGTCTCGAAACATCTTTCCCATCCACCTCTACACTCGTCCCTGATCGTCCACCATCCCAGTCTCCTCACTCCAACATGTCTGTCGGTACCTCTGGCGACCGCACTCCCCGACCTTCACTAGACGACACGGGTATAGTGGGTATAGGCAACCTCATGATGTCTTCCTCACCTCATTCGGCGCGTTCATACTCTTCACATTCATCTCGTCACCCATTCGCCATTGCCGCTGCTACTTCTTCTTCCCCTCGTCTTATTCCATCTGCCGTCGTCGGTTCTCCTAGAGATCATATCCCCGCTCGCTCCTCTCCAACTACCCGATTATCCACCCCTGGCAATGGCTTGAATACGGGACAAGAGTTGGACGATACTACTCCTCGTGAACCTCGAGCGCCTACAACACTTCCACCTCGGAGAGAATCGATCGGACCTAATTCGACAGCATTAGACCAATCCTTCACCAGACAACCCCTAAGCAGAAGTAGACAAATCAGTGCTCAGCGTAAAGCCCAACAGTCATTCGGATTAGAGGAAGAGCTCGATTTATCCGACATCATCTCTGATCCATCTCAATCGAACGGACAGCCATATGCTGGAATCAGTACCACCGTCAGTCAGAATGGATCCGCTCGTTCAAGTGCTACTGGTGTTCCTCGAGCAGGTGTTTACCCACCTGATGATCGACCTTTACCACCTATCCCCTCATCACCCGGTGGACAAGGTTCAAAATTATCCCGCATAGCTTCCATGTTGATAAACAATTCCACTTCCAACGGTACGATTTCACAACGACGACAATCTCGTCATGCCTCCGAATCAGGTTCTGGAATATTCATCCCTCCTTCAGATCATTCTTCTAATCAAATCGATGGATTACCAAGATCATCTTCCACATCGATACCTTTCCCTACTGTCTCACCACCTCCTCAAGCTCTACGCTCCGCTACATTCCTACCCGAATCAGAATCTCAACCATCATTAAGACTAAGATCAAGAAGTCAACCTGGAAATCAACGACCTTCAGAGATATTCAATGCTACTTTAGGTACATTACCACCTCTTCCAAGAAAGATTCATAAACCTTCTTTATCCAGTCATTCATTATCTTCTAATGGACAGAGATCTTCACGTTTAGCACCACCTCTTCCTTTGAACCTAACTCGTAGTCCTGGTTCAGGTACATTACCACCTCTACCACCATCAGCACGTTCAGGTATATCCAATATTTCAGGTCTTTCCAACATATCACCACTTTCAGGATCTTTATTATCACCTTTACCTGAATCTCAACCTACTTCAGTCATTTCAAGACCTTTTCACGTCCTTCGTACATTACTCAGATCAATGGATCCGAATGGTCCCGGAGCTTATTTGACAAGTTCAATTCACGTAACTCCTTCAGTTTGGAAACCTTCTAACTGGTCTAAAATGGGTCATGGAAGATTACCAGCACCAAAGATTCAAGCTCAGGATGTTAAACAAAGATGTATGGAAACTCTTGTTCTTCATTTAAGAGCTTTAGGACAAGTAGGATCGGGAATGTTGACTGGTCCAAGAGAAAGAAGATATGGTGAAGGGTTGAATGGAAGTTTTAATCATGATGATGGTTTGAGAAGGATGAATGGAGGAGGCTCAATGATGAATCTTTCAGGAGGTGGTTCTATGATGAACCTTTCAGGAGGTGGATCAATGATGAATCTTTCTGGAGGAGGTTCGACGATGAATCTTCCTGGAAGTGGTTCAAGGATGAATCTCTCTAGTGTGGGAAATGAACAGGATGATGAGAGAATAGAACATTTGATAAAAGTTTTGGACGCTATGGAAGATGAGATGGATGGGTGGTATAAAGCACTTGGTAAAGCGGGTGTTGTAGTTGGGATTTGGAAAGGGAAGAAGACTGGGGTGAGTTGTCGTTCATCCTTTCATTCCTCTGCTGCTTCTTACTGTGTGGACGTCCCACTTGTTCCTCTCAACCAAGTACGATGAGCCTGACCCCGTCTCACGTGTCCATGATACGATACTTTGGACTGGGTGAACGGCTCCAAGTCGACTTTTGAAGAACGGGTACTTTATCTGTCAGAGACAATGATAGCATTCAGACAAACTTAGGATCAAGCTAACGCACAGGGTTCTAATTGGGGTAAATTAACTCGTTCCATGGATAAAATGGGTTCGGGCGGTGGAAAGACGTAAGTTTTTGTTTTCTTATCTTCATTTCGTGTATCGTCCCTATTGGCCCACACTGTCAAGAGGGCGGTGAATCACCATGATACCTTTTCACGTTATTGTCAGCAATTTCTGATTACCAGATTGGAGTCTCCTGAAACTTACGTGGATACAATGGCGGCCTTGTGTTCCAGTGTGCAGGTGATCAGTGAGTTTTCTCTCCCCTTTTTCTTCTCACACTCCCATATTCTCCCTCTTTTCATTTTACACTCCCACCTTCTCCCTCCTTCCCTTCCCTTTCACTCCCCTCTTGGACTCCCTGAGAATGTCACATTGATCAGTTTCACGATACGACTCTCTTTACGTTTTCGAAATTAATACCAGATGATCATTTAGAATGTCTTCAAGGTCCCTCCACCTCGGCTTACCTCGCACTCTCGGACAAGACCCATCAGGCTATCGAAGGTCGTGTGATCCGAATTGCAGAGTTTGTAGGCGCCGTCTTGGCGCCTTTTGTTCTGGATGATTTCAAGCAATTCTTTGTGAGTTCTACTCCCTGCTTTGTCCATCCAACATCCTGTCGCTCCTTCTGTTCGCCACTTCTTCCTTCCCATACTTGCTTCAACAACTACATCATTCTCACCAGTTGTACCTCGTCCATCTTCCCCACTCTCCCCTTTTCCATCAGAATGTGATCCATCCCTGCCCAATATCTCCTCTTCGAATAACATGGACCTCAGAACCCTGGCTAACTCTTCAGCTGCGGTATCTCAAAGGAGGTGTACGCTACTTGGAAGAATAAATTGTAGTATAATGTGTCATGACTCGGTGTTGATCGTTGGAAAGTGACTCTTGATTCGGGTCGAAGTATCTATCTTGGGTTTTGTAGATTGATAAGGGTATAAATTGAATGAATGTTAGATTTTTTCAATCGTATACTGTCTGCTTTTAGACAACACTTGATCTATACTTCTGTCTCTATCGTCTGTTACAACTTTCTATCACCGTAATCCATTTTGACATGTTCCATGTTGTCATCATACATGTTGCCATGTCTTCCATACTTGTACTTACCTATGACCACATTCAGGTATCCGTGACTTGATATCTTGATTCTCCATCACCTCTACTAACTCGCAATCCGATAAAATCCAAGAAGTACGAATCCGTAAGTATTCTATTCATTTCATGATAAGATGATGGAATCATTATATTTCAGATAAAACCTACATATCCGAATGATTCATACATAAAACGTTAGACGTAAACTCCAAGAGTACAAAAAAGAGCTATTACACCACCTCCAGCAAATAAAGAAGCTATCAGTGATGTACTTAATTCCGGTAAAGGGTTTTTGGATTTAGGTAGACTGAAAAGTCAGTTGAGTATTGACGTTGTTGATTCCCATTGCAATCACTTCTTCTCCCACGATACATGTATGACTTTATCGTGAATTGTCGACATTGACACTTTTGAGGATATGATTCGGGATTATGAACAGATTCTTCACAGGTGTAGGATCAAGATTGATATCAGGATCAATGTTATAGTCTGTCTGCAAATGACATAAGGTGGGTCGAAGACAGGAGATCCGAATGACCAAGTGTAGGTCGATGTCATAGTCCCCCAACGACCAAAAGGTGGGTCACAGACATACTCCCCGAACGACCAAAATTAGGTCAAGGTCATGTCATAGTCCCCGAACGACCAGAAGTAGGTCAACCAATGAAAGTAAAGACAGATAGATGATAGGGATGAGAAGTACGACAGGGTGGATCATGAACGGATAGGAGAGAAGAGAAACTGACGTGGTGAATATAAAAGCCAATACGAAAAATCCTACGAGCATGGTTAATGATATTGGACCTAAAGAGTAAATAGGGATAGGTGGTTCGAACGAAGGAGAAGAAGAATGTATAGACTGATTAAGTTAGGTTTTTCCTCTTTTTTTTTGTTCTTTTGTGAATCATATCGTTCGTTTATGAATACAGACGCAGGGTGTTCTCCGCGAGTACATAATGGACGATATGGGATATTTGTACAGGTGATATCTTGAGAAAGAGAGTGTCGGTAATTAGGAAGATTTATTGGAATAAGCGAGTGAAGACGATTGAGACACAAGGAATGGAATGGAATGGAGGGGAAGGTAATTGTAAGTAAGTTATAGCAGAGTTGGAAAGGGGTTGAAATTGACAAAGAAGATAGGTACTAACTTGTATGGAAGTATATGTTTGATGAGACATCTTTGACCTTTCTCTCTTATCCTATAAGATTTGGGTAGTTGTAGTCGTAAAGGTGAGAGATCCTCCAAGTTACTCGTAACTATCCAGTAAGTTAGAGGGACGTCAAGGTGGAAGGGAAGAATATTGCGCGCCTATTGGGGAGATTCAAAGGCGATAGTAGTTGACACACGCCTAACTCGATCACAAAGAAAGAGCTGACTTTACACCCAGTGGCCAGTTCAGTATAGAGTACAAGTCATTCAATCGTCATGTTATCAACCTGGCTATGGGTCATACTCATCTTGAACACTCTCAATGTTTATTGCATATCCCAACAATACGGTCAAAGTCGGGAAGGGAGCATAAATGCAGATGGGGATAGAACGAAAGATGGTCATACGAATAATTGGGCTGTTTTAGTTTCTTCTTCTAGGTATTGGTTTAATTACAGGGTAAGTTATTCGTCCCTCTTCCTTATCCATCCTCTCATTAGTCTTCCAAAAATGTCCAAAGGCTTTATACAACCCTTGATGTAACCTGATATGTCAATGACTCGCTAATCTTTCAGCACATGGCAAACACATTAGCGATGTATCGTACCCTCAAACGTCTAGGAATGCCAGATTCCAACATTATCCTAATGCTCGCCGATGATGTTGCTTGTAATCCCCGGAACCCGTTTCCAGCTGCGGTATATGGGAATTCTGGGAGACGGGTCGATTTATATGGGGATGCTGTTCAAGTGGATTATAGAGGTTATGAAGTTACTGTAGAGTCGTTTTTGAGGTTATTGACAGGTAAGTTTTTTACCTGATTTCAATCTCATTCTCATTCTCATTCTTTTACATAAACATAGCTGGTCTTCGTCTTGGAAGCCGTTCACTCCATCTGGGGTAAAACATTATCCTATCCATGTGTTCTAGTACCGTTACTTTGGGACTCTAAGAACCTCTATCTACACACTTCTGACTGATATATCTTCCCTGCGGACCGTTTTGGTCATGTGTTTTGTATATCGAGATGAAGAAAGATCACTCACCTTTCAAGGTCGTCACGAACCACACGTCCCCGCGTCAAAACGTCTTTTATCCGACGCTTCTTCAAATGTATTCATTTACATGACGGGTCATGGTGGTGATGAATTTTTGAAATTTCAAGATAACGAAGAGATTTCAGCTTATGATGTGGCTGATGCCATTGAACAAATGTGGGAAAAGAGAAGGTTAGTTGATGTTTTGTTTTCTTTCTTTGTTCACTATTGCCAACTCACCTTCTTTCCCCTCTGTCTTCGAAATTACCATTTTACGTTTTGTCATTTCTTCCGAAAAATGATCCCGACTCCGTCTGTTGTCTCTGAAACTGAATCAGACCATCTTGTCCATCGTCTATCTCTCTACTCCATCATAACATCCATCTCCACTCAATCTGCACTTTTGCTCACTCGATGGAAACAAGACTACTCGGTGAAAACAAAACCACTGGGTGAAAACAGGATTTCACCACTCAAATTAACGTCAGAACACACATTAGAACAAAGGAAACCCATATGGTTTCTGACGATGTAAGATAAAATTGTCCTGACTTTTGTTTAGATACAACAAACTCCTCTTCGTAATCGATACTTGTCAAGCAACGACAATGTATTCAAAACTATATTCACCACACATAATCTCAACAGGTTCAAGTCAACTTGGTGAAAGTTCTTACTCACATCATAACGATTACGATATAGGTGTTTCTGTCATTGATAGTTTTACACATGAAGTTTTGTTATATCTTGAAACTTTGGGTAAAACTTCGAATTCTACCATGGAAGATTTTGTAAGTTTGGCTTTCATTTGTAACTTTTTCACTTTCCCCGGATTTCATACATTTCACTTGTTCATATATTTCATCTTGTTCATGCATTTCATCTCGATGGACCGAAGAGAAATATGATCCATCGATTTGTTGACACAATCCCCTATAAGAAACCCACCCGACTGAATCGTATATCATCATCATGCACTTAGGAAGAAAGATAGAAAAAAGAGTCAGAAAGATTACAGGTGTTGAAAAAGAGAGAGATGAAAAAATATAGAAAGATGAGAAGTGTCGAAAGATAAAAAGATGGGAAGATGGGAAGACGTAGGGACAAAAAAGAAAAACCAAAGTGAAATGGAAAGATGGGATGCAAACCATGAAAAAGAAAAACCCACTGATCCCCAGTTCAACATCTACGATCCGATCAAAATGAAATCTCATCCAGGTATCTCGACCTCATTATCTTCTGTTCAACCAGATCAAATCCGAATCACTGACTTTCTCGGGGCTGTATCTCGAATTGAGATCATGTCTTCTTCTTCGATACTTCCATCATCGACTCTATTATCTCATTCATCATCTTCTAAATTTATCACATCCTCTAGAAACTCTGATAAATCGTCTGACTCTGGTACTTCCTCTAGAAACTCTGGTACATCATCTAACCATCGTATAACCCCAAGCGCTGGAATATCGGACGACCAGGATAAGACCACAATTGTAGCTGGTTGGGAGAAAAGTCGGAAGGTCCGTCAACGAACGAAGTCACGCTTTAGTATCGAACCGTCGGATCGGAGTATACTATCTAATGAGACATATTCAGGGATTAGAAAGAGAGAGAAAGGTGATTCCCCCTTGTTGATGATGGATCTAATTGGGATTGGGTTGGATAAGAGGGGTATGATGGTTGATTGGATAGGAATCGGGGTTTTGGTTCTTACTCTTGCTGCTTTGACTTGGGGGAAGAGATAGGAATCATGACTGCTACTGTTGTTGTATGAGTAGATTACTTGGTACATTATTTGTATCCCTATTGCATGGCACTTTGCATGAGTGAGGTCAAAGTACTTGTAGAGAACATAGTCCCCGGTCAGACCGCAGTAGATGGTCCACATACAGGTAGAGAACGGGGAAGAGCGCAGAGACATGAGCAATATACGCCAGCAGAACACGAGATGGACAGTCACGACCGACGACCACCCAACGTCAAGAAACAAATCCGTGCAGGCCACTGGACATGCAACTCATCATTTCATACTACCAATCTAGGATACAGCTAGCAGCGTCATGCATGTCATGCGTTTCACCATCGAGACTCTTCCCCATCCGACTACGTGGCGTATCTGGTATGTCAGCCGCGTTCAGAACCTGACAACTGCGCAAAGCACACTCACTTCCTCGTCCATTCACGCGCCGTTGCTTCGTATCTCTGCCGGTCCGTCTTGTACAGCTATCCATCAGCCATTACGCACCACGACTCATAAGACCGACAAGGCTGATTAACAATGATTGAAAACACTCACACGAGCAATGTCGGGAACAAGCGGGTCGTCAGGGTTTGGATCTGTGAGCATCGAGCAGATCGACAAAAGGACTGAGTGTCAGTGAGGTGTACTCTTCATCGTTCACATAGCCAAGCAGCCGAACGGATGGCGTGACGGTGACAAAAAACAAGAACGCTTGGATCGCGACTCCTAAACTTGATGTTGATAGAGAAGAATGGGAAGCAACAAGGAAGCACGTTTGATGACGCATCCACGAGCAAAGAAGCAACATGACCACGCACCCTTTGAAATAGTCAACGCAGGTGACCATTGGTCTCGCAGTATATCAAGACAGATAGAACCGTTGGCGTTGATATTAGGATGGTAGATCTTGGTCGTGAAGGACACTTTGGGAGGTTTAAAGGGGTAGTCTGTGCGGTTAGTGGATTTCCTCCTTAATTTTGGTCTTCCACTTCAATATCATTTAGTATTCCCTTCGCCTCTTGATCATCCTTTCGATCTTTAATCTTGATCACCAAAACATTTGACCGCACGAGGGGGGATACAGTTGTCAATTAGGTAAGAACATACCAGTCGGGAAGGTCAAAGATCTGAAAGATCAGCTATGATGAAGTGCTACAAGAAGCAGACTTACAAGAAGAAGACACCACCGGAATAAGGCGAATCAGCCTGCTTTGTCAGCCCAATCTCATCCTTCTCACACGACCACCCCGCTTCTTCCTAAAAATTAAAATGATTAAAGTAAAATGAGAAGAGAGATACGGTAAACTTACAGGTCCCATGATAGTCGCTTGCCATTGAAAAAGATTATCACCGATCGGGCCGGCCGAGCAGGACGAAGGGGGGTCACGTCCTAGATCGATGAGTTCCTGAAGTAAGCACTTTGTTTTATGACTTGTCTTGCATCTACGTTCGGCCAAATGAGACATGACGTTGAGGGTAAATAAGGAGGGAGATAAAACGACGAAAAGACTTACTTTGTTGATACGTTTCAAAGCCATGTTGTAGAGTTATGCGATAAGCGAAAGAGAATCGAGGGAAGGGTGGCAAGGTCGGTCAGCATTTCTAACCTCTTACATAGTCTCTTCATCACCAATACATTTCAGATAGAGGAGAATAGTGACGAATAGAGAAGGGGAAGACATTGATTACAGATGGCTTACATGATATGTGATGAGAAAGAAGAGAAAAGTAGATGGAATGGGGAACGTATAGAGATAGAGTACCAAACGGGGAAAAGGAAAGGGGAAGGTCGTTCTTGTGGAGGACATGGTACCCGGTGTTTCGGCGAATTCTCAATTAGTCGAGTTGTGGCGGCTTCTAGCACCCTCCATCAATGCGTGTATTCCGCATGTCCCACCTGCTTACTTCACTTGCTTCACCACTACTACTATTTCTAGTCGTACATATTGACCATGTTGACAACTTACTGACTCGCTGACATGCTGCATGCTATACATTACAATGCTAAAAACACGTGTGTGCTGAAAAGCCTCGATCTCAGGTCTACAAAGCGGAATACAAAGTATATTTGTAATTTCCTCCACACATTTCCGATTGAGCTCCTGAACATGCAGTGTTACATTTTGAGGTTGAGTCGGTGATTGTGTCGATCGGAGTGGAAGATGCTCCGTTGGAGAAGGAATTCCCGCAGAAACCTTAACGTCAGTATTGACCTTGGTCAACGTGTCCAACCATAACATCACTATCATTCCTCACCGACACACAATCGTCCCTTACCTGAAGATGTCTCGATTCGAAGATACAGGTGCAATGAGAGAAGGAAGTAGAGGGAGAACAATGGACCGTGGGGAACGACATGGACATGGAGAGCGGGAAAGTTTAATGAGTACGAAATGGAGATCGAAATTCAAACCCACATTGAACCGAATACTCCGTTCCGGCCATAGTATAACCCTGTTCCGCACATTTTTGCGCACAAAGAGCACCCGACATAGTCCCCTTCTGTATCAAACTCGTAGCTTCAAAAGTCAAAGCTCTACCAGATTTCGGTTCAGCGAAACAACCTTTTCTGGTCCAACCCGTCGGTAAAGTTATACCAGCTATCGGAGGTGAAGGAGTTATATATAAAAACAAGGCGTTTGGACCACCACAATTTTCTTTTTTATTACCACCACAAGGCATATCTTGATAAAGTGATTGAAACTCCATTCGAAAGTGATGATCCACAATAACATTCTCTTGAATATTCTAATCCGGCATATTGAGATCCTTTTGAAGCGCAATAATTCAGACAGAGAGGAACGGTCATATTATCGCTAGCTAAAGAAGCTTCTGTCAATGCTCTTCCTACAGGTTCTTTTATACATGGTATGGAAGGATCCGCTATGCTCCATCCGTCTGGTAATACGGGAGATAATGTCAATTGGGTGAGATCAGGGGATAAATTGTTGGCGTTGGATTTGGTCGAAACGAATAATGATAATGCTGAAGAACCTCCACATATCTCCGAAGAGTCACCGACACAAGTAAGGAGACAGGTGGATGAACGAAGGAGAGAAGCTCCGTTGGATAGGTATGATCCACAAAAACATTGAGAACGATATTCGATTCCTGCCAAGGGCATGTTGACAGAATCGCAGAGTGCAAGACATGATTCGATGGTGGTATCTGTGAAATCATAGGAATAGGAGGTCAGGGCTCTGCCGGTTAAACCTTCGGAGATACATGGTGTAGAGGCTCGTTTCCATCCTGTAGGTAAGGGACGAGTGGATGATACGGATAAAGATACCGAGGATGAAGAGGAAGATGAGACGGACGATTTGCTTGTCGATGAAGAAGCGGATGAAGAAGACGATGAGAACGATGACGAGACAATTGTTGAACTTGTGGAGGATACTGAAGTGAATGACGAGGTGGAGGAACTCGATTTGCTGGTTGATGAACCAGGTGAAGCTGAAGGTGTTGCACTTTGTGACGTTGGAGAAGTTGACCCGGAACGAGAAGTACTACTAACTTGACTCGAAGTAGACGAAGGCGCTACCGACATTGAAGATCCTCTAGAACTGCTCGTCGAAGAAGAAGATGTAAACTTGGTGTCCCATGGGTTCTCCGTTGTACCTGGTTGATATGTATCCAAAGTAGGTGTAGGTTTTGGATTTTCCGTACCGAGGACAGCTACGTAGAACGAAAGTGCTGACCAGGATGATACCCCAGGTGGGAGATTAAGACCGTAGCTGGTTATCAGCCATCAATGCCTTGACACTCTCGTCTCTCAACCTTCAACCCCCTTCCTATAGCATAAGGAGATTGACATAGAGGTTCAAGGAGGAGAATAAAGAATAACTAACGTATCATAATACCACTCCTTGACATAACTCAGAGTATGTCCCTGCCATCCCCAACCGATGAAACTATCCCAATCGAAAAAAGGGAAAAACGACCATGGATCAATTTGGAACGGATACCATCCTGAAGCTATTGTTGTGCGTTTTTTCAAATCTTCATTTCCGTCTCTTCCTCTTGGTCCATGAATGGATATTGACTGAACTTCAATGATGAGTAGAAGATTGAAAAAGGTGTAGAGGAGGGTGGGTTTGAACATCTTTTCAACTCGCGCTTCTCAGGATTGACCGTTTAGTTACGAGTCCCCTGCAATCCCTGCAGCTTTTCCACTCAATGTGAGAGAATTACTGTTACTAGTGTGAGGGGAATGTCAGCTTGGTGAAGATCAGAAAGTAGGTAAGTAGTGAATGAACGCATAGGATCAGCTTCTTTTTTTCATTCGAGTGAGATCTTTCCGACCCGAGGTGGAGCAACTTGGACAGTAATAAAGTTTCAAAGCTTTCCTGATAATTGTCTCGGATGATAGTTTCCTGTTTTCATCCTACCTCGAACCACCGATGGACTATGGTACTATGTGTGTGTACTATGTGTGTTGGAGACAGAGAAGAGTTTCCGATTTCGGTTGTGTGCCTGTCTCCCTCGCTGGCTGCTGTTATGATGTCTTGCGTACTCTTCTCGCATTCCGCCACGTTCATCGGGATTGCCACATAATACAAAGTGCCACACTCACATCTTCCCCACTTTCCCCCACTCTTCTCTTCCCTTCCTGACATACTTCTTGTACCACAAGTCTCACCATGATGACACTTCTACACAGGGTGTCAAACCGTTTCGGACACCCCGACGATCTGTTCATATCCCACGGAATAGCACTGATTAGTAGTAAATTGTAATGCTTCTTCTTGACTATCGCGCACAGATCGAGTGAATTCTTGACACCCTCTATACAACATGTCTCTTCATTTGACAATAATACTGGTGGTCATTGCGACACTAGGATACTCCTTATCTCTTCACCTAGGTGAGAATATTATCTCGGACCAATTGAATGTAGTGGAACCCACGACGGGGAAACTAAACGTATGGCCCCTCCCTACGTCCTTCACGACCGGAACATCAATCTTATGTCTCTCAAACAATTTCAACATTTCTATACCACACGATACTCCTGAAGATCTCACTCGAGCTGTAGAAAGGACTCGAAAAAGACTACATGATAATACTCATCGTTATCTATCTGTACGAAGAGGAGAAGAATTCTTTCAATTCAAAGGTTGCGATAGTTATTCAAACAGTTTACAACTCCTCTTCACTGAACAAGACGACGACAAAAGAAATGATATGGAGACAAGAGAAAGAAAGAGAAAGTCAATCATGGACCAAGTCAATTATCCCCTGGAGGACAGATTGGAGTTGGAAGGATATAACTTGACTGTTTCTATGGATGGAAAGGCTGAACTGGTCGCTTTAGGAGCTTTGGGTTTGTTCAGAGGTTTGTCAACTTTTGAACAATTGTTTTATTATCTACCGGGATCTCATCCTTCTTCAATTATTACTCAGATACCTTTGGAAAGTGAAATATACGATGACTTGGAAAACACCCAAATACCTCGTCAACGTGACCATCTAAGTTTTCCCCAAGATAATCCTCGAGCCAAAGGGGACAAGCGAAATATGGAAGAGAGAGAGAAGGAGGAAGGGAGTAAAGGAATACATTACGCTCCATTTGCACCTTATCATATCTCCGATAAACCTGCTTTCCCATGGAGATCAGTTTTGTTAGATACTTCTAGACATTTCATCCCACTTCATTTTATTCTAAAGGTGGGCCTTCCCCTTTCGTTTCCCGACCATAGCCTCATTCCTCTTTCTAAGTTATCCCGTCATAGACCCTGCCGAAACGCTCTCTTATGATCAACTTGGCGACTTACTCTCCCTCCCTCGTAAACTCAATTGTCATCATCTCTGTCATAGTGAGGTATGGTCATGGCTGATGACCAGACTCTGGACACTATGGCCTTGGTTAAAGTAGGTTCTTCACACTTTTACAAAAATCAAGCTAATCTCACAGTTGAACGTCTTCCAATGGTGAGTGACCGTTTTGAGGAGAGGAGAATATGGCTGAGTAATTGGGCATATCACAGATTCTAATTCATGGCCTCTACAACTGAGTTCTTTCCCCGAACTTTCCAAACCCTGGGAACCGGAGGTGTATACAGAAGAAGAAGTCAAGGAAGTTATACGCTACGGCGGAGAGGTGCGTGTCTTTACTAACCTTTGTCATATCTTCTGTCGCCTCAATAGCTCGTACATACATATATTCCATATATCATCACCCTAGAGTGGGACAGCTCACATTTGTGGAAGGGAGAAAAGCTGAAAGACTAGAGAGGTATCGACGTCATACTAGAAATTGACACCCCCGGTCATACAGCCTCTATAGGAACATCACATCCTGAGAAAGTAGCGTGTCTCGAAAGTGCACCATGGAATAAATACGCAAATGAACCTCCAACAGGACAATTACGTTTCGCTCTTTCCGAAGTGGCCGAATGGACCGCCGGGTTGTTTGAGAAGATCATCAGTTTGACTAGAGGGAGGTATTTTGGGACAGGGGGAGATGAGATAAATATTGCTTGTATGGTGAGTAGAATTTTCTCTCCTGCCAATCTGCTCATCATGCTCCTACGTTTGCTACTTCAGAATGGAATCTTTCCAACACTATTGTCTGTGACCGATAAAGGAGAGGGAGATTTATGATATGGTCTTGGCTGATCGATCCAGTTGGGAGACCCACCTACTGTCGCACGATTGCAAGAAATGGGTTGGACTCTTGATGATGCTTTGGACGAGTTTGTCAATATTACTCATGGTGCTGTGAGAGAAGCAGGAGCTACTCCGGTAGTATGGCAAGAAATGGTATCTTTTTCTTTCCTTTTCTCCTTCCACTCCATATTACCTTTTGGCTTGAAATCATATATCATATCAACAGATCAAGAGGGTTCATCGAACAGTTCAAAAGGCTATATAAAAATGCTGACTTTGCGTGCAGGTATTGGACCACGGCGATTTGACTTCTTTGAAGAACGATACAATAGTGGCAGTATGGATCCAGGCTTCCGACGCTCAGCGGGTGGTGGAGAAAGGTTATCGGGTGATTCTTGCATCTGCAGATTACTTTTACCTGGCAAGTCTACATTCAATTACTATCATCTTCGGCTTTTCTCCCCTTGATCTTTTCAACGGTCCATTCTCTTCCATGCAAGGGTCATATGAACAATTATGATTCCTTCTTACCACTACAAAGTCCCATCGTCCGCGGGAGATGACATTCCTCTAAATCATAAGAATTTCTATGAATGAGACGAAGTTGTACATAAGGTTGTGATAATTGACTGAAAGGATTGCGGACAAGGTTCTTGGATCGCACAACAAGGAGGTGGAAATAGTTGGTGTGATCCTTTCAAATCTTGGCAAAGAATATATTCGTAAGTACATACTTATTCATCTTCTCCTTTCCCCTCTGCGTACCTCTATACTCTTTACATGATCAGAGGAGGACTGAATGACAGTTTCGACCCCTCGGTTTGGGTAACTCCTGATAAATTTGATCAAGTACTTGGAGGTGAGTTATTGTCATGTCACCTTCCTATCAGCCCCATATCTTCTCCTATCAGGATTACTCACATCATCTCTGTGTCACTTCTCTACTCCTTACATGCCGCACGAGCACTGACTCTTGACTTGCCTCGTGTTTCCTGGGGTAAATCCAACCAGACCCTTCTCCTGGAACCCTTAGCAAGCTACAGCTACGAACACAATCCGAGGAAAAGGATGGTTGAAATATTCTATATGTGGAAGAAACTGATAGAAGGTCAAACGAGTTTATGGACGGAACAAACTGATGAGACAAATTTCGAATCCACTCTTTGGCCAAGAGCGGCGGCTTTAGTAGAAGTATTTTGGACTGGGGGACCTTATCCTTTAGGTGAGTGGCTCACCTTTTGACCTTCGGACTAAATCCCCTTCCCGCTCCATAATCAGATTTTTCTCGTTTCCACGCTTAAGCCTCTTTGTAGTCATCTATGGTCTGTGATCTATCATCCACTTGGTGAGATTATACATCTATCCGTTTCAGGTGAAAATGCTCGAATTTGTACAGGCCATCATACAGACCCAAGCAGAGGAATGTGAAGGATAATGAAGAGTTTTCAAGATGCTGAGTGATACATGAGGCACCTAAGCAGACTGGGGTGCATAAAAATGTATTTGAATTAAAGAGCGTGAGATCTGACCTATAGACTCAAAAGTAGCAATGGAAAGGATGAACGATATTCGATATCGACTTGTCTCCCTTGGTATTTCAGCTTCGCCTGTTCAACCTCATTGGTGTGCTCTTAGACCTGGTTCTTGTGATGCGTAAAGTTTACATCTGATACTTTGTCTCAGTTCAGTTCTCAATGCTATACAAGGTCGAGTAACGGTTTGACGTCGGTATTAGTTGTCAAAGAAGTTCGTTATATCTGATAAATTGAAAGGTGGAGCTCCAGAATATGGACATTGTTCCGATGAAATGAAATGACCCTTGGAATGACAAGAAATGAAAGAAATGAACGAATGCATGATCATCAAAATGGGATTCCATCTACATCTTCTTCATCCAAAATTTCCATAGGTTCACCATCAACATCTTCCTCTTCTTTCAGATCGTATCGTCTCAAATAATTCGAACCGTTCATTGCTTCACCATCTACATCTTCCTCGTTCAAAGGCTCACCATCTACATCTTCCTCGTCCATAGGTTCCCCATCAACATCTTCCTCGTTCATTGGCTCACCATCTACATCTTCCTCGTTCATTGGCTCACCATCTACATCTTCGCCGTCCATTGGTTTCCCGTCGACATCTTCCACTTCTCCCATCTGCACAGCCGTGTCCGTGATAGAAACAGAAACGACACTTCCAATAGGTTTAAAGCTCGATTTGAATCCTCCTGATTTGAATCCCTTCATCTCCCCTTCAGACTTTTTCGGTTCCGAAGATTCCATTGTTGATCCTGATTTTGAAATAGTATCTCGAGACGTGAGAGATGATAAAGATGTCTTGCCTAGTAATAAATTCCGAAGGGTATCATTAACTCCTTGGTTGAATAACATCCTGAAGATCAATCATTGGCCAAGAGAATTGAATCATCATTTTGGAGTAGCACCGAATCTCCCATTGACTTTTTTAATTGCAATGAATGAGTGGTTACCTGGAAGAATGGCAATTCCCGAAATTTGGTTCATTGATTTATTGATCAAAACCCTCCTTCTAGTAGTTCAAATCACTTTAACAGTAGGGAAGGAGTAAAGCTACACTCTTAAGGAAAATGGGACGAGTCAATTCAGTATGAGATCATGATGGAAAAGTGGTCAAGTTGATACAGTACAGGTAGAGAAGGATGACCCACCAACGATCCCAGATATCCAACACGGCTAAAACTTGATTTCTAAATACCTCCGCACTGATTCGACCCGAATAAGCGTCCAAACTTTGAGTGACGGTACATAAGTGCGCGAAGACGGGTGAAAGACGGGATTCGAAAGCTAATCTGTATTTCCATACATTCGGAAGAGGAGAAGCCTGATGGTGAGTTTTTGTACAACCCAATGTAGATGTGGTTTTTTCCCTCCCCGGGTTCAACTTGAAGCATGGGACAAGGATATCACCACATGTACAATTCAGGATGAGATCTTTCACTAGTTGCCTTTTCTCATCCACCGTAGACTCATCTCCTCTGAGTTGGAGGTCGTGAGGTGGGAGATGAAGACTGGAGGGCGATTGAATGATGTTTATGACAAGGGTTCGATGAGAGATGAGCCTTGACTTGTGGATGTGAAGTGACAAAGTATGGCGGAACGAGAACAATGATCAGAAGGATGAAACCAGAGTAGAGTATGACCAGGTGGTGAATCATCTGATGCGCATGGAAAATCTGAGAGGGATAAACTCACGGAATTATGCAAAATATCAGAAACCAAATGCAACCTCGCCATTTTCCTAGGAACAGGTGTTCCACCCAATTTTAAACTTTCACAAACCATCTCAGCCACTTCATCCGCAGCTTCCGCACGGACCAAAGCGAATTCCATAGCTCTAGCAATTTCCGCCCTTTTCCCACTCATCACCCTTAACAATGCTTCGAACCTTTTCCTAGCTAGTTTACCAAGATGACCTTTGGCAGTACGTTCTTTCTCACTTTCCTCTGCGGAATCGGTAGAGTAGACGGAAGCTATACCATCATCGATGAATGGGTCAGGGGGAGGTGTAGGGAATCGATATCGTGATGAGAGGCCTGATCGATAGAGATGGTATTCTGGCAGCTGCACATGAGTATGGGCTGTGTCCTGTCCCTTGCGACAAGGGTCGAGCATATTAAAGGTCCATTGGAGAGAATTCACGTGCTGAAGTCTATAGCAGTAGGCAGGGATGGGACGCAGGTAAGTGGAGATGATTTAGCGGTCACTTACCGTGTTATCAGACAAAAAATCATACTTTTTATTCCCCTTCTCTTTCATTCTCAAATCTTCGGCATATCCACTTCCTCTATCTCTGATCTTCCTCGCTACACCTTTGACAAACTCCGCGCGGTCTTTGTCTATCTTCGCTACCCATTGATCTCGATAAAGATCAGATTTGGAAGGAGGACTCCGTGATCTTGATCTTGACCTGGAATCGGAATACGAAGAGTAAGAGGAAGACGAATAAGACCGTCTACGAGTCCGACCACGTGAGTCAGATCGGGAACGTTTACGACTTCTCCCCTTTGAATCTGAAGGGGAGCGTCTACGTTTGGGTTTCGGACTACGAGAGCGGGAAGAAGAGGTAGAGTCACGGCGTTTGTTCCGAGTGCTTCGGATTCGAGGAGAGGGGGAACGTTTGATGCGACCTGTGGTGATGTCTGAGATGAGCTGATCGTTCGGGACCATACCAACAGTCGGTGGGGGTAGCAATGTGGGGATCAAATATCTGACAGTTGAGTGCCAGAAGTCAGACGAGAAGGGGTATGGAGAGAAAGACACGCGAAATATGTAGAAAGGTGGGGGAAGGACAGAGACAACAACGAAAACACACCATAGATCGGTTTACTAGGTTTTGGAGCTGATTTACTCCATGTCACTCGGATGATAGTCCCACCCCAATCCAACTGATCGTTCGCTTCGAGGGCCAGTTCAGCATCCCGACGTTTCATAAAGTTGACAAATCCCATCAAGCCTCTCGTACCCCTACGATCTTCTTCACCTCTGGCTGATCATCAGACAAGCGTGCTGGGAAGAGTAAACCTACGCCACATGATCTTGACGGTCCCTATCGGGCCGTGTTTGGCGAAGAACATTCCCAGGCTTTCTTCTGTGATATTTTGAGGGAGATTGGTCTGTTCTCAGTCGATTCCTGTTCTACTCCGTCCGACATGGTCTCAGATACAGTCTAGCGGTGGTGTATTCACAGCTGACCGTTGAACGCCGAATGATTTGTGCCGTACCTCAGTTTCTGGGGGGATAGTAAAATAGTGAGACAAGGGGGGAAGGGGATAGTGGGAGGGAAGCAGGGAGTGAGGGGGAAAAAAGCGACAAGGTTGACACATACGATGAACAGATTTGTCGACTCGCCCTCTTCAGGAGGCTTTCCGCCTTTCTCATTCTCCCAAGCTTAGGTAATCAGCACCAAACGAAATGGTTTAATGGTTCATTAGCAGACCTGCGAGCGCGGCGATGGATGAGCCTTCTACTATAGAGGATTTAGCTTATCGTCCTGAGTTCTGACAAAAGTGAAGACGTACGTTGGGCAGTCCGGCCTAATCTTTCTTCCCGAGCAGCTTCGTTTCTTCTCGTCAGCGATGTCAAGTATCAGTCGATGAGACGGGACCTTTTCAATTCTTCTAAAAACGCGTCCATGGCTCGTTTTCCTCGAGGCTTTGGGCCTGGAGGAGGGGAGGGTTGTTTTGGCGGAGATGGTCTTGTTGGCTGTTGATAAGCATCATACAAGCATGCGGCGGTTTAGGAGACTGCAATGTCCTACAGAGAGGGAATCGTGCGACGAGAGTACAGTTGGAAAGATAGGAGCTCTCGGAGGAGAAGGGGGGAGGGGGGGAAGGAGGCGTGGGTGGGAAGAGGAGGAGGGTCTTCAGAAAGTGGTTGAAAGGGATTACCCACCCTGCCATAACCCATCGCTGCTGGTCCTCTGGGAATGTTTTCCATAGATTTCGGACCTTTGGGAATAACAGGCGCAGGTGTTGTTGCAGCTTTAACGAATCCTCCAGCAGGAACGAATCGATTCCGAGTCGTAGATCCTGAAGGTTTCTCGAAAGCTTCTTCATATTCCGCCATGACAAGTTTAGCGGCTCTGTCTGTCAACTTCTTCCCTCCATTCTCATATCTACTCCCGCTTCCATACAGATTAGAATGATATATCAAGTCATGGATCTGGAAATGAAAGCGTTCATAGCAGTAAGACCAGGGAAGACAGGTCTAAAGGGGAAAAGCTCAAAACTCACTCTTCATCCTCTTTCTTCCTCCTTTCCTCTGCTTCCCTCTCTAAATCTTTCTTAGACTTTTTGGTATTCCCTAAAGCAAAAACCTTTGATTTCAAATCTGTCAATTCCAACTTTGTCTGAGTGTCAGTCTCAGCGCCGTTTGTATCGTCCACGGGGGCGTAAACGCCAAAACTGACCTTGGGTACGAAAGGATTATCATCGTCCGAATCGTCATCTCTGAACCTTGAGAGGTCTAATTTACGGGACATGGCGTTTTCATCCGATCTTTCTCAGTCTCTTTACCTCTCTGTATGCTGCAAGCTGGTTTGAAAGATGTCCAAAATGGATGAAAAACAAACAGAGAGATGTAAAGTATGGGGTTTCATTGATTTTGTATGACGATTTGAAAGCGGAGATCGCCGCTTCACTTTCCTTCACTCACCCCTCCCAACGTACTCACTCAGCCTTCTCCCTGCTTTTCTTACTTTTCTTATAACTTAGTCATCAACAACATTCACCAGAAAGCTATCATACCAACAAAATGGAAGACATATCAGCATCTATCCCTGATATGATACAAGATGCCAGAGTGGCAATGCGGACCCGGTTCGAGACTCAGGAAGCTGTTGAAGAGGCTAATGAGAGGAAAGAGCAACAATGGAAAGAGGCGTATGCTAGGTGAGTCGAGGGGTTTTTCCTCCCATCCTCTCCATATAACATCATAAATCATTGTCCGCATGATCTCAGACTTGGCAAAGAGGGGGACTTGAGAGACTGGTGAAAAGAGGTTTATGTGATGTTTTGTGTTCAAGCTGGAAATATCGACATTATTCTGAGAGGGTGAAAAGATGCTGATGTGTTAGAATAGGACAAGAACCTCCAAAAGAAAGAGAAGAAATCGCACATGATGGTAGAACGTTATACGAAAAAGTTAAAGCTGCCGAAGTGTGTTTTTTTTTTTTTTGATTAGATTATCATTCATATCATTCATATCATTCATATCATTCATATCATTCATATCATTCATATCATCCCAGTCTCCCTATCACCGTTCTCACAAAGGGCGACGTATGATGATCCGTCAATATGAGACATTTGTCATGTCGTATGAAATGGGATTGATATGATAATGATAATGATAATGACAATGATGATATTGACAGACAGGACGCAAGGACAGCGGTATGGGATGAAAAAATGAAATTATCAAATCAATATCGTGGATTGAACGCTGAGGAATACGCTTTTTTATCTGATAGGGATAAAGAGAAAAGAGAGAAAGAGAAAGCTGTGAAAGAAGAAGAAGCTAGAGAACTTGTCGGGTATAGAGAGTGAGTCGGAAATTCGTTTTTTCAATATTCTCTCTCTTACTCTTCTTCGATATCCTCTTCTTCAGTTTCTCTCTCACTCTCGGTGGTCGTTAATCCAACCTCCCAGTCAATAAAACTGGCTTTTTCATGAACGACCTCTCATCTGAAAATTGTGACAAGATGTATTTCTGGGTTTACGTGGAAATACAACCTCACTGGTTTCCCCCAAGACCGACCGCTCCTCTGTCAATTGTGACAGCAACTGTTTCTGGGTCTACGTGGAATTACAACCCCACTAGTCATTCTCAAGCCCGACCGCTTCTCTGTCAATTGTGACAACAAGTGTTTCTGGGTCTGTCAAGTAATTACCACCCCACTAGTCTTTCCCAAGACCTACCACTCATCTGAGACTGTAACTTCATTGTTATCTGGGTCTCCATGGAACTACACCCCCTCTAGTCTTTCTCAAGCCCGACCGTCACAGTTGTTATCTATTTATGGCAATACAAAGCCTCCCTTGAACCTCTTCCAGACTTTGAGACAAACCTCACTAGAATTATATTGACAACTTAGAGCCTTAGCAGCTAAACATCTTGATCCTCCCACTCTTCCTCGTCTTCTCAACCCCCCCTTCACATCCACCCCTTCCACATCCACATCCACAACAACAACGACGACCCCACGATTCCCACCTAAAGCAATAAAGAAAGATGTCCGATCTTTACTCAAAGGAGTAGTGGTGAAGAAGAAAAGTAAGATGGAACCTATTGGTAAAGGACTCGGATCGGCTTTATCCAAAATACCCCGTACTTCCACGTCTTCTCTCGTTGAAGAAAGAGGGAAAACTTCGTTGGAGAACGGCTCGGTTTTAGGTAAGAGATCGAATGACGGTTCTTGGAGTCGAGCAGTAGAGAGAGGTTCAGAGAAAAGAGGAAGGGAGAGTGAAGTAGGGCAAATGGGAGGTGGAGAGGATGGAGGAATAGATAGAAATCAAAATGAAGAAGACGTGGGGAGGAATGCGACGAAAGAAGTGGAAGAAAGGGAAGAAAGTGCAGAATCAACAGGGAAAAAACCCAGGTTGATAGAAAAAGAAACATAGACCATATTCTTCATCTTGGATCTATGTACTGTCCCTTCTTTCTTGTTAACACCGTGTTATATTCCCCCTCGATCATTCTTTTCTCACAAGTATAAACCATCACATTTCTTTCATTCTCACACTAAATATCGACACGTTTTAACAGATCACTTCCTCACATCTCACTCCACACTCCATCTAATAAGTTACGGAGAGTGGAGATGACGAGGAGTGTCGAATGAACAAGAAAATGATGATGAGAAAAAAAGGAGCTAAACTACTCTGGAACCCGACATGGTTCCACGGACCAAATACCATCGGCGTAATCCTGAACGGACCGATCAGACGAAAAGTCTCCCATGGCAAAAGCCGTCAATATAGCTTTTTTGGTCCATTCTTCCGGATCATTCTTGAATAAGTCATCGACCAATCGTTGAGCTTCGAGATACGACCCAAAGTCGTTCGAGACCTGGACATCAGTTTAGTACCAAGTAATTCAAAGAGAGCTGACGAGGTAATAATCATGTTCGTACACCTGCATGTCAGCGTGAAACGTTGAAGAAAGAGTAGAAAGACTGACAGTCTGGAGAAGGGCTTCGTAGATGTGTCCATCACCAAAGGTACCGCTTTCGATCATCTTGAAGACTTCTGCGAGCTGGACGTGAGCAAAGGCTCTGGCGGGGGTTCATGCGCTGAAGCTGCACTACGTAGGTGCTGAAGGCATGGCAGCATGTATTTCGTTGGATATCGGACAGAATAAGCCAGCCATCGAATGAAATGAACAGACGGACGGAAGGGGGATGGGCACGGCTGTTGGAGAGACCTTGGCCTGAACGAAGGGGGTAGCAAGCGCATGGCTTAACAGACCGTGATAAGAATCATCGACCCACCTCTGGAGACCTTTGTTCAAGCGGCAACGCATTGTAGCTGTTGTTGAACCTGACCTGCGCCACCTGGTCCGCGAGGTGACCAAACATGAAACACTGGTCCTCTCCTGCATCCTCTGCGATCTCCCTGTCGCCATTAGCTATATCGATGAACATTCCAGTAGACTCACACGTTGGCACCGTCCACCGTCCCGAGGAGAAGGGCGCCGTTGAGGGCTAATTTCATGTTACTCTATTGCTATTAGCTTTACAAGGCAGTCGAGTTCGGGCCTTACAGTTCCAGAGGCTTCAGTGCCGGCCGTACTGACTTGCACGCTGACGTCTGCGGCGGGAACGAGAACTTCGGCGATGGACACGCTAGACATGTCAGCTGACCTCTCGTCTTGAGCGAGCTGAAGTATGAGAGAATGTCGAGAAGGACAGTGAGAAGGGATTTTCGAAGAGGTAGGTGACGGCGTCCCAAACATGGCCTACTAACGGGCATCTCTATCCCCTGATGACAGATAAGGGACAGGAGAAAAGGTCTCTCCTTCAGCCTGGATGAGCGAAGAGAATTTGAAACAAAAGGTAATGGATATAGCGAGAAAAGTCCCAAAATCTCACCTGTAATCCGGGATGAAGCAAATCCTCAACAGATCCCCCACATCAGGATCATTGTTCTTGTCCATCAGTCTCCGCCTCAATATCTGAAATCAATACATACCACGACCTTGCCAACATTCACGATGAGTCTGATGACCAACTTGGCAATGTAATACCCTCACATGTCAGCTTCGCCTTGACAGGTACATACCAGCTCACCTGGGGCTGCTTTACCGGCAAAGATCATCGTCCACGGTTGCATCTTTTTCTTTTCCTCCCTTGTCGCAGTCTTGATTTTGAGGTAACGGTAAATCATCGAAAAAATAGTAATGGTCTGTCGTTTGTATTCGTGCAAACGCTTGATTTGACAGGCGAAGATACTGTTGACGTTGATGTCGATACCTAGTTCCGATTCAAGGACGTCGGCGAGCTGAGGTCAATCGAGGATTCTCTCTCGGTTTCCGAAGTACAGCCTGTGCGCATGGACTCTGTCACTGACAATGCGCAGAGTGGAACATCAACCCGAGGGATAGCTCGTAATGGCCATATAAATGGAGACAGCATGGACTAGGGTCCCAGAGGTCCGTCCAAAGTGAAGGGGTCACAGGGGAGAGGGGAAATGATGGTTGGTGAGATATAACTCACTCTGCCCTTATTCGACTGTTTGATAGCCTTGAACGCACTCCTAAACTCTGCATTATCTCCCATGGGTAAGAGATTAGTGAGCAATTTGGCATTAAGCAACCATTCTTCGCTTCCTAGCGTGTGTGTGACAAGCGCCGCCAACTCGGGGTTGCATTGTAACAACCATCTGATGGTCAATTATCATAAGATCTCATGGGGTCGTTGGACGAACCTGCGAGGGGTGATTCCATTCGTCACGTTGGTGAAAAAGTCTCTTCCTTTGAATTCGACAAAGTCGCGGAAGATTGTAGCTTGCAAGAGCTGACTGTGGAGTTCGGCTACACCGTTGACCTTGAACGATCCGACGATGGCTAGGTTACTGCGTGTCAGCTCAGTGACTATATAGATAAAGCTATTACGTACGCCATGCGGACGTATTTTGGAGATCCCTCTGAAACATCAGCCATGTCTGAGAATGAGCTGAGACCACCCACCTTGGATAATACTCATGCGAGCGAGACGATCAACGTCGTTCTTAAAGTCAGCGAGTGTCAAATTTTTCATCAGGTTGCTTGTGTATTGGACCTTCAGACCAGAGAAAAGTCGGTAAGAGCAAGTGAAGCAGAAATGGAAACTTACCGGCCAACGTTTGGCAACTTGGTTCAGGAAATCACTGGCAATCAGTCATAAGTCCCTGGTAGAACGGGGTCACACAACACCCACTAGTTGATCTTGTAAATGATTTGCAGATGCCTGGGTAGAAGTTGCTCAAACAAGCTCAACTCCCACTTCTCCAGAGCTTCAGGAAGGACGGTGTGACTATTGTTCAGCTATACCACAGACGCCTGATAGCTGACTTGCTTGGTGTATGCGAAGACCTTTGTGGTGATCTTCCATGCCTGTTCGTATGAGAGCTCTTCTTCGTCGATGAGGATCCTCATGAGCTCAGGGATCGCGATAGTCGGGTGTGTATCATTCACTGTACGTATAAGCCGTGGAACCACTTCGAAGATTCAAGGGAGAATGATGATATTTGTTAAGAGGCTGTTCTGCTCACTCTGGATGCAAACGTATTCTGGCAATTTGCTCCATGACAGGTCAAGCTTGGTGTATCGACGCAGGATATCCTGCAAGCTAGCCGAAGTCCACTGTTTATGTCAGCTCATTTCACGACTTGCAGATGCTCAGCTGACGAGGTATTGTTGCTGCAAGCGGAGGAGTTTGCCTTGGTACATATTGTCATTGGGATAGAGTACACGGGTCTGACTGTCAGTTCGGGCATCGGTGGAAGCGTAAACTGACGATATTCTCCACGCTGCTGCTTGCCGACACACTGGCTTCGTAGTTTCCAGCTGCGACGTAAGCACTGGACATCACATGTGGGATCTCAATGACACAGTCAAATGCTGTGTCAACGACAGGACGTTTCCATTTGTGAAAATGCGCTGTCCGGGCGGGAGGGGAGGGGAGGGGGGTGGAAGGGGACCCAGGAGAAGGTATAGGGAGTCGAAGAGAGAAGCAGGAAAGTCTGTAAATGCACGCACCATTGAAGGAGTTGAGATCGAATCCCGAAATAGGCGTAGCTTTCCAAAGTCGGATGTTGGCACAGTTTCTATCCATCAGACCAGTTCAAATACTTATGTACAACTCACTTGGTCGCGAAACCGGGGATGGGTGTATCGTACGCGACCGCCATACATTCCATCCCTCCGGTCCAACGAGCCCGGTCGGTATTGGGGATAGTCTCTACATTACCGAAGAATCGGATAGGGTAAGAGACGTCCAGACGGGCGATTTCCCATGGCTATATGGTCAGCTCAGCTGCAACTTCTGATTTCAATCCATGATACATGGGTCTTGTTTTCGGGGTAGTAAGGAAGATATGAGAAACGTACGTTTTCACGGTCCAACCACGGATCAGGAGCTTCGAGCTGTTCTCCAGAAGACGAGATGAGTTGTTTGAAAATTCCGTAATTGTCTGTTACAAGTCAGCTCACTCGGTGAAATTGCAGAAACAGCTGACATCGGAGACCATAGCCCCAACCGGGGAGACAAAGAGTGGCCATACTATCGATCTGCTGTCAGTATCGTCCACTTGGTCACAACTCACATAACAAGCCGCTAAACGCCCGAGACCACCGTTACCGAGACCTGCATCTCTTTCCTGGTCAAGGAGGTCTTCAAAGTTCTGAACAGTCAGCTGGTCAGGTGGTATGGGCGGAAGGGATAGCTCACAAAGCCAAGCTTGCGAGTTGCTTCTTCGTATGTGTTCCTCAAGCCAAGGTTCAGCACGGCATTGTCGAGCGAACGCCCGATGAGCCATTCGATAGAGAGGTAGTAGATCCTCTTTGGCGCACGGAGAGTGTGGTGGCTGTGGGTGAGCACGACTCTTTAATCTCTGTCTCGTCTTTGTCTCACCCAGTGGTCTCGTTCCAGCGTGTGAGAAGCTGGTCGCGAACCGAAAGGGCAGTCGCTTGGTACGCTGCGAGCTGAGGGATCAGCATATGTTTGTGCTATTTGCCAGTGTCACCACACCCTCCTCTCCGTTCAAACGGAGAGCAGTGCTACTCTCACGCTGGAATTGAAACTCGCATTTGAGTCAAGTACACCCCGAGTCAAAGCTAAGCAAAAGAACAAGTGGGAAGGTGCAAGAGCCCGACAACCAGTGTGCCACTAAATAGGGACGATGACACCTAGGGGAAGACAGGGTCATACTCACCTCATCGACATTGAACGCCTGTCTTGCCAGAGTGGTATTGACATGCCTCACGACCCTATTCGCGACACCTTGTACGTCATTAGGCTCCATCTCTTCCGCTTTGAGAGCAGTCTTCCAAGTGTCTTCGTCCCCGATAGGCCATTCTCCTTCCATAGACACAACTCCGGGTTGAGAGGGGAAGTATGAGCCTGACTGTTAGCGTCATGTATACATAGTGTTGTATGTTATTTCATATCCCACATATCACTCTTAGACCGGATACGAGAATCATCACGATTTAATCACATCTATCTCAAGATTGGTGAGTGTGGCTTGATGTGTGTGTTGGATACATCAAATGGATTGAAGAGTATGCCATTCCACTCGTCCACCATGTACCCGACCAAGGAAAGGAAAGGATGAAATGAACTCATTGTATCCAATCACAAATATCTGAAATACTGTACACATTTCATTCCATGATAAGCCGCGACGAATAGTGAGGGGGGGAGGGGGTTGGGCATGAGGAAAGACGAAGAAGCGGAACACAACTCACCAGTCAAAGATCTCTGATGAGAAGGTCTTTCTTTCCTAGGGGTAACAACAGGAACCCCAATCTCCCCAACGTTAACATTATGCGTAGGACCGATATTCAATCTTTGTCCTGCTGACATGGAAGAACGTCTTGATAAACTTTGAGGTTGATGTAACGAAGGGGTACGTGATCCCGATTGACCAGAATGGACCGAATGTCCCGAAGGTGTACGTCTGACCTGAGGGGCTGGTATTTAGTACTATTTCTTTTACTTCTCCCCACTACTTCTCTTGTTGACTGATCATCCTTGGTGGAGAGATATCCAGGTGGGGAAGCTTTCTTGACTGTTTGTCTAGTCATTGTCTGGGACGGAGGGAAGGAGGGATGGATTAATGAACGTTTCTCTTCCAAATTCTTTCTAGATGATATAAGAGCATGATGGAAAGAATGAATGTACACATAAGAGAGTAAAGAAGAGAAGTCACTCCCAGTCGAGGATAGATTCAGCCGGAGGGAATCTTTGACGTATGACTAGGGATGCCCAAATCAACGAAGAGGAATCGAATAAACTCACCACTAGGCAACTTTGCCACATTATCCTGAGTCAACGACATGTTGTCCTTGTTTATCCAATACCTCGTCCAGCAAGTATGCTAGAGAGATGAGAAGAGGATGAGAAGGAAGAGGGCGTTTGGTGAGAAGGGTGTTGGATGGAATGTGTGTGTGTGAACCGGCCGAGAGAGCCGGGTAAAGTACGTAGGGGGCGTGCGTCATCTCCACTTTTAACCCACGTGTGGCATAAGGTATACCTACTATTTTGTGGCACATGCAACTATTTGCTACAACTTATATACTTTACCTATATATATTCCATATTCTTTCCTACAGCGTGAAACAATAGCCATGTACAATCACAGTCATATGTGTAAAGGTCCAATCTCACAATTCAGGTAGTGTAGATGATGAAACCACTCGAGGGAGGGAACATCCTCTCAAGACAACCCTCCACCATCTTCCCCATCCTGTCGATGGACCAGCCTTGAATCCGTAATACGCCACACCTATACCTAACAACATCACTCCTATAGCCAACACTGTACCTTTTTTATCCCTGGGATAATGTATACGCCACTTGGGCTTCCTCCTCTTCACTGGTAAAGGAGGTTCGTCGTCTTCTTCCGAAGGTAGGGCATTGACAACGTTGAAATTTACCAATCTCGCAATTTTCGTCAGTGAGGAAGATTGAGCAATGACAGTTATAAGAACAAGCTCTTTCTGCGATTCGGTCTCGATATCGGATACTCTTGACACACCGGACTTGTTGTTATTGACGACCTTTTGCGACTCAGGCGAAAGGCGAGGAGGTTGGGGGGAGATGGAAGAATCATAAGTAGAAACAATACTTCCAACACCCATAATCTCCCTTCCTCGTATATCCTCTCCATCCCACGGATACTGCAACATGAGTTTATCCGCCAGTGCGAATAATTCCGATAATGGGATAGGTTCATAAGGGTTCACAGCGTCTGGATCAGACATCAACGTTGAGGATGAGGTGGGGAGAGGGTGAAGGGTAGGAGAAGGTGTGGGATGAGAAGGTGTATCGGGGTATAATGGTGGAAGACGAGCGAAGAGTGGATGAAGGAGTGAAGGATCGGATTGAGCTTCTGGACCAAGAGATTTGACTAAACGGAGAAGTTGCGGTTTTTTAGCGACGAGGATCTGTTAATTAGTTGAGACCCGTACGGATGTGATTGTACGTGTGGCCAACCAGATACATGGGCGGGTAGAGACGGATATGATGGAAAGCATATTGAGAGAGATGCATGGTGAAGAGGATATGTAGAGATACGTATGAAGAGTAAAGACGATTTGACACCCACAGCTACGGCGAGATAAATGGCGGAAATTGGATTTCTAGCCAGGACAAAATCGAACATTCTCTGTATCGGTTCCAAAGTATCTACGTCGTGTGAGAACAGACACAAGATCCAAGAGAGAGCGAAGAATGGTAGTGTCGGAACGGGAGATATAGTCGAGGAGAATTTAGCTAATCGAGGATCTGCTCGGTAGAGGATACGTTTGAGGATCCTGTGGTTTCAATTAAGCTGACTCTATTGGGAGTATCTTCTCACTTCACCAATTCACTGAACAGGGAACCTAAATAAATACAAGCACATGTACTTTTCACGTGTCTATCTACCAAGAGTGTGATGTTACAGCTCTGTATGTGGTGTATATCAAGCGATAGCCGAATTAAGTGACTTGACGGAATATAAGATGTAGACGCGTGAAAGTGAAGATTTCTATGTGAATAGAAGAAACACGGATGGGATGGTTGACAATAGATAAAGACGACTAACCGCAACATCCCCATCATAGGTTCTAAACCTTTTCCCATAGCATCCCTAACTCTACAAACGCTAATCACTTCGGCGCATTTCCTCAACATATCCCATTCTGGAGTATCACGTCCTTCCTTTCCAATTGAATACGGCGGGGGTTTATCTTCAAGTTCATGTCTCACATCATCTGTTCTGACGTGGTTCATATTCGGTGATAAGGGAGAAGAATCCAGCGAAGAGGTCTGATCTGTCCCTAGCCCCGGAGGGGTGTCCAACTTGACGAGTAAGTCTTGTTCTGCTATCTTGTCATCGTGATTAGAAGAGGGTGGAGAAGAGTTGCTATGGGGGTTTATGGTTGACGCATGAGTGTTGACTGGAGAATTACGAGGAATCTTTTCGATCTTTGACTTTGGTCGACTACGGGAAGAAGGGGAAATGAAAGTGAGGTATAAAACCGACATTATGTCGTGGAAACCCTACATTTCAGCGATGTGTCACTAGACAGATTGCCCACAACAGTAGATCACATCTTTAGTAGCAGCTGCGGTGACTTTAAGTAGAATCATGACTTACAAGAAGTGAAGAAGTGAGGAAGAGAAGACAAGAAAAGTACAAGAGAAGAGAGAAGAGAGAAAGAGAAAGAGAAAGAGAAAGAGAAAGAGAAAGAGAAAGAGAAAGAGGAAACACAGTCAAACTCACTTGAAAATAACTCAACTCAGGATATTTCCTCAATATACCAACTATCAAATCATGTAAATCTTCTTGCATATTTTCTTTATCTTCCAATGGGATCCCAACGGGATAAGTAACGAAAGAACGTTTAGTATCTAGTGAAACTTGATATTCGTCCCTATGATGTTCTTGCGATTTTTCTATTTGTCCATTTGAAGGTTCCTCTTCAAGTTCATTCCCACCCATGAATTTCTCATTTTCGTTGATCAGGGACTTCTGTTCCACTCCATTATGTGTGATAATCTTCGTTTCATCGTCATTCTGCAATGGAGGCTTCTCTTGCCGCTTAGATTGATCAGATTTGTCATTTGCAGAAACGTGTCTCTCTCCCGGAAGGTGGTTTGGAGATTGTCCATTTAATTCTTTCCTCTCCTTCGAGATGTTGTCAAGTTTTGTATCGTCTGGAAAATATTTATCCACACAGAGTAATACTGGCCTATACATCAGTTTATCTCTAAAGTCATTCATACATGATCTAGAAGGGACGCTTCCCAGATTAATAGCTTGGTGATCATTGTCAATATTTCCCAGTGGGCCATGATCAAGTCGAATAGCATGAGGATAGAGCGTGGGAATTGAGGAAATGAGGAAGGAGTGGTGAGGATACCAAACTCAAAGATACACTCACCATACCACCCTCCTCATCTCCTCACTACCATACCCACCAGGTAAACTAGAGACCTTTCTTAAAGTTTCCAAATCACCATCTTTCAAAGCTAAACGAACGATTTCTTCCCTTCTATCCATCCATTCTTCTCTTTTTTCCCCCTCTACTCCCTCATCAGACATGTTCCACCAAACACTCAACGAATGGGAATTTTATGTATAGTTCTTATCAAAGTGGACTGGCTATGGTGTGGAATGAAAAGATAAACGCAAGTCAGGGAAAAGATGTTGTGATTCTTGGCGATCGGAACGATTTGAACGTGTTTTTCTCTATACGTCTTTTCCTCCTCATCTCTATATGTCTCTTACTCTTTGATGAAATTTTTATCAGGAGTATCACGTCAAGCCGCTAGCCGCTCAACTGTGAGATTCGACAACGTGTTGAAGTGTACGAGTAGCCATCAATAGGGTGGACAGGTTGTCCGATAGGGTGGGAAGAACCCAGGGATCCAAAGATGACCTCATTATTCTCATGTTTCTCAAGTCTCTTCGACATATGTTGTTCATCCGTCAAACCCACTCCACCTCAAACACAAAACGAACAACAGTATCATCCTCAAACACAACAATATCAATATTCTCAAAACGTTCCTTATCCCCAAGGACCTCAATATCCTCCTAATCAACATCTGGTCCAACCTTCTTATCAGGAATATCCTGCACAACCTCAGATTCCTGGACAATCTCAAGGATATCAAAGTCAGGGATCATACCAATCGTATCAACCACAAGTAAATCCGTACCAATCACAACAACAAGCTTACCCGCCTCAACAACCGATATGGAATCCTTCACAATCTACAGGAGGTCAACATGCGGCTACTACATTTGCCCAAGCTGCCGGAGAGAGTACACACGGTGGGAAACATGGAGGAAAACAAGGAGGAAAGAAGAAGAAGAAAGAGAAGAAACAAAAACTTGATGGAACTGGAAAACCCAGTGGACATGTGGGAGGATATGGGGCAACTGGAAGTGCCGGATATGATGGGTTGCCAGTTGGAGGAGTTGTTGGACCTCATCATCCTGCTTTCCATGTGGGTATCTCTTTTCTTCAACAGTCGTATAGGCTTGTTATGAATAAGTATGAGATATGGAAATGAAAGTTGAATTAATGATAGAATTCCGATCAAGTGAACGCTACCAACTCTAGATACTTATCATTGAGAGAACAAGCTCGGAAAGAAGGTGATGAAGCACATCGGTATGTCTTTCATCCTCTTGCCACTTCTCCTTAATTCTCAACCCTCCTTCTTCACTCTTCGTCATCAATTACCGTAGAATCTTCTACCTTCCATTTCTTCCCACCCACTACGCAGGTGTTGAACTGATAGCTTTGACGCGGTGTGACATGACTGGTATATCCCATGAATAGGGATAAAAGCTGAATACAAGATGTTTCTCAGAATCTAAATCAGCATACCAGTAAGTCTCCCTTTCATCTATTCTCATAAATAGAGGTTTAAACGGGTATACGTATTAATGACAGGATCGGAAATGGAGCAAAAGCAAAAGAATCAAGTATGGAAGCTAAACAACATCAAAAAAGACAAAAAGAATTAGATGAAGAAGCTAGTAATTGGATTTTTCACGGTAAGTCTATCATTTATTCTTCAATTTTAAATTATTTTATCGATCTGATAAATTAGAAAATAACCAATCTTCACCACCTAACACAATTGACCTTCATGGTTTATACGTAAAAGAAGCTTTGGAACGTGTTGAAACTGCGATTTCAAGAGGACAAAAAATGAAACAAAAAGAATTAAAAGTTATTGTTGGTAAAGGTATACATAGTCAAGGACATGTAGCAAAGGTTAAACCTGCTGTGGAAGGGTTGATGATGAAGTGAGTTGTTATAACTTCCGATTCTGGTTTCCATCTTCCATCTTTCATCTTTCATTTTCGGACTACGGTCAAATTGCCACACTACTTGATCTTCCATCTTTTATTTAATCTTCTTCCTACACTTAACTCATCTCTTCTAATCCGCAACATTCCCCTACAAGACCTAACTACCATACGTTCCAAAAGCCTTAATTGGTGTAAAGATTAAACACGATGTACCTCTATTCCTTCGTCAAAGAGAGAAATGCCGTTTCAAGGGAATTACATATATAGTTGGAAGATTCGAAATTCCCTTGAAAAACAGCTGATAGATAGATACAACCTCTCCGCCCATCTCGACCCAGATAATCCTGGTGTTCTCATCGTTCATCTTACCGGATCGGACGGGATGAACCCCAATGGAAATTCAAGAGAGATAGGAAGTTTCGTAGATAATTTAGGGGAGAAAGGGAATGATGGATGTTTGATCATGTGATTGTGAACAGAGATCTTGAATGATGAGGTGTGGTAGTTGGGCGAATTAGCTAATTGGGAATCGTTGGAATCTGGGAATTTGGACATTGATATTTTAATAGTTGGGCCTAGGGATTTCAATAATTTTTGTATTTGGACGTCTAGAGATGCTTTGAATATGTTCGCCCTGCAACACGTCGGATATCTTGATACTAACTGACAATGGTTTATGAGATGTGGAACATATGACACCATATTCAGATACCCGATACGACACACTGTACGTCTTTCGTCCATATAGATCTATGTCGTGTAGTCGTGTGATACCAGGAAGAATCCTCAATCGCAGGAGGATATGCTGGAGCAGGGAGTATACGGTAGATTCAGTCGTCTTGCTTGGACATCATGCTATCTCTTTTTCACGTATCCGCTAGCTGCTTATCACTCGCCTGGTCAGCACTCGGTGAACACGCAACTACCAAAGAGCAAAAACACAAGGTTGCATACCGAGGTATGGCTACACACTTCTTCCTCCTGACCGATTATATCTTATGATGCTGTGAACAGATGAGGATGGGTGAACGAGATGGATACAACATGTTTAACGGGATGCACAATTTTGAATGTAATGGATGGTTGGGATCAGTCGGTTCGATACTCGTCAAGTCATTTCGATCAGTCTTGAATTGTCCTTTTCTTTTATGTTCCACTTCACTTTCTCTTCCTGCCCCCTCTCCGTCATATGTTGTACCTTCCCCAGACTTTCTCTTCTCACATTCCACTCCTCGACCTCTCACTGAACGTCCGTGCTTCAACGTTCATGCCTCCATGTCCTTCACAAGTCTTACACTGTCTATCGTTTGCCGTCCCCTGCCCAATCCCTCATCACACATATGATCTACCCAGCCTTGACTACCCCGTCACATCCTCACAAGCTCCTTCATTCCCATCTGTCTCCCCACATACTCTGGGGTCCCGGGAGTAGCGGGAATGTTTCCCGGCGCTGTCCCAGGTCTCGAACTTCCTCCCCCATTCCCATACCCCAGATTCATACCCATCCCAACACCTCTCGGTCTCGAATCGTACGTCCCTCTGGATGCCATATCCGCAGTGTACATTCCCGAGACACTCGAGCCTATCGGAGGGAGGCTGGTAGATGTTTGAGGATAATATGTCCCCGATGGGTAATATGGGTATCCTTGTCCTTGGGTAGGATACGAGTATGATGGGTGATAAGGAGGAGACGAGTGGTAGTTGTAGGTGTTGGGGTTTGAGGGGACCGGCGTATGGGATTGAGTTTGGGGTTGAGACTGCGGCGGAGGTTGTTGGTTGGGATGCGTGTAGTCGAGAGAAGTGTGAGGGGTGTGAGGAGTATGAGAAGGGTCGTGAGAGGTCCGAGAACGTTGTTCGTGTGTCTGTTCGTCAGATTCGACCTTGTCACCTGAATTGAGACTCGAGAATGAAGTGAAATCTTAGGAGCGAGGGAGCGATCAGGGAGCCATGTGACTTTCCCGTGAGAAGAAAGACATAAAATATATAGAAAGCAAGTCTCGGAGATATGAGCGGAGAAACGAGTGAAAGAGGTGGTAACGGAGAATTTGTGAGGAAAACGCACGCGTTCATGTCGACGCAGATTCGAAGACACTGAAAACCTCCTTCCGCAATCTTGTCTCTTGCACACGTACGCTACGAGTCAACGGTGATCCTTCCCCAGAAAGATCCTCACTCACGTTTGGCACCAGTATGTACGCTCATATGTGTTTGTAAAGAGCTTGGTCGATTGAACCTCTTGTCACAAACGGGACTAAGTTGATCAGCCTTTTGTCCTGTAGGTGCTTTTACCCCTCCTCTTCTCACCGAGAGGCAACAAGATGTGGCGCATATCATTGCCGAAAACAGGTTTGTGACCAGGTGATCAACACGAAAGATTGCTGAGACACTCACCAGACATGTTTCTTTGCTTTCAACTCAGCTTCCCTCGAGCTCATTCGGACTTTCCTGGCTGATCTAGGTACATCGTCATAGTCATATCCTTCTTGATGATCCGCCCAGAAATACCCCTGACTTGGCTGGGCGGGATAACCATACCGTTCTTCCTCCGCATATTCCGCAGGAGCAGGAGTCGGGGTAGGGGTGTATCGTGGTTGGTGAGTTTGAGAATAAGGTTGATATCTCGTCCCTGACGACCAAGCAGGTGCTTCCCTGGGGAAAACGGTAGGACCTAAAGGTGGTTTTGCAGTATGAGAGAATGGAAGTTCGTACGCTACACTGTCATGTAATGGTGGAGCGCCGATTGCTTGTTGATGTGAGTGAGTCTGAGGAGGTTGCTGGCGGGAGTCATGGTCGGACTCGGGGGAATCGGTACGTCCGTGCGAAGGGGGAGGGGTGGATAGAGCAGGACATCGATCGTGTGAGACGGGTTGGGCATAGCGAGCAAGGTTCATGGGTGTCACCAATGGGACAGACATGTCTATGAAATAGTCAGTCATCATATTTTCTACTTCGTTGTTAGGTCTATCTTGAACAGGATTCCGGGGCTTTCGATGGGCGAGATGAATGAGGATTTGAATACCAGAATGAAATGCGAGATCTTTGCTCCTGGGGATCTGTGGGGACGTGGGAATCAAGGCTGATACATGGGGTGAGAAATACTCACTGATCGTCTTATGGAACTGTCGTGAGAAAAGAGGAGAAGGGAACACAGTTGTCTTACTCCCGATTTTCGAGCTGTGCCAAAAATCAAAGGAAAACAAACTATTTTGTCAGAGCTTGCACGGGGTCATGTCACTCCACCCCCGTGGCTCCGACTCTTGCGGTTGACACATGAGGGGCATTCTAAGTGGGTCATGGAAGGGGTGAAGGAAGAGAAAGGAATGTTGTACCATCTCCTAGGAAAGCGCTGCAAGGGGGGTAAGGGGAGAGAGGGGAGGTAATGGGATTAGAAGGGGTTAAAGGAGTCTATTGTCTCTGCCCAACACTGTCAAAGGTGAAGAGTGAAAGAGACAAAGGGAGAAAGAGGTGAGAAGGAAGGACTCACTGAAAGGGGTTAGACTTGGGTGTTGTCGTCAAGGGCTAGAACGAGATGGAATACCGGGAATGATGGTGTGGTCACCTGTTCGCGGATCGGTGTTGACCAAGGGGTGGCCGAGTGCCGATCGGGCGATGAGAGTTGTTTGCTGGATACAAGAACCGCACACACCTGGTCAGTGTCACACTGGTCGAGGTCTCGTCTGGATTGCTGGATTGCTCAAGATGTGAGTGGACGGTCAAGATGGATGGGATATATCAATGGACGATCGGGAAGATGAGAAGGGTGAATGAACCAAGATGTGATAGATGGATGACGATGCGATGTGAGAGGGCGATTGACCGATGGACCGAGGGTGTGTGAGCCTGTGGGCTGTGGGCTGTGAACCGTGGGGGGATTGGGGGATTGGAGGATTGGGAGATTGGAGGATTGGGAGGGAGATGAATTGAGATCGTCGTCGCTAGTCGGTTGTTAGTCGCTCCTTCTTCTTCTTCTGTCACCGTCTTATCACTGATATAATCAATGATGTCTCACTCGATCAAGATATCACGATCGAGAGTGGCAAGAACGACAAGAATGAAAGAATGAAAGAAAGAGAGGAATGTGATCGTGACACGAGCTGTAGGGGTTTATATGAACGTAATGTTGTGTTTCTACGCCGGTTGTTAGTTTAGTCCGAAAAGATGGAGCGAACAGTACGACAGGTGTCTTGGGCCCGAAAAAGAGTGAGAAAGGGAAGGTGTCGTCTTTCGATCTTTGGGGATACGTTTAGGGTGGGGGGACCTGAACAGAGTGGGGGCGCCGAGTCGGTGGCGTTACCGCAAGACCAGAGTAAGGAGGAGAGACGTCAAGTTTTGGTTTTGCGAAACGGTCCGAAAGCTAAAGACAAACGAAATTCAGAACCTTATCCGCCGAAAAGATAGTGATAAAAGCAGATCTAATGATCTAGTGACTAGCGCCTGGAGAGGACGACTACGATTTCATGTCTCCCATTTCCCCCCACAGCAAAAGGCGTCGAGCCGCGTGAGGCGGTTAGACTGTTTGACGGTGTATTCATAGGCGGAATGTCGGGACGGTTGGTTGTTTTTTTGAGTTGGGGGGCGGTGAGAGGGACAGTGACGACTACAAGACCTACGACAAATGCGCCGACGTCCCGTCCTCAAATTTTCAGGGCAGAAGGGGGGAGCAAGACAACAGGTGTCTTTGATCTCTCTGTTTTTCTCTTCTCGTTTGTCTTTTGAAGGAGGAGTCGTACACCCCGACTCACCTCGTGTCTCTTCTTTTCGGCTTGAACATTGACTAGTGCGAAAAATGGAAATGAGCCATCACGTCACCCGAGAGATTTATGAGTAGTGATAGGGAATTTCGACCGTCGACCTTGAAGATTCGTGGTTTTTTGGGAATCGTCGATCTTGTGGAGAACAATCCTTAGGGCTCTGCTTCGTTGGCCGAGAAGATGTCGATCGTGAAAGTCCCTCGTTTTTTTTGGAGAATTGATTGGCCACCTACATTCCAGAAGACAAGAAGTTCGTAACGGTCCGTTCTGCCGAAGTGAGCTAGAAGAAGTACGACTATCAAGCCTCGAGGATCTGAGATTGGCAAGGATCAAATGATTGGTTACATCAGTGATGATTGAGAATAAAAACAAGGTTTATCATCAGACATCAGACATCATCATCGCCATCACCATCGCCATCATTGGTTCGTCACAAAGGACTGTCACAAACGTCGTTTCTTTCCGCGGTTCTGACCAAATGTCAAGTTCCGTCCGCTCTGTCCATGCACTCTAGCCGGTCAAGATATCTACACGCCGATCCGAGCGGACGTGCGAGCAAAGGAGGGTGACCACCATGGATGTTATAGAGTAACAGTAGTGATCAGGGGAGAGGGAACAGGGGGGTGACATGTACAATAGGATCTTCGGACTTTGATCGAGTTTGAGTTTCTTTTTCGTCTGTTGCATGTCTCAGTATTGTTTCTTCCTTCGGGGATCAAATAAATTGCAAAACATGAAATCTTCTTTCGGTTGTGAATGTCCGATAGGGAAAATGTCAACTTACTTGTAGCCGAAAGCCGACAGAACTAGCCGATAACCGAGCATCGCCAAGCGACCTGAGAGCACAAAGCGTTGAGTATGGAGCATTGGAGTATGAAGGAATGTAGCGCGTGGACACATCGCACACCTACCTCATCATTCCACGCCAGACAGAGTTGTCGTAACCGATCCCAGCCTGGTCCCCACGACGATCCAATTCTTCGAGATCGGGACGTATCGAGATCGGTGACATGGCGGATCGGGTCTGTGCATCGTGCTCTCCTCTTGGGCCCTTGGGACCCTGTCTGTCACCTTGTCGTCCCTGATTCCGAAGCTCATCGCTCTTCGGGCGGAACGAATACTAGGGGCGTGAGTGATCGTGAAGTTCGCCGAGCCGGATGGGACCGATGCATGACGATGGGCGATTGTTGGCTGGTGAAACGCACACAGCGGCTACAGCTAGAAGTTTCATGAAGGTGTTTACTTTATATCGATTCAAACAAAAAGCCGAAAGGTCTCGTAAAGGTGTTTCATATACAACAATACATTAATACGTCCGACAATTGATACATTTGACTGTAAAACTGGGTCACGTGCGTAGATGATGAAAGAATGATAAGGGTCGGAGGAAGATATGAACTAATCGACAACGATGTTTGTTTCGACAGGAGCAAGTAGAGGAGTGTATGAAGGTTTTCGACGCCAAGTACGAGTCGTATGACCATCATCCGGAACGTAAGTGTATACAGGATCGGGTACCCAGTGACCATCGTTGTCCCAATGACCGTGTCGACCCATAGGAGCGGAGGAGACGTCGCTGACACCGCCGCCGATGATGAAACTGTGCGTGAGTCATATTCTTGCTCGTCCCATTGAAACCGTTCATCTGAGAATTGTAAAAACCTCCCTGACAGATAATATGAAACGTTTTGGGTATCTTACAGACGATGCCGGACTTGACGAGGAATAATTCGAGCCCCGACGGAATCACAATGGACCGCGACGACGAGGGACAAGGCAGGAAAAGGCTCCGACGGACAAACTGTGTCCAAGATGATAGAAGGAGAAACACGAAGAAAATGAGAAGGGTAAGAGAGGAGAATATGTGAGAGAACACTCACCCGACCAAAATCCAAATGACCCATGCCCAAAACATCGCTCCCCAAAACCGTCTTATAGCTCTTGATCTCGCCATTCGCATGTTATGTGCCTCCCATCCTCCTTCCGGAACACCAGCCTCGGCGGCACTGGCAGATGATGGTCCAAGGGGTGGATGATGTGCAGTTGGAGCTGGATAAATAGGCTGCGAGGGGCCTGAATCTGTCTTGTCAGTTGATGGTCGTCACCATCGGCCATCGGACATGGATTTTCAACTACGATCTGACATGATGCCGTCACGACTTTCACATAGCATGCTGGCCACAACTCGAAGTCGCCCGTAGTATATGCTGTCACGTAGAAGTCGAGGCATGGGAGTATAATAGCACGTGGATAGGTGACACCCCATGAATTATGATAGTGGAAAAACACTCACATGGAGGAGGCGCGTCCCCTTGTTCTGAACTGGATTCTTGACGAGATTTCCCATTAGCCACCACAGCAGCGTATGTACCTTTGTTGGCACTCATTTCTTACTATTCTTCACGCTGATAAACTCTCTGCTTGGTGTCAAATCCGACGTCGTAGAAAGAGAGACAAAGTGAAGAACTCGTAAGCGATTTGTTAAGTACAGTGGCAACAATGTCGTCACAGCTCAATCACGGAAGTATTCATATCACCAGATATGACAAACGCCACATCATGTCCGACCACCACTCCTCCAGATCTCAAGGGTGGTCAAGAACAGAAGCATCCCTCCCATCTTTCCCTGTTTCTCAAAACATCCTCCTTCACTCCTCGCAATGTCCCTGTACGCGGACGAGGACCTCTCTGCCGTACAGGATATTGACACAAAGACTCTACCTACCATCCCGCATGACCCCCTCCAAGCTCTCGCTGCCGCCCTCACTTGTCCGCCCGAAAGTCCAGAACAGGCCGAAGCTCTCATAGCTGCTGGTCAAAGATTCGAAGAACAGCCCGATAGGCTACCCGAGCTATGTGGACAACTGCTACCTATGGTCGTGGATGGTGGAGAGAGTTTGTTGAGGTCTTGGACGCTTGATATGGTAGCTTTGGCAGTGGGAAGGAGTGGTTTGAAGGTAGATGTGAAACTTGCTGGTTGGTTTATCCGTCGAACATCCTCCCCCTAAGTGTTCTCATAACGGATCGAAGGATTCCTTGATTGTTGGCGATTCAACGAAGTATCTGGAATAGAATATGCGTTGTGAGATGTGAGCTGATCAAGCAGTCGCACAATCCTCTCTCGATGCTTTGAATAACATGTTACTAGGAGGCTCAATACCAACTATCAAAGCTGTCATCCCTATCTTCAGCACCATCTATCCGATGCTTTTCAGACTTCTGTGAGTACTACTGTTATCCGCGAGAAATGATTGGAATGGATGAAGGGAGAAATACTCATCAGAAGGGCTACCACCAGACCACCTCAACAGATCTATGACATCTTCCTAGCCTCCAAATCGAGAATCTTGGCTTTTGCTCTGGATCCGAACATCCAGCCGAGGAATGTAGGGATCAAAGCGAGAGCGTGGAAGTTTCTTCAGAGGGTGTTGTTAGCTGGTACGAGAGCGGCCAGTGCGGACCCAAGAGTGAGTCGATGTTTTCTATAATCTGAACTGCCAGCTTCAAATGTCGCTGGACTGTCTGCTGATCTTCCAGCTTCAAAATAAGGCAGGAGGGAACGACCCAAGTGTTTCAATGATCACTCGAGAAAGTCCTCTGAACATCATGGAAATGGAAGATGAGGCTAATCTCCTTCGAACACAACTTGTCACTCACATGTATTCCTCCGAGTGAGTGCATCTTCCCAACAACTTGTAACGTGGATTAATATCAATAACAGCGACCCTGCAATCCTTCAACCACTGTTCAATACACTACCGCTGCTATGTAAATCAAGGCCTACCCTCGCTGCTCTACTCGTATCATCCATGACCTCTTGGACACCTGCTGCTCTGGAGGCAGCTGGCAGACCTGCCATGCAAATTCGTGCGGTAGAAAAGACTATGCGCCTTGCGATGACACATGTGGTCAGGTCAGCCTCTCGCACTTAGGGTTGTGTTTGTTTCGTTGACGCACAGACAACCATCTCTCACGCAATTCTCAGCACAATTGAACGACGCCTTGCTACGACAAAAATTACGGATGGACAGTGCGTTTTCACACGAAAATGTGCAGCGCAAAGCCAAGCGTGAAGCCATCAAAAGGGGGATGGTCGTGCCAGTTGCGGAGAGTAGCGAACAAGCTGTCAAGAGGGTCAAATTGGAGATACAACCAGGATCTGGCTCGGGCAAAGGGCCAGAGTTCGACGTGACCACTTTACCCTTGGAGACTGTCATCGATGCGGTCATGGAGGGTTTGGGTCTGGTGACCGAAGCGGTTTTAGAGACCGCTTTCAAGGTAAATTCTCCTGCCTATTTTTGAGACGAACAATTGTTGATGTCAGAACGCACGACAAGCACTTTTGGACAATACAGCCGATGCTATGCCCGTCCTTGGCCCTTCTCTTAATGGCGAGGGTCTCAAAGCAGAGGTCAAAGGCGAAGAACGAGATGAGATACTTAATCCCTTGGATATGGATGTGGACGATGAAGATTTTCTGGTCAGTTTTCTGCTTACGTCGAAGAGAAGGATGGAGCTTATAGTAGCTGCAACATGCTCAAGAAGATCAGGAAAATGTCACTTTTGCAGACATTACTCTCCCGCCGCCCGAAATCGGGAGCATACCAGAGATTGAGGATCTCGTCAATTTGACTCTAGAGAGGATCTGGTCATCTGGTGCCGAACTGGCTTCGTTGCCTGATCTGGAACCTCAAGACGGGGCGAAGATTGCGGTTCAACCGAAGGAAATGTGGATGTTGCTTCTAGCTAGGCTTGCTACGCGAGGCCCAGACGTGAAACGGAAAGCCATTGCGGATTTTGTTTCTGCCAATTTCTCTGACAGGTGAGGATCCTCTTTCTGCCAAATCTTCACATCTGTACGCCTGCTCTGATCTTGCTGCTACACGTTTTCGGCCCACTATCGTCTCCAGTTGCTATTCCGTCGTGTTCCTCGTATTTGACTCTGCCCTCTCCGGCCCTGTGTTGAACAATTCATGAATCGTATCTTCGGTGCGATGATACTGATGTCAGATCTAAATTTGCGGCTATATGGCTTAACGAAGAATGGTATTCCCAAAAACTGAATGGTTCCGGAGAATACACAATCAACCTTGAGACTGTCCTTCAAGCCTGTCTCGCTACCTTGGACGTGAAGGATAAATCCCTATCCAACTTTCTTACCTCCCTTCCTGAGATTCCACTCTCGGCCGTACACATGCTCGAAAGATTGTGTGAAGATGTCGAACGTAGTGTTCCTGGTCTTCTGGCCCTCCGAGATTTGGTGGAAACCCGTCCACCCATCAGAGATCCATCCTTACGCACCTTGCTGGAATTATGTACTCATCCGGAACGCAAAACCAGATTTTTAGCAATCTCGACAGTCCGTCGTTGGGTTCCGCATTCTCCCATGTCAGATAAAGTGGTTTCGTTCGCCATGGGAGTATACAGAAGACTCGTCCCTACTCCGAAAATACAACAGGGGGATGACGTCGAGATGGAAGATGGTGAACAACCAGATGAAGAGGTTTATTCGAAGTTTTTGGTAGAAACAAGTAAAGAGAGTGTACAACAACATTTAGAATTAGTGTTTGCTCTTACCAAACGGAGAGAGGATTTGTTGGATGATATTTTCTCCCTTTATCCAAAGATGGAGAGTGAGATACAGGACGCGGTGGAAGCTGAGATTTCGAGGTTGGTCCAGAGTATGGGGGCCACGGAGAAGTTGTTGGAAGTGTTGAGGAACTTCCCTCAGGGAGCGGAGAAATTGGCATTGAGAGTAATGACGATTTTGTCAGGGGAAGGTTCCAGTCAAGTTTTGGTTACTGTGGTCAAGGGTTTGATGGTGGAGAGAAATTTGGATCCGAGGTTTATAATTCCTGTCCTGGGGCAGCTGGACAAGGTGGGTCGTTCTTCCCTTTCCAATCATACATACCCCTTAATCATTCGTCTCTTCCTCTCTTCTCTGTCCCTTTTGTTCAGTAGTCGTAACCGCCCTGTTTCAACGGCATTCCCACATCAATACTGAGTGATGCGGAGGTTGGGAGATGGAGGGGGTAATCCCTTCGGAGGAGCTGTTATCGGTGTATAGAGCTGTCGAGATGTTGCTTTCAATACTGATGGCCAGGCGGAGATAGAGAAACAAATACCCAGAATTGTGACGTTGCTAGAAGAACCAGATACTCGGGAATTGGTCAAGACGGCATTCGTCAGCGTTTTGCAGAAGATGACCCCGGCGGATCTGCTGGTGGCTCTTCATTCAGAAGAGACGGGTTTGAAGGTTACTATCGAGGGTGAGTTGCGCTCTATCCCCTCCTCTCATCTCTTTACCCACCCCTTATTGGCATCTTATTGATGTCTACTGGGTCTTCATAAGTTATGCTCACTCTCAGCCGTTGGTATCTGCTTCTCCCTTACTACCGTATTCCGTTCCGACGTCCTTGCTACGGCCCTCCAGCGCATCTGCGATCTCTCCAGTCTTCCCGTCATTTTCCTCCGTACCATCATCCAAGCAGTCACGACGTACAAATCCCTCGTTCCCTTCGTGGCGAATACTGTTCTCCCGAAACTCGTACTCAAACGCGTGTGGGAGGTGCCTCAATTATGGGATGGCTTCATGCGCCTTGCTCGTCTGCTTGGACCAGCCAGTTATGGAGCTTTGGTGCAACTTGGACGGGATCAACTACGAGAGGTTGTGGAACGTCAGCCTGCACTGAAGACGGGTCTCCGAACATTTCTGTCCGGTCGACCAGGTGGGAAAGCCGCTTGGGTCGAGGTAAGTTTTTACGACGACTTGAAGTATACAGCTGACCGGTAGATGTTCGGAGAGGAGTAGACTTAGCTAGTCCCCTTCGTCTACGTCTGCTTACACCATTACACATCCAATCTCAACGTTTATCAATCATACAATTTTACAGTCACTGTACGTATAGTCACACGTCCGCATGCATGGCACCGGCGCTTCCTCATGATGTGGGAACATGAAGGAGTGACTTACGTTGAGGATATTCATTATATTGATTTCACTTGCAGATCCAATACGAACGACAATCCTCCCGTACCCTCATGCCTCTTGCTTCTCCTTCTCCTTCTCCTTCTCTGTCCCTTGTGTCACACTCCTTGACGCTAGTTCTTGGATCCCTGTCATATCATCTCTCTATCGTCGTCCCCATCAACCATGCCCCCTACACGTGCATCATGATCATTTCTTCCCTCACCCTGATACCCGTTCCCACCCGTTGTTTCACTCTTCTCATCTTTCCAACTAGCTATCGACTCGTCACGTAATATCACACAGTAGTATTCACTGGCACATTCCTTCACCTCTGTCCTCCTTTGTCGTTTCATCGCTCAATCCGCTTCAAACGGGGACGAGTACCGCCTTTGGTCCTTGTTCACCTACAATCCTCGTTCTGGACTTCGTACTATCCTCAAAGAACCTGCTAGTTTTCTCTCCTTTATCATACTTCGACTAGCGTCAAACGACCGAATCTCGACAATCTCCCTTCTACTACTGACACAGAGTGGAGCTTACATATTCTAGGAGGCTATCCGCCACCCGTCATACCTGTACAGCTATTCGACGAGGCAGTAGTCTTGACTATCAGTCATATAAACAAATCATTGTCCCTAACCTGGCGCGCTTTGACGTCCAATACCGCTTTACCGACTTGGGTGTCGATCTTGAGTAGAACATATTCCCCTCTTCCGAACAGACTATCAACCAGGGATTGAAAAGCTCGCTACCTTCCACATCCCACGTCACAACAACCACACACAACTCCTCATCTTCTTCGTTCCAACCACTCACTTGAGAGGTATTCATACATCTTCCATCGAGATCCAGACCCTCTCGTCATCTTACCGACTCCACTCCACCACAGAGACACCGACGACCGACGAGCTACTCGACGTAGTTTACCTTCGAAACACTCAGACACTCAGTCGAACAAAAATCAAACCAAATGCCCCCTTGGCATAACCAAGTCCCGATTTTCAAACCTCGTCAAAGATATCATGATCCCACCTTACAACCTCCATCTCCCTCACCTGGCCACGCAAGTTCTTCTTCTCTTTCTGGCGGAGGAGTAGTGGGGGTAAAGGAAAAACCTCAACGTCCGGGACCCTGGAAAAGCGCAGCGGAAGAAGCATGGAATATCCCATTGATCCGACGGAATATATTGAGGAATGTCAAGGGTAGAACAGTGACGAAGGTTATGGTTTTGTCGAAGAATGTCTTTTTGGAGACTGCTGAAGAGTTGTATAGGTTTTTCAAGTATGCTGAGAGAACTGGGTTTAGGAAATGTGCTAGGAGCTTGGTGGGTGATTTTTACTTTCCCTATCGAGCTTTTTCCCTACTCTTCTACTTTGTGCTAGATTTTACACCCAATTCTTTCTACAGTAATCGATGACTCTCAAGTCAAAAGATGATGATTTTTCCTTTGTTGATGGTGTTACATGCAAGGGCTATTTTCATTTGTGATTCGATTTTGAACACTGTCATTTGAAGTAGGGTTCAGAAATGTATTGTATGCTTATCATCAGGAACGTTATCGATTCTATTCTTCCTTAGTACAACACATCGAGATTGACCTCACTTCCTCTTCTCAGATATTTTCCATATTCGATACTTTCCCAAACCTTCTCACACTCTCTCATCCCTCTCATTTCCAAATCATTTATCACCCTCCTCCTTCATCCTCCACATTAATCGAACAAGCTTTCCTCCCATCTATCCCTCCCCATGCCACTGTCCGCGAACGAGTTCATTGGATGATCGACACTCGACCAAATCCTAGATCCTTATTCGTCGGAACAGGAGGTATCCTTCATCTACTCCCTACCAATTGGGAAATCAAAGTTTCTACCGATATTGTTTTAGGTCCTGATCATAAGATACCAAAACAAGAAGAAATCATTTATCTTGATTCTTGGAAACGTAATAATATACCATTTGGAATAAAAGCTGAATCTTTGATAATTAATTTCCCTTGTTCTTTCGATCTTCTCTATCAAATGTTATCTCCTTCATCATCATTGAGTCGTTTTCCAAAACCATACATGACTTCAAAACCAAACACAGTCTTGTCTTCAGAACAAGTTGGGTTGTTATATACTGGAAGAACGAGATTTAATGGATATACAGAATTGGGACATTCAAATTCACATAACGGTTTATCAATTTCAAGATCTGGAAGATATATTGGACAAACTGAACCGATCAATACATATCAATATGATCCTTCCGCTTCTATAAACACTTCTGAAGATCTTGATTCGATAAAGTCGGATATGGTTAATGAGACGAGGAAGATTTTACCAGAGAAATTCACAGTGTTCCCAAAGATTGACAAAGCAGAAGAACTTATACGACTTATTTCTATTTGTCATCAAGTTAAACAATTAGATTTATCATGGAGATTCCCTGATGGTGTTAGTCCAAGAGGAGGGAATTTGACTTTGTTGGAATTATGTAATAATGGGAAAAGGATTGCAGAAGTTTGTGAGGTTATTGGAATAAAGGAATTAAAAGTTATGGTGAGACATGAAGAATTGATAAGGTTACCTAAAACTTTTCAAAGTGTTGAAGATTTGAAATGGCGTTGTGCTGTTTTAGGTAAATCTAGTAAAGTCCAAGGGAATAAACAAAGTTTATTGAATTCTTCAAAATCTAATTCAACAATTGTTCAAGATCAAGCTCAAGAACTGGATCAACATATACATTATAAAGTCGTCATTGATCAACCTGTTGATATTTCTTCACCTATTTTGGTTACTTCGGAAATCAATCAAATCCCCGAGGAAGAAGAAGAAGAATCTCGATTTATGAATGGTGAAGAAATCAATCAGATGGATATTAAAGATAATAATGAGAAAGACGATATCATTTCCAAATCAGAAAATCCCATTACCATTGAAGTAATTCCCGAATCTGAATTTCCCAAACCTTCAAAATGCTCTGAAATATCTAACATTTCAAACATCTCTAATGGTGATTCGAATAATTCATCAATATCATCAACTCAACAAAGTAAAGGTTATAGTTTGGAGAAATTGATAATTCAAATAGAATTCCCATTTGATCAAACACCTCTTTTCTCTTCTGGATCATTATCTCCTCAAAATAGAGATCCAACAAAAAGACGTCATTTATCTCATAGACAATTACAACGAACATGTTCTCTTCTATGGGATATCTTAAAACCTCATACTGATCATTTGAATGGATTGTTAAATTTATCAGGAAGAAGATGGGATAATTTAGAAGTACAGTTAATCATCAGTGATCAAGCTGATTTCGCAAGTAAGAGATTAGCATGGATGTTAAGTAGAAGAATGGAGAAGAATATTAAAATAAGGTTACAACAGATGATTGGGGTTGATAAAGGTTGGAAATTGTTAAATGATAGAGAAAGAGATAAAGTTTTAAAGAAAAGTTTGATGGGTAAGAATAAAGGTGATATCAAGGATGATCATGAAGATTGGATCAAGAATCAATGGAAGAGAGATTGGGAAAGAGCTTTGGAATTAATCGTCAGGGTTTTTGATCAGCCTGGACCGTCTGGGACTAGTGGGTGAATGGAGAGGTTTGGATTTGGATCATGAGTATGAGTCTAGTATGAGGAAGAGTGTGTATGAAGTGAATGTTGAGAGCTGAGCTAGGATGTGAAAGTTTGGGGTGATTGTGGATATACATTCGAATGATAACGTACTGTATGTTTCGTGAGTACATACATCAACACATTTCCAACGAGTGAATCAAGGTGAAGATATCAATTTTGTATCTCGTAGGCATGATGACATACCTTATCGATTCATCTGCAGAAATCAGTATATGCTGATTTAGAACCATCCGACTTCATATTCATTATCGAACTTTGTTAACATCTTTCTTTCCCACTAACCCTATCCCTATCCCCATCTCTAACCAAAATCACATTCCCGAATGGTACGAATAAGCTTGTCACAATCGACAATTAGTAAATGGCATTAAAAATCATGCAGAAACTCATCTCATATACTACTACCTCAAACCCCACTCACGCCTCAACTTTTTTCAAATTCTGATGAAGATGAGGATCACATTGTAAAACCCTTTCCACAATCTTATCAATCACCGAATGCTTATTCTTCTCCACAGCGACGTCAAGTTCGGAAAGTTGAATCTTTGTTTGAGCGTCTGAAGTAGTTTGAGATGAAGTAGTCTCGGATGAATGCTGAGATTTTAGTTATACGTTCTTTTCACCGTTCATCCCGTGTATTTCTACCGTCACCATCTGATATAGAAACCTGATGTGTTTCCTTGCTTTCCTATCGTATCTTCAGGCCTCCATAATCTCTCCTTAACCTACCACGATGTTAAGAGAGCTTCTCTATATTTGATAGACCGTCATATTTAGGTGATTCTGCTTTACTGTGTTTCCTATATCTTTTTAAGAGAAGGAGACGGGGGAAGAGAAGAAAGGGGAAGGTCGGCCCAAAACACGAAGAGCTGTTTAACGATCAAACTGTAGGATGGAAGCGATGAATTGTGTGAATAAGAATGGAGACAGGTGGAATTAGGTAAGAAGGGGGAATAAAACCTCACGTCCAATCCAAACTTGTTAAACTCAGCGTCTTTCTCAGCTTTATACTCTTCAATCTCTTTTGCAGCTTCCGTCCTAGCGTCTTTAAGTTTCTGTACGCGGTCTGAGAGTCAGCGTCTCATCATTATACCAACTAGCCCGTCTTGCCCATATGAATATCAATAACCAATATTATCATCTCACACAACTGATGACGACAACGAAGATCCACTCAAAGGACAAAGATCGAGTTACCTCCAGTTAAGGTGAAATCATCAGGTGTCGAGAAGCACCGTGTGCATTCAGTCTCTTCAAGCTGTAAGATCTGAACTCCCGCATCTGATATGTCCGTCTCGATCAAGAAATGTGATGAGACGAGAAGAAGGACTTGATATCAGAGCATTTCGGGAGATATTTCACAAGAGGAAGCACAAAGACAGTACTTTAGTGAAGAGAGAACGTCTCACATTGCCTTGCTTTCTGTACCACTTTCGAAGCTTCTTTTTCAGCTTCTAACAAAGTTTGTATACCTTGAGAATTTGCTGCCTACAGCAGATCTATTTCAGCTTTATCCGTTGTAAGATATATAGGGAGACATACCATTCTTTTCTACTGGTTCACAAGTGTCAAGTGTGAGTGAGTGTTCAAAGGAGAGAACCAACGTGAGGGTGGTGAGAGGGGGGAGACGGAGATTGAGGGACATGTCCGTTGATGGGTGGACGATGCCCGACGGCCTATGGTCTTGGGTGGGGGGATATTTCATGTTCCACGTCTCTCACATATACAAGTAAGAGTACACTACTCTGCAACCTTCATCTCGGTGTCTGGACATCTTCCATCAGGTATCAGGTGGGTCAGGTGGACGTCTATATCTCACGCAATCGTCAATTATTTGACAGGATTGTGCAATTTTTGAAAGCCTGTAAAGATTCCCAGAGGATCAGATACCTCCAGCAATGTCCTTCCGACGTCCATTCACCTTCTCATCCAACTCCAACTCACCTCAACCTCAAAGATCACCATATGGAACAGATGAAGATTATGTTGATTCTTCCCTAACTTCAACAACACCATCAAGAACTATGTTACATGCTTTAGCCGATGATACAATACATTCCACCAGACATGTTCCAAGTGGATATAATACCGGTATAGACGAATCGTCACGTTTTGAGGAGATACCTGGAAGTTGGAATGTAAAGCTAGAAGAAAGTAATGAAATGAGTAGGGATGATAGGGATGATACTCCCTTACGTGTATATACCGAAGTGGATGATGATGAAAGATTAGGTAGAGAAGATACACCTTTGAGGACTTATACAGAAGTGGAAGAAGAAGAGAGCAGAAACTCGGAAGGTCGATCAGGAGAACGTTCAGGTTCAAGAAGAAGGATGGAAGGAAGAACAGAAGAGACTCATTCTGATTACGAGGGAAGAAGGGAGGGGAGAAATGAGGATGAGGAAGAAGAAGATGATAGACAATGTAGGATATGTTTAGCTGGTGTGGAAGAGGAAGAAACTATGGGAAGACTTATAAGTCCTTGTTTATGTAGTGGGAGTATGCGGGTGAGTCTTTTTCTCTTAAACAACTTCATACACCTCTGAACCCTCACCAACTCTCTCTTATATCTTGTTCGATTTATTCGAGTACTTATCCCATCGACATGTCCGGACTCGACCGGGCGACATGTCCGTACCTAACCCACCAACGTGTCATTATGAGCTGTTCACTCAGATGGTGTGTGAGAGTAAGCTCCAGATCTGTCTCTTATCTATACAAAATAGTTGCTATCGTCTTCCTTTTAGGGAAAAATGAAACAATCGCTGATATGCAGTATGTACATGGTCAGCTTCTTCATCTATCTCCGAACGAAAGCTGACCCCTCAGTCAATTGTATAAACGCATGGCGAGGGACTGGAACGAATGCAGTGAGTGGAGTGTTATACTTCAATATGAGTAATCTGATAAAGTAGAAAGCTTTTTTAGGTTCGTCATCACCAGGAATTATTAGTCAGGTAACTGATGCGAAGAATGTCCTCAGTGTCATCATCAATATCGACTTCGAAGTGAGTTCGAACATCTCTTATACTCCTACTTCACTTTTCTGACTGAGCAACTTGGACACTATCTTGTATTCTCCTATCACTCTTCAATCCACATGGTTCTTCGGTTTTCCTCTGATGGCAGCCAAAGAAGTGCTGTGCTGGATGGGCCCAACGATATAGGGATGTCCTACTCCACCATTGGGTATATAGCTGACACGCTCAGGAACCCTAGTCTCTGGTCTCGCAACATCTCGTCCTATCCTCCTTTTCCTCTCCATATTCCTCTTCTTCCTCCTTTCCCTCCTCATAGGTCAATTCGTCCTCTTTCTCACCGCTTCACCTCTCCGTAACATTCTCTCCTCCCGATCTCCATTCCGAACATTCAACGATTACATGTGGTCTGACGATTTGGACGATTCTCCCGTCGTAGTCGTATCCGGTGGTGGTGCATTAGTATACGACATTTTCACCGGTGCTATCTCCACATTTTCCTCTGTCGCTAATTCCATTGCTAAGTCACACACCTCCATCCCTACTCCATTAGCTTCGTTCGGTTTCGCTCTCATCGCTAGGTTCTTACTCGGATTAGCGGTATTAGGAAGTATCTCTTTTCTCTCACTCATGCTTTCTCTCAGTCTATTCGGACCTATGCAACTTGCCAATGGAGTCAGGGGTACAGGTTTATTCGGTTCTTTACGACGTAGAGGTAATAGAGGTGGAAGAGATTTAGGAGAGATAACGATCGTGTTTTTCGTTCTTATTGGAGCGATAAATACCCTTCGTCAGACTTATGGTGTGGTTCAGAGATTGACCCGGGTCTTGTTGAGATATGTCGAGACACAGATTTTAGAAGTCAACTCGGGGGATGTGAGAAGAGCTAGGGAAAGACAGAGAGGTGAAGAATGGTGGAAGGTTTGGTGGAGGGAGAAGAGATGGATGAGTTTTAGAGGATGGGGAGAAGTTGGATTGAGAGCTAGGGTTGAGATGCAGGAAAGAGCTAGGGAGTTGATGAGAGGTAGACAGGAAGATCATGAGGAGTAGCGAAGGGTTATCACATCATACTTGTATTCCTCATTTGCCGCGCTACATGTCAGTGTATCTCTATTCTACTTTGCATAATCGACATGTCTTGGAAGCGCTCAAAGGTAGTACGGTAGCTACTCATCCATAGTTACTCGTAGCTGTTACATGGCCTGGCTGATGCTATGCTACTCTACCTTTGTAATGATGTTAAGAAAGTAGGGATACCTTTGTATGGCCAGGCCTTGAGTATGGTGTGACGGTTGAATATCAGTGGGGGAAAACACAGCCGGAAGAATGTCCGGCTGAAAAGTGCCACACTCGGGAATTACCGCTTGTAGCGCACTTGTAGTAGTATGGAACGGTTGCCGGTCTCCGTATGGACATCGGGAGCCCTTGCACCTTTGCACCACTTTGCACCCTTTCGCTTGACGGCCCAGACCCATTTCACTTCCTTCTTACTGTCCCTCTATCATCCAATCTCTCTTCATACTTCCAACTCACCATACATGACCATGCACTCAGAACGTGTCAATCGATATTAACCTATATCCACGTACTTCTCAATCTCTCTCATTATATACAATTCCATATTCCATTTCCGGTTATTTACCCTACGCAACTGGTAATCCACACCCGTGGTCACATAATCCATCCTTGTTTTTCTTCTATTCACATCCATCTTAGTTCTCTCTCATCCGACTCTACACATACATTGTAGATATTTAAAAACACCTTGAACATCTCTCCATTCAAATCGTATTAAAGTGAGTTAGTGAAGAAACGAAACGATAGGAAAAAGATGGCACAGGTTATACCTCCCATTGTGGGTTTTATTGGTCATCATGGTTTTCTTTCACCTCCACTATCTACATCTAAATCGGTACAAGTCAATCACGGTCATTCATCTTCCTCTCCTTCCCATACAGAGGAAGATATCATTGAATATGTCTTCATTACGCTATGGTCTGGATCACTTGGGAGCGAAGATGGATGATCATTCATCATCAAATATCTCACATACACCTATCATTCACACAGATCTTAGTCGTCTTACACTTCCACACATTTCAATCAACACATGACTATTCGCACTCACTCGATGTTTTATCTGGTGAGAAGAAGAGATGAATAAGGGCTAGGAATGAGAATGACCCGCTGACAAATCAGACTTCTCTCCCTATAGATTCTTCAGCAGCACCTTCAGTCGAAGATATACAAGATCGTCTACCATCAATATGCGTAGATTATCTATCTTACGAATGGAAAGAAGAAGATGTTTATAGAAGTTGGAGAAATATGACGAGACATAAGAATGATATTGCTAATGGTGTTCGATTGGAGAATGCCAGTTGGAGAACTTGGCAGAAACAGAGAAATAAGTTGAAGACTATAAGTCCGGAAACTTTGAATTGGTGTGTACTAAATCTCTACTCTCCTCTTCTCTCACCATCCTATGTCAATTATCCATCCTTATTCTGGTCGTGTTGACTACGACCCAATTACTGGTGGTGGCGGAAAGCCGAACCTGCGATCATGACACCGCCTCCCCCACTCTAGACACCGGCTGTGCTTGTCTCACTCTTCCCTCCTCATCGGAAACAACCACCAGCTATCCCTCCTTGAATCTCCTCAGTGCCTTGATCGTCCACTCTCCTGCTCCTGTTCAGCTGTCGGAACCGAGTATCCGAGATCGTGTCATAACTTTACCAGTCCTAACACCCAGGCTTAAAGACTCCGATGTGACATGGCTGTATGGTCCTCTACACACCGCTGATGTCGAACCTGTTCGACCTTTACGTATCGCAGCTGCCGATGAACGTCTAGGCATTGAACTGCCTGCTGGCAAAAAACCAATTCTAAAACATCGCACATTATCCGAAATGCTCGCCATAGCCGTACCCACCTCACCCATCCTCGAAGCCTTTCATGATCAAGATGACGTCGATTCATCGGATGGAATGGAGAATCTCCTACGACCAGTTTTACATCAGACCAAATCCGACACGAACATCTTTCGTCAACGCGGTTTAAGAAGATCACCCACCCGACGGCCCATCATCGATCGGTCAGGCGAAGATTTCAACCCTGCACCGCCAGATTCCGCCCATCATAGTGGAGGCAAGAAACATATCTCTTTCAACACGTTTGTTGAGCAATGTGTCGCCGTGGATGATCCTGCTGAAATACCCGTTCAAGCATTGCAACATCAACAACAACAAGAGTTGGAGCAGCATCAGTTTCAAGCACATCACCTACAACGATCTGATTCAGACGATGACATGTTAGAAATGCGTTCAGCATCCAGTAGTCGAACTCCTCGACCTTCTTTGAGTCGAACATCCAGTTCTACCTCTGCTGAACATGTCACCATAGCCAAAATCGCCCCTACCATGTTGAAGATGAGCGGAAACTTTGGTCGTAATTCACCTGCGGTGGTTTATATGCCTCCACCGGAATATCGTTCTCCCTCTCAACAATCGGCACCACCGTACGACTTTGCTTCCCCCGAAGACGACGTGCATGCCGAATGGGCCGACGATCTTCAGTCAGGAGCATACGATTATTTCCACGGTATCTCACCAGAAAGTAGATCACCTCCTTATTCCTCACCAAGAGGTACACCGGTCAATGTGGGTGCACCACCTGCTCAACCTAAATGGCGTCAAGCGGCTACCATTGGACCACAATCCAGCGAGATGATCGGCGGTTCTTCAGCATCTTCATCTTCCTCTTCCATCTCCCAAGTCGTACAAGGAGCTCAGAGTCCTCGTCCTGTACCTGGCCAAGCCTCTCAAAGTTTACAAGGATCCCCAGCTTTAGGTCCATACGGCTCCCCCAATCCCCAATCTGGCTCAGGTGTCATCTCTCCACCCCAACCTGCACGAGGTATTCTTAAAGTTCGTCAATCAGTTCCAACAACTCCAACACCAGAACCTTCATCTCCTCCATCGACATTCTTCAATTACAACCCTTCCGTCGCCACTGGTCTCGGTAGCATGCGTGCTCCTGGAATTGGAGGGACAATGTACGATCGAGAACAAAACGTCAATGGTGTTGTCCCGCCAGCTCAACCTCATCAACATCAACATCATCACTCTCATGCACACAATCATGTGAATCACTCTCCGGTGGAAGACCAGAGAGGTAGATCTACCTCTCGCGATCGATCCACTTCGGCGATTGGCCGTTCGTCTTCCGGTAGTCAAAGTATAGGTTCAACGTCGTCTTTATCACCAGGAACACCGAGAAGTCCGACGGATCCACCAATTCTACCTTCCGTTCCTCCTCCGGGCAAGAAGGGTGCACCAGAGCCGTCCGGTAGTCCTTCAGGTCTACAAGGTGCGCAACATGGTGTTCCGGCAAGCGCGACACCTGGCGATATCCCTTCAACTCCAGTCGTACGGAATGACGTCGACCCAGTATTGAGGAAGGATCGTGGAAATGGAGCAGTGAGGACGGACTCGGCGCAGGAAGACGAAAAGATGGATGTGGATTATTTTTCAACAGACGGGGGGGAAGACCGATCGGAAGAAGAGAAGACGAGGAATACGACACCTACCCCGCATTCTTCGCCTCAGGTGAGTTGGTAGGGGTTGTGGATAAGGGAAACACTGACTGACATAGAAATAGATCGCTTTTAGGCCTATGAAAGATACCTCCCCTGCATCTTTACCACATGTCTCCTCGAAGATCCTTCCTTCTCAGAACTCTCATTCATCAACCTCTCAAACCTCTGCTAAACCTCACCGTCATCAGAGTCCTTCCTCTCGAATATTTCTTCCGCCAACTCCTGACACACGAAACCCCGCTCAAGCAGAACACCCTGAGACAACAGAGGTCGAAACTCTCAAACATGCGCTTCAATTGGACACTGACACTTCCGTTCAGAATGGAATACCACCACATGACCAAGGCCAGCTTACTCCTACATCACCCGATGACCTAGATCTACCCAGAGCAGACCCGGCAACCTTCCTCCCCTCACCCAGTCCTAGAGGACGAGCTACCATAGCTCGTGTACCGACACATGCCCAGCCCACGTTGACACAACCGAGAGGAAGGTCAGTCTCTAGTAGTCAACCTGATGGTCGGTCCGTATCAAGCAGTAGCAGGGCCAGCTGGGCTAGCGGTATCAGTGCTGCTAGTGGAGCGAGTTGGACAAGTGTGGGTAGTGGAGCAAGCGGAGGATCACAATCTGGATTACCCAGATCGTCTGTTTACCTTCCTGATGGGGAAACGAGTGCTTCTGATGACATGCTCGAATCAGGTAAAATCAGTAACGAACAAACTTGTGATGGAGTTGGATCAGGTGAATCGGGTGACGAAACTCCTCGACCGATCGGATCATTCACGAGTAAAGCGGGAGTGATCGTCGGACAATCTCAAGCTCAAGTGGAAGAAGAAACGATATATGGTCGTGCTGCCACCATGGCCAATACTGCTAAAGATCTCTTGGGAGCTTTGTGGTATGGAGGTGAAGATGGGAGGGGTAGGCGGAGTAGTCGGTAGGCACTGCTCCCGATTTGTCACTACTAGGGGGGGACATTGCCTAGAACGTCAATCCGACCTCATAATGAACCTCGTGGTGGTGGTTGATTCAGTCCAGAAGACTACTTGTAGCACAGCGCTGGGGGGATCTGGTCGAATGGGAGAAAGATACTCGGATGGGTCGTCCATGGCCAGCCTCAGTGCTGGAACGTCGATAAGATGTACGGAGTTGATCGGAATGAGGGGTGTTGTGGAAAGTGACGGAAGGTACCTGGGTGGTGAAGGATGAAGATGGTGACGTTGTTTGTTTAATGATGCAGAGTGGGTTACTATTATGGGTTTATGATTCAAAATAACACGTATTGGATCGATTGGTATGGGTGTGGGTGTAGGTGATATGATTTGAAACAAAGGGTGAATGGAATTGTAGGCATCTAGGTTAAAGCATGAAAAAAAAGGCATGATTTGTGGGAATATGCATATCGTGTCAATGTCTTTGTGTTCATCCCCTCCGCCATGTGTGGGTTAGCCATTATTCATGAACCGAAGTTTAGAGTCCACGGTCCATGGTCCATGGTCCACATTCTACCTAGTACCACAATACCACAATACCACAATACCACAGTCTAGAGATCAGAAAGCCAAGAAGGAGACGATTGGAGGGACGTGTTCGGGTCACGATACCTTAGGCCTACAAGTTTGAATTGGATGACGTTTTGTTCTTATCTTCATGGAAGCATTATGATCCAGGTTTAGGGTCGTGGGAATGATTGCAGCTGAGTAGGAAGTAGACTACTATGTACAGTCGTCCGGATTGATAGGAGAGTTGAAAAGAAGGGTGTTTAGAGGGATGATGTCATAGAACATTCCGCCACTCTGAGTTAGTTCTCTTCTCTTTCTTCTCTTTCTTCTCTTTCTTCACTACTAAACTTCATCTCATCTTTCATCTTCACCTCTCCCATATCAACTTGAACAGCGTACTTGAATTGATCCAACTTGATCTCAATCTCTACCTAAGATCGAATCCAACATCTCTCCATCACCCTATAGTTTGAGTCACTCTCGATAAATCCTCAACGACCAATTACCGGGTATCCAAGAGAAGACGTTAAACCCCACAAAAACAAACGATTTCTTTTTCCTTTTCTCTTCGTTCACTCTACCCAGTGATCATACCCTCAACTTGTCCTTGTTATCTCTTCTTCATTCAGGTCAATCCATCCTCCAATTATTTAGGTCAATCCATCCCTCAATCATTTAGGTCAATCCACTTGTCGATAAATATGTCAGGAATCAAGACTTATGCATCTTTAGCGGATTTAACAAAAGGTCGTTCTATACCTCCCCCACCACCACCACCACCACCTTCTTCCTCTTCCTCTTCTTCATATATCACCGAAAATTCACATAAACAAAAATATCAAGATCCATCTCATCCCATGGATCCTAGGACCGAAATGGAATTCAAGAATTATGGTCATTCAAATATCAGAGGAAATACAACCCAACAAATGGATCATAAAAGGTTTAAAGAAGATAAGAAAATAGAAGGATTGGACAGTAGACTTGAAGGAAAAAAAGAAAGGAAATTACCTCCTTTTCCACAACAAGGTATGTTATCGGATATCCCTCCCATACCACCTAAACGACCTGGTGAGTTGACTTTGTTTCTTTTTTCCAATGAATAACATGAATGACACGATTATGATTCTCTCGTTGACACATAAAGGAAATAAAGAAGAAACGTATATATCAAAAGCAACTTCTTACGTGCCTGTAGCGGCTAACGGTGCGATACATTCAGCTGGTGCTGGATTAACTTCAGCTGGTAATTATATGAGAGAAGGAGCTGGAAGTGTTTTCACTCATCAAAGAGCTGATCAAGTTAGTTTTTTTCTTTCTCTTTCTTTCTTTCTTTCTTTTTCTTTCTTTCTTTCTTTCTTTCTTTCTTTCTTTCTTGATGTCTTTCTTTCTTTCTGTCTTTCTTTCTTTCTGTCTTTCCCCCCTTTTCTCAATCATGTTATCCTTCCACGAAGAGAATACATCCTCATAAAAAAACGTTTTTTCATAAATACGTGTTTAAATAGAATCAGGGAGAAAGATCATGTTTCAGTAAGAGGAATTTACCCAGATCGGGAGTGATGACAGGAAGTAACGGGATGGTTTCCCACTCCGACTTGTTTCATCATTCCAAATAAATTACTCATGTTCATCTGTCCGTCGCAGTAATCGGGAAAAGGGTGAAAGCTGAATATGTAGGTTAAAACTGGAGTGGCTAAAGTTGGTGTAGGAGCTGTTAAACTTGCTGGTAAAGGGGTATGGGAATTAGGAAAGTTGGTTTCTAAAGGATTTTGAATCTCTTCTTTAGTTCCCTCCCTTTCCGACCTCTATCTTTCCTGCACCTCATCAATTCTGTACATTCCCCGTGATTCCACATATATACATCGGCGTAAGATCGTAACATCTCTGTCAATCCTCCGTATCTATCTTATCATGAATGGTCAATCTATCAATTCAAAAGGTCAATCTATCGACAACTCTGTGTAAACACAAGTTATGTGTTACTTCATGTCCGAGATGAGTTGTACGAGTAGTGGATAATTGTACCGTCGAGTAGAGTTGTACCAATGATCAAATGTACGATGTGTCAATCTGGCAGCAATGAAATGTTACATGGTACAAAAGCGTATTCGAAATCCGAGCTGTCCAGCACAGATAGATGAGATTCGTTCAACATCATATGACTAACATCACAAGATCGTACTTTGTACACACTTACAAACTCACAGAAGATCAAATCCAAAAATCCAAAACAAATCGCCAAAAAGCACAAGATGAAACAAACACAACATCTACAACCAACACACCACTTTGAAATCTACACTCTCTCCCTTTCTCTAACTTCCGCAGCAGAAACTAAAGCTTCGATACCTAACGATCCCCAATCTCTTTGTTTTTCCCTTCTCACTTCTTCCTTCGCATCACGTATCGCCGATTCTCTCATTGATCCTCTTCTTTCTCTCATCTCCCTCTCCATTTCTATCTCTCTTCTTTCCCTATCCCCTGCTGATTCTCTCCTCATTCCCATTCCCAGACTTAAACCCGATGTCATCCTATCAGAAAGACCATGAGGATATTTCAAATCCGCCGAGAGGGGCGGTAAGACAATCCCGTTTTCATCATCCCTCTTCCAAGGTGATACAGAAGTATCTCTAATCTCACTTAATCGTCTATCCCATTCTATCGTCTCTTTCCTTCCCTTTGAAGTTGACTCGTGATCTTCTCTACTATTCGACCTCATTCTCTCTTCCCGTCGGAACTCAGTTCTCATATCGACTTCGTACCTCGTTTCTGATCCACGTCTGACTGAATTATCCCTCTCCACTCTATCCGAATGTCGTCGAGATTTCTCTGGACTAGTGACCGACGTACGTCTCATGTCCATCCTTGACTCCGAATCGATTTTGGTGGACGGCGAAGGCGATCTTATGGCATTAATGAGACCACCTCTTCGGACACCTGACAATGGTGATAATCCCGGAGGGCCCACTTCAATCCTAGAAGTTAATGAGCTCGTACTCGATATCACGCTTTCCGGCACCAACGGCGAAGTAGCATTGTACAACCTCAATCCTAAAGCTGGAGCATTCACTTCTGTCCTCGAAGGGGTTCTGACGGATTCTTTCTCGTGAGGTATAGAAGGAGTTCTGATCGGATCAAATCCTATCGAAGGCGTCTTAGTGGGTTCGTAAGTTATATTGGGTGTTCGAGAGGATTCAAATGCCATTCCAGGGGTTTTAGTTGGGTCGTATGACATGACGGGTGTTCTTGAAGGATCATAAGAAAGAATGGGAGTACGTATCGGGTCGAATCCCATCGTAGGGGTCATTGGATCGAACGCTCTCGAAGGTGTTCGAGCAGGTAATGGAGGGAGGATAGGTGCAGAAAGGTTAAGCATGTTTCCGGGTGCACGGGCTCTGATGGGAAGAGGCGCTTGTGGATGAGGATGAGGATGAGGCAAAGTGAGGATAGGTGGGGGTCGTTGTCTCTGTGAACGCGTTGGAGGGAGTTCGGGATAGAACCCATTTTGGACAGCGGTCGTGCGATCGAACCCCCAATTTTCAGCGACTTCAGTCCACCAGATATTGAGATGTTGGTCGACTTTGGCGTGTGCAGATGAGAGGGAGGGATTTGTGAGATGGATATGGTCTTGCCAATTGGAGAGGACGAGTAGGGGGAAGAGCACTGGGATCAGATGGTGCACATGTGGTCATCCATGTCCACAGCAGATATCCCCGTATTGAACAGATCTAGCCCAAGATAGTTGCCAGGGGCAAACGGTGCTGTAAAGCGATATAATTGACACGATAGTTGCTGGAGTGAATGGGAACTGATCAGGGATGACATGGAAGCAGTGAAAAGATGAGGAAGGGATCTGAAGAGCAGAAGAGGACAACGAGAGCAACAAGAAGGCAAATAGGAAAAAGTACTCACTCGCACAACTCTCCCTGCCCCTTTCACCAGCCCTGTCCATCAAGATGGCGATATTCTGAACAGCCTGCCCTTGTCTCACAGCCATCCACTCGTTCCCCATCTGTTGAGCCACCACGACTTGCAAATAGAACATACCGCACTCAGCTAGACAGTGCATGAAAGTGAACCACCATCCGTTGAGCGACACTTCTGGGACTGACGAACGAGATGCTATCTCAGCAGCGGCAATGTTGGTCTCATCGAATGAGAGATGGGAAGGGAGGGAGTTTGCCCATGCCTGCGCGCGGGTCAGCTACACCGTCTCATGACCGAAGAAAACGTTGAAGTATGATAACATGACCGTGGGGGAGGGCGTAGGAGAGAAGAGAGTCAGCGACTGATCAGTGGAGCCACGAGAAAGGGAGATGGAAGAGACATTGAATTGTGACTCACCTTCAGAGCTTGCTCCTGTCGCAACGCATGCGTTCTGATCTCCAACGTCGGCGATACGGTGGCATTGGTCACACTCATAATGTCACACCAGATTGACAGCTGTTTATCAGCCCTTGCTTCATTTCAAAGGACAGATGGCCTACCACTCTGATTGCATGTCCAAACTCCCCCACTTGACCTTCTTCCCCTAACCAATTCCCACTTCCAACTATTAAGCCATCTCTTCTCCCTGCTTCTCTCCCTCCAGCCGCTCCACCGCCGTACCTGCCCCAATGTACATCCGATCCAGGTAAAGGTACGTTGTACATGTCTTGTTCCCTCAAACGTCTTTCTCTACTCACAGCAGCAGCGAACAAATCATGGAAAACCAACAGCCAGAAGGTTCGATGACGCATCTCCATCAATGTCATATATTCCACCGTACTGAGTCCGAGTTGTGTCGCTGGGGGAGGTAGAGTGGCTGCATGAGTGGGACGAAAGATATCGATAGCTACGTCGAGGTAATAGAGACCTAATTGGGGTTGACGGATACAAGAGTAATAAACCGATAAGAGGTACAGAGCTTGGACGAGTTCTGTTTCTTCGTACGTCCCCATATCTGAACGTCTTTCTTCTTCATTCCATGCTTTACGATGGTCGATAATGGCAGTGGCACCCGCATGCGCACGCTCGGCGAACGCTTCGCCCCGTATCCACCGGGGGGCCTTGGGTGGAAGGGAAGCAAGAAGCACTGGGTTGTCGGAAAGACGGGCGGAAAGAGCGTAAATGGAGTCGAGAAGGAGAGGAGATACTTGACCGAGGTAAAGACGGTGTTGGAACGTGGGAGTGTGTATCATGGCGCAGTGAGGCTGGAGTCGACGGAGGAAAACTAAAGTGTTAGCAGTCACAAATGTTGCATCGATGTATACTGTGTATAGTCCGGTGACATCTCGTGGGAGTGAAGCTGGAAAGGGATATGAACATGTGGGAGAGTGAGAAGTGATGGGTCTTCAAACACAAGTGAGATTAGGATGTGATAAAGAGAGAAGACACACTGTCGATGAGCTCAGCAGAGATGGCAGGATCACGTTCGACAATCTCTACCGGGCTCAATACTCTCCGCTCTACACTCTGCCGTTTCTCGTCCATCTGTGTCGACCCACTAGACCCTCTAGCCCAGTCCGCATCTCCCTCTCTCCTCGTTCCTCCGTTTGGGCGTCCATCATCTCTGCTCGCTCGACGATCTGCCGCATCGCGAGTTCTGGGAGGAGGTATCTCCTGACCTTGTGCGTTCAGGTAGAGACATGGGCGGGAAGAAAATTCGCAGTTAGAGCAAGGGGCGAACCCATCGCATCTTCGTTTGTTTTTCTATTTCATCAGTCAACTACCCTTACTCGTCCCACATAAACTGGGTCGATGTCAAAAGTATCCTGACGGGGATGATTGAATGGTCCGTGCCACTCGTAGTGTATGAACAGATTTCACTCACATGACAGGCACTACAGGCTTTTGCCAATCTCTTCCTCTTCCTTCCTTTCGTAGTCAATTCTTCCCTGTCCAGCTCCCTTCTATTATCATCTTCCGGCGAGTCCCCCTGTTCGGATCGGTTTGGATGTGGTACCGACCGACTGGGACCTGCTCCAGAGACGGGTGTGGCGGAAAAGGCAGCACGCATGGGGATTGATTTGGGTGGCGGTGGAATGTGGAATGATCCCGCCCTATGCAACGATTTATCCTGTGTGAATTGATTGACGCCTGGTGTCGTGGGTGAGATGATACGGGGAGGTAGTTTGGCTGGATGAGTAGTACGAGTTTGTTGAGTTGGTCGGATGGGTGAAGGTAAAGGATGAAAGATGGAAGGGAGAGTTTCGGTAACGGGTGGTGGTAGACGTGGTAAGGTGATTGGATCGTGTGTCATATTAAGGATTTGTGTCGGTCCTCGTTGCTGATCTCAAAGTTGGAGGGGATCGATCGGCAGGAATGAATGATGTTGCTTCTGCCGATATCGGGATGAGGTCGGTTAGATACGATTCGATGTGGAGTAGTGGTGACAATAATGTAATGACTTGGATGGTAATTATTTATCTCACAGAGGGGATGATACAAAGAGAAGAGGTGAGAGAGGTCGCCACTTGACCACTCCGCCCTGGTCGGAGAAGAGGCGTAAGAAGTAAGAGATGTTGACGAGGAGAAGCACTGGGCAGTGAGGAGTTGTAAAGAAAGAGAAGGGCGATGACGGTGGTGAAAAGTGACGCACGACCGGCGGGGCGGTCAGTCGGTCACAAAGGGGATCGGCCTATGTATTTTCAACGATGTCACAGATGACTCCTCGAGCGGGACATGAATGATTGCCTCTCTTCAAAACAAAAACCGGCCGGGTCTTGTCAAGTGTTATATCGGCGTTGTTGCCGTGTAACGACCCAACTAACAAAAGGATCACAAGAGAAAGAGAGAGAGAGATGTCGATGGCCCCCGTTCAAGTTAGCTGTCGTTTTTGCTTTCCGGCTCGTGTTCACCGATGGTGGAGAACCACGGTCCAAGCGGCCCAGGGGGGGAGCAGAACCAAATTAGACGATCGTCCCGGTGCTAAAGCAGCCGGCGGGCGGCACTCTGCGGGGCGGGGTAGGCAAGAGGGGAACGCTTTGATCGCTAATGGACTGATCGTTGATCGCTGATCGCTCCTGTTCGACGTCTGATGGATAGCCCAATTTGTGGCGTCTCAATAGTCGGTCTCTCGGGTAACACACTAGGCAGCGAGTACCACTCTAGCTCCGTGGTGTTGGGGGGGAGGAACGTTGGGGGAGAGATCCGCGGAATATGTTAGATGGCGAATGGATTGATCTGCACTTTTTGCACTTTTTGTGAAATTACGATTACACCACTTGGCGCCCGAGCCAGTCGGCTTTGATGGTGGGGGTCAATGATCGATGATCCGAGGAAGACGAGGGCGTTGTTACTGTAGTGAGGGGACAGGCTCCGACTGTGTTCAAACGCCTTAACTCGTCGGTCTTCGTCTGAAGGCGATGTCTTCTCTTCTTTACTTGTTCTCCTTCTGCTATTCTGTCAATCCCTCATTCACCATGCGAGACAAATTAGACGCCCGTCAAGCGGAGATGAGTTGGAAGGACGGGCGGATCATGTAAAGGACCTCACGCCCCCTTGGTTAAGAAGATTGCGAAGGGGTGCACGGACCGGAACATGTTCGGTTGGACGATGAGGGCGGCAAGGGAGAGGATGGAAAGGGGGGAGGGGATGATGATGCTCACTTGTTGAAACTTGTTCTTCAATCCTTTCTTCCTTCTTCCATATATTCCATATGTGACTCGACCCCTTGTGGCCTTCTAATGGTGTCTTTTAGATATGACGTGTGCACTGCACTGTTCAGTGAATCAATGAACGACGTTATTGAAAATCATAGAAGAGTCTCACCTTTTACTTAACCTCGAACCGACTGCTCTGTATACATACGCCGAGTGTCGCTTTCGATTGTGTCGTCTCGCAATTTGGTCAAGATTCTCTGGTCTCAATCAAATGTCCAACAGTACCAGATTCGACGTCGTGAACAAGACAAGGAATGTTGGTCAGTCCAAATAAGCAGAGCCCCAGACTCGGACCCGGCAGGAAGACACGACCACAAGTTTCGGTTCATCTATCGATCGTCCCTTCCACCTGCATCCTTCTCTCCTTCTCTCCGTCTCCTCTCCTCTTCTTCGAGCCCCCTCTTCCCTAGCTGCTGTGATCTCCAAGCTTGTGCTCTTCTGCCGCATTGAACATCCCAGCTGGCGAACCGGCATTGCCCCGAACAACCACCCCAAAATCCGGAGAAGGTGGGGCGCCGGCGGTGTCCCGCCGGTCAAGAAACCCTGTGGCGTCGAGTTTCCTTTATTCGTGCTCCGTGCTTACTTAACAAAGAGAATGGCCGCTGAAGGAAGCGAAATGTGTTTGGTACATCCTTCCTCCTGAAGCCACTTATGGAGAAAGTCAAGAAACCAAGGGAAGCCAGACTTCAAGGGAAACGAGAAGGACAATATTTACCCGCCGGTCCGGAACTTTGTTTCTCCGCGTTGACGCCATGACGTGAATGTCGGACATGACCGAGCAAGCGTCTCTGTCTCCTCCACCTGATGATGCTCATGCAGAAGGAAAGAGGGAAACGACGAAAGCCGCCGGCGCCGGTACCGGTCTTTCGCCACGCGGCATCTTCCATTAGGGTATTGGTAAAGGGAGGATGAGAAAGTGGTGGTGGTAGTGACGTCGAACATGGTGTTTTTGCGGCTGTGGATGGTGCTAAGACTTTGGGTGATGAATGCCGCCGGCAGGTGGTTACAGCAACCACAATGTACTTCAGTGAACGAAAGCTGACAACAGTAACGAGGACGTGAAATGGTCATTCGTCGGATACTCCTCGCGCTCGTCATTTGCCAAGCTTACGGGGTATAATTGTTCACACGACCACACATTGGCAAGATACAATATGAATGAAAGCCGAGGTACACCATCACTTGCATACCCATCGACCAACATATTATCTGAGACAGAAACATGTACGTTCCTCCGCTGATGTCTCCTCGACGAGAGAAAGGAGAGGACAAAACCAGAGGAGAAGCTATGGTATTGGCCCCGTTCAGTGCCGCCATGTCCGGAAACGAGGACAAGGGGATATGAGAGGGGCCGAGGTCGGTTTTCGACAGTTGGGGAGGGGATGATCGGGTGGGGTCGATTGTGTGTGGTAGAGGTGGTATCTGGTGTCGTTCGTTGACCGAAGGCGTTGACCGAAGGCGTTGACCAAGGTCGTTCGTATGTTGGTATGTGAGAGTAGATAGCAGAAGGTTTCCTGATGTATCTACTCTGATTTAAGCTATCACTATACGGCGAAGTTTATCGTTTGTACGTCACGTCAACAAAGGGTGTCAACAAATACCATCGAACCTGATGTATGTACCCATTAGTCCAGCTGTTAACTAGTAATCAGTGAGTATACCAAATCAAAGACGATGAGACCCTTAGTAAATGAGCAATACACGAATATTGCCGATCACAGAGAACGCCGAACATCCAATCCATATCTCATCATTATCCTGGGTCGGACCCTCCAGGTACAAGATGGGAAGGGATTAGTGAGACTTAAAAGTCGTCGATTGTGTTGACTTTGAGACTGATGACGATTGGAACGAGTATAAGGCTGAGAAGTATGAAGTAATATGTTGCGAAGAGAGATGTGTGTTCGCTCTTCATTACACCCTGATCTCGAAGGGAGGATCAAAGTTCTGAAATCGAAGCTGTTCATATAGGCCTATTCAGGAATCCTGCAACGCGGGTAGCGAGCGAAGCGGAGCAGATGAGGCCGGGAAGTCACAAGTAAGGCTAAACGATCTTTGTTACGTCAGAGGGGTCGAATGTATGTTCTGAATATGTAATACAGGTCATTAGATCTCCAGGATGTGTGAGGGTGTCGCAGAGTCGAAGCAAGTCGTTGAGTTGGTACCAAAATTTGGTTCCAGCTGTTAGGGTCGTAGTCATTTTAGAGGATTGATAAAGTACTGTCCGGAGTGTCTTCATCATCTATGGTGAAGAGTTTATCTCGGACGTCTCTCAAGTTGTCATGAGAAGATGGAGAGTTGGTAGTTGCAGAAAGATAGTTTCGACTGAGACGTTGAGCTTATCAAAGAAGAAATCAAGAATACTCCACGTCATTTCCCATTCCCACACACCCCTTCAAACCCATTCATCGCTTTGTCCCCCTCTCTCCTTCTTCTACACTATTCTGCTTCTCTCTTTCTCTCTCGACTACAATTGACTCAATATGGCCACCAAGGTAGCACAGAAGAGGGTGAGTTTTTAGATTTCATCTCGTTCGAATAAAACTGATGGATCAGCTTCAGAAGGTATGTCTTTTCCTTCACTTGCCCTATCCCTCGTGATGAATCCTCTCGTCTTCCCGACTTCGTGGGAATATCCCCGATTAGGTGGCTATCGATAAAGATTCGTATGGACAATATCCAGCAAAGCCGCCTTTTACAGGCGAGAAGTAATTATACGATGAGATGAAGAGATGAAAGAGATGGGATATGGGACGAAACGAAGGAACTCATTTTGATAACTCTAGGAATACCTTAATATGCAAAGATCACCTCCTCCTTTTATCTGGGCTTGTCCAGAAGAGAAGAACATTCTCGATTGTGAGTTTTTACTCTTTGTCCAGAGTCAAAGGCTGATGAGAAGGGCATTTTATTATTGTTAGTTCGATTCATTCTTTCCGTACTGAATTATTCGTAGTGTCCTGAGATGCGCTTTGGGACGTTTTCCGATATCCATGAAAAAAGTCATTGAGAGATGTACAAGAGAAAGTACTCTATGGCGGATGGAGATAAGGATGGAAGAGACTGATGAAATAGCGAGGACCTCCCGATTCACCTTACGACGGAGGAGAATATCATGGGTTGATTTGGTTCCCTAGTGATTATCGTGAGTTTATTTCTATTTTTCATTTGCTCCATCTCATCTCACCTTTCTACTGCTAGACACATTCTGTCGCATGATCTCTGTACAGACATATTCTTTCGCCCCGCTATGAGTGATCTTTCGATAAGCTTGGAAAGGACATCACTGATCATAGCTTTCAAACCACCTGATGTCAAGTTGTTCACCCCTTCTGGCCGGTTTGAAACTGGTGTGAAGATCTGTATGAGTATGACTTCCTAGTGAGTATCATCATCTCCTTCCCCTCCCTTATTCACCCTCTCACTCGTTTTCCTGTCCTGCACAAACGGATACTTCTGATACGACACAGCAACATAGCCTTTTGCAAGATCCTTGTGACATTTCGCTGACATGCAGTCATCCCAGCACGTAAGCTAGTCGCGGTGAGTTAAAGCAACAGCTAAACAGGGTAGATGGAACGCAGCTTGGAGTGTGGCTACTATCCTCACTGGACTTTTGTCGTTTATGTTGTCGGATGAGTGCGTCTTGAGTTTGTCTTCCTCTGATTCATTTTACAGTACCCCCTCTCCCTGTCTTCTGCCAATATCATGACTATGCTCAGACCTGTCAACCAGATCCTACTTCTTGTGCCTTCAACACTTGGCAACAACACATACTTCCATTCCTTATGACGCTCGTCTCTTTGACAATAGTCAGATCGTCTCCACCCATCGAAATTACTATATGATCAAAATCCCCTGACTTGCAGAATCACAGCTGGAGCTGTCAAAACTACCGTCGAAGAGAAACGTGCACTAGCAAAATCGAGTCACGCATTCAACCTTTCCAATAAGAAATTCCGCGTACGTTTCCTCTTTCCTCATTGAACTCTTACTGACAATCAGGACATATTCCCTCAAGTCAGCTTTCCCCTTCGGCGTCCTCCAAGTTAAGCTGACATGACAGTATTCCACACCGACAATGACCGATTTACCTGATATGGGACGCTCAAATCCTTCTGTGAGTCTTTCCTCGAATATCTTCGAAAATCGTACTGACTTGACCGGCCTAAGAAACCAAGTTTGGAGTTGGGATCATTCACGAGTTCTTCCGTCATTCTTACTCCCACACTCACTCCAACACCCACACCCACACCCACACCTGGACCACTAGAGATACCTCATCAAGAAATAGGAGAAAGAATAGAAAACGTCGCTGTAGTAGAAGGAAGAGTAGGAGTAGATGAAAATGTTCAAGTGAGAAATAGACATGGTTGGTTTTCATGGAGATGGATTGTGGCTGTAGCTATGTTAGCTTTACTTGGACGATTATCCTCTTTAGGTCGATGACATCGATCGGTGGCCCGGTGGTTACTTTATCACCTGGCTCGTACTCGATCATCTAAGTGCTGGGTATGATTGGATGAAAATGAGGAATAGGACGTGTCAATTTGAGATGGTAGATGTTGTAAAATGCATACGGAGAGCATGGTCATTTCTAGGTGTTTTCCAATTTGTGCTGCATGTTATTGACTGTGATCTCTCCATGTAAATAAGAAGAGATGTCATGATTTAGACCCTTCGACCAATATCAACACCATATCTTCCTCTTTCCCTCTCTATCTCATCTTTTGATCTCATTCCTTGACCTTTATCACCTCTGGAACCTTTCCCAACTACTCCATCTCCGAGGTTTATAGGATTAGAACCACCATGTAAAAGTTGAATAGTAGCTTTAACTACGTGCATAGGGTTTCTTGAACCTTCTATCGTAGCGGAAGCGTCTGATATACCGCATGCAGTTAAGATTGGGTGGATGGTACGTGGGACCATTAGACCGAATCCTTATTTATCAGTTCTCTTCCTTCTCTTGTATTTTCTTCCCTCTCTCTTCCCTCTTTTCGTCTCTTCCCTTCCCTCTTTTCGTCGCTTCCCTTTTCGATTCTCCCTCTCATCATCACCTAAGCCGAAAATAGAGAGATAATCAGTGCTTTCAGGAATCTTATTTCAATGGTCATACTCTCTCCAAGCGTGGGTGAGATGACATGATCCATGATCCATGAACCTGATAACATTCAGATGTGGTGATTGCCCAGATGAAAGAGGTTGTGTGGTCTTTAACATGCCTGGGACGTAGCAACAGTCCCATTGATCCTTTTGATCTTAGGTAGATACGGCGAGGGTCTGTGATAGAGGACAGACTGCAGGGATGAGAGAGAGAGAAAAAAGGGTAGATATGAAAGCGATGGAAACATACCAGCAGGCCGAGCACGGAATTTCACAATTGTAGCTCCAAATTTCGAAGTCAACTCTCGTCCTGAGCCCCAAAAAGTACGGTTCTCGTATCGGCTCACGCGATCCATTCGGAGGGTTGCTGAGAGTCAGCGAATGCGTAACTTGAAGTGTCCTGATGTAGTCACTTATCACGTGTTGGTCCAAGTGACATGTATGTCTGGACAAGGGTTTGGAAGAGAGCTCGACGAGATTGAAGTTTTGAGGAGTGAAGCAAGGGAGGACAGTGATTCGTAATCCAGCTGGAATTGTCTCTTTGAATTCAGATAGGAAGATGGAATAAAAAAGCACAAGTATGCAGGGGAAAAGGTGAGGAATAAGGCTATTAGAAAAAGGTAAAAAACGTTTGGCGTTGAAAAAGGGAAATATCACTCACCCTCATACATAGCTTCTTCCGTAGCATTCTGATTCCTCTCTCCTCTACCTTGACCGAAACCTACCAAACCACGTTTAGGACAACCAACTATAGCCAGAGCGTATTGACCAGGTCTGTAATGAGTTAACAATTCGCTCAAAAACCAAGCAGGCGTTCTCTCCACTTTGAGGAAAGAATTCCTATAACTTCTGACAAGTCCATTACACGTGGTCAAAGCATTGTTAAATTAAATCAATTCGTTGATCATGTAATGATGAAGACAAGTCGTACAGTATATGATATGAAAAGTGAAAAAGTAATTGAAATTTGCTCAAACTCACTGTCTACCTTTTTTATTCATATGTTTCACTGCCTTGCCAACAATTCGAGTCCTTTTCAATTCCCCTAACTCTTTTAAACTTAATCCAGTAATAGCACTCAAAACACCTTGTCTTTCAGCCGAATCTTGCGTATCAATCGTTCTGGGTTTCGTATCGGGTTCACGGAATAATGGTGGGTCATTGTATATTTTATGTATGGGAGAATCGGGGAAATGGGATTGGAAATCTTCTCGACGAGGTATGGGACGATAAGGGAGTAGAGTATGGTCAGGGGGAAGTTGAGAGATACGTGGGATTGAAGAGGATGGACGAGTTTGAGGGAAATGGGTTGAGAGTGTTGGAAGTGATGGGATGGGATTGTGGGGTGTAGGAATGGATGGGAAGGAGAATTTTCCCCGGAGTGAAGTGGGACGAAAGAGGGACGACATTGTTAATGATAGGACTCGATCTTCAGATGTCGTTCGAAAGACGGTATGAGAATTTCAATATACTCCGTCGGCCCGTGATAAAAGTTCAGAGGTTGGTCCTGTAGTCTGGTTTAAGCAAATGATAATCCAAAGAAAATTGTGGGAATAGAGGGAAGTAGGAAAGAAGACGAAACTTGAAATGTGGCACAAGGAATGAATGTGGCACTTTTCTTCTCTCTTCTCTTGCTACCGTCCCACGCCACACACAAATCAGTAGTCAAGTTATACGAAACCATGTAGAGACAACCATGCTTCGTGACATTCACTAACATGCTTAATGTACAGTACACAAGCGAGAACATCTATCAATACTCCAGTAAACCATTGGTCCAAAATGATCTCTCCTGAATCCATAACCCATTCACCCACGGTCTACTCGGTCAGATGATCATTCACTCCCTTCGCCCCATTCCCAGGCCACAATGATCCTTTCATTCATCCCCTCTCACCTGGTCCGACCCCTTTTCACCTAATATGGCCCTCTCACTCGTTGAATGACCAAAGTATTAGACTTCATCTCAATTTTCATCAGTCAATATCACTCCTTGTAACATCAGATACCTTAAACTGGCAAAAATTATCAATTCAAAATCCTCAGAGAATCAATAGACAATGAGTACCACAACCTTGGATCTTGACCAAAGAGGTTTGAATAGACTACGACCGACTTACACACAGACTGACGACATATTCGCGACGAGTTGTAATACGACTTTTGACCCTCAACCTTGTCCAATTCACCATCCCTTATCATGTAAGTTTCTTCCTTACGCCATAAGAATCTACAGCATATTTTATCTCTCTCTAACCATATGGTGTACTTGTCCCACAGAAAGAGGGGTTTCCTTCATTGGATCCTCAAGTTCTTGATTGAAGATAATCATATAGTAGAGAACAAAAAGGGTTGAAGAATGGGAGTTGACTAGCAGTATGGATTGTATTACCAGTCATTTTTGTCATTTGTGTTTGTGTACTTGTATGGCACCATATTCAAGAGAAGAAACAACTTGCTCAAGATGAGAACAAGGATAAAACGAATTCTGACGAAACATCAGAAATAGCGTGATCATGATCCAATTGCGATTTTCATGTATGTGGAATGGGCAGTGAACATGTATTTCATAGTGAAAGAATGATGGAGAAGAATCTGATTGTTCAGGTAGAATGTCTTCTGTCCCATTCATTTCGTAGATCCCATAATCTACACACGGCTTCGATCTCTTCTTTTGACCAACTCTCCATCGTGGATATCGAGAGACCAAGACTGATGAATGCCTGATGCACTTTCTCGGGATCCCTTCTGAGATGGGTCTGATCAGAGAGTGATAGTCGGTCCATGATGTCTTCGTTCTCTAGCACTAGAGTTTTGAAAGGTCGAGTGCGATCCGAGACATGTATCGGAGAAGTGATCAACTCGGCCATTCTTCTACTTCGTAGGGTTTCTCGACGACCTTGATTATGGACGGTCTTGGATATGTCTACTCGTATTTCCTTCGCTAGGCGGGAATAAAGGAGTCGAACTCGTGTTGTGCCTTCTAGACCGGTTCTCTTCTTGGTGAAGTCGACGCCAGATTGATGATGATTGGTCGTCCGCTCCGTGTTTGGCGCAACAGACCGGAAGGTGGTTGACATGGGAGGTGATGATGTGTGAGCGAATGTGGAAGAGGTGTCGGATACAGAGGGACAGTGTAAATCAAAAGCCAAGATGACATCCGGTGGGTCGGAACAGGTCAAAGTTAATTGACCTAGTGGATGATATATCTTTACCTATCTATTGGTCAATGCTTTCCAACGAGTTAGGAACTTACACGTGGAGTAGAACGTTTGAACCTTTCCACTAAAGAATAAACAGCTTTCCATTCTTTCTTCTCCCTTTCTGTCCATTTGGTGAAGTCATCCAGGGACAATTTATATCTCTCATCTCCTTTTCCCTTTTCCTCTCCCTCTTGTCTCCGCCGGTGCTCATCAAATCTCTTCGGAGCATCTACGACCTTCTTGTTGATTCTGGATGTCTCCGGTTCTACGTGGTATTGCTTGGAGTAAGCGGTGTGTTGTTTTGAAGATGACGTAGGTCGAGACGGTGAAGGTGATATTTGTGGAGAGGAATAGATCAAAGATCGACCTCCAGAAAGTACCGTAATGGTTTTGTGACCAGGAAGAAAGAGTCGAAGTTCGTAGCGTACATAAGGGATATAAATCGTTTCTTTCTTCCCAATATGGAGTGGTATAGGATGAGGAGTAGGAGGAAGGGGGTGGGCCAGTATCGGTTCAAGATGATAGGATGATTCGGAGAACAGTCGTCTTTCTACCGATTGAACTTGCTCGATGTTCGGGATGGTTGGTTTTGTCCAGAGCTTGGGAATGCAGCGGGATGAAACGGTCATTGGAGTTGTGTTGTCGAGTTTTGTGGATGGTATCAAGGGGACGGAGTGGGGTGGGAGAGGAACTAAATCCGGTTCGGGTGAAGTGGGGGGTGTGAGTGGAAACATTGTTTGTTTTGGGTTAGACATCAAATTCACAGTGACGTCGCGGGAAAGGGTGGGTAGAATTCTTTTCGACGTTTGTTTCTGGATATGATGTTCTGACTTGGGATTCGCAGCTTGTGTTCCCTTCTTCATGATTGGTGGACGAGAGGGAACAACATCTAATACCTTCTTACGACCTACCGATGGCTTCGCTTCCTTCCAACAATTGAACTCCGGGTCAGGTGCATTGGACTTCTTTCCCATGGCAGTCCCCTCCATCCGATCCTGGACACCTAAGGATGCCTTACCGATCCTCTGATTCACTTGCGTGTTATCTTCCAGAACGACCCTCCTCCTGGCTCTCCAACCAACTTCCAATTCTCTCAATTTGATCGGGGTCTCTTCTTCCGCCTGTCGTTCAATTTCCAAGGCGAACGAAACTTTCCTTCTTGTCCCTTTCTCACCTTCTTTGCCTCGAGCCTTACTGGTGGTCTCGCCGATGACATTGTTTACTCTTCTAGATGTAAATTCTCTTGTTCTTCTATTCTCGGAACTGTCTACGGTTGAACGGGCTATCGAACTTCGCGGGTCGTCCTCAATACTAGGGATCTTCGTATTACCCATTATATCCTGATATCTCTCCTCGTGGCACTGCGCGTTTTCAATACCCAACCTGAGTCCCAACGGTCTTCTCCTCAACCTAAACTCCTCCATATTCTCTCACCCGACCTCTGGCTCAATGGTGACGAGCAAGTACATACAGTCAAGTATCCTAAGGAGTGAGGGGGATGTCAGTGACACAGTGGACATCCTCCACCAAACTCCTACTTAAGTAAGCACCCCACTTTAACCACCTTCGCAAAGTGCCACATTTAAATTCCCCGGACTGACGAAATTCCCGATCGTGCTTCACCTCTCACCTTGTTGTTCTTTCTGAACTCTTCTTCATACTACGAAAGGTAAGCTCTGACAGAGGTTCGTTTCGAGAACGATGGAGCTGATGATGATAGGCATAAACGTCAAGCCCGCTGTTACAGCTTAAATTGGTTTGCGTGCCATATTTATTCGACAAAGTGAGTGTCTTCCGTATCTCTCACGTTACCCCCTCCTCCCTTTCTCCCCTTCCCAACTTTTGGCAGTCCACGCATCTCATGTGTTGGGAGTTTTCAGTGATCATTCTTGCTTCAGATGTATTTAGGCTTTCATCGTCATTGATCCCCTGTAATGGAAGCGAGACTTGACACTGTGGATCATCGGAGTCATCGCTCATTACAGATGAAATATATCGCCGCTTATCTTCTCCTCCAAACCGGAGGCAACGCCTCTCCTTCCGCTAGCGACATCACTTCTCTCCTCGAGACTGTCGGTATTGAAGTTGATGGTGACCGTTTGGGTAAACTCATCTCTGAGTTGGAAGGCAAGGACATAGCCACTGTGAGTGATCTTGCCTTTCTCTTGCCTGCTCCCAATTTCGACGTGGTCACTCTAATGCTCTTATTTTCACCGTCGGTATGAAGATACTACAATCCTGAGTGGCGCATTCATGCTTCCTTTATGTGCCCTTGGAACATAGGCCCTCAGGAGGGATAGTGCGCATTGGCCAAGAAATATTGAGAGACCTCAGTCGAAGAGAACCCACACTCACCCTCAGCTCATCAACGAAGGTTCGGCCAAACTCGCTTCCGTCCCCTCGGGAGGTGGTGGTGGCGGTGGTGCCGCTGCTCCTGCTGCCGCCGCCGGTGGTGCTGCTCCTGAAGCTGCGAAGGAAGAAGAAAAGAAGGAAGAGGCTAAGGAGGAATCTGACGACGACATGGGCTTTGGTCTGTTCGACTAGAGCGTTGGAGTTATTTGCAATTTATGCATCTACTTGCATCCTCTCATACTTTTCTGCCACGCATGTGTTCCCTGCCCGGACTTTATCCTGGGACGGGTTGAGTAACTAAGCAATATTGCCTGATGTATGTGAACTTTGGCCATATGAGTATAGCACAAGGCCGAAGTGTCAGAACAAGCCAAAACGCTTGCTGAGATCTTTGCCAATGGGGACCTGTGCCGTTACCAAGAGACGAGGATAGAAGGAAATAGCAGAACCATGCATGTGGGACCTGAGAAAAAAATGGGGAAATTTTGACACTATCATGCTCATTATTACCATCCCCCCTTTCCATTGTCAATCACTGACCATCTATGCTGTCAAATGCCAAATATGTGATGCGAACCTTTATTTCGTTTTGGTCTGTGTGTCAGTGTCAGTGTCAAAAAGGTGTCACAAGATACTTCAAGACGTCACAGAATCAAATTCGGAAGGATTGGCCACTAAACAATGCCGAAAATGATGGAAAAGACGATCACGATGATGTGCTGAAATGTCTAGTGAACAATCACACAGATCATGATGATAGTGCAAGGGAATTTCCATCAAACAATCCGGTATACTGGCAACTAACAAAAAAACCGGAACGCTTTTCCAGCCAAATTGGTTCCGCGCCGTTCCGGTTTTCATGTTGAGTGCAAGTATGATATGGATAAAGACGATCACGAGGGAAAGAAGTCAAGGAGATGGGGAAGAGAAAAGAGAATGGACTGACCACTGGACGTCGGAACAGGACTGAAATGATCAGTAATGTTTCATTTTAGATATGGAAGAGAAGAGAAGAGACGTACGGATGTGAGGTTCAGGAGCTGAACGTTAGTGAAATCTCATCATCACATCATTCGTCAATGCAAGCTACACTATGATAACAGTGTCACTGATGACCATGATGGGTGTTGATTGCGAAGAAGAAATTGTAGTGTTGAATACTTATCTTCACATTGATTCTGACAGATGTGATTGGAAAATTTGATATGAACCATTCGAGATTTGAACAAAAGAGAGAGATAGAGGAGAAAGAGGGAAAACACACCATGAACTTCGAAATGTTCCCAACCTAAAGATTGGGTGATACCGATGCCTCGCCATTCATTCTCTTCTAAGATTCTCAAAAGTCCAGAATCATCCTGTGTGAAATACCTCATACGTTATTGATCATTCTTATGTATTTCAAGCCGAGCATGTCTGTCAAGGGTACGTAGAGAGCTAGGAAGGCTTTCTACTTCTTCTTCGATATGGCTCAAATTGTTTCCAAGGGTATACATCGCTCTTCTTCCTTATTGTTTCCTCCATGATCACTTCGAATCAGAGTCGAACGGAGAGAGAGGAAAGATAAAGGATGAAAAGTGAGGAAGATGAGGTAATATCACAGGATCAAAGCGTAGGTATCAAATGATGATAAGGGAAGACAAAGATATGATGTGTAAGGTAGAATAATTAGGGGAAAACTCACGATCGAGGAATCAGTTTTAACATTTGTTTGGGTAAGATGACATGGCGATATTCGAATTTATCATCGGAATCTATTTGTTTAGTCTTGACTCTTGAAAGAAGAAAAGAGGGGATTACATCTATCAGAATATATGATCCTAATTGTTAGCGTTTAATCGTCGGTTGTTTTGTTTGACAATGAAAAAAGGTGGAATGTGTTATGTTTATCACAGCGTGTATGAATGAAATCGCCCGACATAGTCTTCATATGGCGTTAACTGGGGGAGATATCAAAAGAAGATGAGGGTATGAGAGGATGGAAGAATGAGTGGTAAAGATGAGACCCACCGTTCTGCCAATTCCTCCAGAGTTGTAGCTTTGTTGGCGGGTGGCATGTTGCTAAAGTGAAGGGATGGGTCGGAAAGAGATGAGGTCGTTCTTCTCTTTCAACTTGTAAACTCTCCGTCACTGTTGTTCCAGTATAGATGGTGGGTGAGAAGTGCACTTTTGACGTTGTTGAAAGATTCGCTATGTATCGCTGGAGACTTAAGAATTGACAGGATCTTTACTTTTGGAATGGACGTGTGTACGACGAGTGAGACGCGTAGAAGCAGCATACTATGTAAGAATGGGGGGAGTGAATAAGTAAGGGAAGCAAGTCACGTGACCCCCTGAGTGAGTCTTGTTCAGGGTCCAAGATTGTTCGGGCTAGTCGGGCTACCGGAAAGAGGGATTATGCGGTGATTGCTATTTCCTGCTCAGCTGAATGACAAAAGTGGAACAAAGGATTGTTTTGTAAGCAAAGATTGTCTGACCGGAGTTAACTCGATTACATACGCCGAAAATCATGTTCAAAGCTCATCATGACGCCGTCCGTACCGATATACAACAAGTACAAATGTTAAACTCTTCTTCTTCAAGCTCACATCATCTTCATATTCCACTCGGTTCAATAGGAATTTGGTATGTACTCTCTTCCTCCTCTTTCCCTTCCCCTTTCCCTCTTTCCCTTGTTACACTGTACTATGAGACGAACCCATGATATTACAAACCCCTTCCTTTGGGGATCTGACGCCCTTTCATATATATACTGTATAATCAAATGCAACTGAACTTCTCAACGGTCAAGGGCAAATTGACTGACTCAACAGTACATCCGCTGCAGTCCATCCACAATCATCTCAATTAGTTTACCCTCTTGAACCTCACAACACTCTTTATACCACTCAATTAGAAATCTCTATGCCTCCTCGACCACTCGCAACTTCCCCTTTACTCGGCCCATCACAAGATGTTTCTTTTTCACCATGCGGTAGATGGATAATCATATTCCACCCTTCAACAACTTCTTCTTCTTCTTCATTAGGAAAAGAAACACAAGGAGGTACATTAACAATTTATCATAGTCTAATCCTTTCACCAGCTGTACGACCTGGTTCAATAGCTCCACATGCAAGTTTTCATCTACCACATCGACCTTTAGTAGCCGTTCATCTTTATCCAAAACGTTTAAATACACCTATCGGTCGAGCACCACCTTTAGGTCCATCACCTTCAGGAGGATATGACGAAAAGAAAGCTCCAATTCTATTGGTTTTATTACCTACTGGTGTTTATTTGATTTATTATCAACCTCAAGTGGATCCATTAGCAGCTTCTCAAGGTATCGATGTGGCATGGGGAATGCATTTGTTAAAATGTCCTATTCATATGAGGTATTACTCTTTAACAGGGGATAGACAACCTCCGGAAATGGGTTGGAAAATCAGAAGAGGTTGGATGGAAATGGTAAGAGGTAGTGAAGGTGTTTGGGTGGGTTGGGAAAGGGAAGGAAAAGCTGGAGTGACAAAGATAGATGTTGGTCAAGATGAATTTGGAAGATATTGTAAGTCTTTCATCTTTTTCTTTCTGTCAAATAACAACCCCAAAAACATTTACTTGATTCCTAAATTTCGTATGACACAAAAGTAAATGAACTGATGAGAAGTTTTGAGAAGCACTCCATTACCTCCTTTACCAAGATTAAAACCTCCACCGTTGGAACATTCAGTACCGACCGATAGGGTCAAGACGTATTTACAAGGAATCACCTTTCTCGGTTTATCCAGCGCCGACGATCATTCAGGCGAAGCATCATCTCCATCTAGACCTTTAGAGAGAGTAGGCGCTGCGTTGGTGTTTGCCGATGCTGGTAAGTATATCCTTATCAAAAATCATTCGCTCATTGTTTTAGTCAATTGTTCCATGGAGTACAGAACACGAATCGAAGTGTTGGAATTTAATCAGAGTCTGATAGAATTATCAGAAGGGTTTGAAGATCTCGAACCGAATTCTCAACCTATCACAGCGATAGATTGGGTAAGTCCTCTTATTGGATCAACATCAATATCTCATTCTTCTCTTGACTCGCCATAGCCCGCTTTTGGTCTTCTGCTTGATCCTGCTTGATAAGCAGGTTCATCATGAAGATTCAGAATGCCTGAAGGAAAGATATGACATCTATGACAACGAGCGAGAGCAATAAGAAAGAAGACAAAGCTAAATCTCAGAAAACATCTGCTCAACCAATCAACACAGCTATCCTCCCCCAATCCTATTCTCTCCTCGCTTTACACCCCCTTCCATCCGTAGAATCAGGTACCACTTCCTTAGCCCTCCTCGACACTCCTCACGGTCCTATTTTATCTCATATCGACCTCCTTCCCGACTCGGACGAATCATGGTCACTCCGCGGTGATCCAACTCACGTCGAGGGACCCTTGCCGAACGATGTGGATTTGGTAATCAGTCAAAGTGTCCATCGTGGTTGTCCAGGCATAGTGGGATTGGTATCGAGGGAGAATGGATTGATGTTGCATCCTTCTCCAAGACTCAGACCGGAAGCGGATAAGGCGGAGGAAGTTGCTATGGGTGTTAAATTGGCGATGGAGGAAGGGTATAGTTGTGCGGATTGCGTGAGAGTTGGATTTGCTACGACATCCAAGGCGGAGCATGAGAGTGGGTTTATGTCTCGCTTCTTTCTCACCCCAACTGCTTCCAAACACACGACCTACTTTGAACAAGGAGAAATTGGGCAAACTTTTTAACATTCACCAATCTTCTTCCTCTTCTTCCTTGCTCTTTCTGCCGTTTGCATGATCCACCTGATGGAACATGTGAATCCCATAGACATAACTTGCTGACCAGAAGCGTTCGGTCTAGCCGTATTACGTTCATGTGCCAAAGATCTGGCTAACCCTTTACACCTGCTCTGGATCCAATTGGCCATTTTCAAGTGAGTCTTTCAAGGCGTCGTGACATTCCTTCCATGCGACTCGACCTGTGGGGTATCAATGACCCACTCAAGAGTCCTTACATGCTCTTCACTTTTCACACGGCCACTTAATTGGACATGTTTTCGAGGAGGTTATGTTCGGACTAGTGACTGATAGCAGGGCAATGAACGACGATAGACGGTTTTTAGCTAGAGGAATGATAGATCTAGTCACTTCGGCTTCTCAGATCGATGCGGCCAGAAAACAAGATGGATCTTATGAGCGATGTGAGTTGCCTCATCCATCATCACGTCTACCTCTATTAGTCTTGAACTCGACGAGCTTCGTCGACCGGCTCTCGCTTGATCAGAGAATAAAGATGATTGAATTTGACTAATCTTTAGTATCAATATTCCCCCTCCTAGACGCCGCGTCTCACGTTTCACTCTGTCTTGCATCCCTTCTTCGCGAAATAGTAGAAGCGTCAGGTACTCTCGGATGGACTCAAGATCCTGAAACTCTACTTGAATTTCCTCGTCTTGTGTTTTTACTCCATCCATCATTACGTTCTTCCATTTTAAGTGCTATTGCCGCTCTGCACCGTTTCCTAGCTTGGGTCATAGCGTTGAATCAACCGACCCCATCGCCTGGAGCAGGTAAAGTGTTTGGAGGAGCTTTTGGAGGTGCGACGGAAGTGGAGAGTAGTATGGATGCGACTTATGTTGCTAAGGAGAAAGCGAGGGCTGTTTGTGATGATTCTGGTTTGGATTTGGAATTGTGGGGTAAAGCTTTAGCTAGATTACATGTCTGTGAGTTCTCTCTTCTTCTTCTTTTCGCTTCTCTTTCACTCCATGATGTCCCGAAGTCTCTCTTCTCAACTGACTAAGCCACCTGTCCGGATCCCCTGCCCCATCCATTGTCCGACTTCTATATCACATTACTCCTATTTTCCACCTTGATAATACTCATCTGTCATATTGGTGCTACTTTATCGCCACAATGATGGTAATAAGGACGGTACTTGACTTCCTGATAGAGTATCATTGAGAAGTGAAGATGATGACTGACTTCAAAAAAGCAAAACTGGAAATTCCAAAATCATCCCTTTTAACCTCTCTCATTTCTCTCTCACCCAATCCAATCCTATCTCACCTTCCTACAGTCCTACACAACCTTCCTACCCCTTCATCCCTCCTTCTAGCCCCTTCACCCAATTGGAACTCCACCGACGGAGTCATCTTTTCACCTCTTCCTTCTAACCATCGTACCCCATCTTATCCAATATCATCATATATCCGTTCATCAGCCATTCAATCACATACACCTTCATTACCTTTCCGACATCCTGCTTATGAACCATTTTCACATTCTGATCCACTAAAACCATCCAATATACCATATACTTTCAATTCCAATGGATTCGATCTTGCTCCTTTACCTCGTATAACAGAACCGATGGATATTGATTTATCTATAGGTTTCGTTCCTTCTTCCAAAGAATTCAAACAAACTTCCGGAAATATCATGATGACTTCAAGCGATAACACCAATCCAAGTTTCATGACCAGTACAAGTGGCACTATGGCTTCAAACGATATGACAAATTCGGGAATGAGGTCGAATATGACTTTGATAAATAACGGAAATGATAAAGAACAAATTATGAAATGTGTAAGATGTGAAATTAAAACGGCAGCTTTGGGAAAGTTGTTATTTTCCGATGGGAGTAGTTGGGGGAAATGGAGAAGAGATAGAGAAAGAGGATGTGTTTGTGGTGCAGCTTGGACAAGAGCGTGAGGGAGCAATCCTTCTTGTATCAGTAAGTACTGTACATTCATGTTGAGAGACCGACTTTGGTGTTTCGTTTTATCCTTCATACGAGTGAGAGAGTTTGGTGTTTCCCTTTACTTCTTCATATGAGTGACCACTTTTGGTGTTACGTTCTAACCAAGTATGGGTTTAGTGATCAGAATATGTAATGGGTTGGGAGATCCGAAGTGTGGGATTCAAATCGTTTGGATTTCTGTTTTTTTGGGGGGGATAGGGATAAGTGAAGAGTTGGGGGATGGACCAAGAGTAGAAAGAAAGATGAGAGAGAAAATTTGGTTTCTTGGGAAAGAGAGACAAACATAATTACAAAGACTACAAAAATCAACATAAATATCATACGGAATCAATCCGAGCATTTCAACTCTACTTTTGTAGCATCCATAGCATTTGCATCTTTTTGGTATTACCATATCGTATTATTCATAGCATCAAATTGGACCTTTTGCTTCACCCTGCTCACGTATCACGTTCTTCCTTCATGAAAACCCAATTAGACAGGATATATCCTCCTAGTCCATTGGCCGCTTGCTGTACTGAAAACAGTTCTAGTAAACACGACTGGCACCATGCACGATGAACTATGCACAAGATATCGTATTGGTACACATGACTTCTTACAAAGGTTTAGAGAAAAAAAGAAGGAATATCAAAAGTTATTTGATAGAGGTGTGATTTCTCTCTGTCATTCCAAAACAAAATAACATGTCTGCTACAAGATATACCTATTTCTATCAATTTTGATAACATGACTATAAAATGATGATACAATTGTGAAGAGGTACATGATTTGATATTAAATTTCAAACGGTATGATTACGTTTCAATGGAAGAGCGGCAAAGATGAAATGGTTTCGTATTGCATTCCTTGACAAGGGGTAGGGATTGAGAGTCGAGTATAGTCAAAGGTTTTTGTCCCTATGGGAGGGGATAGAAGTGATTATGGAAATAAAAGTGAATATGGAGATAGAAGTTGGATATGGGGACACCTATGTGACTCGATCGATTTGACACTAGAGGATAGGTCATGTTTAACGAGAGATGTGAAGAGTTCAGACGCATGATGATATGTCTATAGGTAGAGGTAGGAACGAGGAGAGGTGAATGAGATGAGGGTAAAGAACGACGACGTTATTCAAGAACAGGTGTGAGAGTAGCTGGTGGAGTATCCGTCACGGTTGTAGATTGAGGGGCGAAACACCAAACCATCACATCTCCGTCGTCTGACGGTTAGTTTGAGAAATCCTAAGTAACTTTATTTGACTCCAGTCTTTCACCTTTTTCTCGCTTATCGAAACAGGGCGTCTTCACCAAGAGACGAAAGTGGAGGGTTGTGTACATGTTCGATGTAGATGGACGATGAGGACATATGAAGAAAGGTTGAAAGGAAACATAAGAAAAATCAAGGCAAAAGCGATAGAACGATGTACCCGGGAAAAAAAGTAAAACTCACCAGAAGCAGAAACGATCAAATCGTCACTTAATTGAACACTCGTCACTGCTCCTCTGTGTCCCACGAGAGTTTGGACGCATTCACCAGAAGAAACATCCCATACTTTAACAGTTCGATCTGATGTGTCAGCTCAATTTTTTGATAAACTATCTCTCTCTCTTGCCTTTGCTGAGCATGACACGATAGCAAAATAGGGTGGAATGAGATCTGTGACCCCATGTTTACTGCTTATTTTCTTGCCCCCGACTGATCCCATGTAAAGGCAGAGAGTTTGTAGAAGGATTAGTTGTGAGCATTGTGATGACTCACCATGAGAAGCAGAAACAATTCTCAAAGCATCCACATCGACTCCCCAAACACCTTCGATATGACTATCCCAAATCAGCTTTCAGACACTGGTGACATATCCACTCTGCATAAATGACTTGAGACTCACCCGAACAAAGTTGCCTTCTCTTCCCCAGTTTCAATATCCCATAATCTCACAGTCCCATCCAATGATCCCGTTACTAAAGTAGCTTTCTTCCCACCTTCTTGGGTTGTTCTCTCCACATCCGTCGTGTTCTTCTTCAACGCCTCTGATCCATTTTCAGAACTATGAACAACCACTTGCGGTATTGATGAATCTATCTGAACATTCAAGTTTCTCTCCGAAACAGATCCATTAGTCGTCATTGACCTTCTATTGAGAGCTTGTGAAGCACGTGTCATTCTTCCTGTCGATATTGATGTATTTGACATTGTTGATCGTTTCGAATCTCTTTCTTTATCTCTTTGTTGTTGTCTTGCCTTAACAGCAATCTCTTCTGCTGACATATCTAACATTATGACTTTCAACGATTGGACTTGCGCCCTATGTCCTTCGAATACTCTAATTTTCGATCGAGTATCCAAATCCCATAGGATGATAGTATTATCATCCGAAGCTGAAAATAACATTGTTCCTGGATCTATATCAGGTCCTCTTTTCATTTCTGAAGTATCTTCTGGTCCTGGAGATCGATGTCGAGCTATGGTAGCTTGCATCATTGCCGTCGGATCAACATCACCAGGAGATGTTTTTCCATCCCATAAAACGACCGAATTGACCCAATCATCATGTCCCCTCAAAGAGAATTTCTCAGAAGTACGGAAATTGAATATTTGAATGGTGGAATCTGCACTACCTGTAGCGAGTAGATAACCGTTGTAATGTAATGTTATAACGGCATCGGAATGACAATTGAAGGTTCGGATACACTCTCCTGCTCGCCAATTCCATACTTTGACGATACCGTCCATGGATCCGGTGAAGAGGAACATTTGGTCGAATTGTAAACTTCGAATGGCTCTTTCGTGACCTCTGAGAACTCGGACTTCTTCACCGGTGGAGAGATTCCATACTCTGGCCGTACGGTCGTATGAGCCTGTGATGAGGACAGGGTAGGAGGGATCAGATAGGGCAGTGTGGTATTGTAAGCACATGACTCCGTCTGTGTGGCCCTAAAATGTCAGCAAAACGTTCATTGCATCCGAAGAACCACATCCAGCCAAGTAATCATGTGAATAGAGAAATAGGATCAGGAGAAATAGGAACAGGAAAAGGAAACGAAAGAGGGAGAGAGAGAGAGAGAGAGGGAAACGAAAGAGGGAGAGGAAGGGGAGGAAGAAGAGGGATAGAAATAACCCACCTTCAAAGTCTTCGCGGTACATCTCCCTTTACGCCAATTCCGTTCCACCACTAATCTTTCACAATACACAGTCTTCCAAGGTCTCGTCAATCTCACTTGTCTCGTCAAATGTGTCCCATTGGCTTTCCCATCCAATTTCAGACTATCCTCTAACCCATTCAACCCCATCTCACCCTCAGAATCACTCTCCACCTTTCTACGTTTGGCCACAGATCCGATTCCGTTTATCCCATTGGCACTTCCCGCCGCTGACCTCTTCATCCCCGCTGGAGTATCCACCACAGCCGGATCGCAATACACTAAAGGTACATGTCTATCCTGTACCATACCCAAAGCTTCTGTACGCGTCATCAACCTACTCACTCCACCATGACCGTGATCATGAGCATGGTCATCATGGCCTCCCACACCTACAGCAGTGGCTGGTGAACGATCAGATAATTCTATCTTGAGTCGTTTACGTTCTAATAGTGGTAGACCCCAACCACATTTTTCACATTTACGATCGATGTGTTGTCCGCACATACGTCTCCAGAGGAGATCATCGTCAGCTAGGGATTTCCAAGATTTTGCCACTTGAGCAGCACGACCGAGGGAGATGGCATCGAGGTAGCCGAGGATACGGAGATTGACTTCACGAGGAAGGAGAGAGAATGGGTCTATTCGGATGATTTGATTGAGCGAGTCGGACAAATGGGAAAGTTGGGAGCTAGTCGTCAATCGATTGTCCCCCACTAATTCCCAAAGTATTGCAGACCTCACCCTAGAATGAATCCCATTTGTTGGGAAGAAGGTAGGGAGGGTGACCATGAAGAGGAAGAAGACTCACAAACAACACATGGTCAGAATACCCTCCAGGATAAGTTTCCTTCTGGGATGTCGTGCTTTGGAAAAGGTGGACCATAATTGAGTAATGGCTAATCTTTCAGAAGTAGGTAAAGAGTCGAGTGACTGAAAGTTAGTTTCATGTCTCCCAATATCTCTCCTAATCCTGCCCTTCATCCTTCAACCCGATATTTGACGTTTACATTCCACATCACATCACATCACCTCTCCCCCTCTCCACTTCAACCCCGTTCACTGTCCGGAGATGCGCGTAGATAGTGGAGTTCAATGACGCGTAAACCAGACAAATCTCAATCTCAAAGATACATCAGTACGAGTACGAGTACTCGTAGACGGGCGAGACCGAAGGGGAACTTCATAACTCACTTTTTGTAATTTTGCGTTAATCCCTTGATTGGCCATTTGTCGATGTCGAACACAAAGTTTTCTACCTTGTTTAGTAGGAATGATATCCACTGGTACTTCTTCTGTCGTAGGGGTGATATCACCAATAGGTATTCCATCTTCTAAATGTCCATTCCTAATTGTACTCCCTCCCGTGTATCCATTTTCCATATGTCCATTCCCACTTGATAACCCATGTCCATTTGTCATGCTCCCACTCCCACTTCCACTTCCGGACCCAGAACCATTCGAATACCCATCTTCTTCCTCATTTACATGTGACATTACTAAATCAATATTCGAAAAGAATTCGTACGAATTGACGTCCCCCTGTCAAATCTTCCTTGACTGTTGGACTTTCAATTTCTTACCTAAAGATAATCTTGAATTGTTGGTATGTCCACTCCACTCCGTCAATGAACGGTTGTCGTATAGTACAAATATGTTATCCGTCCCAATGGTAGTGAATGATATTATTATCGGATACCGGTCAAGAGGATGAATAAGGTATGACACGTCCAAACGAATTGTGGTGGCGTGAATGCTTTGCGCAGTTGACCGAGTTGATAAAGGAGCCCCTTCCTTGTCAAAGCTGACAAATCCGTGTTTCTTCTTCTTCTCGACTTTAATATCTTTCAAATTTCTACACTCAAGTTATCGTAGAGGAGATATATGTAGTTGTGAATGACTTTGACTGAAGAACAAGATGTACAAGATAGATAAGTGTACGTGTACTTTGATGAAGGAAGGAAATGAGTTTGGATGAGAGCGATGAGTGAAGATGATGTGCTCTTGAGAAAAACGGCTACCTCCGGTCATCGGATAATCCCATCCCCGGTTCCCCGAATTTTCATTAGTATTCTCATTTACTAATCGTGGGTCAGAGTTACTAATCATATCGAAGTGACAAAGTAAGGATCATTAGGATAAGTGCAAGGTCAAGGATTTGGAATACTTCGGACGTAAAAGCTTAATAATTCGGAATAACTTATGCATCGTTACTTGTAAATTTTACTTCCGTTACTACTCAAGTTGACGTCATCGTTGCTCGTCATCGCTATCACCATCTATCGCATCACCATCTATCGCATCACCATCGCCATCGTCATCACTATCACCATCTCACTCGCCCTACAGCCGTACATATGCTGCATTGTCGATTCAGGTGTCATCTGAGTCATGTATCAAATCCGAGTCATATGACCAACCCTCAAAAGGAGTCCTCTGGCCTCTGAATCATATGACAAACCTCAAATCAAACAATCAAACAACGCTTCACTCATCTCCAACCTTACTTTTCCTCATACGAATCCGTCCACAAACCTTTACCTCCACTCACAGTACTATTCCTCCCTCTCTTCAAAACACTAGCATTACTCATTCCTCTCTCTCTTCCCTTTTTACTCTCCCCTTCCATACCTGATTTCTCTTTCGATCCACCGACCTCTTTATTCCTTGTGGAAGTACTGACCCCACTCATCTTTTCCCTAACTTTATTCAAACTTGATGAAGTTCCTCTACTGGCCAATGAAGATTCTCTCGAATGAGTGACTTGACCAGGGATAAGAGGTTCTTTCTTATTTCTCTGAGTTGATACTCTTGAAGTAATAGTTGAAAAATGGGATTCTTTCGTTTTGGTCGAAACGGTAGACGAGGATTCTTTCGTCTTGATCGAATTAGAAGTAGAAGATGACTTCATCTTCGTGTTTACTTTCTCTGAAGGTGTAAAGATCAAAGAGTTTTGTTCCATACTACCTAAAACAGCACGGGCAGTGAGAGAATTACGTTTAGATTTCATCGATGAAATGGAAGAAGAACGAGATCGTGAAGTTGATTCTTGTTCAAGACTTGTTCTCGAATGAGAAGTAGTTGATCTCACAGGAGAAGATGGAGATGGAGAAGGAGATGGAGCGGTATTTGGTCTACTTAAAGAACTATTACGTTTCACTAATGGTTTCCCACTTTTCACATCTTCCAATGTAAAACTTTGTGATAAACTTGACGAAACACGAGGGGCGTACGGGTTAACACTTGTTACTCTTTTATGTCCCTTTGAAATATGATCATCACTAGAGGAAGTGGTGGAGATCTCGGATGAAATGGAAGGAAGAGAGGTGATTGATTGTTGACTGTTCATCGTTGGAAGTGGGGGTATCGGGTCTGATATTTCTTTAGATTGTAAGATGGATTTAGTTCGACGTTTACGTGAAGGAGTACCGGGGATGGAACGGACCGATGATTGAGTGATAGAACGCGGAAGCGAAGGATTGGAAGGAGAAGTCGATTGAACAGAAGTTTGAACGGGTTTATCCCGAGTAGAAGGATTTGCGTTTTTCGTTGGATGGGACATAAACCCCAAAGGACCATCAGAGGAGAAAAGAATGGATGATGATATTTCAGGACTTTCAGGAGGAGTAGGTAGGTTTGATAAAGAGACTAACGATTCTGGGAAACTTGGTGGAAGTGATAATGGATAACTATCTGAAAAATGAAATGTCAAATCATGTGATTCTTCATTCTCCGAGTAGTCTCGATAAGATGTTATGGGATATTCTTCATTTCTTAATGGGAGTGGAGGAGGTGAAGGTGGTAGAGGTAAAGGTATAGTTGGGAAACTATGTTTAGTGTTTAATTCTCTAGGAGGTGGTTGTGTTGGAGTTGTTGAACGCATTACTTCTTGTTCTATCATATATTTTGGTGTTTTATATTCTATTTCTTGTCTAATTTGTCTTGGTGTTTGGTATTCTATTTCTTTCAGTTTTCGTCGAGGAGTATCGCATCGTGTAGGAGTGACTTCTTGATCAGAATCGATTTCTTCTCCTCGTCTCCCTTGCTCATCATTCATGGTATTTTCCTGATATTTTCGGGAAACTGTCGTATAGTCTCCCATTTCACGTTCTCGGTCCATAGAATAATCATGAGGTTGTCCTGAAAACCTCTTATAACCTTCCAGTTCATCTTCTTGTTCCATAGAATAATCTTGACGTTTCCCAGAGAAAGTAGTGTAACTGAAAGGTTTACCCAAAGGTGGACTAGTACATCCTATCTGACCTTCTTGAGCCATGACGGTAAAAACTTGAGTTTGAGTAGGGAAAGAAAGTGGTATTATTTGAGTTGAAGGAGTTACTAAAGAAGCTACTTGTGATTGTATAGTGATAGGATTTTGAGAGAAGTTTCGAATTCCTACTTCTCTCATTATTCCCATTTCAATTGATTTCCCATTATTTCCAAGAGAATCAATTTGTTTTATATCTCTTGAAGAATCTGTCTTGTTGAATCTTGCGAGATTCATATGATTTAGATCATTTATATCGTTCAAACTGTTGAGATCGTTAATTTTTTTGGTATTGTTGAGATTGTTAAGATTGTTGGATGAATTAGTATTGTTGAGATTGTTTAGATTGTTTGAATGGTTGAGATTGTTGAGGTTATGTAAATTATTGAGATTATTGGCAGTTCCCAACTTCCCAGGTAATCCTCCAATGGTAATTCCAACAGAATCTCGTACTCTTCTACCAGCAGTAAAATTGACCAACCTTGCTACTCCTGTACCTTCAGTTTCACAAGGTGATAAACCATTGGTAAATGTACTTTCTCCACTGAAAGAAATTGGAGAACCTGCCGTAGAACCTCTAGTAGCACGTACGACAACTGCTTCATCTGCTGAATTATCAGTGTAAGACATTTCAGATTCTGAATTCCATAAAACGCATCCGATAGATAATGGTTCACTATCCGTTTGACTTAACGTTGATTTGATTATTGGTGTTTGTTTGGTATCTATCGAATAATCTTGCTCCATTTCATTTAGATTTTTCGAATTCATATGATCAAGTAAGACATTATGAGTTTGAATGGTTTGATTCATCGATATTTCCATAGGATCATCAAATTGTTCAACGTTATTGTTGATTTTCGTTTGTTGGATGGATTTAGGTTGATGGTTCCCGGTAAACTTTATTTCCAAAGGTTTTGTATTGATCACCGTTGAAGATTTAGGTATTTGAGGAATATTCTTAAGTCTTGGGGAATGAGTTTGAACATTTACACCATAATTTGATATCCCAACTTCCGTGGAAAATGTATTTAAAGCATCCACAATATCTTGATGATCTTCAGGATTCAATTCCAATTCTAACTCAAACCTTCTTTGTAGATTCATATCTGCAGTATCTAATTCCGCACCTTCTCCACCAGTTTGAACTTCGAATGGGAATTCAGAATAAGCAGCATCGAAATCGAATTCTAATGGAGATTGTCTATCGATATCCGATCTGAAATCTGATCGTTGACGAGGGACAGAATCGGAATGTCTCACTGTCCCGGCGGAAGAAGTGTAAGTGATATCGTTTGGTGAGGTACTTGATATATCTGCCGAATGAGAGGAATAGGTTCGTTGATGGGTACTTTGACTTTCGGTATGATTATGAGAATAAGTATTGGTTTGTGTATAGGTACGTTCTGATATGGAAGAGGAAGAATGAAGAGATGATGTTTCGGTAATGTCAGTTTCGGTATAAGGTTCTTCGGTAGTCGTGAAATTTGAAGAAGTGAGTCGGGTCATCATACTTCTTGACTCTTCATGTATCTCTTCTCCATTGTTTGTGGTGGTGATATGATTATCATCGTTTTGTTGAGCTTGATTGTTTGGTATATTCTCGTTGTTCATATGATTGGGAGATCGAGAAGTCATATTCCGCATGTTCCGTAAGGTACTCGTCAATTGTTGAGCAGGAGTTTCAGGATCTGACATAGACCTAGGAATAGGTGGTCTAGTCAACGGTGCGGAATACATTCCAACAGCTCGAAGTATACGCATTCCTAACGTATCGATAGGTGTAGATTTCGGACCATGTTTACCTAACATTGTCATTGGATCGTCATGTTCTCCCATCGAGTTGGAACGGACGATATAAACGTGTTTCTCGTTATCCTTAGGAGTGGCAAGATCGTCACCTGGTGTGGCCCATGAACCTCTGGAGCCTAGTTCAGGAGTACGATCTATACCGGTCCATTCATCTTCTCTTTCGGTAGGACGTTGTTTTCTTCGACGGAGAAGGAACAAAGCCAACGCTCCAAGTAGTAAAAGGGCGAGTGAACCTAGAATTGCTCCTATAATAGCCGCTATCTTATGATGACGGCCAGGATTGGAAGACGGGGTGTTGAGAGGAACGTCCAATCCGACCGGTGCAATGGCAGGAGTGAGATCGAAATTCACTTGGAGAAGGGAAGACGTGTTGTATCTCTCATCCAAAGCTTTGACGATAAATTGTTGACTCTGAGCGCTTGAGGTGGGCACCATGCCCGTAATGCTAAAAGCTGAAGAATCAACGGAGATTCCAGAAGGGGAGGAACCGTCGCTGTTCTCAACGGAAAGCGCTAAGTTGCTTCGTTCGTCAGGCGAAACGAGATATGACTTTAGATCGACCGAGATTTGCTGTCCAGGAACGATATTGATAGAAGGTGTCGACATGACGTTCCAAGCGCTGGGGTAAAAGGCGAGGGATATGGAACTGTTATCGAAACCACCCATAGCATCCCTGATGACCAGAGGCAAGATCTGACTGCCACTTTGCGATTGAGGAACCATGCCTTCCAATTGTAAGGAAGTCGAATCGAATGTGAGCCACGGCAAACAATCCGTTTCAATCGACACGTTGTATTGATCCCTCTCGAGAGGTTCTCCATCGTTCAGCACCCGTCCGTCCAGAAGCTCGGACAATAAAGAAGGTTGAAGGGAGTCCGAGATGTTTTGTCCAGCCGTGACGTTCAAGGTCACAGGAGACACCACGAGTGTCGAAGAAGAAACCACAATCTTCATATCCTGTCGAACATCGGTATACCCATAGGTGTCCGACGCACCGATGGCCAACGAGAAAACCTCGGATCCGGTGGAAGACAAGAGAGGGGATACACCATCGAAAGTGAGAGTCTTGTTATTCCATCTCAGCCAGGTGGGAAGTGGCGTCCCGTCTGACTGAGTAGCAGTTGCGTATATTCTGGTACCCGAACCTACGAACGTATCGGGATCCAATCCGATGGAGAAACTCCACCGGGGTGGAACTCTCACACCTGGAAAGTAGGGTGACGAGGAAAGGTAGGGATATGCCGAATTGATAAATTTGTTACCTTGGACCAACTGTTGACTGAGTGGCTTGGCAACTTCAGCACCCGTAGCACGTCCTGAGACGGGAATTATAACGGCAGTGGAAGCGGTACCGGAGGGAGTTGTAGCTCGCAATGTGACCTTGGTGTTGCCTATATGTACCGCAGAGGGAGTTCCGATGAAAGTGAAGCTGGTGGTGTTGAAGAATAACCATTGCGGCAAATCGGGAGTTGTATACTGGACATTGTTCAGGGATCCGAAGGTATCAGGCAGGATGGTCCATTGGAAGAGCGTGTTGAGTCGAGCCACCGGGGGGAATTGAGAGACGAGAGGATGGAGTACCGTCACACTTCCATGAGGAGACTGCGTCGTTGCGGCGTGAGCGGTAAGATGAAGGTACGAAGACGACAAGGCAAGGGCGAGAAAGTACAACATGGTGCGTGACCATGCACGAAATGGATGAAGATTTTGGAGGGAGAGAAAAGTAGTAGAAATAAGGTCGTTCGAATGGCTGAAGGTCAGTCAACGGCTTGGAAGGGAGCAGTGATAGATGCTCTCACTTTTTGATAACTAAATGTTGCCTGAGGGCTTTTTTGATTCACTGCGGTGAGAAAGTACGAAGGTTTTTGAAAGGTTTGGAAAAAGTCGTAAAAGTCGTGAAAAGGACGAAAGGACGAAAGGAAAGTAGAGCCTAAGAAAGACAGAAAGTGCGTACTGTTTAATGTAAATTAAATGACAGAAGATTGTATCATTTCATCATCCCAGATCGGCGACGTGGCGAAAATGACGGAATGTTTGTCTTGAGAAGAGGTGTGTTTGTGTCGGATAGAGGTGGATGTAATGCTTCCGGGTTTGCAGTCCATTTTTGAACTTCAAAGCGAGAGCACCATTGATCTCATGCATTCTTGGTCGACAGAACAGCTGTGCCGAGATTGCGATGCTGGTTCTGAGCTTGGCGTTCCACGATGAGAAAGGCAGTTGCGTCCAATCTCCTGCCCTTCACCCCCGTCGCACAGCAGTTTGTTACGAGCTGTGTAATCAGTGTCATATGTTAGACCTCGAACAAGGATGACCAGCGCAGAGCTGCATACGGACTGACATTAGCGCAACATTTCAACTTTGACTATCACAGTGGATATACAGCTTACTCTATGATTTCTTTACTCCTTGTACAAACCCCCTCCTGTCCCCTCAGGTCTCTTCACATCCCTACCTCTTTCCCCACCGACTCCTTCCAGCCCTTTACCCATCATCCACCCGTCAATCTCTCCTTGCATAACCTCCAGTCTCGCGGCTAGCGCTTGTCCTACCGTACCCACCCCTCCAGAACCAGATTCATCTTTGATAGCGTTCATAGCGTCTGTGAATGCGGATGATAGCTTTTTGAAGACGTCATTGAAAACTTGTGGCTGCTTATCAGGATCGCATTACATGCAGTGGCTGACATGTTCAGGTGATGATGGCTCATCACCGATCATGGTGTGAAGTGAAAGTGACGTACATTGCCGAAAACACCTCTCACATCTCCTCCCCGATCGGGGGATCCGGAGCCGGGCATGGAGCCAGGTCTGGCTGGGGGTCCGGTGGTTTGAGGGAAGACCTGAGACTATGAGCTGCGGAAGACACCAGAAGTAAAAGGAAACCTACACCAGCTGGGTTCTCTCTAAGAGGTTAGCATGATACTTTGCAATGTCTGAGTAGGCAGAATAGGAGAGCAAACCCACCTGGTCGGTTCGGGTCCAGAAGGGTTGTCGTGTCGAAGCAGACCATCTCCTGTCTTGCCGTAATCTATGAATTACATCAGCTGCTTACAAGTACCATGGTCGCGTAGCTGACCTTCAGAGGTAGAGCCAGATAGAGACATGGTGTTGGGTGTTGAGGTGCAAGTTGAGAAACACTGTCCCACTCTCAGCAAAGTCACTCGAGAACACCCTACGTCATAAGCAAAATTTGATTCCGTGCGGGGTGCAGTGACATGTCTTTTCTTATCAAAATATGCCACGTGGCTACTTCCTTCCTTGCGCTCTGCTCACTCCTCATACAGTACATATGTACTCGCAAACTTGCAGTACTTCAAGCCATCAGTCGCTATGCCTGCGCCTGCTTTTAGTGAAGGTGAGCTACATGTATTCTCCCTCGGGGCTAATCAGCTCACGAACAGACGCTCTCAATCGTTTCCGTATCACCCATTCTGATCGCGACATCCGTCCTTTAGTCAAACGTCTACATCGTCTACCTCTCCTCCCTACTCAACCCTCAGACGATCCTGCGGGGGAGTCGGAAAATACGCAACAGGAGAAAGAGCTATTACATCTTGAAGTCCTCAAATGGCGAGCTACCATAGAAAGGTTGATGGGAAGTGTTGCCAATCTAGAACGACAGAAACAACTGTATGAAAAAAGGACTGATGAGACCGGTCAGTGCACATCTTCTACTTCTCATCGCAATTCAGCTGAGCCAAACAGCGAGAAAGACAGAAGAGTTGAAAGCTATCTTGGAGCAAGAAAAACAACTTTTACAAGAAAAACAATTGGAGAGAGATAGACAAATCAAATGTGATCAAATTGCTACCCGTATCAAAGCTCGAGGTAAAGGTCGACAAGAGCTTTTAGAGTGGGTTATACTTCCCTATTCCCCTGTAACAACGGAGGAGTATGGTGGTTGATGAAATAGCCGAATATCGGATGTTCAAAAACAAGTTGAAGATCATCGAGCCTCTCATACTATATACCTCCAAACTACCCAATCTCGAATCGAGACTTTCTCACGTATCATCTCACTCGTAGAAGAATGTCGTTCATTGAAACTACCTATCGAACCTCCTGTTCTCATAACGGAAGAATCAGAACCAATGGAAGTTGATGAACCTCCTCCTGTTCCTTCCACCACACCAGCAGCTTCAAGTTCACAAGCAAGATTGAGCGGTGCGGCATTACCTTTTCAACCTGTTTCATTTCCAGCAATCCCACCAGCACCAACAACAAATGGGAGTAGTAATGGTGGTACGATGAAACCTCCTCCTATCTCACATGGTCTACCCACTCGACCGAAAGTGACGACGAGCACTTCGACACCGAGAGTTACCAGAGTGGTTTCTAACAGTTTACCTAGTAAACCTAGTGGGTTGAGAAGTATGAGTCAGACGAGTGGAGTAGGGTTAGAAGAAGGTGAGGTGGAACATGAGGATGGTGAAGTGGCGGAGGATAAAGGTAGAGTAAGAACCAGTACGAGGAGTATGAGGAGATAGGTTGATGGGGTGAGGGTAAGCTATGCATCACGAATTGGTAGATGATCTATACCATGACTATATCCGTGTACCTGTAGCAATGTTATCCCCTCTTTCACCCTTGTCGGGTAGCATGCCAGCCTGGCCAGCGATGTCTTGATAGCGAGCAGTTGACGTAGCTCGTCATATGAAAAGCACAACCACCCACTCGTCTACTAACTTACCTTTACTCTTCTTCTCTTTAACCTCATGTCTCTCTTTGCATCATGACCTCAATCTCCCCCACACAGCGCACCCAACCCACATCAACGCAGTGTCAACCCCTAGACAAGCCCACAAAACCTCTTTCCCGATTGACCCCTCGGGAACTGACAGCATCTATAAATCCATCCCCCAACACTCGCTTGCTCATCACACTATCTTTCCCAATCTTCTTCCTCTTGGCAATACCATTCTGGTGGTATTCAACCTCGATAATAAAATTACCTCTACCTTCTTCCAGAATAGCATCTTTGGAGACGTCTTCAGTGAGTCCTTCCCTACATCCCCCCCCCCCCCCCTTCTCCCTCCTTCTACCCTCTTCCATCCTTCCTGAACATGTACCTCCCTTCCTACTTACTCCTTCGAACCCTCTCAAATTACCTCTCTTTCTTTCCAGTATGGCCGACTGTTCTTGAGTCGTTATAGAAGGGCATGTTCTAGCCCCTTTTATGGATAGGGTCGTTGAGGATACATCAGGAGTCAACGACTAACGATCAGTTTCCTCGTTTGAGAACTAAAATCCTTCTGACGGGAGACGAAGATGCTTTCCCAAAACCACCACCAGGGAAAGCGCAATATGATCTGGACGATATCTTGGAAGCGATTGCTAAAGAAGTGACTGATGGTGTGGATGGGATATACGCTTCTCGTCGACCGAAAGAAGATAGGTATTGGGATTTGGTATGGAAAGATGATCTTGGTTGGTTCTTCTCACATCCATCTCACAACAATCCCCTCCTCATATCTTCTCTCACACACCTAGTTTCATGTTCACCTACCCCGTGCGGAAAGATATATAATGTACATTCATATCTCGCCTTTTCTTCCGAACTCTTCATGCTCCTTCCAACTTCCAATTCACCCTCTTTCCACACCAAAGTTGAGTACCTTGTGTTTCACTGCTATGGGCACGGAAGGCAACGATTTGTCAACTCGTCAGTCAACTGACCAGAAGAAAGACCGATAGACCTCAAAATCCATATTCGTCTTTGGCAACATGCCAATTCCAGCTGGCCTTTGGAACCTTATGTACAAGCCTCGGAGAAGGGACTCATGACGAGTGGTATACCCGGAGGAACTTTGGTCATACCTTTCCATCCTGATCATGTGGGGCATAAATACCAACGGCGTAAGTCTTTTTCTCTATTCCTCTCATCGCTGATCATTGCGTATCTCACCCCTTTTGGTCATACTTCTGGACCCTTGTCTTACAGGCCTCTCTACTAGCAATGATGTACAGTTTGTCGGTGTTCAGAACGATCAGCAGTCACATATTCTTGCGAAAGAGCTTAGAGGGGGCTAATTTCTTCAGAACACCTAAAGATCGCACTTATCAACACTATACTATCACTCTTCCCCTCTACTCCCACCGATCTTCCCCTCCGCGCTCTCAAATATTCTCCCAATATCACACTATCCTTCGTGCTCCTCAATGAAGACTCTTCTGAAGGTTCTTACGTTCGTTCATGGGAGATCGATTCTGCCATTCGTGGTGAGTCATCCTATTTGGTGATAGCCTGGCGTTGACGAGTAGAACACTTCGTTCCACATCTGGAACCATTGAAAGACGTCTTTCAGCTCAAAATCGAATCACAAATTCTATACCACGCACCTCTGGCTTTCGAACCTCAATTCGCTCCTCTTCCCGGTTCATCGGAAAAAGCTGCAGACGCCATCAAAGTCCTCGAAGGCAATGTCGACCTTACGCTTGATCTCATAGAGGTTGAAGAGAGGGCCAAAGAGGCTATCGAAGAGGAAAAGGGAGCTTGGTTATTAGGAGAAGACGAGTTGAAGGTGTTTGTCAATTCCGAGTCCTGGAATCTAGGTAATCGGCTCTCCTTTATCGGTTCACGTGAGCTGATGATGAGATTCTGGTAGTTCAAATGATCCAGTTTTACGATTTTTACTTTTCGTACCTTCTTCAAAACATCGTCCTATGAAAATCTCTCTTCCAGATTCAGCACCTTCCTTTTTGTTACCTCAATACGGTGCTGTGGTAATTCTTAATCCTCCTCCGACAATCGAATCGTCATCCTCCGTAGGACATCGTGATGTATCGGAAATCGAGGCATATCATCTTCCTCTTGACGCTTTGACTCCTTCATTTCATCTCTTCACTCAACATCTATATTCTCTTCTTGCCCTTCCTTCATTACCACAAAGTATTCACCCATCACCTCCACCTTCATCATTGCTGCCTCCCTCGCAGCTCGTACAACCTTTGTCATCCTGGCAGGTACATCAGATTCTCCGACAGAGAGCGACGGAAAACAGCTTGGAGGCTAGGAAGACTTTGAGTGGGATTGTAAGACTTGTGGGCAAGATAAAAGAAATGAAAGTGGGTTCAGGGGTGAGAGATAAGGTCGTGAGCTCTGTGGAGATGTTGGAGAAGGTGAGGATCCCTTCATCTTCTTGTCTCCCTTTCGAACTCCACACCAAGGACTGTCATCCGGAGCGTTTCTCATACCAATGAGATATAATTCTCTCCAGTATGAGACTTTCTAACAATCGGCGTACTTCCTATACCATATGCTGCTGCCACAGTTTGTGACAAGTCTATCATATACGATGCAAGGTGCTAAGTTCAGTTGAATACTACTACCGATCCCAAAGAGGCTTTCTTACTGTCTCGAGATGCTGTAGGATTGGCCAATGCTGCTTTCTTCGATCCTTCCATGATGGGTCTACTATACTTCGTGCGTTATCTCAAACCTTCACTCACTCAAGGTCCGCGAGGACATTTGGCACAAGCTAATCATCAGCCGGACGAACACAAACTCGCAGTTTACACTCCCCTATTTGCACCAATCGCCATACCTCTCATCGTCGGTCTCATCAAAGAGCTCAAAGCTTGGTTGAAAAGACGGCGAGGTTCTACACCAAACATCCCGAAAGACGCCTCTTCTCCGACTGATCATCTATCAGCATCCAACAACACCGAATCGGAAGTCAATCTCACCATGTAGGGAGACTCTCTACAGGGGCAGATACACAGTCCGGTGGTCCCCCATCTCACATCAAACAAGGACAAGGTGATCTCACAGTTTCCCCGTTGGAAGACTGAACTGACCATCAGTAGAATTCTTCGGTATCTCCTACCTATTCATCTCCCCCACTCGCTTTGTGCAGCCTCAATGACTCCCACGTCTCGACTGACGTACTGATAAGTGAGTGTACCCCACGTCGGTCAATGAATTGCCAGCGTGTGCTGATGAAGAAGAGAACCTAAAGGCTACAAGACAGTCCAAGTGGAGTGTCTCGAGATTGGTCAAAAAGGGAAGAGGGACGACATGTATCACTCCGGGAGTGGTCATATTGATCATGTTGTCACTCATGTGGACTTGTATGGCCATACGGGTCACATAGTATGTACACATCCACACCTAATGGCAAAGGTGTTACTCTTTCTTTGAACATTGCACAGTACAAATGATATCCGACCGATCCATCGTACAAAAGTCGAAGAAAGGAAAGGGGTGTGGTTCATTAAACGGAACTGGGGGAAAGAGTGGGATACCAAAAGAACAGAATCAATGGTATGTATCCATCTCTTCATCGTCAGTGTACTAAATTATGAACATGACCTTCATTCCGGTCTACTGACGATGATATCCTATAGCTGTATTCACATCTTAAACTTAATCCCATCTCCGCCTCATTCGATCCATCATCGAGTTTCTATCTTTATCTTTCCACTAGAAGACTCGGCGTCCAAGGGAATTTACTTCTTACCCCCGTTCCCACCTTGACTTCCTCCGCCTCCACCTCCAGCCTTACTTCCAACATTTCCTCCACCACCGCCAGAAGTCTTTCCTCCACCGTAGTTGGATCCCCAATTACCGCCGTGACCGCTGGTCGAAGCATATGCGAAACGATCGCCGGCCGATTGGGCGCGAGCTGCGAAACCGCCGGACGACATGTCTTTGCCTCCAGTTGCCTGGATGTCAGCTCTATCTCGTTCGTGATCCCGTCATTTGGTCATTTCCTTCAATCTCTCACCGTAGTCGAGTAAGGCGCCTGTCTGCTTGGAAGTGACAGATGAATTCGAGGGTCAATCACGATGAGAGAGGAGACAGGACAATGTGATACTTGAAGTGAGAGAAGAGGGGGGGACGACGAAGGCTGACGAGACTCACTTGGGTCGACTGAATTCGACTTGAATCAGATTTGTTCATTGGAGCCATTTTGTTCTTTCGATTGATTTATTTGGTATTGAAATGTTGATTGTCTCGAAGAGATGTTTGAGTTGAGAGTTGGTAGATTGTTTCTCGGTGAAGAAGACGAAGGGAGTAGGGTGAGTCTTTATATCCTTTTAGTCTCTACCTGTGTTCCCCTCATGGAAGATGCTCGACGACCGATTTACTTCGGGCCCGAACGAACGAGCTGACAAATAGTGGAACCAATACCACCCTGATCTATCTCTCCGTGTCCGCGTTTGAGATCGATCCGCTAAAAGGTCTCATTCCAATCTTTACGAGAACGTCGCGCCCGTCTTGGTTGGACAACGTTACTGACCCTGCTCTGTCCTGACATTGAGTGCCCTGATCCTTTTTACTCCTAACTATGTGGGAAGGGTTTGGAGACGCGACCGTGTCCTTCAGTCTGATGAAAATATGGCAAGAGGGAAGATTGGTCGATGATGGCTCACGAGAGCATGAACTTCCAGAATGGTCGGCCAGAGAAGGGGAAAGCAAATACAGGTGCATAGTTGAATGGACTCGTACGAGTGGTGAACTAATGAAATTACTCTCTTTCCTCTCCAGGTGCTATATTTCAACCGCCGAAATCAGTCGAAATTCCATCTCAATAGCCTCGTTTCCATGGTGGTGCCTACCTATTCTTCCAACTTGCCAAGTCCACCATTCTCCCTCGTTGATCAACACCGCCTTGCGCTCTCTTCATGGTAACGAAGAGCGCACGGTCGCTCACTCACGCTTCATGAACTGGTGAATGAATCTGATCATCTGCTTGATTTTTCTTCTCTCACGTTCCGCCTCATTGAGAGAAGTCAATTTCTTCCTGGCGTCATTGATCACCTTATCCACTACCGCTCGCCTTTCTTCGGGGTCCCTTGCGAACGTCTTGATAGACAGAAATCCGACAGCTATGAACTTGTCATTCAATTTTATATTCTTTGTCCATTTTGACCCATTTGTATCCGTCTCCTCTCCCACTGAATATTCAGCATCCTTCCACCTCAAGATATCACGTCCAGATACGATCCTGACAATTTTACCAACTTTTTTGGGTTTGAAGACGTGATGGAACTGTTTGAGGAGATGTTTTGGGTCTTCATTGTATTGATGGCGAGGTTCATATTCCACCACCAATCTCGCGGCTTCTCGGAATGTCATCAAGAAATGGGCATCGACATGTGTATGTTGTCTGGCTGTTTTGGATTGGTTGGAATAGTGGATCATCATTTTGAGATTCAGGTTCAGATGACAGGTTGGGTGAGTGAGTTTACGTCTTTTTGTTCGGTGTTTCTCCGTGGTGGTCCTCACTTCTGATGACTGGTCGCCGGATGTGTTGCCTTTCGAGATGTTGGCAGTGGACGTGATGGCATCGGAGATGTTGTCTTTGGAGATGTTGTCGTTGGAGATGTTGTCTTTGGAGATGTTGACATTGTCATGAATGTTCTCACCATCAGTTGCAAAGTCACACAATATACTCCTCCTGCTGATTTTCCTCTATGATCAACCGTCTCTCAGTTCATCGGGTACAATCCGTCACACAAATCTATGGCCAGCATGGAGACGCCAAACGTTGAAAAAGCTAGTACGCTGGTCATGGGAAGGAGACAAGGGTTTAGAGAAGAGCCAAATGTACCAGCAAGACTTACTTGTATTGAATTTGGCTCAACAATACTCGTATCCGTTTCACCCGATCCGACCTCTTCGTTGACGATGGTGGTATTTTCCACACTGGCTTTCTGGTCAATGGGAGACATTTGCGATCAGCAAAGTAAGAGAGGAGAGAGCAATCTTCTTGAAGAAATACTATGACCATGGTTTGATAGAACAGCGGGTGAGTCATCTTCATGAATCCCTTGTGTTATGAAGGTTGATCAACTAACTCGGGTAGGACACAGCTGAGTCATCCACATGAGACTCCCTTGTTTTTTTGTCAGTGGAACGGAGATGTGAATGACACAGAAGGTGAGTAATTCTCAATCCCTTTTCGAAGGATCGTTGACAGACCTGTAGATCCCATGGACGTGTGGGTCAATATTTGAGGAGGAAGGGAAAGAGTAAAACACCCCTCACAAACTCCGTGTCACAACTTGATGAACTAAACACCTGTTACCTCCGCTTGATTGATACACCTATCTCTTCAACCATATATAGTAGGGTTCATTTTATGAACAGCACTCTGTCTTCAATAAAACCCGGGTGCTTTGTTCCCTGGTATGTTCGTTTCGATATTGTACCCCAACCCATAAAACATTCCGTGGTGACAAAGATGACACAGGGAATTCATCCTTGTCATCCACGAGGACGGGCCGAGTCCTCGCATCAAGTAACATGGACAACACGTGAACAGGCGAAGCGAAGTGATCTGCCTCGAGGACGACACCTTCCAATCAACGACTCGTCATCCTCCTAATCTTCCCGTATCTTGTGTGAGAGAAGCATGCCTCGAGATATCCGGATCCTACAATACTTCATTCTTCCTTACCCCACTGATCAAACTTCTATTACCTACACTTTCCTTTCAAATCCTGTTCTCACGTATAAACAGTGCTAGAAAACATCTTTACCATGCCCGTGAGATTGATGAGACCTGAAGATGTCCCAAGAATCCAATCAAGCCAAGTAAGTCACAAAAGTACTATCCACTGTATCCGAAATAAGTTCCAATGTGGGTGAATGGATGAAATATCAACATAGAAAAAGGTCCTAACGCTCAGGCTCTAGGGGGACATCCTACCGGTGTGGGTAGTTTTCCATGGAGAGCTCAACGTGCGGCGGCCCGCAATTCAAATAGGTCTAATTCCCCACAGCGTACCAAGTTTTCAAGATTATTCAAGATCCTCTTCTGGGTCGGCATCATTTATTTCTGTCTTCATCTCTTTCACCTCGATGTCTGGAAGATCTTCGATTCCATTAGGGAGAACGAACACGTGGTAGGTGCAATAAGGATTTGTCGGTATACCTTGACCCAGGTTGAAGGGCAAGTGAGACCTTTGGTGGAGATGATTCATCATGCCTTGGAAAAGGCTAGAGATAGTATCATTGATAGGGTGTCCTAGTCAGGAAGCAGATCACAAGAGAAGGGACTGGTTCGGGGAGGAGGAACAGGTATGTATGTATGGGAATTTGATCGATGATGACACGACAGATGCATGGGAATGAATGCGAATTGATCCGGTTTAAACTTCACTTGCGTGTCTTCTTCTTCTCTTCTCTTTATTGCTTTCCTCTTTGTTGTGACTGACTTCTCCTGGAGTGTTGAAAGATGTTCAGCGTCAAGTCAATCTAGCCGTTGAACGAATTCCAATCGCCGAATACACTGACTCGGTAGGGAAGGTGGGTGAAAAGGTATTGTCAGATCAGGCAAGGGAGAAGTTCAAAGTACATGCGGCTGAAAAGATCAATAGACTCAAGAATGTTCCCATGGGCGAAATAGTAAATACGGTCAAAGATGTCAGTCAGAGGACAGTGGTTCATATGGTCGGAGATGTTGCTAGGTTGATGAGGGGGTTTCCTGGAGCTTGGAAGAATTTGGGTGCGGGGACGGTGTGAACAAGGACAAGACATATGTGTGAATGATTGAAGGAATGAATTCATAGGAGATATGAATGAATTTTTCATGAGGTCCAGGTTGATCGAGGGGGAGAAGGAACCGGTGTGAGGAGACTATAACATCAATGAAGTGTCCATGTATCGTGTGCAAAATCCAATCGACTTCTTTCATCCTTGTAGTTCCGTCGAGCGCCTGTTCGATAGTGTATGTTGAGGGACAGACTATCAGGTACTCCTGTATGCGAACGGATTAAGGGACAGGATCCTTAAGCTTTCAAGGTGGTAGTAATCTGAAGTCAGTAAATACTTTGTCCGAAGTCTCTGTCAGGTACACCACTGGTGAGGGCGTTCTCGATGTACCAGGGTAATCGCCGTGACACAGTTCGTCATGCACTAAATAAGAATGGAACTAGAGTATTGATGGGAAGTGTTATTTGAGAGACGGACTGAAGAGAAAAAGGCGCCGGGAAAGGGGATACTTCAGGTGATCGCACGGAATTTGAATGTGTCTCACCGGAATTCGTTTTTGTTTCTTTCCTTCACTTCACTCCAACTCATTCATCTTTCTCATTCACACTTTACACGATCTTCAACTCCCTTCATAACAAAAACTCACAAGATGTCTCCTAAATTGATGAACCTCCTCGACGCTTCTCGCATTCAATCAACTCAGGTTAGTCAACCTTCCCTGTCGAATCCTCTTGAACCAAACTGCCTGATCTCGTCAGCCGTCTTCTCTTCTCCTGAAACTTTGACATGCGCAGAGCTTAATTCAGGCCAAGAGAGGGAAAGACATGTCTTCGAAAGGTTTCGCCGCTAGAGCTCAACGTGCCGCCGCCAAGAACTATCCTGGCGTAGGAGAAGTTATCGGGGTGGCACAAAATGGTTGGGCTTTATACACCTGTTTAGGTGGTCCGCTTTGTACGTATACCTTCCAGTGTATAATCTTGATTCTTTCTGGTCTATCTCTTCAGCTTACAAGTTTTCTCTTGGAAGACATATCTCTCTCTCACCCATCTTCACAACTTCTCATCCACGGATCGTGTCTTCCGATCAAGTCAAGAAAGAGAACATTATATCGAACGTAATTCCTGACTGATACCAGCTTTCATCGCCGCTATCCTTGGTCTCCTCGGAATGGGATTCTTTCATCGTGATAAATTCGCCGATCCTAATTGGCAAGCGGAACAAGCAGAGACGATTGAACAAATGTTCAACATGACCAAAGAAGTCATTCAATCCGCTCCGGAAATGATGGAAGAGACTAAACGTCATGTTGATCAAGTGGTTGAAGTCGTCAAACAAATCCCATTCGCCGAAATCGCCAACACTATCAAAGATACCGTGTTAGATCCGACTAAAGATACTTTGAAAGCTCAAGCGGTTGAGGGAATTGAAAAGTTGAAGACGATACCTATGGGTGATATTGCCAACGCGGTCAAAGATATGGGTCAGAAGACGGTCGTTCATGTAGCTGGACATGCTGCTGGGTTCACTAAAGGTTTGTTTGGGATGATTAAGAATATGGGTGTTGAGGATCTCTGATTTGTCGAGGGTGTGGCAAACGATTGATTGGGGACTGTGGAGGTAAAGAGAATCAGGTCGATCGAATGGGAGAAGGAAGAAGTATGGGGGATCTATAACATCAACGAAATTTCCATGTATTGTGTACATAGTCCAACTGCCCTCATCTATTCTTACATGTTCTACTCACTAGTCATTCCATAAACCTCTCATTATACTAGTACCTTGCGTCACTGAACGAGCCAAAAACTCCAGGGAACAAGGGTGAGGGCGTGAAGTCAGGGAGAAACTTACTCTTCGAACCCAGTCAATCTCTTCCTTTCCATCTTCTCTCTCATCTTTCTATCCTTCATCTTCCACCGCCACCCACACACCAACATCATGACCAACTGGATGACTTTACATGATGCTTCCCGTATTCAATCAACACAAGTGAGTTCCAGATCCCATCTCTCTCCGTAAATCTCTTCCGTTCCAAAAAGGGGTGAAATACTGTATCGTCAGCCATGAACCGCTGAGGGCGACACGATCATATGAACAAGGCAGGTTCTCATCTCTTATCATGCCTTGAGGACAGAACATGAAGATGAACGAAGTTAGAGAAGAGAGAAAACAGAGAACACGAGGATTCACTCACCATAGGCTTTGGCAGGATACGATCTATCTTCTCGAAGTTTTCCCGCTAGAGCACAAAGAGCAGCCGCTAGGAATGCACATAACGATAGAGAAGAGGAAAACAATGGTATTCAAGTCAATGGCGGAGCTATAGGTTAGTCAATCTTTTCACCTATTTCTGTCCTACTGTCTTACAAATTAAATATCTATCACCTTTCGACTATTCTTGTGTCTGTCAACGTAAGAAATATTTCTTTCTCTCTCCTATACAGGTATCTCTGGGTTATCATGGTCCATCAGTAATGTGACCATTATCAATCCGATGATGTCTTTGATCTGTGATGGGAGTGTTGAAGTATGAAAAGTTGGAAACAACGTCAATGTCAGCCCTTGGTCTCTTGGGCGTCGCAGCTGGTTTAGCTTGGATTCACCGTGATAAGCTCCTTGACCCTGAGTGGAGGAAAGAACAACAAGATAATGTCAAAGGTTTCCTCGAGGATGGTAATCAACGACTCGAAGTCGTCCATTCTCAACAGACATCCAACCAACTTGAAGGAAGGTTAGTCCCTTGTCAAAGCGCAGACGATGGGTCGACAGTCGCAGGCCGCCCTTTTGACCAGAAAAAGAACCGATTGAACAAGTCGACGTCAGACGCTTGGGATGACAATCAGACGTTCAGTGATGAATACGGTATGAACCCTTTACTTGGGGACGAACACAAGGGAGAATACTCGGAAAGCGATGGGTGTTTATACTTTGAAAAGCATCCAGGAAAAGGCGGCGGGGGAAATTTCATCAATCGAGTGGTGGATGGAGTGGTCAGGGTCGTCGAGGGATGGCAAAAATGGACCGGGACGAAGTAAAATTCGGGGAATGTGATGTGAAAGATTATCATGGCGTGGATGAAGACGGAATTGGAGATATATCATTCAGAGAGGAAGGAACGAGGATGGAGATATTATTTAAATGAGGAAGGGAGGTTGGAGGAGATCATATCATGTAGAAAATGAAAGTGCATATGCCTACTGTACAATTCCTGATCAAACTTCAACGGCCATCTCGGATGATGCGGCTTCTCGAGCAGCTTTCTTCTTGGCTTCGTATTCGTACCATTGCTGACTGACGTCGTAGTTTCCTGCAGCGTCAGCTACTGCGTCTTTGTATCGCATACAATGACTACTTGTCTCACAAGACAAGCCTGAATGACAAAGCCTATCAAAGGCTGATGGCTCGATTATTGAGACAAATCTCCGCCGAAAGAAAGGGCAAGGCATGAGAGGAATTGAGGAGGTAGCACTACCCATGAAAGATCAGGATGGAAATGGGGAGGAGAGGGAGGCAGGACGCACCGATGAACTCCCACCCATTTTCTCTCACATGATACAAATTACACGTGTTACCGGAAAACGCATCCCTATGACCGGCAGCAATGATACTTCTTCTTCCCAGCTCTTGAGCTTCCTCATCTGATAAATCGTAAGAGTATCCTTGGTCAAGAACACCATAGGCGAAGGTACTTCCTGATCCTACGGAGAAAAGGTCTCCTTTGAGTCGTTGTCCCTCGGAGTCGACGTAGAATAGCGCTGGACCCTATAGCTTAGCCAAGGCCCTCTATATCTCCTCATAGCGCACAATGCAGGGTACTGAAAGGAGACCACGGATCGCAACTGAGCGTCTAGGTGGATAGTGGAGGTTGGGGTATAAGAGACGGGGCTTGGAGGGGGGAGGAATGACGCACAGTTTTGTCCCATCCGCAAATCATGGTACCCATACTCAGCCCCCTACCCTTATAACCATACACGATATTGGAAAGGATTTTCGACGCCGCCGCTACGGAAATACGCTCTTTGTTCCGCAGTTCGTACAATCTGCATCGCATACCGAGATATGTTTCCCTACTTGTCAACATGGTTCTCTCCACGAACTCAGCCTATGTCTGTGACGAGTACCTTCAGAGAATGAATGCAGTTGGTGAAGGGGATATGTAAACTCACCAGTACTGACAATCGGCCGCACCACCGGCCATTGTACCCAGTAGGTAAGGATTGATCTCAATGACCTTTTTGACCGTTCCGGATGCTATGGGTCAGCGTGGGCCTTGGTATTCCGTAGACGTGTGCCACGATGCTATGGCTAAGGAGATAGGCAAGTGGAAACCAAACTCACCGATATACGACCCAGCAGTAGCTCTCGAATCTACAGCTACGATGATACCACCTTTGAATCGAAAAGCCAAGGTAGTCGTACCGTGTGCTAGCTTTATTTTCGCTTCAGGGTTTGACGACATGGAGTCTGTGTAGAGGTTGAGGAAAGCTGTGGGCTGAATGTCAGTGTTGTCCATTCAAATTCCTTCATTCCTATGACACAATCAGTATGTCCTCCCCCCAAGTCGCATCGCTTTCCCCACGATCGACTCAGTATCCTCATGATCTTCCGCGTGGTATCTGTGGAACCCTAACTCAGAGCTGGAGAGAGAGTAGAGTATAGTAATGGCATTTCAATTTACTGTAGTTGATCCCGAGGACTTCTCAAGATCGAGTGACTCGAAATGAAAGCTGAGTAAATGGTAACTCACATCTGGTACTCTAGGAATCTGCATTCCCTTTATACGTCCCATCTCATCCAGGTTACCATACCCTTTCAACTCATCTTCTTCCGTTGTGGGTAGATGGGAAGGGGTAGAGAGATTCTGTATGATAGCGTTCATCTTGTTCTATCTTTCTCTGAACCTGCGGACTCAGATAGTTAGTCGAGAGAGATAGGTGAGTGAGGGAGGTGTAGGTAAGGAGAAGTAATACCCAGTTTGTGGAATGCGTCTTAGTGTAGGGCCGCGTGAGCGTACTCGGTGGAAGGAAATGGGGGGATCATATAAACTTAAAGTCAACCACCAAAGTTCCGACGGAAACGTTCCCTTCCCCACTTTCTCCCCGCAATCGTGTCCCCGGCACTGTACAATGACTCTGCCACCTCCCTATTCACTCTACCTACCACTCATACTCCCATACACTGCTCTCTGTACGGAACGGCCACACATAAGAAGAAAGTTAAGAGAAAGTAACTTAGTAGTATAGAAAGTACTATGCCACGTTCAGGATTACAAACAGAAGTTATCCGTCTGTATCGACAGTGAGACATCTCCCCCACTCTTCTTTATCAGTATCTGACAAGCAGGGGACTAAAGTCAATAATGTCTAAACCTATCGTATGTTACGTTTCACAGGTAGAATCCGTCCTATCATTCAAATCCACTCGAATTTCGAATCCTTGATCCCAAAACTATCTTCCCACCCCATAATCCTCCCTTATGAGCGGCTCGTCCCCAGATATCTGCGCGAGAGATACCCAATTGAGAGAATTCTTGGTTGGAGGTTATTTTCAGAATTGAAGCCGAAGAAGTGTGAAAGATAACAAGATGAAAGGGATAAGGTGTCTGAATGACTTCGAGAGAAGAATGGAAGAACAACAACTTGTGAGAAATAACCTGACGAACAGTCCACAAGAAAAGATTTTTTGATTCATTGGAAATACAACTTCCTTCATCCTCCACTCTCACCTAGAGATTATACAGCAATAGAATATCAGGTAATTCCCATTCTCTACCCTTCGTTATGAGATATGATTGATTTTTTCAGGTACGTACAACTCAATACTTACAGAGCAAAAGTTGATTCTTAGGTATGTATCCTTCGTGAGGAAAGCGGGAGAACTGATGGATAGTTACGCAAAATGACAAGAATGTTAGAGATGATAATTGATCCTAGTGTGAATCGTGTCTCCATTAGTGAAGAAATGGAGAGATGGTGGATTGGACAAGTTCGAAGAGGACGATTGATCTCTACACAAGCCTCAGGATCAGATACTATGTCGTTAAATTCAACACATCCACCCACTTCATCGTCTATAGCTTCGATATCTGCGTCCAGTTCTTCCCTCCATAACCAGTCGTCTACGTCGAGAGAGACACCAGAGTCGTCTATGTCGAGAGATACGCTGGAGTCATCCGCAAGTCATGAAGAAATCAAGAAACCCGTCGATGTCGTCGAGCCGCAGGAAGATAGAGAACAATGGGGTCATAAACTCCCTGGACATGGTGGGACATGATTCATGATTCATGCATCTTACATGATGCATCATAACCATTATATAATCAAATGTCGACTTATACATTTGAAAAGTATGCCGGTAGATATTAGTATGTCGAAACAAATCTTAAACCATCTCAACATCCTCAGCGTCATCCTCATCCTCCCATTCTTCCTCTGCAGGTTTCACACCTTTCTTATCCAATCCCTCTAATAATTCCGCTACATGAGATCCTATTCCCTCATCTGAATATTCCTGCTCTTCATAAAGCTTTGCACACTCCATTAAACTTCTCATCGCCTCTGAGAAACATTCTTCCGGGGTGGACCACACCTCTTCGTTTCCCTTTAGCCCATCTTCTACGTCTATATCCTCCATCCCGACCTTCGGTACATTCCCAGCGATATTTGAAGATCTGGGGTCAATGCCATGGGATGGGATGGCGTTGAGAGAGTGAGGGGAGGTTTCAGGTTGCTGTGGACGACTAGAAGAAAGTGCCTCCCCACGGAGATACAAAGCCCATCCTTCTAGATAAGCACCTTCTACATTGAGTGAATCTTCTTCTCGGATAGTTTGAACTATATCAAGAGCGGGGAGATGGAGATGATGTTCGAGTAATTGACGTGTGAGGTTAAGTCGGACGGGAAGAGCTGGTAAAGATTCGTCGACTTTTAATCAGTTACGTTTCCCAACCTTACCCCCAGACTGCATCTTTGCCCGTGAGAAGATTATCGTCCGCCGGCTAGGAAAATCGCAGGAACATGCTAGACCTTGCTCTGTGTCGTATCTCTAGAATCCTGATAGGCTACAGCGCTGGGAAAGAGGTTGAGAGGTCAGAAAGGCGGTGTGTTTGAGATCATTTGAAAGAGGAGATGAAGAGACACGAGAACACGAATGAACACTCACATGGTTGCTTCTCTTTAATCTCATCGTATAAACCCATAACGACAGTTTCAGCCTCTTCTGTCCTTTGCTGAGACATCCGGATAGAAGCTAGAGATAATCTGACTTCTGGGTCATTAGGTGATATGGAGATTGCTCGGGAGATAAGAGCATCGCAATTGGTTTCGGCGGCATCTTCGAAGCTGAATATGTGAGCTGGACCAGAAGTGTCTTATATATACTGAAAGATGCAGTTTGGTATTTCTGATAGCCTACAGCCCTTCATAGGAACTCAGAAACGTTCCAACATGTGAGAGGAGAAGTGTGACGTCTCATTTCCGGTGTTCCGGGAGATAGGATAACGAAGATGATACATGAATGGAAGGTGACATTGAATTGGAATGAGGTAAACAAAAGAGCTGGTAAAAAATGCTCGGATGGAGATGACGAGGATAGATGAGACAATAGATGAGAGAGAAGGATATGAGAGGAAGGAAGAACAGTAGACATACCATAAATCTGACATCCAAATCTCTATCATAGCCACTAAAGCCGTGACGGCCATTCCTCGCTTCTCAACTTCTTCTTCTTTAGACGATTTACCTCTTTTTAAATCATTCTCTATCATCGCTGCTGCTGTGGAATAATATCCTAAAGCTTCATGTGGGTTTTCGGCACTTTGAGCGAGGTAAAGATAAGGTGAGGGTGTTTGAGGTGGGTTGGGGGTATGGGGAGGGAAAAGGGATAGAAGGTGCTTATGAGGTTAGTCGGTGGCTCTTGATGTGGACCAATACAATGACTTCTCAAGTGGTGAACAATCACGGCACTAGGCAGTTACAAGAAGCTTATGATCTGCCGCGCTGCCATGAGACCGAGGTCAAAAGACTCGTGAAGTGTCAGGAGAGGGAGGTTACGGTCAAAGGTTGAAGAAGTTGAAAAGATATCGAGCAGAAGTTGAGAAGAGGGAAAAGACTCTGGGGAAAAGAAAATCTACCAAAACAAGAAAATGGGATTGGTAATTCCAAAGGTGAGATAACATAATCAAAGACTCACCTCTCTCCCAACATCCTCATCACCACCTTCCAACTCTGCAACCCCCAACAATTCTCTACCTTCAAGATTATCAGGTTGAAGTTGTATCACCTTTTTCAAAGTCTTGATAGCTACTTCGAAATTTGATTGAGCCAAAAGTGAATGAGCTTTTTCTAATACTTGTCAGTCGTGTTCTCGTCATGGGGTGAAGGGTGGAAGAGGGGAGAGGACAGTACCTATGAGAGTGGATACATCTTGAATTGTTGATGGTCCCGGGGTAGGGTTTACCACTTTCGAAACCGACTTTTCTTTTCTACGTTTTGCGCTGACCATCTTTAGTGTTTCTAATATTTGAATCCCTCTCCGTTTGGTATGTCTGTGTACCTGTGTTGATGAGAAAGAAGAACAAGTGCACTAGAGTAGACAAAATTCTTTAGTAGGGGAATGTAAGTCACGTGACCTTAACCTCCTTTCGAAGTTTGAACTTCCAGTCGAAACTTCAACTGAAACTCGCTCGTATCCTGTCGTCATATCATTTATCCAACGGCCGTCAATACGGGTCTATACTTGGTACTATACTAAAGTACTACTGTATACAGCGGTGAATGAAAGACGCCGATGAAGACTCTAAAAGGACGATTTACGACTTCTTCCTCACCCCCATGATACTCAAAATTCTCACTTGACAACGTCCCCTTCTCTACCCTGTCTTTCCGGTATTCTACTACAATGGGCTGTTGCACCGCTGGAACCCTCACGACGGGCGTATCCCCCGAGTTCCGAGAGGTCATCCAATGATGGATACGGAGAATGATCCGATAAACTCCCTGAGGCATTCCGGGGTGGAAGATGAGTGATCCTTGAGGGATGGGTTTCTTGGTAGCGACGATGAGACCATACTTATATACTGATGTTATCAACCACTGACCCATTCTGATCTCTTCTCATTTGATCATATCGATTTCACAACCAGGATGATCTTCAACAACTTATGATACACAATACTTCTACAACAGCTGAAGAAGACAAATAGGCAAAGAAGAGATATGGACATACAACTACGAGATTATGAGAAATGATTGATCTTGATTTGACTTTTTTGATAGAGCGTAGTGAGTATTTCCATTCTATCCTGTCTTCACCTTCCTCCTCTATAATCTTCACGGGGATATTACATCTTGAGTGAGATCGAATGGGAAATCATAAACATGACTGGAGTGGACAGCGGAAAAGAATTGACATAAAGGTACATCATTATCTTTCGTCATACCCCTTATCCTACTCCTTATCACCCATTCTGTCCCTCGTCACCTCACCTCTCTACAAACGAAAAACATTCCGAGTCCAGCATCGATCTCTTTGATGATATGTACGATCATCCGAGCACTTTTACCGATATTAGATACTCAAACTCATTTCGCCATTGTGCAAGAACTTGGAAGAGCTTCTTTATTTTGTCGAGTTGATGCTGTTTTGTAAGTTTTGATTACTCGTAAATGGAAAGAAAAGGATGGCTTGTTGATGAAATAGAGAAGCGTTTTTTAGTACGGCTTTGATAGCTCATCTACCTGTTGTCATATACGTGTGTTTCCTCTCCTTAGCCCTCTTCTTTCTCCTTTTTTCTCCATCTCACATCTTCCCGCCTTTTATTATTCACAACTGTGACTTCCTTGCCTGCTATGATGCCGCCTACCTTTGAAAAGTTCTGGAATCACCTATGATGACCCATCTTTTTTGGTTGTCGTCCAGATGACAGGGAAGATATGCTGAAGCGATAGACTTACAATCACTCTTTCCCCACTTCGACCAATCCCAATCCATCTTCACCTCGTTTATACCTCCTCCTAATCCCTTGGGTGTACGCACTTATACCTACCACACCTCTTCTTATCGACACTCTACTCCATCCCTCCCTCCACGTTTGGTGGGGATATTACTGTCATTCTCCTTCTTCATGGTGGCGATTCGTCCGTTCTCCATCTCTATTACTTCCCATCACAATCTCCCTTCTTTTACTCCTATCACACATTATCAATCTTTATTCTCTTCTTCCTTCTCCAGATCCAACCCTTCGACCTTCTGCACGACATGGGATAAACCTTTTGTATCTTCTCACGGTAATATCGTCAACATGCGGTTACTTAGTGATTGAACAGATAATCGGATGGTCAGCTACTTGGTGGCCTAGAGCAGTGGAAGTTGTTTCTGCTCCTTTGGTTTTCATAGCTTATGGGAGTAATTCGGAAATTTGGATGACTTGGTGGGCCTGGATCAGATTCAGACATCCTCAAACACCAGCCTCTACCTCTACTTCTCCTTCAACACCTTCTACACCTTCATATCCGGAGATGTCAACGGATACATGGGATCCAGAGGTTATCTCTAAGATTTCAGACGGACAATGGAGAAGATCAACTAGAAAAAGTATCATGCGTCAAGAAGAACAACCAAGAAAATATACGAACCCAAAATCCAAACGTATCACAATTCAGGATGAACCAACAAAATCTAAACGTGTAAAAAGGAAAGATAACACTAAATCAAATTTAAACAGATCAAGTAGTTTCTTTTCCGGTCCTCCGATTCTTATCCCACAAACAGGTTTAAAACCTTTCCAACCTCCTTTATCTCAAGATTCAATAGGACCAGAACGATTATGGTTTGGAGATTTTTTAGATCAAAGGGAATCATCAAGAAGTTTGCACATTCCACAAGAATCAGTCTATCCTATGAAGATGGACAACTTTTCTCATTTCACACAAGATGATACGAATGGGTTAAGAGAAATGAGAAGGACCGGCACACCGATGGTGATATCTTCTCAACAGATACCTGATCAGAATAGACCTCATGGATATAGACTCACTATAAGAAATTCGACACCTTCACCATTACCTCCACCAACCATCACTTTAACCAGTGAGAATTCTCAATCTTCTTCTTCACAAGGAGGGTCTCAGGAGGCGGGAGCGTTAAGAGGATTGGGACGACTCGATTCAGTGAAAAGGTCTGAACGAAATGATACAGTGGACATGTCGGATCAATCTGGAATTAAGAGATTAAGAATTGGAAGACAATCTGGTCAGGATGATAAATTGGAAGGAGAGAATGATGAACGATTGAATCCAAGCTATTCTCCCCCATTCACTTATTCTCTCGCATTGACAGAATCCACATCAAACACTTTCGGTCCTCCTCTTACAACGAACATTACTTCATCTGGTGAGATACCAATTAATCATCCGAGAAACCTCATATTGAACAGTGATTCAATCGTCAATATCCAACCGACTTATCTCTCAGTGAACCCTGACACACTTGGCAACAACCCCAATAATCAGTCGAGATCCCTCACTTCGACTCCGAATGCTCAGAACTCGCATCTAGACATATATTCAAAACCACCAAAATACCAATTCCGACAAAGTGGTATCAGTGTCAACGCAAGTATCATCAGTGATCTTTCTCAATATTCACAATCATCTCTCGCTCCTGCAAATAAGATATCTTCCAACTCCCACGATGGAGATCAAGCGATTCCGGGATCATACACCAAGAACGAAACCACCTTAGAGCAAAAGACGGTGATATCCTCTAGGAATGATACTGAGGTGTTTGAAGAGATAAGGAGGGAAGACGATCAAGTCGGTGAAGAATTGTTACCACCCCGATATGGGAAATATGAAGGAAGTGAGGTTTCTTATGCTACAGGAGGGACTTTCGGCTTGATACGTGGTACGTCGGGACGGGATGATGGAGGGAGGAGTACGAGTTTCAGGGATAGAAGTGGGAGATTCTGAGTAATCCCAGACTTCTGACTTTAGCGTAAGATGAGTTCTCACGGAAACTGGACGAGGACGAATAGAAACTAAAGGTGAAATGGATACGTTGGGGTCTCAGCCTGAGGACAAGGGGAATGAAGGATGATACGACGGATATAGATCAAGTACAGGTGAAAGAGCAGACAAAAGGGGGAAAACCAAAGTACAAACGATTCTAGTGAAAACATGCATGTTGTATGTGATTGTACACTGTACACCTTGATCCCATTAATTCCGTATTCCTATGCCATGCTGATGAGTTTGATGAGTGTGATGAAGATGATGCTAGGTATTCTACAACCACGGTTGCCAACCTTGTCATCAGCCAAATTATTGAACCTAGGTCAGAATCTCATTCGAAGATATCCACCAACCAACCCTGTCGATATAGTTGATAGAAAGGCGAGGGTTCATATAATTTTATATGTCCAGTGATAGAATTTATGTAGGAATCAATGAGAGGGGTGGAAGAACCTGGTACTAGACGGGGGAAAGCACGTATCACTCACCAACAAAGATTTTCGACAAATTCTCTACATCCCTCGCTTCTTGTATCAATTGATTAACACTATATTCCACACTTGAATCTTGTCTCAATTTATTTCTGACCCTAGCTAATATCCTATCTGCTTTATCTTGCGCTGTTATGGAATTTCTACCAATATCGGCTTTACGTCCTCCTTGAGCTCTCTGTAATTTTTCAGAATCTGCCGTCCTATTTTGATCAACAAATCGACCTCACGTAACCCACACCTCTTTGTGATCTACTTCATATATGGCCATCTCTTCGCTTACGAGATATGTGAACAAATTCATGTGTGATCAGTGTTCAGTGGATGATCAGAGGACGTGTTTGAAGGAAACTCGAGAGGATGGAGAGAAGGGGACGACTCACCAAGCATAAAGCGGATCATGCTTGAAAACTTCTAACACTGTCAAGATCAAATCACTTGATTCTCTCATCACTCTCAGAGTATGTTCCGAACATCGTCTGAATGTCCCTTCAACACCTGTAATGCCGAATCCATCAACTATATCGTTTGTCAATCTAAATGGGACCTTTTCGGGAATTCGTAACCTTCTTCCCTGTTTGTCAATTTCACATATCGCCCAGCCCTCGCGGTCTCCTTCTAGAAAACATTGGCGTGTATCGAGTGTACCGGCTTCCGTGAACGAAGGGATATGTGGAGAGGTGGAGGGAGGAGAAAAAGGGGTGAGGGTAAAGAGGCAGGAAGGTGTAAGGACATGAATGCAGGTAGGAGGACAGAAGGTATACAAAGACGACCACTCACCTCCTCAAACACAATACCAAAGTCAATATGTACCAACTCTCCTTGTACCTGATCAATGAGGATATTAGAACAATGTCGATCTCCTATACCCAATACATGTCCCACCATGGAGGTCACAGCGACAGAGCGGGAATAATTCAATCGCATAGCAAACCAAGCCATGGGATCTTTATGTCGTTCAGTGAAGAAATGTCTCATGACAGGTCGGAATTGACTGATCAACTTGCGATAGACTTCTGTCATTTTGGGAGAATTAAAATCACGTTCTTGTACCGTGTGCAGCTGTTTTCGCATGCTGTCAGGGGAATGATCGATATCTTTGCGGTATCTGAAATTCAGCGTCAACTTCATATTTCACCTGATTCAAATCCTGAGCCTGAGAATTCGTCATATGGGGGATTGATGCCAATTCTCTTGATGTCACTGAGAAGAGAAACCCAGGCCATATTGCGAACAGGGAAATGAGCAGGAAGAACAGGACGAAAGCGTATTAGAGGATGATTTGGTATTGTGAGAGGATTTAGACAAGACATGCGAGACAAGCGAGGCGAAAAGACTCACCTCTCATGAGCTGGCTTTAACCAATCTCCTATCGCCTGACCATTCGAAACGAACTCTATCACTCCTGTCCTGTTCCAAAGCGGTATGACATTATAAGTTCTGAATCTTAAATTCCGACTTTTCGTTTTCCTATCCCTAGCTAGTAAATCGTTTGTCATTTCGAAGACTTGTTCCATTACGGCGTCTTGTCGTACTTCATCTTCACCTTTGAACTGTTCATCAGTTCACCATACAAGGTTCAGCTACGACCCATCTACCACTTCTCCCTGCAGCCATTTACGTTTCTTTCATCATGGCCAGTGTGCCCACTTCTGAGTATTAGATAAAGCAGGAAAGGGAGAGGGCGAGTAAAAGGAGTATGAAGAGGAAGAGGAAGAGGGAGGGGTAGTGACTGTTCTAAATAGACTCCAAACTCGAGGGATGAGTTTCGAAATAAGGGGGATGAAACTCTTTACTCACCAACTGATAATGCTGTTTCCCTAAAGAATCCAAGCAAGTCATTCGTTTAGGTCTATGTATCCCACCCAAAAGTCTATATCTCTTTCTATACCTTATCAAAGTCGGTACGTCCCCATATTTTCCCGTTTGATCAACAACAGGTACTATAGTAGGTATTGGTATATTAACCTTTACCAAACCATCCAAAGGACAACCTTGTGGAAGTCCATATTCACCTTCTTTCGTACTTTTCACATCTGCCGGTTCTTTATATAAACACCAAGGTACAGCAGCATCTGCAAATACTTTCATTTGAACAATTGCCATTTTCGCCAGAGGATGAGTAGTAGTATCATCTGTCGCTGATATTTGTTGTAAAACTTGTACTGCTGCAGGACCACGACCTTCTGCTCCTATATCCGATTGACGAGGTCCAGATTTTGAAGGTTTTACACCATTGGCAAGAGTTATAATTTGATATAAGATATGAAATGGATGTTCCATTGCTATTCTCGTTACCAGATTATTCAAAGAATTATTGAAATTGGTTGGTGATTTAGGTCGATTAAGTCTGGCTGATAATTGAGGTCCTAAGAATATAAATTTATGAGAAGGTATTCGATTTAAACTGAAAGCGAAAGTTTTATTCACTTCTTCATCTCCATCATGTTCTAACCAAAGTGAACATAAACGTGTCATGGAATCATCAAATTCATTAGAATTCGTTAAAGCCGATGCGAACATTCGTAGTGCCGTCTTGACATAAGTTCGGATTTCAGTTTGTAACGCTTCTAAAGCAGCTTCATCTTCTTGAGCTTCTTTAATACGCGCTTCTAATGCACTGGAAGATGAATGTTTCCCTTTGGATGACTTGGCCAATGTGGCGGATAATTCAGCGACGGAAGGGTTGGTTTTAGCGTAGATACGTAATCTTTCAAGTTCAGAGGAAGTATGATGAGATATGTATTGTCGATGTGCGAAACAAGCGTATTCGTGACTCAGTCTAGCGGTTTCTTTCTCGTCTAGATGATGTCGTGTAGCCAAAGAGCATGCTTCCTCGAACAACGCTTTGACATCTTGAGCAGGTTTCATCTGTGCGACAGAACTCCAATGAGCCTGATAATCAGTTTCGACCTCACCACACCGCAGGTGGGTTCGTAATCACAGAAAAGGCTTGCGACGATACCACAGGAATGAAGTCGCAACTTCGTGGTTAAGAAGGAAAACCCAATTTGACTCACTATTCTACCCATCAACACTGCCAAACGGGTCTCACGACCTCCTTCAGGTTTGATGACTTTTGCCATTTGTTCCGTATGTCTAGTCGCCAAAGCATATTCGCCCATGGACCACAAAACATGTCCGAATTCATCATCTGCAGATGTCGAAGGTGTTTGATCCTTCTCGAGATGTCTGACGGCGGTTATGGTGTTCATGGCAGCTTGACGATTCCCATCTTCCCTCGCCATCTCACTCAGACGGATCCGACAGGATTTCTCCAATTGTCGAAGTGTGTCGAATTGTGGGTTGGTAAGATCTCCAAACAATTGTTGGTTCTCACGAGATTTAGCAGCGGAGATCAACGACAAACGAGTAGACATGAGTCTTTCACACTCTCGAAAGCTAACATCAGCTCATCTTTTTCTCACGCAAATGGATCAGAGAAGCTTACCCAAAGACGGAGGGAAGGACGGTGAGACCAGTAAGGACAGAGCTTTCTGAATCACCTTCCGCCAAAGCTTTTTGAGTGGCAGGTTCGAGCCAATGAGCTATTTCTCTCAAACATAAAAGATTGTTGGTTGTTTGCTTCACTTGTGCCATTCTTTCCATTCCCAATCCACGTAATTGCGTCATACCATCAGTCAAAGCTTCCTGAACGGCTTTTGTAGCAGCTGCGAGGTCTCTATCCCGATGAACGGCCCTCAATGCTTTGTAGAACGCTCTTTCGGCAGTCTTGTCAGATTCGAGAGGTAAATTCCAATCACCAGTACGCCAAGCCAGCTCCAAACCAAGAGAGTCAGAGCCGGGAGTTTTGGTAGATTTACGTGAGGTGGCAAGAATATCAGAAGCCAATGAATCGAATCCTATATCATGTAGATTGTTGATAATGTTCAGAGGTCTTGATTGGGATTGTAGGTTAGATCCTATGGAAGCTTGGTAATTTGCACCATTGATACCGAATGCTCGCCAGTGTTCTCCTTCATGTTCCAATCGACGTATCAAGGCACTTTCAAGATCTGTAGCTTGGATACCGTAGAAACCATCGGGATCTTCGACATTGCTGTAGATTTCGTACATTATCTCAGAAATCAGCAATCTCTAAACGAAGTGAGTAATGATGAACGTACTTTTTGTACTCGTTGACTTGTGAGGTCAAGATTGACCGAAGAATCATCCAACGAAGACTCGAGGAACATGAGAGCAGTGGTATATGCTCCACACTTGATAGCGGCTTCGCTAAGTAATATGGGATCGATTTTAAGCCATGAAGCAAATGACAATGGATCTTTACGATACGGAGGACGAGAATGTCGGAGATGTAGAATAACGTTTAATATCATTTCTATGGTTTCTGTTGCCACCATAGATGATTGAAGTACCGCGGTGAAATACTGAGAGAGTATATGGACTTGATCTTCCGTCGTTCGAGAATGTTTTGCGACGTGGGTCAAGATAGCTTGCACTAGCCATGGCAGGAATGTTTTCACTTGACTTCCTTCTGCTTTCAAGAGTGGAACAATACAAGGGAAGATCTTGTCTTCTATTCCTAATACTTGAGCTACGAACACGGACAGCTCCTTACACCAGACATTTGGCCGAGAGGAAAGCTTGATCCAATCGTTGGACTCTGAAAGCATCCCAAGGTTCTTGTGTTCATCCGTTTGATGAGATAGAGGAGAGGGGATCAGGAGTGAGACTTGATCGTTCAAATCTCCCGGGAGTCGATTCCGATCCACCGCATCTGATATATGCGGTAACATTGCCGACAACACTCGTATCGCTGTATCTCGAAGATCAACATTTTTGGAAGGCAGAAGTTGACCTATCAGAGTGACGAATACGATTTTGATCATAGTTAATGGTTCGGAAGAATATCGTTGACGGATAGTATCGATTATAGGATCTCGTAACAAACCTGAGATGGCATCTAAACTAGGAGCGGCAACTTGACCTTCAGAGTGATATAGCAAATCGAGAAAAGCCAGAGTTCCTCCATGTTCGTACGTTCCCATGGGTAGATTACGCTTGATGATCCAAAATATGTCAGTCTTGAAAGACTGATTATGAGTCGAGGTGGTGGCGACCAACTGTTTACAGATCTGCAAAGCATCAGGGGACGATTGATTTGATAAGAGTTGAATGAGGTCAGCAGAGTTGGGAGGGGACCAATCTGAAAGTGTTACACCTAAGTCAGGTGGCCATAGGATGTGAGCCATCTCTAAAGAGGTACGTAGAACACCGATTTTCTTCCAGGAGGATATTGATTGACCGATCCAATCACGTATAGCCACGAGACATTCTTCGTGGGCTTCTTGTTTCAGTATGGAAGAGTAGACCTCACCAAGATTGATGAGCAAGTCCGGTAATGCTTGAGTGGGACCGGTGACGTGTGGGATCTGATTGAACGCCCATATGAAGATTGAAAGAGCCGAAGGCCAAATGCGTTCGAATGGTAAGAGATGGATCATTTCTCTCATTAAGCTCTCCAGGATGACGGACTTCTTGTATTCGATATTATAGATTGAAATGGCCACGGCGATAGATCGAAGATATCGAAGTTGTTCTTGAACGAGGAGAGAAGAGTGAATGGCTTTGGACAGACTAAGAACGGCATTGAAGACGATCTTTGAGCGTGATATACGAGGAAATTGTTGATGCCATACTTGGAGACATTGTAGGAGTGATACGACATCAATGGCAGGATCTAAGAATGTCACACTCTCTTCCATCTCTTTCTCCTGCACGAGAAGATCCGAGTAAATCTGGGTCACTTGTGCTTCAAGTCCTACTTGCTCCATGGATGTGACCGCATGTACAACATCAGGTTCCACAGCTAGGATATCGAACAATCGTATGACGACCAATTCTTCTTTTCCTTTGCACAATATATCCAGATTACCACCGACTCCCTTATCTAGAACCGACTTTAGGTGGGAGAGTATGACATCAGGTGCTTTAAAGGGTTTTCCGCTTAATGCGTTCTCACCGGATATGATAGCCCCAATGGAGTCGAATTGCCATTCAAGAGTTTGTCGCACATTGACTTCCGCTACTGAACACAGGTGAGAATAATAGTCTCCCTTACCTTTCGCGATGATCGTCGGACCTGTTATTTCCAGCCACCAAGTCGCTTGATCTTTCTGTGATTTCCAGCCGAATAGATGATAAGGTAATCGTAATGCGTCTTGACCAGTTTGAAGGAGACTATGAATGGTTATAGAAGCATAGGGTTTGAGTAATTCCGGGACAGATTTAAATCCCAATCTATTTGCCACGTTTTGAAAACCGATACGAATATGTTCATTGACAGCTTCTGTAGATAAGGGGATCTCGAGTAAATGATACAATGCTACGGGTCGTAAAGTCGAAGAAGACAGACAACAATTAAGTTTCCAGAGAAGATGAGTAAGGAAAGAGTTCCAATGAGAGATTAAACCTGGTTGTTTCCCCAAAGCGGAGAAATAATAGTGCATCTCTTTCGATGGACCCACTTTCAAATGATGTAATGCGGCTGAGGCTGAAGTCGCTGCTCGAAACCTGACACGGGCGTCGATATCAACAAGTGCGTCTGCGGCGTAAGTTGAGGGTGTGTCGTCGGTGGATCCATCTACTTCCATGCTATCGGGTCGGAGTTCGTGCCACGTTGAAAGAGATGGGTCTAGTTCAACATAACGATCAAATAATCTCAAAAGTTCAAGTCGGGTTTGCCAAGCGGGTATCTGACCTCTGGCGATTTTAGTTTGCATGAACTTGATCAAATGTATCGATCGCTCGCCAATGTCACTATCTTTGGAATCGGCTTCTAACCATACTGAAGCAGAACAGCCGATGAAGGAGAGGGCGAGTTGAAGCAGTCGTGTGTCCCGACTGTACGCATAAGTCGTCAACACTTCTTCGATGGCGGCAAGGATGTGATCGACGGCGTCCAAAGTGAGACGAAGTCGTCCGTTGGATACAGCCTCAGTGACGAGTTCTCCCAATTGGATGAAGCGGGGACCTTCCGAAGCCAAGAGGGCGTTGAGAAGGGCCAGGTCTTTCACCGGAAGAGAAGAGACAATGTTGAGCTTAAGACCGTCTAAACGAAAGTCGGTTATACATTTCAATAACGCGGTCGAAGTACGTTGACATTCCAATGCTTCTGCAGAAGGTGGCATAGCTTCGGTATCGGCGAGCTTGACGGCGCCAAAATTATCCTCGTTCGACGTATCAACAGCATTGGGAGTGACGATACTGGCGGTACGATAATCTTGAATTAACTCTTGACAGATGTCAAGCAACCCCATGAGAAGACTTTGCACCTGGTCCATCAGCTCGCCACACTGAGGTAATGCATGGACTCACCCCATCCATCCTCCAAATCACGCTTTGGAGAGTGATTAGCTCGGTCCCGCTGAACTGAGTGGGTTGTATCTGTGTCTGTTTCTGCATTTCACGTTGGGTCAAGGGAGGGAGCAAGGACAAACAGTTGAGACTTATGCCGGACATCTCCTGTGGTCGGAGTAAGATGGGCCAGGTGACGGCAGGGTCTTCGGCTGCGGTAGTGGTAAGAGGTTTCAGTCCAGACCATACTAGTAGGAGAGCAGGAATGGGCACATTGGTAGACTTCAGGTGAGGTTGAAGAGCGCCGAGGATCTCCGAACATGATTGAAGACAAGATGGATCAGGTTGTAATGCGTTCAATTGGAGAGTTGCTTGAAAGCTGAGGGCAAGAACAACCACGTCGACAGCTCGACGTATCCGTTCGGGTGATGTTGCTACATGCACATTTGGATCGCTGATATCGGCATGAAGTGTTTGTAACAGATTGGTGAGAAAGGATGAGCATTTCATGTGCCGGTCGAGTAAAGGTGAGAGGGACTCATTCTGGGACCACGCGGGACTTGCGCTCATTATAGAAGCAGGGGACGGGGAGGATAGTGTCACTTGTTCGATGGGTGGGATTCGTCCGTCTAAGATGTAGTCACGGAGGTTCCGAGTCCCAGCCTCATGCATGTATCGAGTAACGATAGGACAGTCGGGAAGCATTTCGTCAGTCTTCGGATAAGAAATTTCGTGATGCACCAACCCACACGAGACATTGATGAGTTGAAGGATATGACTAGGTGAAGTCTGAGGTAGTCTCGTCTTGCCTTTACCAATATTCACAGGATCCCATACTTCAAGCCATCGAATCACCCGATCCTCGAGATTGAGGGAGTAAAGCGAAGAATCAGATTTTGCTATTCGTAGTGCAGTCGAGAGAAATTCGCAAACAGAGTCGAATGGGTATGGTGGGGGCTGTACCTCCAGATTTTGTAACAGACCTCGAATGTCTTCACCAACTCTGGCACGATCAAGTGTATCGATCGATATGAGAGTGTTGGCTGCTAGACAAGCTGTCCTTGAGATGGATACAAGAGAGATTTTCCTTATTGCATGTGTCCAAATGCGCGTGAAGACCTCAGAGTTGACTTGAGGCTGATGGGGAAGAGAAACGGAAGATAATGGGGGGACGTCGTCCATTGACGAGGGAGTCGTGATAATTGAACAAAGTGCGGAAAGTCCAACGAAAGCCCACGCTTGTAAGGGCTCGTAGGGGTTGTCGAGGAGATCGATCAAAGTCACTTGGATCTCCTTCATGGAAGCAGGTAAAAGCTGATGAGAGTGTCGTTCGAGTAAGAAGATGACCACTTGCAGACAGAGCAATTTGGAAGCAGGGCTTCCCGTCTGGGCACCGGAGAGGAGAGCATTGATGGGATCTACAGTCTCCACTCTGCGTCGCTTGAAAACAGGTTCAGAAGAGTCTGAAATGGAATAGACTTGTCCAACATGCAGCTGTATTGCTTCAGCTGTCTGGGTGTCGTTCGACTAAAAGATACTCACAAAGATTACACAATCCGCATATAGCTCGAGAATGACCCAGCTCATAGCGCATTCATGTGAGAAGTCGAATCCAGCCTATCAGAGTAAGTATTATCAAAGCAAAGAGGTCATGATCATACGTACCGTCATTGTGCTCGTCTCGAAGGGCTGACAATTTCCCTCAGGATGAGACTTCGCGGACAGACATGAGGGTGTATGCAATCGAATAACGTTGAGGTCCAATGGTTGTATACCATTCCTATTACTCGTCTCTTTAGCCAATCCATCCGCCAATTTTCCCAAAATGTCCCTCATATCTCCTGCGTCATAACCCCCGTTCAATGAAGAATGTGTCACGAAAGGCAGAAGGATTCTGAGAGTGATGACTAATTGTTCTCGCAGTACCTTGTTTCTCGTGCCCCAGAGAGTGACCAAATGTGGTAGTAACTTTCTTCCCATATCGACCATCTCTTTGCTACAATTGAACTCGAATTCCGCTAAGACGATGTCACACGCTCGTAATATCGGTAGATGCAATGGTGTTTCAATTGGATTCTGTAAGAAGAACCGATGTATCTTGACCAAAACTGTATTACCGATACTTCCACCCTCTTTATCTGTTCCAATTGACGGAAGAGGAGGTATGATAGGAGCTGAAGGACTGGAAAGTAAAATAGGAATGAGTAATGCTAATTCCGCTTTTGCTTGAGTTGTTGTCGGTCTATTCCTAACACTCGAATCCATTTGAGTGATGAGTGTGTTCGTTCTTCCTTCTTCTAATTCAATCTCTTCAATCTTCTCATCTTCCCATTCGAATTCCACAGAGATCTCATCGTTGAGCATCACCGCCCAACATATGCCCAAGAGCATTTTCAGACTTTCTTGATCCAACCCGTTCAGATGAGGCGGATAAGAGAGAAGTTTATTGAGAGCTTTGGCATAATCGAGAGATGAAGGTTGAAATAAAGATGTACCGTGGACGAGAAGAGAAACCAAATGACTGAATAGAGTCATGAAAGGTTTTTTCGAAATGAGATGAACTGAACGTTCTGTCATCCATCGAACGAGGGAAATAGCATCTGCCAATCTTTTCTCAGCTGAGATATATCAGTATTGAGATCAATTTTGATAAGTAAGAAAGATCTGACCTTGTAATGTGGAAGTTTTTGCATCTCTTCGAGTGGTAACTTTCTTCTCCAGGACGACAACTTGGAACATACATTGGAAGAGAGCTATCCAACCTGCTCCGCTATCCCTGGCTGCATATTCCTGAAAGGATAGAAGGTTCTCAGGATTAGAGAATATCTCTCGGACATGTTCAGCACCTTGAGAACGATCTTTGATCTTATCAGAGTTGTATAATCGAAGGGCGGATTGTAAACCCGATACGGTATTCATGGTGAGGTATCATGACCTCTGGAGTGGGGTCAGTCTCAGGCCTGCAGCATCACTTCCATGAACGATTAACTCACCTGATGTTGATACACTCTCATTCACATACCTCGATTCTTCTCAAGTGCAGCCTTGACCTATGGTTCAGGAAGGGAAGTTGAAAAGTGTACCTTTGAAGAGAAGAAGGGTGGAAAGTGGAAAGATAGTCGCGAAAAATCAAGTGAGTAGAAGTGAATCCCTTCCTTTCCATCCATCCATCACTTTACCCTCCACACTATCATCCTGCATAACACAAGTATACACTTTTCGACTTCAAGCAGACCTATTGAGACTCTCATAGAACACCAAACCCTAGGGCGTGATCCATGATGGACGCCGAAGAAGATTTGACACGAATATGGGCCCTCGTCGGTCAACTGTCCGGTGAGTTTCTCTCTACTGACATCTCATGTCCTCATCCATCCCCCGTGACCTCAAATGATATGTATAGCGGGAACTGACAAATAGAACAGTTGCAAACTAACCGAGCACTCGTCCTTCAACTCAAAGCGAAGAGTGAAAATGTCAAAGGTCAAGCAACACATGTAGGAACTGGATTCCCTTTAAGACGATTCAATCTTGATATTTCAAATGGCGAGTTTTTACCTGTTTAGGTCTTTCATTGTACTCCCTACCTAACTTCAATGAAGCGTATATTCACTGCATACTACGAGGATAACGAAAAGACTCCATTGTATGTTGCAGGACAAATTGATAAAGTAGCGGTATGTAAGAAGAACTGACAGAATAGAAGAATTTACTTCTGAATTAGAACAATTCGCCGCTCATCTAGTATTGGAAAACCAATATCTTCAAAATGAGAATAAACAGCTTAATCAATTGTTGAAGGAATACGAACAGACTTTGGAGACTGTCATGGGAAAGTTCAGGGGTGTAGCTGTGAGTTTTTGTCTATCTCAATCTGTCGTATCTTCCTTCTCTGTTTTACCTTGTTGTCAGAGGTGCTTTTTGTCATACATTTGATCATCTTTCTTCCTTCGACTGAACCGCCCTCTCGAGTCCGTGTATACGTCACCTTATACCCTACCATGTCGCCTTTCACCAGCGAGAGACACTTCTTCTTCCTCAACATGACGTACGACGGTCAAGCTTGGTAGTTTAGTCCCCAAGTTCAACACAAATCTTTATTTTGGTCATGTTGGCATACAGGGTCCCCGGACGTCGAGGTCAATACATTCCAATCAGATAGAAATGTTACGTTCAACCATTGACACAGTCATTGTCAATATATAAGATTCTTTTATGTTAACTTTCACAGTTCTCAAGCCAACAACATGATCTCTCCCTTCATTCATATTATACATCATTACTACAACAATTACAAACGGCTCATTCATCCGCTCAACTTCACGATAACACTTCCCTTTCTTTACTCCTCACTAGACTTTCAACATTACTTCGTTCGGCTTTACGATCATTAGGAGGAGAAGAAACAGATATGGAATTAGTATCACAATTACCTGGTTTACTCATGCCTGATGGTCATGTGAAATTTGATTCACCTATTGCGTCACCTGATCATTCGATGAATAACAATAATCCGATTTTACCGAATCCTTTACCTCTTTCTACGATTACATCAAACCAGATGATTCATTCCGACCCATCTAATCAACCCATCCATCCCAATCAACCCAACGCTCCTATTCAACCTATCCAATCCAACACACTTAATCAACCTATTCAATCCAACAAACCAAATCATCCCCTACAATCAGGTCATACAACTACAAATCAAACAACACCAACTCCCAAAACCCCATTGCAACACCAAGGTTTTCTACCAGGATCTAAAGGTGGTTACGCAGGTAACGAAGGTCAACAAGATTGGGCTTTAGAAAGAGAAGCAGAGATACTTCGATTAGAATTCGAAAATTCAGAATTACGTAAATTGTTAGGTTTGGCAGAAGGTTCAGGATCAGATGTAGAAGAAGAAGCCAAACATATTTTAGATTTTGCAAATTTTGAACGAGAAGATGGTAGAAAGAAAAGTTTGACTATTGAAGAACTTCAAGCTGATGCTGAGAAAGAAGAGGAAGAAGCTAAATTAGGAGTTAAATTGGATCAAGCTATGGAAAGAGCTGTTATGGATGTTTCGGTTAGTATGGGGGGTGATGAACCTCTTGAAGAGGTTATAGAGGGGTAGTAGTTACACCTTATGATATTTCTTCATTAGTCCCTCGTTGGTCTCGTTGGATTCTGGTCAGGGATGAAGTAGGCATGATTTATGAACTTTGGACGGATACCATGTTATGACAGGTGGAATGAAATGTATCGACATATGGCTGAATCGGTTCCCTGGGATGAAGAAGCAGCGGAGACGCAGCGAAGAAGCAATGAACAAGGGGGAGAGGAAAGAGGTTTACATGTGAGCAAGAAATGGTCATGTTATGTTCTTGTATACAATGATGCATGCTATACCTCGACCTCTTCATGTGCTCATGGCAACATTACCTTCTCCACCACCTCCACCTCCAGTACCTTCCCCCACCCCAATCTGTTCTTCTTTCGTTCCACCTAGTTCTAGCGTACGCAACAGTTCGTCCAACTCAGAAGGTCGATAGATCTTCGCTAACGGTTGTCCAGTCTCAGGATGTAATGTCATGGTTGCAAATTCCACTGTTGATCAACAACTTGATTCCCCAAAGACGGACATTTTCAAGATAGGGAAAACAAAGCAGTATTTTATTTCATTTTGCACACGAAAAGAATCATAGGAACTTAGTTTGAAAGGAGTGAAAAGAGAAGAGAGAAGAGTGAAGAGAGAAGAGAGAAGAGAGAAGGGAGAAGGGAGAAGAAAGAAAGAAAACTGACACTTTTCACTACTCAATTTAATAGAATCCATAGTTTTACTCATCGTCTTCAAACATAAACTCTTTGCATCTTCCAAGCTCAAATCATCCTTGTAATCCTGTTTCAACAGACTTGTGGCGGAAGAATGATTTGCACCTATACAAGTTGCTTTCCATCCGGAATAATTACCAGATGGATCGGATTGATAGAGTTGGAAACCGTACAAAGCGTCCCAGCCGATATAGATGAGGGAAACACCGAATGGTCGAAGACCTGTGTATTAGGACGTATTTCTGTATACTGTATATCATATTCAATGTCATTCCTTCATACATCGAGGGTGTGACATATATAGCCACATCAGGAGCTCAACGATCGGAATGAGGAGTGACGAGGAGATATAGGGGGAGGGTGAAAGGACTAGGAGTGAAGTCTCGACATACCACCAAATTGGGTATATCCCTGCTTCATATCACACAATCTCTGGACCAACAACTCCACAGGGATGTCTTCATTGTACGAGAACAAATATTGTTGAGCTCTGTTCCTGGCAAAGTTGACCAAAGAATTGGCATCGGAAGTGATACCTGCCAAACCTGCCAGAATGTTGCTGAAAGTCAGCTTTGACGACTTCAAACTTAAGAAGTAATGGATTCTGAAAGGGATTACACATGACAACGCCCACCGACACTCAACAACCGACATAAGGTGTTGATTGGTGATTGGAAGTCACACGGCGATTTCCATTGAGAGTAGGACAGACGATGAGGAGTACGAGTGGACACTCACTTATTCAACAAGAAGATCTTTTCGCCTCCACCTCCCATCCAAGCTTCGGCACCTTCACCCCCCATACCTTCTCCCCCAGGGGCAAGGGAAAGATCGAGTAATTTCCCCGTTACTTTCTATGACTATCAGTACGAGGACATTATACAAGAGAGGAGGTGGTACCTTTTCAGCAGCAATGGCTATACCTTCTTTTGATAAGACGGCGAGGACGGTACCGGCGTGAGAGATGGCTTCCATTGCATATTCGACTTGGTACAATCGACCTAGACATCAATGATGTCTCCTGTCAAACAATGGATTGAACATACCTTCCGGAGAGAAGATGGTTGTTCTACCTAATATAGTCAGCTAGGCATATCGCCAGAGATCATGCCAGCTTACTGTCATATCTACGAGCCTGACTTGTTAGCAGGAGACTTTGAGAGTTTCGTTACAACTCACCATGATGGGAAGACAGAACGAGCGGAGAGGAGAGAAGCTATAGGTGAGAGTATATGATGACTATCTGGCTACTCCAACGGTCACTATCACTATCCCTAAGAGGAGTTGAGGAAGGTAGTATAGGGGCGAGTGAGAGAGGCGAGTAGTAGTGCAGTAGTGGTGGAATGCACAGAGAGAGCTCAACGCTGACGAGGAACATTGAACGCGTGAGCGGTTCATCTTTACGTAATACCACGTGCCGGAAAAGCGGATACTGAGTTGATCTCCGTCACCACCCACACGATCGGGGCGCAGGTTGAATACGAGTGTGTAGTAGGCCCAAAGTGTCTTCTCCATGTCGACCATGTCACTTTGAGGAAACGACCAAGGCATCCTATGTCAACAGCACCACCGCGCACTTCAACAGGTAGAGATTCGGCCTGAAATGGCTCCTGTATCACCCACCGCCGCGGAAGAGTACGAACTTCCAGAGCTCGATTACGACCATGACGACCTGCATCCACCTGAAGACGAAGAACATGCTCGGTTGCTCCAGACCCAGAAACCACCCCCGGAAGAGGGTAAGCCTGTCATAGAAGATTCGGATGAAAGACCGCTCCTTGGAGAGCTAGATCAGGAGGTGATTGGTAAAGGAACAAAGGTCGAGCAGCTCATAGCCACAGTGAGCTGGTGAATCTTCATCCAAGTTGAAAGCTGACAGTATAGACCGTACCTACCACCGATGACACTTCCTTACCGACTTTAACACCTCGAGTGGTGATCCTAGGTAGTGCTTTTTGCGCTTTAGGAGCTTCAGCTTCTCAAGTCTTTTACTTTAAATCCAACGCTCCGTCTTTCTCGGCTTATTTCGTCATCCTCGTCACATATCCCCTCGGACATCTTTTGGCCAATGAAAGACTAGTGAAGCGTGGGAAAAGATGGATGGGATTAGATTTGAATCCTGGAAAATTCAGTATAAAAGAAGCTCTTCTCGTCAGGTAAGCTGACCTTCCTGCTGGATGATAAGATTATGAGCTTAGTTGAATCAGTGTGATCTTCTCATCTGGATCATCTTCTGCATACGCAGCGGACATATTGGCAATTATGGATCTTTATTATAAAACACCACTTCCTGCTCTTCCTTCAATAGCTCTTTTACTCACTACACAATGTGTCGGTTTTGGTTTAGCAGGTCAGTAATCACTCTCTCATAATTGGTCAACTGATAAATAGGAATGGTACATTCCCTTCTGGTCTCTCCTCCAGCTATGTACTGGCCAGCCAACCTCGTCACTGTTCAACTGTTTACGACTCTCTACTCTTCATCCTCCACAGCTTTATCAGCTTCTGCGAAACTCCTTACCGTACGTCGATTACGGATATTCTTATTGATCTTCGCTATGACTTGGGCGTATCAATTTCTCCCTTCTCTCTTGTTCCCCACTCTTACCAGTGTGGCGGTTTTGTGTTTGTTGGATAATAAAAGTTGGTGGTTGAGGGTATTGGGAAGTGGTTATGATGGGTTTGGAATGTTAGACTTTAGTTTCGATTGGAGTTCTGTAGGGATGAGTGGACCTTTGTTTACACCTCTTTGGGCTTTGACCAACTTTTTTGGTGGAATGATTGGAATGATATGGATCGTAAGTCAAGTCAATCGGCACGATACTCCAGAGTTGATTTCTCAAGGTAACGCCATTGATGCTTTTGTTTAATTTTTGGTCTGTTCTCATTTCTCACATTATCTTCAATACATCTGATATAGTAGGGATGCCAGAGAATTTCCTTCACCCGTTTCAGCTGGACTATTCAATTCGACTTTCCAAAAGTAAGTTGGCTGTTCAATCTCTGGGATACAGCTTACAAAATAGATTCGACGTGACCTCTGTTCTCAATTCTGATCTGTCATTGGACATCCAAAAATGGGAAGAAGCTAAACCTCTTTTGTTAACACCTCATTTGTGAGTCTACCTCACTTGTACAGTATTCTCTTCCAACAAATCTGACAATAGTGCACTCACCTACGCTTTATCTTTCGCATCTCTATCCAGCGTCTTAGTTCATGTTTGGCTTTGGCACTGGGACGAGATCAAACTTGGTAATTTCCTTCTTTCCTTACAATGTATCGTGCTGATCATGAAGCTATGTCTAATAGGAAAGAGTTGAATGACCCTCATAAGTCAGTCCCTGATGAGATACAAAGCTTCAAGGAACACGTTGACGGACTAGTAAGCTTATGCGATCATATCGACCCGTTCCTCAATCTTGGTACATGGGACTTCTAGCTGTTAACTTTGGTATTGCCGGTCAGTCCATTCAGTCTACCTTCATACGTGTATTCGATAATTGACATATAGTCATACTTGTCAAAACCACCCCTTTGCAGATGCCAATTTGGGCGGTAATATTGAGTATCGCCATTGCCGCTGTAAGTTATCACCTAAATTCTCCATGTAGGTTCATGCTAAGACTCAGGTGTTTCTCATCCCGTACGTTTCTTTCATTTCTACCTGAATGTTCTGTGCGGGGCTGATAAAAGTGTTGGGGTCATCGCCGCTGTGAGCAATACCAGAATCGGTCTTGTAAGTTATCATTTCAGTACAAACTAGGCTAATGTCAGAACGTTCTGACTGAATTGTGAGAATTTCTTTTCTCATCTACATTCTAGGTTTTGTAGTGTAAAGCTGATATTAGCGTGGCGGGAGTATTAATGCCTGGTAAACCTATTGGAAAGTGAGTGATTCTTTCCCACTAACCCCTGATACTTTTTGACGAGATTTGGCATGCTAACGATTAGTGTGACTTTCAAATGTTTAGGGTGTGAGTTATTCTCAAATGTCCTCTATAAGCAGATAAGTGGCCGTAAGTATAGGCAGGGTGCTGTTTAGGCTTATGGAATTGGTGGGGATGGGAAATAAAAGGGAGCTGAGGAAGAAGATATGGCAATGTCACAAGCATTAGACTTGGTGCAAGACCTAAAACTAGGATGGTATATGTCTATCCCACCGAGAGAAATGTTCGCATGTCAGATATTGGGTACGGTTTTGGGAGCTTTGTGTAATTGTTAGTGAACCGTCCCTCTTTTTCTCCTTATCTTGTTCTTCTCGCCTTCTATCGTCCTTTCGTTCTTTTCTCATCCGTCATACTCTAGATTGTACTCCCTCTTCCCATTTTATTTTTTGGAGTCGTGGCCTTACCATCATCATCCCATACTCTCTTCCCATCACTTGGCACCAAACACACTTCATACAACATACAGTCACCGAAACAGGTACTCAAGACATTTCTGTCCACTCATCCCTCAATCACTCCAGTAACTCTACTTCATCAAGAGGTACATAAACCCGACGTTGATGAGAACAAGAGAAAAGTGTGTTATAAAGTACTTGTAGAAGAGCTGATTGTCTTATCAGACATCACCCTAGTCTCCGTCCTATCTTCCAAACGCCCTTACCTGGACGGAACATTAGTCGATCCTACTGGTCAATGGACCGGTAGATCCCCTGCTATATTTTACTCCGCTTCGGTTATCTGGGGCGCTGTAAGTCCCGCTAGGTTTTTCACCGGTAAATATGTGGTGTTATATGGTGGTTTTGTAGTAGGAGGTATGATACCTGTGATTTGTTGGTTGGCACATAAACGATGGCCTGGGAAAAAGTTTAATAAGGTGAGTCGAAAGTCTTATACCGATCAACTTTTCTTCACTCTCTTAATTCCGATATTTGCTTTGAATTGAAGTTACTATTGGTCTGTTTCTGTGAGAGATGGTTCTGTGCCCATTGTACTATCACACACGTGTGTTCGCCAGATGCCTCTCAAGACGTGTACATCATTGAGGGAGTCTCGTCAAATGGGTACCAGACACACTATGTGTCCTAGGCATAAGTATGAGCTCTCGTAGGCGTGTCAAGTAGGAACGAGTCGGACGAAGGTAGTTTAGAAATGAGATATGAGTATTTTACTAACATCATAGGTCGTCTTTCCCATCATCTGTAGTGGAGCAACTCTGGTCCCTCAAGTCCCTTCCAACACCATGTTGACGGGTATAATAGTCGCCATTGTGGCGCATAAATGGTGGGCTGTCAAGTATCCGGAATTATATAATCGTTACATCTACGTTCTCAGGTGAGTCTCCTCCACGGCCCACGCAAATGAAAGAATCAACCCAAATCTCTTCACACCCCTTTAAATGTCTCACTTTTCTAACTCTTGAACCCTCTATTCATCCCCAAAATGATGAAAGCATGTCCACCTACGACTTTTCAGGGGAGATTGCTTCTACTCGGGGCGTATGATTGTCCCCATAGTCTATTGCCCATATGTTCAATAGATAGGGCGTGAGTAAGTAAGTGACTGATCAACAAAGTTCCGCCCTTGACGCCGGGACTTCTATTTGTGCCCTTTGCGTTTACCTATTGTTCGGCGTCATGACCCAATGGTCTGGTCCTGTATGGTGGGGTAATCCAAAGAAAGATTCTGAACATTGTTTATCTGGATCATGAGGTAGGTTTAGATTACATGAAATTAGATTTTGTATGCATGTTGTTCATAGATGGTGGGTGTTATGGCTTGTAGTAGTAGTAGTAGCCGTGGTAGTAGAAGTGCCACATTTGTACGAAATAGCCATGCTGCGTTGTGAAAAAAGCTTAGCACTCAGCACTTAATCCTCCGACCTTTACAACCCCTGCAGGACACACACCACACCCCCACCCACCCACCTACATTGCATACCACCATCCACTATACATTCTTATCCCACTTCTCTACTCTCTATCTGCGAAGAACAACTAGCACTGTAGCATAGTTGGTTGTATCAACGAATCTTCTCAAATCCTCCATCCATCCATCCATCCCTTCCTTCCATTCGCGTTCAAACCAAACACAACACATACAAAAAAGGGCATACGACCACTTTCTAATCCACGCAACATCACGCTTCTCATGTCATTCATCAACACGATTTGAGAGTTTACTCTTTTCAATTTCATCTCTCTCTCACCACTTGATATCCCTTTTCCCACCACCATCCGTTCTCGTCAGTGTGAGAGACGCTGGCACGGACGGGTCAAAACACCGTGGTCTGTTTTATAAAGGTCACAGCTTTCTTCATCCGTATAACCTTTCGCCGTCAAGCACGAGGCTTTTTCGTTATTCGAGTGAAACGAGAGTTGTTCTTTCTCAACAAAGAAGCAGAGTCATCATTTGGGGAATAGGGAAGATTCAGACGCGGAATAGATATAAGGACACTCTGCCACGATAGGAGAAAGGGAGGAAAAGGAGCAAGAAACGATACAAAATGGTCGTCACTGAAGTATCGGATCAAGAGATTGAGAGGGAGTTGAAAACTTTACGGTGAGTTGTTTTCTTCTATCATCATCCATAATCCTGAACACTTGATGCTTGATCCCTTGTTCTACTTGAGGAGGGTGGGTTATGATGGGTGTTACGGGCTACCGGTCAATCCTTATCATCTACATATATCCCTGTCATCTACACATATCCCTTTTTTGCCCGTACGTTTTATCCAAGAAGATATGGTCGATGTCAGTTAGAATAACTATGTCTTACCTGATACTTCAAATCATTGTCCAGTAAACCAATTGCAATGTCTTTCCCAAAGTTTCGTGACCAAGTGTTGGTGTCTTTGAAGCCATGACGAGTCATGTGACATCTCTTACACCCTCTATAAGTCTAACAGAAACACCTGCTAACTACTTAGTGATCTTCGTCGACGTTCCATATCTTCTCCAGGTCCAGGAGCTCTTCCAGTAGATCCTGATCTCCCACCACCATCTCCTTCTTCTCGTCTCCCAGGTGATATCCCAAATTACACTTCGAACGACGATATAACACTCTCCACTCCAGACGGTCTCGATTCCGATGCTGCAGGTTTGTTCTGGGTCCCAGCTCATATTCATCCAGAATTAGCTCCAGGAGAATTCAGAGCTTTTCTAAAATCTCATACTCATGCAGATCCGATGAACGCAACTGCTGCAGATGCTGGTGAAGCGGCAGGTTTAGCGAGATCACCTTCTTTTTTAGCTAGACAAAATAGTGGTAGACAAAATGGTTTAGGTAGAAAAAGAAGTATGTTGAGTAGACAATATCAACCTAGACCAGAAGATAAAGATGAGGAAATACCACCTATACCTAAAAGAGATAGAACTAGTATTTATGGTGGTAGAAGTGGAGAAAAAGGTTTGACTTTGGAGGATTTACAAAAGTTGGAACAATTGGTTGAAGAGGCTGAAGATGATGATGATCCTGCTACGATGAGAAAGTTACTTAGGAGGAGTTTGAGTATGAATGTGGCTCCTGGTTGTGAGTAATTCTTTTTTGTTTACCTTCTTTTTTCCCAGCGATTAAGGGGATGCCGTGGAAGATTATTTTCTTGTTAAGAGGTCTAGGTGGAGAGAGTTATGGCAGTGTGAACATGAACAGAGGGAGGGAAGGTGAAGACGGAAGGCATGGATTCGACTGCGAGTACCATTGTACATCGAGAATTGAGGACGTGGTTATTTGAGGACTGGCCAGTTAGTGGAATTCATCAAAGACGGATACATCAGGAGAGGGGGGGGGGGGTGGAAGAAGTCTAAAGGGGAAGAGAAATAAGAGGAAATCGTGCTCGTGCTGACGACAAGTCTTACAAGACGATATTCCCCAAGGAGGAGACGATGCTGATGTTCCCATCATCGTCCCTCGTCCTGGATCCATCCTCCGACGTTCCGCAAGGACCAAAATCCGTAAACCTCAATTACCCGGTGATGGCGGAGGTCATCGTTTCGGACCATCTCGAAAGGGTCGACTCGCAGCTGTTTCTCCCGATGAAGAAGATCGCGACGGTCGTAAAAGTAGTGAACCATCCGACGAAAGTGGTGAAAGAGGAAGTGGTGATTGGCATCGACAATCTAGTGAATCACACACGACTGAAGAAAGAGATAAATTCGCCGATGCACCTCAACATCTCGAAACTCGACGTCCGAGCGATGAATCCACGGATGAACATATGATCTTTGACGCCTATGGAGGTTCTTCATCAAGGAAATCATCAGCTTCTTCAGGTTCTTTATCTCAAGAAGATCTCAGTGTTGAAACTACGAATATTTCACCTCCAAAGAATTATTTAGGATTACCGACTACTTTTCTTACTCCTGATTCTGGTGGTTGGTTTAAAGAAGGTGATAAAACACCTACACAAGAACGAACGGATCCTATTGGGAAATTACGTAGACCTTCTCCTGGACCTGGAATGGAAGAAAGACCAATGGGACCTTCTTTAACATTACAAGTACCTGGACAATATCCAGAAAATGAAATGAATAAATCACCTACTTCTCCAACTACACCACATGCTCGACCACAGAATTTACCTGGAGAATTACCACCTGGTATGGCACCTCCTTCCAATAGGATTTCTATGGTTTCAACTTCTGGTTCACAAGAGAGAACTCAAATGATCCCCGTTAATATCGATCGACCTCCTCTTACTCGAACGGATTCAGGTAGTACCATGTCGATCAAAGAAAGAGAGAGAGAAAGAGAGAAGGAAAAGGAAAAGGAAAAGGAGAAAGAAAAAGAAAAGAAAAGTGGTTTCTTTGGAAACAAAAAAGATAAAAAGAAGAAAGAAAAAGAAAGTTTTTTAGGTGGTTTATTCGGAAGTAAGAAGAAATCTGAAGAAACATCTTCAGTTTCGAATTTTTCTTCAGCTGGACCTGCAGCCGCAGCGGCATTATTAGGAACAAGTAAATCTGCTAAATCAGTAACACCTTCTGCTAGTGCATCACCAACATCACCAGGATTCAATTCTTTTTCAAGATATCCTATTCATGTTGAAAGAGCTATTTATCGATTATCTCATATAAAATTAGCCAATGCAAGAAGACCTTTATACGAACAAGTTTTAATATCAAATCTCATGTTTTGGTATTTAGGTGTTATTGGACGTAATGTTAATGAAGAGAAAAAATCAAATTCAAATTCATCTTCAAATACCAATGGAAACTCAAATGGAAATGGGAATGGGAATGGAGGAGGGGGAGATCCAGAAAAATCAAAAGAAGAAAAACCTTTAATAATTAAAGGTACACCACCAAGACCGATAGATACTGGTATAGCAGGTAAACCTTTGAATCATTCCGAGAAGAATACAGTGAACGTCATTACCAGTGTACCTGAACCTCAAAGGAAAATTGGGTTGAGTAAACCTGAAAGAAGTAGAGGAAGAGATTCTGAAGCTCCAATGAGATCACCTTCATATGGAATGCAAGGTTCACAAGTTGAACATGAATTAAGATCCCAACAACAACAACAACAGATAAAAAGATCTTCACAAATTTCACCACCTTTACAACATCTTGATCCTAATCATCCGAATCAATCGAATCAAACAGGAATAGGATATCCTATTCAAAGACCTTCTATACAAGTTGGGATTGAAAAATCAACTACTTTTTCAAATAATAATCTTACAACTACACGACCTAATTCTTTAAATCAAAGATCTTCTTCTCCTTCACCTATTCCTACAACTACACAGACACCAACACCGAATCGTCCTTCGAATGAAATTTATAGAGAATTACAAAATCCTAGAATACCTCAAACTTCTTTCGGTCCACCACCTATTTTAAATCAACAATCATTTAACCAACAACCTCAACCTTCTTTTGTACAACAAACCAATTCGATATCTCAACATTCACCTCAATCTTTCGGTTCTCCCACACAGTCTTTCGCACCCCCCACACAATCTTTCGGTCCAGCTACACCACTTAATTCTTTAGGTCCAGGAATACCAGGTGTAGAACAAAGACAGAGAACAATGTCTAACCCTCCTGCCCCAGGTACAAACTTACCTCCAGGTGCACAACCTATGAATAGAAGAGTAGTAACGGATGGTAGACCTTTTCCAATCGGTCTTAATCAACCTCCTCCTAGTCATCAACCTCCTCCTCCTCCTGGTCATCGTTCACCTCCACTTATAAACTCTCAATCATCTCAATATTTATCTAATACTCAACCTCAACCTCCTCATTCTCATCATTCACCACAAGTTATACCTCATAGACAAAGATCAGGTCCACAACCAGGTGAAATATTTCAATATCCTACTCCTCCAAGACCACCTCTTTCATCTTCACCATCCCCATCACAATTCCAAATACAAAGACCAGGAGGACCTCAACCTGGTCAAATATTCGGGACTCAACCAGGTCAAGTTTTTCATCATCCTCAATCTCAATTCAGACCTGTTCATCCTGGTCAACCTCAAATACATCCTGGTCAACCTCAACCTCAACCTTACCCTCCTCCACACCCGGGTCATCCACATCAACCTCCTCCAGGACATATGATTTCCCGACCTAGACCAGAATACAATCAAAGACCACCTAGTCCCGGTATCCCTGGACAATCTCAAGGACCTTATAGACCAATTTACCCACCTGGTGCATATCCTCCGAATATCAGACCGGGTCAAATGGTCACGCCCAATGGACAAGGTGGTGGACAAGATTACAGGAGACCGGCTACTGTACCTCCTACTCAATATCAACATCATCGATGAGTTCCTTTTGACTGCCCATACTCAGTCTCCATATCGTTCATGATAGGTGATCTGGGTGGTTGGTTTGACATTGGGAGGGAGGGAGCTGCTTGACTGGGTTTGCATCTCGTCCATTGTAAGAGAGAGGGAGGTGTAATAAGTTCAAGGGCGTTTATCGCTGAAATGATTTACTTCGGTCTCATTCATTGGACGACCTGTGGTAGGGAAGAGGTGACAGAGAGCAGTCAACGTCCAGGATGAGTATGAAACGTGGGTGGGTGGGTCATGTTTGGATTGTGAATTTGTCGAACACCGAGATGGACTTGTGGTACCCAGGAATAGAGAAAAGACATGTCGGTCTATGGAATTTGAGAACAGCGAAGGATGAGTGGAGATATCACCTCGGGAAGGGGGGAGGTCGTAGGTCAGAAGACATTGTTTGAAGTAGTCAGGAAGAGGGTCAGAAGGTTGAGACAGTCAGCGGAAGAGACAGAGGAAGAAGGGGAAAGACCAGGGAGAATCAAACCCACGAGCAAACGTTGTCAAATCCATGTCAAATCTAGAAAAGATACACAGTAGAAAGGTCATCTGTTTGACAGACGAGACGAGCTAGACGACCCGAGCACAAACCTCTTTTTTGTGTCATAAGCTATCTGCATTTACATATGGACGATGCCGCATGTCATGTTATTTCTGTTTTGTCTATTCTTCTAACTTTTGCGGTTGTTCATTATCGCTTTCCTTTTGCAGTCGCCGGCTGGACAAATGCAATCTTGCAGTGACACCATTTCATACGGGGGCAATCCGTCAGGGTTATCTGCAGAGTGTTTAGAAGGTGGGAAACCCGAAGAGAACAGGGCAGTAAAGAGCGCAGAGTCAGTCAGTCAGTCAGTCAGTCAGTCAGTCAGTCAGTCAGTCAGTCAGTCAGTCAGTCAGTCAGTCAGTCAGTCAGTCAGTCAGTCAGTCAGTCAGTCAGCCAGTCAGCCAGTCAGTCAGCCAGTCAGTCAGTTCAGTGAGTATCGCCCAAAAATCTATCCCTGGATTTGATACATCACAGTCGTATCATCCTGTGTTGAGGTTTATGCATGACTGAGAGGAGGAGCGAAGCCGGCGAGTCGGCAGGAAAAGGGAGTTTAAATGTTTGAAGGGTAGAGCATCTGTATATCAGTCATGTCCTCGAAGCGACTAAGCCAAATCATTATGTGTGAGGCGGCAGGCGAGTCACCAAAATGAGACTTGAGAGCAGAACTTTGCTCGTACATTATCATTCAAGGATACACGCAAGGCGAGAGAGGAGACAGCCAAGAGAAAGGATTTGAAAGACGTAGTACGATGAGGTCAAACGAGCACAAGATAACTCACCACACGACACGAAGCTCCGAACAACTTAGCGGGCAAGTTAGACCTGAACTTGCTCTTGACCTTCCCCGAGTTTCCATGTGGACGGGAAACACGACCCCAGATGACGCGGATTTTAGATCCGTTGATGACTCGTTTAGCCTTGTAGACGTAGGCAACGCGCTGGATGTTAGTCGTGAGTCGCTACAGCATGATGCAACAGTCCTCATCATCATTCTCTGAGCCTCGCTTTCCGATACATCTACCTCATTCCGCAGCCTTCCACCTCGTAGTAGAGCCCAACAATATATGAGGCTCACACCCATACCGCCTGCCTAAGCGAGCACAGCTGCTGGTCTTCGTTGATATCTTCCTCCTCGATGTGGTATGTGGACCAAGAGAAAACAGTGGAAACGGTGGATGGCTTAAATCAACGCACCTTGCCCAAATACGCCCGAGCGTCCTCCTTCGAGTCCACACCTTCGATCTGAATGATAGACTGGTTAGGTCGGGAATTACGTTTCCCGCGTTTATGTCCTAAGATCCGGGCTTTGGTGTAAAGACTATAGTAGGAATGGTGTAGCACATGTTCAGGGGAGTAGGTCAATGTGATCGGTACAGATGAGAGATGATTGACGGTGAGTAAAAGTGAAATGGTCGCAGTAGGTTGAAGAGCAAGCGTCAGCTTGGATACTGTCATAAGAACGTGGGAAAACTCACCGAGTCTGTATGATCAAACATTGTTAGAAAGTGGAGAGAAGAAAGAAGTATCAGCTTGATCTTTTATTCGTCAAAGAACACTCACCGCAGCCATTTTTGTTACAGACTTGAAGGTTGAACAGACTTCGAGGTGAAAGTGGATTCGAGGTTCTCCATCGGAGAAAAGCGGCATTACCACTCAGGAGAGACTTCGGAGTTAGTGTGGCGCTTGTGGATTACATCAATGCTTAACGCCGATGAAAGCGACGTACAAGGCTCAGGAACGAGATACGCGCTCGGACTGTTTCATCGAGATGAGCGACATGCTCTCCTTTAGCCCACAGCGATCCGGGCAAGTCGGCTTAACGATCCGTACACACCTGGAACATCTGGGACATGTTCCCAGACATGCAGAGGTCAAGGTATCACATGTATTTCATGTCCATAACACATGATCCATGAGCAGCTGACAAGCGGTGCAACCAGACAGTACTTGGTACGATGTCATTACGGCATTACGCGATACGCGGTCCGAGTTTGAGCAGAGTTGTCATGCGATGCGCCAAGGCCAAGACATGTTTAGAGCTTTGACCCCTTTCCTTCCTTCCCCTTTCTCACCCCCATCGCAATCGTTCCCTCTTTCCTTCACTATCCCCATATCGTCTTTCTACCATCATCGCCTTTCCACAGTAGTATCCTCATCCCAGTAAACATCCTATTCACTTCAAGTTTGTATCCGTACACAACGGATCTTTCCTTCTCCCTACACTTTTCTCTTTCTTTCCTTTTCACATTTCACATTTCACCCAAGGGTGTTTAACCTTCCGCTCGACCTTTCCGATTTCCGACCTTGTAGACTTTATTGTTTCTACTAATAAACTTTCATTCACTAGACTTGTTAATACTTTTCATACATTTTACATAGTTTCACATTGTCAAGATGACACTCGCTACCGCTGTCGTATTCGCCATCCTTGGGTTCGGCGGAGTGAACGCTCAATCATCCGCTACGTCTGCTTCCGGATCTCCCACCTCATTATCTGCCACTGGGTCAACAACATCAGCAGCGGCAGGATCGACAGATCCTAATTTACCTCAAACGCCATTGGTCACTTCCGCTCCTTTCGGATTCCAACTACCGTATGTTCTCTCTGTTTTGATCGTAAGAATGATCGCTGACCCTCCAGGGCGTTGTCAGAATTGACTTCTGGCCAACCGACAGAATCGACAGTCCCACTCGATACTACTTACACTGGTGGAGTCTCCCCCACAGCTGTTTCAGGAGCACCTACAACTCCTACGGGTACACCGAACCCTGCCAACTATCCGGCTCTGGATGTGATCCCTAGTACGAACTCTTCCTTAGTTCAATCATGGCTTGCTAAGGTGATTCCCTCTTCCCTTTCTTTTTGGCAATTTCTTTCCTTTCCCGTATTGTCTCAACATGCTGACAAGTAGATCGACATGTCCAAAATTCCCAATTACGGAGTAACTTCAGGTGATTGTGCTGGTTCTCCCGGTGCCATCACCGATGGACGTTGTTGGTGGACTTGTGGAGGTTGTACTCGTGAAACCGACATCACCGAATGTCCCGATAAACTCACTTGGGGTCTCTCATTCGACGATGGTCCCTCACCTTACACACCTTTATTACTCGACTATCTCGATTCCATGTCACTTCACACCACTTTCTTCATCGTTGGTTCCCGTGCCATCTCCAGACCCGAAATTCTGTTGTCGGAATACATGGCAGGTCATCAACTTTCCGTTCACACTTGGTCCCACCCCGCTCTCACGACATTGACAAACGAACAGATTGTCGCTGAACTCGCTTGGACCATGCAGATCATTCACGATGTCACCGGAGTCACTCCCAACACTTTCAGACCTCCGTACGGTGATATCGACGATCGTGTGCGTGCCGTGGCAGCTCAAATGGGCTTGACACCAATCATCTGGTCTTCTATCACTGCAAACGGAACAATGACCAATTTCGACACGACGGATTGGAACATTCCTGGTGGAGAAGCTACTGGAGAGACTGCTTTGGCCAAGTTTGATACTATTCTCGATACTTATGCCAGTCAGCTATCGACGGGGTTCATCGTGTTGGCTCATGATCTGTATCAACAGACTGTTGATTTGGCCGTGGGATATGTCTTACCAGGAGCCATTCAGTCTGGAAAATTCCAACTCAAGTCTATCATTGAATGTCTCGGTCGACCATGTGAGTGCTCCTTTCGAACACGCCCTTCTCTTCTTGGATTCATTTTTGAACTTCTCACCCTCGCAGCTGTATCCCAAATGCCGGAATGGTAGCCCAGCGCATCAGCTGACCTTTCAGTGTCAGAAGCCTACATCGAGACTTCGTCCAATACCACCGCCACCCTTATCACCTCAGCCGCTTCTACCTTCTTCCAACCTACCGTCGGTACAGGTACAGGAACTCCCGTTACTCCCACTTCTCAATCTGCCTCCGGATCTGTCTCCGGTGCCGTCAGCGGCAGCGCGAGTACCAGCGGATCCAGCGCCAGCGCATCTTCGTCTGGCAAAACCGGTGCTGCCACTGAGAGAGCCTCGTTCAGTCACTTTGGGGTGGTGGCGGCGGCCCTGCTGGTGGTAGGGATGGGAATGACGATGATGGCTTAGACTGTTTCTTTCCCGTGTCACTTGTGTGGTCGGTATATGCCTTGAGAGTATGATGAAATGTTATTGACGGACAATATGCATAATCTGTTGCATGCTGATTGTATGTACCATCTTTCACTACTCGCCATGTACAGGGGGTGTCAAAAGTTTTCGGACAGCCGGTTCGTCCCGAGTAATGACAGGGACAACTTTACTAATGAAAACTTATTGCGTAGAATATCAATCAACGCTGGCTTGTCCGAAAACTTTTGACACCCTCTGTACACAGTGTACCGTCTGACAGATTCGATCTTACCCTTTACTCACCTAGTTCTGACAACGGCAGTCTTTTCTTAGCTTCGATGACCCATTCAACGAGTGATACTTGTTTATTCTTCTCCACCTTCTCTTCCAGCCCCTGCCCGAAACATTCCCCCAAAGCTAAAAGCATGACAATATCAGGCGATTGACCAATGGTATGAAGTAGACGTTGATATTTCTTACTTGCTCTGACCCATGCTGATAAATCCGGACGACCCAATTTCTCATATGTTTCTGCTAAACGTTCTTCTTGTGGACTTAATGAATTGCTTCCATTGAAATAATCGGAGATATTAACCAGACCTAGGGGAGCAGAGAAAGCTTCGGATTTAGTAGTTGAGTACGCCCTGTAAGAATCAGTAATAAATCTTATTTTTACCCCCTCTCCCTCTCTTTCTCTCAGTTTCTGTTTCTGTCTCTCTTTATTTCTCTGTTTGTATCTATCTTTCTCTGTCCTTCTCTGTCCTTCAATTTCTCTGTCTGTCTCCGTCTCTCGTTCAAAGTGTAAGAATCAAAAGATAAAAACCCGCTCACCATTCCCAATCAATAATACCGGTGATGTTCCCTTCATCATCCACCATAATATGATCCCCCTTATCATCCGCATGTTTGATATAAAACTCTTCTTCCTCCACCCCTAAAGTGACATCTTCCATTATCCATTGTTTCACTTGTAAATGAACAAGATAAGCCGTTTGAGGATCATCGACGAAACGTAATCCTTTTTCTATATCTTCCAAGATAAGATCGATTTGTGATATGAAACGATCACGAGATGATTTAAATGGACCTGAAAAAAAGGATGTTGAGATTTACAAATATCAATGTCGATTAATGGACCTATTTGTATTTTTCCAAATTGATCAAGGTGGAGACTACCTATTGAATTCAGATGTAGTTGGGAGATAAGTATCATTTGTTTAGCATAATCCTCAATGATTTTATTTACTTGGTAGAGATTGAGAGAACCTTCTTGTATTGGACTATCACAAGGTTCACCTTGGATATCTTGGATGAAAAAGTAAATGAGTTTAGGTTCTGAGATTATCAATATGAGTGAAGTTGTATTACCCCAGATAAGGAATCATAGCATGATGTCGAGGGGGAATATCAAGAGGTGGAAAGATGTACCGTTGAGAATCTGGGAAGTAATGAAATGAAGGAACGTACCAGTTTGTTGTCGTCGTTCACCTACGTCTGATGGTTGTCGCCCATGCGACATTTGGTTTCCCGGGAACACTTCAGGAACTCTCACTCCGCCTTGTTTTAGAAATTGCATGGTGATCATCTCACTGCGCATAATCATCTCTTGTACTTCTATAGGTGGAGAAGAATGAGATTGTTGTCTGATCCTAGCAAACCATCGAACACCATCTTCGAATTGGATAGAAATATGAACGTTCATCCCACCTCTAAGAACTTGGGATGGAAGGGGTATCATGGCTCGACATGGTATACCAGGTTTGAGAGCGGTGATATTTGATTCTAATTGAGAACTGTCGATCTGGTCCAATAGGGTCGAGATTTCTTTATGGTGAAGAGCAATTTCAGCATTTCGTTTTCTGTGTTCCTGTCAACATCAGCGCGCTTCGTCTTACACAGTCTCATCGTCTCCGTTCACATCTACGGAGAAAGAGCAAGTAAGACAGAGACTGGGAAAGGGGCAAGGGCTCACGTCTAGTAGGACACAAGGATGATGTTCGACTGTGGAATGAAGCTGACATAAGTGTTTGCCGCATGAACTACAGTTACCGGTGATGGGTATAGAGGACGAAGGACATGGTTGGTTTTGGTCTTCAAGTAGTCCGTCACATGGATAGATAAACATGGTCGATGGGGAATAGTGTGTGAATAGGATACCTGAAGATCAGAGGTGTTAGCAGTCATGTATCTGTGAACATCTAGTGAGCTGTTGTCAATGTTGATACATATATCCCAGTCAAGATGTATGTATGAGTACGCCCTACTACGAGTACAAGTCAAGTAACTAACTTACGCCTTGAAGGAATGCGGAACCAAATTCTCCACGTGGCAATGGAACTCAGGGCTAAAAATCTCGTTAGTCTTTTTTCACACGACCCACTTGTAAGTTTTACTCTAAACCACAGCTTCCTCTTGGTACCTTGGGTCACTGTTGCAACCACACTCTATCGCAACGGATAACATACACAAGAAACCAGATCAACAAAGATCGGTCTCACCACAAACAAACCTCACAAAAGACGAATAGTCACATGTGCTTGACGGTCAAGAATAAACATTTGTTACATCCTACCGTCCCGCCTCATACCCCGTTTCACCACCACCACTTTTATATCACTCGTCATTACTGGACGTACGAGGTAGTAGAGAGAAGAGATTAGGAGGAGGAGTAGAGATGGTTGATATGGTGGGGAAGGTCAAGAAGGGTGAGTTTTGTACTGTTTGTTTTTTTGTTGGTTCGTCAGAGGATGGAAGGCCTGTGCGAGCGCTCCACTTCTCACTTTCGCCCTTGTGTTTTTTCTACAATGTCTCACACAGTCACCTCTTCCATCTACCCTTCTCATCACTTCACCACCTATGTTTATGTACGCTCTTGATGTTGAAGGGGCGAGGAGGTATACCTCAAATCTCATCTCCGCTTTCTGGAAGGAAGGGAAAGAGATTACCCGATCTGGTCATTTGCAGGAATGCAACACGACAAAACACATTCGGCAGTAAAGGAGGGACTGTCTAATCTGTCCAATGAGCTTGAAAGGAAGATAGAAGCAAGGTCTGGACTAACCTTGACTTTTCCAGCTTTGAAGGGAGAACAAAGTGAGGGAGGTCTTATCTCCTCACTGATCTTGTCCTTCAAGGTAAGGTAAAGGTCAGGGATGGAAGAAAGTTATGTCAGGGATAGAGCGATGAAAGAAGGAAAAGACTTGACAGATGACTTGATTGCGGAGTACGAAGGTGTTCAATGATGGTGTTACCCAGTACTCACCTTTCAAGGATAGAGGATCAGGGGATCAATCAGGAAAAAAAATGATCACGAGAGCTAATTTATAGGAGTCAATTCCCCTTCCCTTTCTCCGACACCGAAATCTAAGATCGTTCCCTCTTCAACTCCCAAACGACCATCTTCCTCCCAAAGCATGCATGGTTCTCCTCTCAACATATCAACTCAAGCTCAAGTCACTCGAGCATCTGGATCTAAACCACCCCCGCGATCTCATATAAATCCCAAAAACATTTCTCGTGCTCAAAGCACAACTCCTCGTCCTCCCAAAACAACACATCAGAAACAAAAGCAGAAGCAAGGACGAGGTCATGATGCAACCTCAGACACTACAGATCTCACACCATTATCAGATGAAGAAATGGACGAATCTGCCACTCCCAATCTCAAAGGTCGTAAGACACCCACTCAAATGATATATAAGAAAAGTCCAAAACCTTCCTCGTCCAAGAAACCCCAGGCGTCTGGAAGTAAAGTTATCACCGCTGTGGGTCCACACGGCAGAGAAAAGAAAAGACGATTGAAACTTGGTGCTTCTGCAAGGAAAAGGGAAAGGGACGATAAATTTTCACAAGCGTTTTCTGGTGGAGGAGTAGGGTTGACTAGTGAGGATGGCGTTTCTAGTTTTGGGGATGACGAAAGTGAAGAGGAAAGGTTCATCACAGATGATGGTTTTGAGTTGGATCCTTATGAGGGATATGAAGTAGAGGATTTGCAGTATGGAGCGAGAGAGCTGGATATACGACAAGCTGCCTTGAGCGGGCTTTGGGATGAGGATGAGGAGGTGAGTTCATCATCGTCGTGATGAGTGATTCTTTCATGTCCTAAGTCTTCCTACTCGGAACTTTCTCACTCGGTGGCCATCGTGATCACTACATCCTCCAGCACTCTCTTGGCCTCTCCTCTTCCATGATCTGTCATGTTTGTGTCACCATTTCCTGGACACTCTTTGGCCCCGGATGGACACTTCAGACTGACCCACAGCACTATATCGATCATCTGTCCGGATCCGAAATTGACCAGATGTCCCAATCTTCCGTCGGTATCTCCGACCAAGACATCCCTTCCTCCGATTCTGATGACTTCTCCTCTTCATCAGAAGACGACGTCGATGAATTCGGTTTCCCACTTCTTCCCACTTTCCCCACTCCTGACGTTCCTGACGACAACCCGGGGTTGCTTTTGATGGAAGATTGGACCGGTCAACTCGTCCTCGTTCAACCTCGTCAAGAACGGTCCCGATCCCGCGGTCGACACAGTCAAAGAGGGTCTACCTCCCGTACTGAGTCGGTCGGAGGTAGTACCATTCTTTCTGCTGTCGATCAACAAGGTCTCATTATCGATCCAGATGCACACGAACACGAATTTGATTCTGATAGCTCTTTCTGGACTGCATTGAGTGATGAAGATTCCAACGAAGGTGATACTACCGATTCTATGGACGAAGATGAAATGCCAATCATCGATTCTCCTGCAATGCAAGAAATGTTGGATGCAAGGAATATTGGAATTCCACAATTATCACAATTACCTCCTGCTTCCACCGACATCAACATGAACTCTTCAAACAATGGTCAACCTATAAACCCTCAAACACCTTCAATATCAACACCTCTTCATCCTCAAACTCCAGGTCAAAGTAGTAGTACGGCAGGACCAGTCATGGGACGTTTTTTCCCAATCACAACTCATCCAGCACATTACGCAGTCATAGCTCATTCCGATACCCCAGCTAAAAGTCCTTTTACACATGGTAAAAGACCCCGACGTCAAAGTAATGAAACGATAATAACCAATACGACTCAAAACAATTCCATTCATCAAACAAATCGTAAAAGAAATCATTTATCCGATAACGATGTTTTTTCTCCATTACAAACCAACGGAAAATCTTTACATAATTCAACTCAAGGAGGAATGTCAAAGAAACGTAGATATACTTCTATACCTGGTCATCCTAGATATATCCGTGCACGTAGAGCAGAAGCTGCTTTAATGGAACAAGATAGAGAAACTACACCTTCTGATTTATCTTTAGAAGATATGTTAGAAACTTCGATTTTAACTCATGAACATGAACATGAACATGATGAAAGTTCAGGACAAAATGTTAGAAGTAGATTCGATAGAATACCAATGTCTTTATGTTTAGGTAGAAACGTCTTTTCGAATGCTGGTGGAAGAAGAGGACAAGCTAGTAGTCCTATTAAAAGACATGGAAGGGGAGAGACAACTTTGGGAGAGTTGACGGGTGGGAGTGGGGGAGGGAGATGGTTGATCTCACCTGTTTTGACACCTGTTAAAGAGACGAATACGAAAAGTAGGAAAGAAAAAAGGAAATTGAAGAAACAAAATGGTCTAGCACCGTTGAACATTTGAACCGAAAATCGATAACGGATTTCATGAGGAACGGAGGTTTTCCTCTCAACCTATCTTCAGAGCAGTACTCGTACCTTCATAAGGTTCATTCTTCCATTTTGCTTCGGACTTGGGACTTGGGACTTGGGACTTGGGACTTCGAACCTTGGACCTTGAGTTTCATAACTTGAATATCAAATATCATAATATCGATCTTTGAACTCTGATTCTTGTCATAACGACAAATCATTATCTTCTTCCATCACATCACTACCCAACCCCTCTTGAATCCACCATCATCGTCTCTCAATCAAACCACTCATTCATCCCTCGTACATCCGCATCGTACACTCCAATCCTTAAAAAACCAAAATCGGTTCAAAAAATTCTCAAATAGAGTACAAAGTTCTCAATATGAGTAACAAGTTCTCAAGATCACATGTTCGAAAAGAAGTCCAAAACAAAGCCAGAATTCGGACAACACGCCTTTTGGATGTCATGTTCATGTTTGATACAGTAAGTAGTAATGAATGCATGTGGAATGTTTCATGTTTTCGTTTCAACTACTCTGGTGTACAAGATATCATGTGGATCATGTAGGTAGTACATAGTTTTCAATATGTCCAAAAGAGTAATTCAACCATTGAACTATTCTTCATTTTTCCCATCAATCTTTTTACTCCTCTTCCTTCTCCTTTTCCTTTTAGTCTGTTCGTTCTTAATTTCTTCCTCTTTCTCACTGACTAAATCATCATCTTTGATACCCCTTTTGACAAGTATACCACCATCCTCATTCAACGCCTTATCCGGATTTACCTTCTCCTGTCCTTGATCTTTCTTCTTGATCACTATTTCACCCTCTTCCAGTGTTTGTGGAATGACCATCTTGAGTTCCTTCTTCCGTTTCTTATTGTGTATCACCCCCACCTTCGTAGATTCACCGGGAGTATCCTCCAAAGATGCTTTTTGATTCTTCCCCGTGCTCTCTCCATCTTTTGTCGTATTGTTATCGATATTAGAGCCAGGTAAAGTATCAGATTTCCGTTTTCTACGTCTTCTTCCATTCCCACTCCCATTCCCATTCTCTTGTGTTTCAGAAACCATATCCCCCTTAAGAGGTTTAACATCCCCTGTGAGAATATCTGTAGAGTTGTTCGTGACGACTTTAGGTTTCCTATCCCTCTTTCTTCTCACTTTACCATCTTCCTTTGGAGTAGACACATTGACAAGTTGAGCAATAGATTCGAGCGAAGTTACAGACTTAGTAATTCCTATTTTTACGTCGGTTGCAAGATCTTTCTTCTTTACCTCGGAGTTATTCAATCGTACTGTGACTTCATTTCCTCCCTCTTTCACCACAGACCTAGCTTTACCTCCGACTCCACTTTCTTTTGCGTCGAAAGGAATCGAGGTGTTTTGTTCGGCGTCGACATTATACTCTTCATGTTCAGAGGTCAACACTTTTCCCTTCTCAACTGTTTCCAACGAGATGAACTTGTGAGTTTTGTCATTTCCCACTATCGTCTTCGATACCATCGGCCGGTCAGTGATGGAAGGAACAGATGAAGTTGGATTTTGTGTAGATGGAATATCGTCTTCGCCATCTTGTTCGGATGTTAATTCTCCAGGACGAAGAAAACGTCTTTTTTCAAATGCCGTTTGTTCTTTACGTTTTTTGGTAGGTTGTGACTATTCATCAGCGTTGTCATTTATTTCTCGTTGTTTCAATAAACGGGGCGCATCAGAAGTTCAAAACAGTATCCAGGAAGATAGGTAGGTCAGAAGTGCGGTGGTATCTTCATTGACGCAAGTTGGGGAAGTGGTAGTAAAAAGTTTCATGACTCACTTTGACTCGCACGACTTCTTCTACCTTTTCTTCTTTCTTACCCACTTGAATCTCTTCGGTTTCTTCTTCATCTCCTTGATCATCTTCCCCTTTTTCTTTCTTCTACTTATCAGCATTTCCTTGGAAATCCTCCAATACGACTCTTTTCCCGTGACCAATCAGACAAAGAAAACTGAAAGCACAGCCCCTATGTGTAAAGTCGATACATGCAGCATGCAGCATGTATGATTGAGTATCCAAGGAGGGAAGAGAAACGGAGTGAAGGAACAGGGTAAACATGATTCACCTCTAACCTCCCAAAAGCTTTTCTTCCTTCCGTAGACCCTATAAAATCCATATAAGATCCTTCCAATTCCACTTTGTTCCCTACTTTCTTCCCGCTCTCTTTCTTCCGAGGTAAAGACCATTTAGCAGCTTGTTCAATACCCAACTGTACACTAGTCACTTTCATCTCTTCTGCCGTGCCCGAGGGGGTATGAGATCCCAAGTCTAGGGATTCCACTTCGGTCGAAACTGCCGGTCTTGCGGTGATTGAAGTTGAGACGGGTGTGACGGGAGGTGTAGATTTGGCACGTTGCATAAACTTGAGGTTTAAAGTGCCCGAGGAAAGAGATAAAGGTGGCATTGTGAATTTAGATTGATTCTTCCTCTGTCTTATCCTTATACAATAGTATGGATATCACGACTCAGAAGAGAAGTGAAGTGAAGTGAAGATGTGAAAAGGTGAAAAAGAAGATTTTCCCATGAGATCCTTTACATCCACTTCGGTTACTCGGGCCTTTGTTTCTTAAACTACGTCACTATACACTCGTACTCTACTTTTCTATAACAAATGTACACAATGGATCTTCCTTTATCGCCACCATCTTCTCACTTTATTCATTCTAAAACTCTACAGTATACCAGAGTAATATTCAACAAGAAGAAGGGAAAACAGGAATAAGATTCAAGATGCCAGCGGGTAGTTTCAACCTTCGACTCATGGTTCATACTCTAGCTTTGAGTGGTTTGATCTTACTCGCTAATTTTTGTTTCATCTTGGCTTTATTGATCAAACCTTTTTCAGAGGATAAAAGTTGGTCTGTGGCTTGTTGGACAGCGTGAGTCATTCTTCACTCGATACGAACCATACCAACTGTCTGTCTGTCTCTCTCTCCCGCTCATTTGAAATACCTCGACGTTATCATATCATCACGTAAGTTAAAAAATTACAACCCTGGACTTGTCGGGTCGGCTTGAACAGAGTCAGGTACCACAGACATGATGATTGAATTAGAGGGAAGAAATCATGGTTTCAAGAAATATCATAGCTTGTTTCGAATTTGATGACGGACTGACGATGCAGGGATTGGTTCTGGTCGTATATGCAGAATCATTGGGAAACCACACTTCATGCCAATGAAGCTTTGACAATAACGGGTGATGAAATTCCAAAAGGGGAGAGTGCGGTGGTTATCTCTGTACGTTACATCATATCTTTCTACATTCCCTATATCCTTCTCATAGCCATTTTACTCTCCCACCTTTGCTCTCGTCCAGCACTACCATCTCAACCTTGTTACCCTGCGCCTCCAAATCGTCCTTCCCGTCAACTCGAAACCATACAATCACATCGTGCGAACTACTCAGTCGATATTTCCTGTGCTGTGACATCCTTCTGGAAATAATCGACAACGAACAGTATGATTCGATAAGACGGGCAAGGAGAAGAGAGAGAAGATGATTGACAATCAGAACCACCTCGGTTATGCAGATTATTACCTTGTCCAAGCTCTCGCTACCCGTGCGGAAATGTTAGGTCGTTGTCGTTATTTCGTAAAGAAACAAGTGGTTTGGCAATTACCCATCTTTGGATTTTCTTTCTGGGTCAGTCAAGGTTTATCTTAGAATGGAGAGAAAGTAAGGCTGACTGGATAGGCAATTGGGATGATCCTCGTTTCGAGGAATTGGACTTCGGATGAGGGGTTGATTGAGTGGGTCATTTACTTCATTTACTCTGTGCTTCTTCCCTTTTTCTTCACAGGGCCAAATATCGATCTCTTTGACCTGTCTGATTTTCACCTCATTCGTCTGAGTGGGAAAAGGTTTACTTTGTCGGGATCCGACCGAAGCTTATTCACTCTATTCATCGCTTTATTGGAATGAGATGAGACGAGACATGGAAAAGAAGGATATTATATTCTTGTCTGATAAGTGGAAAAAGATGAAGTTATGGATAAGACACATGTTTCATTCTCTTCGGATTCTCACGAGCTTACTAGAGTCATTGCATGTAAAAGAGGAAGCTGGATGAAGAGTCGAAGTTTGACAAAGAAACGATAAGAGAAGAGAGATGACTGATAACTAGCCAAGCATTCTCTCGTGTCAAACAAAATAAACATAAAACTTGGATCGTCCTTTACCCAGAAGGTACAAGACGTACCACTGAAAAAGTATTACAATCACAAGCTTTCGCAAGATCTCAAGGTAAGAAAGAGTTAGAAAGGGTATTATTCCCTCGGACTAAAGGTTTCGCTGCTACTATAATGGGTTTGTCCATTTTTCTTTTTCTTTCTTCATGTCTTTGTTCATATTGGTCTTCTTATCCTCTATACCTTCTTTTTCTTTCTATCCCCTGTTATTTGATCAAGTCATCGAAGTGATTGATTATTTCTAATATATTACCTTCCTCTTTTTCACTTACTTACCTCATATCATCGTGAGACAGCTTCGGCGATTCAACCTTCCTCTACATCATGATTTGGTCAGGATTCAGACCAAAGGATGGATTCGGAACACATATTCTACAACATCATCACGGCCCTTTCCTCACCTACCTAGATTACGAGCTGTTGCCCTTGGTTCATGTGAATAGCAAATATCTTCTCATTGTCGACAACGGCGTAAACCAGAAACGCCAATGATCATCCAGAATATCTGTCTTGCTGACAAAACAGGTCTCCGGGATTCCCACATATCTCACATATACGACCTAACGTTTCTTTACACTTCTGAACAAGGACAACACCGAGAACGTGTACCAAGTTTAGCAGAACAATTATCTTCTTCTAATCTTGCCAGAGACGGTTATCACTTTCATATAAATGTCCGACGGTGAGTTTTAGTGTTCTAAGCTGTTCGTTCATGTTGATTGATTTTAGAATACCTATTTCGGATTTACCGGAAGATGAAGCTGGTTTGAAGAGATGGTGTGAAGAAGCGTGGGAGAGGAAAGATGAGTTGTTGAAAGATATTTTATCTATCTCGACTTTGAACAAAACCATCAAGTGATTTTCTGGTTTTTTGACCCTCGCAAATTCATCATCTCGTCACGAAGGATCGTCAACAATTTTGTCAAGGTCGTCATCTGATTCATCGTCATATCTTCAAACATGGATCAAAATGTGAATATATTTTTATACTGTACATTGATATACATGCATTGAAACATTATCGCATCATACGCATGTAAGCCAACTATATGATCAGCCATCTGTTCAAACGTACAATATAACATATTATGAATCGACAAGATTAGTCCCATACAAAGAAGAGATCCTTCATCACAACTGACCACTTATAAAGATGTAGGAGCAAGGGCCTGGGGTGATGAACAAGAGAAAAGAGATAGTAAAACTTCGAACAAGAAACGAGTCAAAGAAAGAATATAAAAGTTAAAGACTCACTAACAAAGCTCCAGAACCAGTAGCTACCCCAACTAAATATTGTAATATACTATATTTAGCTTGTTCGATTTGCATCCTCAAACCAGCGATTTCACTTTCAATCCTAGTATCTACTTCTTTTATCTTCAATTCCTGTTGACTACTTTCATCTCTTATTCTACCTTTTTCTAAATTCAAATCTAATCTTACACCTGCTTGTGTACGTGTTACTTCTTCTCTTAATCGTTGTTTCAACTTTTCAACATCTGTCATGAGTCGATCGTTTTCAGCTTTCATGAGTGTTAAATCGTTTTTTTCGTGCATTTGGATTTCAGATTTGAGTTGAGCGAAATCTACTTTTTGTGTGTAACGTTGCTTAAGGTGTTAACAATTAACTCGAATAAATCATTCCTAGCTCTTTGAGATCGTTACTTCTTTTTGAGGTAGTCTGAAGGACAAGATGAGGCGTTTCACCAGAGGATGAAAAGGAGCAAATGGAATGAGGGTAATGAGGGTAATGAGGGTAATGAGGGTAATGAGGGTACTGAGGGTAATGAGGGTAATGAGGGTACTGAGGGTAATGAGGGTACTGAGGGTAATGAGGGTAATGAGGGTAATGAGGGATACTGTGGAGACTGAAGATGACTTACTTTTTCTTGTTCCGCTCGACTGACTAAACTAGCTTCCATACCTTTTATACTCTCATCTACCACTTCTGCTAAAACGGTCATTACTCCTTCAGCTTGAGTGGGTGTCATTCCATGGGCTGTGAGACGTTCGACGAATAAGTGGGTGTCGAAATGACTCGTATGAGCTGGGAGGGAGGGGTGAAAAGTGCGTGTAAGGGTTGGTGGACGGGGTGTAAGAGCTAGACATCAGTCAAAGGCCTCTGCAACTTGCTAAATCCACCCGTATCCAATGATTCCGACTTTTATCTGGAACGGAGGTTAGGAAGATAAGAGGAGAGATTACACTGAAACACGATACACGAAGGATGACGGCTGTTCGTCAATAGGTGAGGGGAGAAGAACAGATAATGACAAGCCGAGTAGGACTGTCGTGGTTGAGTGGGATACCTAGGACTGACCTCTGGAAAGAAACATTCCTATCCTACTACTCGTCGGTGTGGACAACAGGGAGGTCATGGTGTTATGTCAAAGTAGTATAGAAAGCAACGCACAAAGGGGCGAGGTGGGGTCAGTAGTGGTCACTGGCCACTGGGCTCACTGGGATAAAGTCATAAGAAAATATAAAAGAAAAACAAATTTCCATATTCACACCAGCTGTTCAACTTCTTCCAGGTCAATTTTTGGTCCGACAACACATAGTGTACATCATACACGATGCAGGTGAGTGGAAAGAATACTTGAGAACTCAGCTCACAGAATAGTCAGACGATGTTATTTGGCAAGTCATCAATCATCAGTATGTCTCTCTCCTCTACCTGGCATCTTCACTCTGCCTTGCTTCCCCCTCACTTGAGCCTACACCCTCATGCTGTCAATTTGAAAGGCTTTGAGACGAGCGGGACTGTTTCGGTGGTGGCTTGGTGGATGGATAGTCGCTAATGACAGGTTCTGTTCTTATAAAGTCAAGTAAGCTGCTTCGTCTGCGTAAGGACTGAATTTGACGCACCAGAACTGTGACACAAAACTTCTGTAGGAACGAATATAACCTTACTGGGTTTTGCACAAGGCAATCTTGTCCTTTGGCTAATTCGAGGTATGCTACTGTGAGGGAAAAGGAAGGTGGGTCTATTCAACCCTTGGTTTTTCTCACATCGGTGATGGTGATGTATTCCTGCCCCTTCTTGGTTCAGTGGTTAAGAGTAGAGATGGCTCGATGCAATGAGGCTTTCCAATCTGTTGAGCATTCGAATGTTAAAGTGAACGGTGGAGGAGGGGGGGGGGGGGTGTGGAGAAAGCTTTGAGGGTGAGAAAATGCTGAGCTACAGGTGTTCTCTACCTCTACATGAAGACAATTGAAAGGGCGCATACGCCAGCCAATATGTGGGAGAGGGTTAAACTATCGTCAAATTACTCCAAGGCGTTGGAACAGGTATGTCCTCAGCTTCCCTCTTTTCCAGCAAACACAAAGGCTGTATGCCTGTTGACTGAAGCTGATCAATAGATCGACAAAGAACTCATTTATTGGCCAAATTTCATCACTCACAAATGCAAGCAAAGGATTACGAAGATTACCCAGTACCTGATCAAGATGCGGCGCTTATCATTAGCCCAACAGTGAGTTTCCCGTCCCTCAAGTCTCACGATCTGCTTGTTCTCGCCATGAGCTTGATGCAGAAGAGGAGCAACAGGAGAGGTGTGATGGTGATAGATGAAGCGAACAGTTCTGACTCCAGACCAAAACTCGTCGGGATCAAGAAAAAGCTCGATCGTCGTGAACGCACACGAGAGCGTAAAGCTCTTGCTGCTGCTCATCTTGAGAAGAACATTGAAAAGGAATTACTGGAGCGGCTTCGTTCAAAGGCTTACGGCGATGCACCTCTGAATGTGAACGAGGACGTATGGCGACAAGTGTTAGATATGGATAAAGCCAAGGGTAAGGAGAAAGAGCTTGAGCTGGAAGATGAGATGGAGGCAATGGAGGAAGAAGAGGAAGAGTGGGAGGGAGGAGATAGAGAATACGTGGAAGATAGCGATGAGGAGAGCACCGGAGATCTTGAGGATTATTCAGGCAGCGAAGTGGGTGTTCTGTTCAGGAATACATTGTATAAGCTGATGACAGTTTGATGAGTATGATTCTGACGAGGAAGGGGAAGAGGGACAATCTTTCCCATCTGACCTGGAAGTGTCGGATGAGGATGAGGACGGAGAAGAGCCACAGCCACCGGCTGCGAAGCCAAAGGGGAAGAAGGATGATGTGGCGCCATCGAAGATAGGTACGAAGCGTAAAGCAGATCCGAAGGAACCAAAGAAAGTTGCAAAGAGAAGTGAGTGATATTTGACCATTGGACGAGGGTACGCTGACGTGGGTTCAGGACCAGGTGCTCGTGTGGACGTGGAATATGAGATGGAGATGGAGACTGAGCCTCTGTCAAGGGAGATGGTAAAGAATTGGTGATGACTTGATGACCCAGAGTATGGCTTAGTATTTGATTCTGCATTTCCCTGCATTGTACTCTACAGTATGATCTTGCATTCCCCTCCCATGCTCCAAGCTCCTCCGTACCCCCCCTTAAATGCATGGTCATTTCGTATACTTATGTACTTTGCTTCCGTCGGAAGTATGTCATGAATCGTAACGATCCGAGCGCGAAGTGTGATGAAACTGACCAGAGTTTGCATGACATCTCTCCCTACCTATTTCCTCCTCCCTACTATCACTACTACCACTCTGTACCCGATGTCACCCTGACAACCCTCCCTCCTTACTGTATCATGCCTCTCCGTCGCTCATCCGCCTCTGCTTCCGCTTCCCCTGTCGCATACAACTCACCCTCTGCCAGGTCTCGCCCTGGCACAGGGACAGTCAACATCGACCCTCACGATGCTGGTTCTCTAGCCGACACCACCACCACTGGCTTAAGCTCAAGAATGGACAGTTTCGCAGGAGAACAAAAAGTTGTCAATGCCCTCGTGGGTAGACTGATGAGTCGTGTGAGTCTCATTTGATCCCTCACACCCACCTATCACGATTATACAATCATCAATGAGATGAAACTCCACTGATGACTAGCTCCCTTGCAATGCCGGGGCTCGAGAAATGAGCAAA